AAAAAAAAAAAAAAAAAAAAAAAAAAAACCCCCCAAAGAAGATATCATGGTGCTAGGTGAATTCCTTTTATGATTTTCCAATTTGGCAGGAAAAGAAATTCATTAGTGTCCATAAGAGGTGTCAGCTGTTGCTAGGTGTTGCATGGTTCATACGTTCAACACTGCGGACAAGGAACGAGGCTGTGTCGAGTTAGCAGAAGGAGAAAGCCGAAGGAGGTGCGGGGGACATGGAGCTCGCTTATCATGGCTAAAGAAGAGTTGGCGTCGGAACGGAGGATACCGCTTCCATGGCTGCGGGTTGGGATGATCGACGATGTTACAAAACAAGCTGCAAAGACATTTCCGGTCTGAGGATAGACTACTCATCAGTTCGTGTGATGCCATTAAGGCTACAGTTCATCCAACAAGTAATTGTATCAACCTACGTAAATGTGAGATGGTCAACAGAAAGATTAGAGTGTATGTGCGTTGTAACGATGCGTTTCTGTCTGATAATGATCTATTACGGTGAAAGAGCAGTCTATCCGCAATTGTATGGAGACAGAGCAACTGAGCAGAAAGCAATTTGAAGGTATTGGGATATTTTTCATGTCAACTCGGCGCGTTTTCGTTTAGCTCAAGTCCAATCAAAATCAGTCCATTTTGGATGAGATTGCTAACAGCTTTATGTTGATTAGAGCGCCAAATATCGGGAGATGAGAGATGATTAAAAGTCTCTACGTCTCTGGAGCATGTATCATGATCTCCGACCGACATCATTCTCGGATATGTCTCTGGAACTACGAGTAAAGTTCTTGTCCGTTTGTGGACCCATTCTGGGGGAGTGAGGTTGCAGGGTAAGCTTTTTGCACTTAGGGAACCGTTGGCGTTGCTTGAGCCAAAGCAAACAACCACTTTTCGCTCATCGGTCATTCCGAGGGTACCTAAGCGGAGTGCAGAAACGCAAGACTGAGAGAGCAATTAGTGACTTTTCAGCGACTACCGTTGTCGCCACAGAGAGACTGACAATATCTGATCCCTTGACCGATGGCTTGGACAGGAAGGAAAGGCAAAAAGAAGTGAAAGGTCTAGAGTCAGTCGGGCAAATTTTGAAAAATTGTTCCGGCCCTTCTCTTTGATTCATGATATAAAGGGTTCCGACTAAACCCTTTAAGAAGGAGCGCGCCCAAGACAACCAAAGTAGATTGGTCATTCCACCCGATCGGTAACAGGTCCGCATCGTTGTGGCCATTCAGAAAGGGCCATTTTATGAATCCCCAGAGTTTTTTGACGGCATCTCGAATGGCCTGGTTCCGGAGATCCAAAAGATGGGGGGAAGCGAGTGCGACGGGAAGGGTGGTGGTGGGTCGGCAAAGTGGATGGTGATGGACCAAGCCTGAGCTGGTGTCGCATAGACCTAATCCCAATCATTTTTATGGCCCCCGCGTGTGGAACGTGCCCCGTTTATGCTCGCGACCGGTGCAAATCATTCAAACCGGGTCCCGTCTGATGGGTTATGGCAAGATTTACTGCGATCATTGTGGTATGATTTTGGGGAAGATGGGGAAACAGGGGACCAGACGTCCAGTTGATTTAGGTTTATTCCGCAAAATTAAATCTCAACGGGCCGACTATCGCTGCCATGGGGAAAGCTTCAAAGGGAAGAGGAGGAGCGGACCGCCAAGCTACAGCACCAGATTGATTCTCGTTTTCCCTAATTGAGACAGAGCGAGTGCTGTACCGACGTTACTTGGCAAAGTTGGCACTCAACCATTATCTTTTTGTCGCCTCGGTCAATCCCACCGACGCACAACAATTATACCTTTAGGCACCTACATCATCATAACCTTTTGAGGGGGGGGGGGGGAAGAGAATCCCTGCGGCTACTAATAAACAGGCCCTGGCACAACACTGATCATCCCCCACTCCCCCAGTGACAGAGTCAACGTTGATTATCAATCCGGATGATGAGTGTGGGGGAATGGGCAGAATAGATCTTGATCATACCCGAATTCTGTTATCGTTACCCTTGCAATACTTTCTATTTCCTTTTTTCCTTTCTTTCCTTTCTTTCTTCCTTCCGATTCCCTGCGCCAAGTCGTTGGCTCGGCCATTACCCTTACGCTGCTCGACACCTTCTCACATCATACATGATCGTGCATGATATCAATCTAAGTATTACACGCACTTCCCTGTCCAACACAGCTGGAGAAATCAGAAGCGATACTCGCCTGAATTCATTCAACTTCACACTCTCTTAATTAAACACATCTGAACCCATAGTGTGTTCACCATCCCTCTCTGACTCTCCCCTCTCTGACTCTCCCCTCTCTGACTCTCCCCTCTCTGACTCTCCCCTCTCTGACTCTCCCCTCTCTGACTCTCCCCTCTCTTCTCGGGCCCCCTGGCGCCGCATCACAATAAGCCAATCAAGGCAAATCTGACCCTCCTCAGCCCATTCGACCATTCTTGGTCAGGTCTCCCCTCGTATCAAGTAATTAGTACAAAGATCACCACCACCAGCGCCCGAGGTCATAGTTCCCGTCACTTTCTTGATCTCAAACCGATACCTCACGAAAAGTCACTCACAAAAACTGACTGGTCGCGTCCTTTTTTTTGCTCGCGGCCCCGCGACAAGGGGATCGACACAGCACTGTCCATCTCCCTTTCCTTGCTGAGAAAGGGTTGCGAGGATCTACACGCCTCTAAATCTTCGAATCCACCCGACTTGTCGATAGCCCTCTCTGCCTCTTCAGCCAGATCCGCGGCTGTTGTGGGACCTACCAATACAAGTAATAGTTTACTGCTTGAATGACAGTCAAGTGCAGAGTACTTGGTTTAACTTACTTCTAAGCAAACTCGTCATTCACTCTCACTTTACCTTACCTATTCCAGTGCCGACGGTGACGGTCTCGTCAACACATCATTTTCGGCAGGAGCGACTCTTGTCCCAGCAGTTTGTCCCCACTGCTCCTTCCTTCCTTTCTCTGTTTTATCTTCCTTCCTACTTAAAATAGAGAGCAACACTGGATGACCTGAATCACGCTTCTTTCCCGGTTACGCATGGCCGCCACTCAGGCCCGTCCTCTGACGGACATGCCACCTTCGCTCCCGTTTCCTCGTGTGCGGGACGATGATGACCTTCTGTATCGACTTGAGGTGCTACGGCTGAGCAACGGCGAGACTGAAGCCAACTTGAACGATCATTACCTCCATGAAGCTGCCGACCTTGGCCTCGATATTCCCGCAGACGCTGATTTCCTACGCAAGGCTCACATGTCCACTGCTGACTCTGCTCTCACTGTGGCGTCGACACATTTGAGCTCTGACTTTGCCGCGTCTCGTGCCTCCATCTCGACTGGCATCACTTCCAGAAGCTCAACCGATCATCATTACCTCACTCTTGGTCCGCTCTCTCCTACCTCCCCGAGGAACGACAGCTCATTCAGCTTACCCTCCTTTGATGAATATGACGCCTTGTTGGACCTTATCCGAGACGAAACCACCAATGGTTCCTCAGCGTCTTTGTCGTACCAGCCACAGGCCCCGCCAGCGAGTCCTGTCCATTCTGGCTCTGCCCGCATGTCCTTCAGTGTGAAGAGGAATATTAAGCGCATCTCTGGTTTTACAAAAGGAAGAGGTGCTTCTGCAAGGTCAGTTGTTGGCTCCTGGCCCAACAAGGCTGCTGAAAGATCAAATGGAGCTAATGTGTCGGGAAGTCGCTCATGCACCACGTGTCGAAACGACCTTAAGCTGAGCTCGCCAATTTGTACCCTGCCCTGCTCCCACAGCTATTGTCGGTCCTGTCTCCATCGGCTTGTTATTCAGGCTATCGATAATGAATCCAGATTGCCGCCGAGATGCTGTCTCAACCCTGTGCCTGGTGCCATGGTCAAGATGGTGCTTACCGAAAGCCAACGGCAGGTCCTGATGGAAGCGATGCATCGAAATCTTCCGCGATGGCAGAGTCGGGGACTCTTGCCTTCTCCTCAAGAGCCAGACCAGCTCAGGCGCAGGCAGGCAGGCCTTAAGGTCGACACATTGTCCACGTCGTCCTCGGCGGCGGTCCGATCAGTCAGCTCGGCGGAAGCCAAGCAGCGAAGTTTGGAAAACAAGGAGCTTTTATCTCTCCGAGACGAGCAATTAGAGGAACGAGACCGCTTTGTTTGTTTTGAGCGAAATCAGCGACAGCTATCATATGCGCGCCAAGAGGAGAGCAAATCCGAGATGAAAGCTCGCCACGAGGCGGCCGGACGTGAGCTCGTGGAACAGGTTAGTGTTTTTGTCCTGAACAACAAGAAAATGCGAGCCTTCTTTTTGCTGACATGATACCTTATTCAAGCATCGAACGAACGCTACAAATCTCGAAGACCGCCACGTTGCTGAGGAAATGGAACAGCGGACTTCTCTGGAGCAGCAATACAAGTCCTGTCTCGTACGTTTGAAGCATATGGAGGCGTACTGCTACGGCCCAACCGGCAAAGACGGGCGCGTTGTCACCGATCGAAATCTGCGAGACCTTCGCCAGCAATACAAGACTCGCGACGACATGGACCGTCTACATGAAGCGAAGATTAACGTCTTACGCGAGCGTCAAGCAAAGCAATTGGAAGCTCTGACGGACAAGCAAGAAGATGAGTATAATCGCATGGAGGAGCGAAACAAGCAAGAGTTTGATAGTCTCCGTAAAGCGTTTGCAGACGAAAATAGCGAGTTTGCCCAAGTCTTTGAGAACCGAAAGCAGGCGCTTGTCGCTCGGTGGATCCTTGCTGAAGATATTCTTCGCAAAAAACTGGAGGAGAAGCACCACTTGGATTTTGGGCCTCTTCCACCAGTTGAATTCCCAATCCCAAATGAGGACAATGACGCGGAACTCGTGAATGGTACGGGCCAATCTGTGTCAGCTCTGAACGGGACAGGCCTCCAAACTCAGACTCCGACGCCCTCTGAACCTCGACTGGACTCTGACCTTCAGCATTTCGCGGAGCATTTTTATGAACAAGGTCAAGATTCAACTCCGCGACTCGAAGCTCAATCGCAAGCTTAGATGTATGTCGTGATCTGTTCAATAGCTCCAGGACCGGTTACACTTCAGCATGTTCATCCTTGCACACACATTTGTTTTACTTTATCGCGACGACTTGTGATTTGGATGCTCCACGTGCATCAGAGTCGCTTCATCTCTGGTTTTCAATTCACTGCGAGCGAGCATCATTCGACCTCGGGTCAGGCGTTTGGTCATGGATACCACAGCACGTCTATTGTCATGCAATACTGGTCAATTTGTTTATTTGCTTCCCTTGAATATCTTCTCTTGTATTTTCCATTGCTCATATGTCCTTGCTTCTCTTCTTAAGCCTCGACTGCAGTGGATCTGGTTCTGGCCTAGTTTCTTTAGCCTGGAGTTCGCTGGTCGATACCCCTTTATTGCTCTTTTTCCTCTTCCCCTTTTACTTATCTGTGTCTCTGCTCTAGTGCATGTCCTGGCATGCAGGACGTCTAGCATATTAAGTGTGCAGGCACAACTCCGAACTTTGCACGTTCAAAAAGTGTTTTTCAATCCGATGCAATGCACATCGGTCAGACTTGCTACTTCAATTTGTCATTTGCTCTACTTCCCAGCACGAATAACTTGCCTTTTGCTCTACTTTTCTCTTGTTTATCATTGCATCCAGAGCTTTGCTTATTTATGCTTCCTCTTCAATCTTCTGCTCTATTTACAATGATACCTCAGAACAAGCAGCACAGAATTTGTTTTTTTTTTTTTTTTTTTTTTTTTTTTTCCCTCACAATAATTACATTGCTCTAGGGTTTTAGTCTAGGGTTGGATGACAGGACGAATGGAATATTACACTCTATGGCTATCATGCTCCTGTCATTTTTTTTTATTCTTGTGAAGTGCTATGTATTTCAGTGACTTGATATTCTCAATTCATTGTCCAGGGTCTCGTTAAACCCAACATTCCAAGTCCTTTGCCCGGGTTCTAGGTCAATGCCAATACATGTTCAGACACAGAATAATTCCCCATCAGTGGTCAGTCATGTCCCTCGTTCAATATCCACGAGAATATCCCCTAGCCGCTCAATTCGTTCAGCGCTCATTATCTTTCTCTCGACATCCCGCTGTCGTTGCCTCTCTTCTGCTTCTCCTCCCACTTTATCCTCCCTCTTCCCCTTCCCTTTCCCCTTTGTACTATTCGCGTGCTGCTGCAGTTCCTGCGATAGTTGCATGGTCACATTTCGAACTTCTTGGTCCGTTCTTTCTTCTGCTCCTCCACCTCCTCCTGCTGCCGCCCCCTTTTCATTCGTTGAGAGCAGCGCGTCGTTGTGGCCGTGGCCGTGGCCCGTGGGAGCAGGAGCAGGAGAGGTAAACAGAGGAGAGCGAGACACAGCAGGGCCGGAGCTGGAGCCGGAGCCGTATACGACACAATGCACCAATTTGCCGTTCCGCTGCATCTTGATCCGCGCAAGTCGTCCGCTCGTCCAGAGGATTTGGATATCTGTGATTTCGGCATCGCGTGGGGAAATTGCCTTGATTTTGTTTTCGGATGTGCTTGCGTTTTCAGATGTGGGTGTGCGTGTCGTGGTGTGGTGCGGCGTGGCGGCGGGGTCTCGACTGTCGTGGAGAGAGTGGATGTTGAGTATGTCCAAAGGTGCGGATGGCTTGGATGGTCCGGATGATCCAGATCCAGATGCGAATTCGGCGAATAAATTGTTTGAAGAAACGGCAGCAGTAGATACTCCGCACCGGTCTCGCAGCGTCTCAAGCGCCGCGCGACGAAGATGATACGAGATGATTTCGCGGCGCAAGTCGCGAACCAGACGGGGCAGGTTTTGCGGTCGGGATTTAGACGGTTTGAGTGGGGTAGAGTCTGATGTAGGAAGTATAGAAGTAGAAGTGGAAGTAGAAGTGGAAGTGGATGCGGTGGGAGAAGGAGGAGCTGGTAGGTATTTCCCAGCGAGTGCAGATAGGGGAATACATGGCGGAACGGTATGTCTGTGGATACGCAGCGCCGTGGGCGCGTGCGCGTATGGGCGGTTGAGAAGGAGATAGTATGGCGGAAGAAATTTATCTTTTTGGTCATGCCTTGTTAGTCTTGCCAGGGACATAAAGGGGTACGCATATGGATAAATCAGCGTATAGTAACATACCTCGTACGCAAACTTCTAATCGGACACCAAATACTTTTCTGTCGTCGACAGCGTGGGGATCCGGGTCGCGCACTTCAAACATGGTTGCGCCGGCGCACATGCGGTAGAGACTTGTTTGGCTATGTTTGGCCTGTTTCGAGGCGCGTTCGAGCGCGGTGGTAAGTATCTTGTCGGATGGTGTTTGTGATCCAGTGGATTCAGGTTCAGCTGGAATTGAGGGACTAGAGGCAGATTGGTCCTTGGTGCGCTGGAGAAGAGAGCGCGTCGAGCGGGACCCGAGCAGCGTGGATGTGAGTGTATTTCGGCGCTGAGAGAGATGTTTGACTTGAGACAGAATGTTAGTAGATGGATGAGGAGAAGGAATGATGTAGAGATTTAGAGGAAGTGGAGTTGAAGAGTGTGAGGGAGGGGAGGAGAACTCACTTTGCGCGCGAATGGATGCGATTTCTGCGTCGAGTTGGGATTCTTCGTCGGTGGTATTGTTGGCGTCGTTATTGGGCTCGAATAGTGGTGAGGCGGTAGCCATGTTGCAGTCTGCGATATTGGAGCAACGGGAAGAGACTGGTGTTCGAAAATAAAGGATTGCTGTCGATGGGATATTGGAGAGCTGGATGTGGTGTTTACGTGGAGAAGCGCATATACCCGCGTCGCGTGCTAGTAGAGCTGCGTCTGGCTCGGCTTTTCAGACTTGTACACCGTGGGGATGCGCGGGCACAGCGCCGAGAAGATGTGCCGGCTGTTTCTTTTATGCACAGTCCTACAGGATATATATCTTGAATTCCCAATGTCAAAAACAAAAAACCAAAAAAGCCTTTGGGGTTTCTTTGTAGATTGATTTGGAATATTATTTTGAGTTATACTTTCTTTTTATTATATATATTTGCGTAATTATTGATATACGAGAGTTTAAATCCTTTCAATGTTGTATATACCTACGGTTTATACTCTCTAGCTGGCTTGTATCTGTAAGCTCTGTGTATGATATTCTACCTACATTAGTTATCTCATTTGCTGACCCAGAGCACCATCAGGCTGAATTTCCGCGATATTGGTATGGATCACACATGGCCAATCGAGACTCTACCGTGGAACCTTTTTAAGAAAGACGTCTTATTACTCCCACCTTCCCACGCCAGCTCTCTGAAAATTTATCTGCCAAATGGTCCTATATTGTAAATAAATTAAGCAAAGTTGGTGCTGGACGAGGACTCTACCGGTCCCAAACCCCGGAGAACGATGAAATTCACGAGCTCCGCCTCGATCATGGCCCACAGCATAGTAATGACGAAGACAAGTTTGATGTCAACATTCAGGCAAACGGCCGAGGACCAGCAAGTCACAAGAAGATGATATCGTTGACAGTTAGCAAGAGTGAAAAATTAGGGCAACAGGCTATTAGAGAGAAGTTCAAAAGAGCTGCTGAAGAAAGAGGGTATCTGTAAGCAGCGGCAGGACAGAGGCTTTGTTACCCGTCAGGCAGGCATTGGATCAAGAATGTATCTGCTTAGATTTGGGAACTTGAGAAGCCGAATGAAGGAAGTTGACTTTAGCATAGTAAAGCACTGCTCTTCAATCAGCACGCGATCCCTGAATTCCCGGCAATTTCTTATTCAAAGCCCTTTCCAATCAGTTATATCCCAGCGACCGATGTTATCTAGAAATTCCTGTCGTTCTTTCTCATCTTCAAGCGAGTTTAGTATATCTTTTAGCACAACCTTAAGCTGCCTCTTTTGCATTTCAAACTCTTCCTTTGGAACCCATCCTTCTCGAGCAACTGGTATGTTGTAGTGTTGTAACAGATCTTTAAATTCATTCCATCGTCGCCCATCAATTCTATGTTGCCTCAGCTCATTTGGACCAATACTTATCGGGCATGGTGGAGGGCTGCTGATCCTGGAGTGCATCTCGGGCCAGGTTCGTTGAATATGTATTAGGAGTTCTCGGAGAACAAGGACATCAGTCTCTCGACTGAAAGATCCTCCTCCAAGGATAGTGACAAGTTGTCGAATGGATGCAAAAGGATCTCCTTCGAGGATTTGAGATACTTCAGGTGCAACATCTGGAAGAGAACTTAAATAGTACTGTTGTAACATTGACTGCCGGTAGTTGTTCCATATCCTTTTCTTCTCAGGCTCGGTCATAGAATCAAATCCATCTGGTAATTCAAGGAGCAAAGAGCCGGATTCGACAGCCAAAAACTGAGGTATTCTCGCCTGAAGAAACAAGGGCAGGGCAACTGTGCCTTGCCAATCAATGATGCCAGTGATTTTTCCAGAAGGTGCGACGAAAATATTGCCAGAATGCAGGTCTCGATGCCACAACGCAGGTCGAGAGAGGTTGACTGGCTCTTGATAGCATGATACGAGATATGGTACGGCTGCTTCGTACTGTTTTAACAACTCAATAGCTGCTGCTGGAGAGGTGTCGCTACAAGTATTAACCGCAAAGGAAAAGGGTTCCTTCAAAAAATGGCCACGTTCCAGTTCATGTTGTGAAGTTTTGACTTTCGTAATGAAGGACTCGGCAACAGCAGTAAGATAATCTTTTGGCAGATGCCCTAAATTGCATGATTAGTCTTACTCTGATCCATTAATAGTAAGGTGCTTTACATGGGCCGCCATCCACTCCCGCCATCTTCAGTCTCTTGTCCGAAAAGTCATTATTTGCTAGAGGGCCCAAGCAAAAGCGTGGAGGGACCTTGGCCATTACCGGCTGCCGCTTGGACAATCCAAGCGTAATTGCATCCTCTGTAAAATATAAGCTGCCATATCCACTGAATCCGCTACTGCCTTGAAGCAAACGCGTTTGAAGAGACAATATTTGGTCTACAATGGCAAACTTTTGGTCGACATCAAGTGAATGCCACGTGGTGTTCAGAGCAATTCCAGGCACCTCTTCCATAATGATATATTCACAACCAACAGGATTATCACTAGATATACTCCATGCAAGGACTTCGGGTACAGGGATTCCTATTTCGCTCCGCATATATTCCATTGTAGCAACTTCACTAGCAGTGATAAAGTGCTCGGGAACAAGAGGATCAGGCATTTTAATGATCAACCGTCGACCTTGCTCGGCAGCTACAAAAACCTTATTGGAAGCACCCTCAGCAAGCTTTTTTATGCGGATCCTGTGACTAGAGGGGTTTATACCCATGGCCCGGGCTGCCACCTCTTTAAGTGCCGATTCGTTAAAGCTTCTTGTATGCTGAGACATCTGATGCGCCTCGTTCCATAGCCATCGTCCAGAGGTCTGGCGGAAGAGGTTCTCGCTTTTACCATATTTGTCCAGCGCAAGACGTTGAGAAGCAGAGAGGAGGCGCCGAAGGACCGCAGAAATCGATTGCCAACATTTCCGTGTGTTTAACATAAGATAAAGCTATGTAGAATAGAGAGTTAGCTATTGTAAGAATCTTTGAGAGCTAGACTACTCCGTACTAGGCAGTAGAAGGAGTGTACTCGATATTGTAGGTCGTTGAGGTAAGGTAGACTGTTGGTAACTCTTAATAACGACGTGCTGGCAGATGGGCTGCCGTTTCTGGAGGCCTCGGGCGCCGTTTCCAAAGGTGCATCTGCCCACCCAACCAACAGTTGACTAAGGCATCTGTCCTGAACAGTCAGCCAGGGTACAATCAAGGTACTCCTCATGCCATGGTTGCTTCACTTTCTTGCGGTCCGATGCTGTTTGGTAATTTTTTTTTATAGCGAATTCGTCTAGCAATGAAATCTTGGTATTTCATGAGCTTAGGGACGCATTCTCCTGTTTTTGGAATCTGATCCTTCTATGAAAGTGACGTTTCAACACCTTCTGGGACCAACAAGCACACTTACCCCAAACCTTGAAGATGCATTAACATGGATGGGAATTCGAGGATACACAGACAAGACAAAAGAAGCAATTTTTGTGAGCTAGGATCTGAAAGATTTTTCTTTAATGGCATCTGCCCTATCTAAGCCACAGGCATTATCCTCACATTGGATGAACACTTCCTTAGCATACCTATTCTCCAAAACCAGCTTCACAGTGTTCCAGATACTCTTCACATTCTTGGACCCTTTCGTGATATTCATCCATTCCCATAACCTTCCCCTCACCTACACTAATATCTCTGCTATCAACACTGGTGACAATTTCACACTTCAGATCAGCGATTGATAGGTAACTGCTTTTCCAGCATTTTTGAATAATACTGCCAAATATCAAGATTCCATGAAGGTCGCTCTTTGCTTCGCATAGAACTAGGTCTTTGCTGATGAAAATGAAATAGCCACAGCTTCCAATCACAAATTGCTTGCTTGCAGCACCAGCAACACCAAAGCTGCCTGAGTCTAGCCACTTGTAATATGGCTCAGTTGCCCCTTGAATGTACTCTCCATAATTACACACACTGTCAAAATTGCACAGCTTAGCATTGCTGCGATCATCAAGCAGAATGTTTGGAGGGCGGAGGTTGCAGTGTGCTATTCGAAGTTGTTTGAGCCATGCAATCGCATTTGTAACCTGATAGATCCATCGTACCCTATCCATCTTTGAGATTGGTGATTTTCCCTGAATGCATTCAGAGAGAGTTCCCTGCAGGCACTCTAGGAAGAGGTAGTGCTTGCTGTGTAGAAAACAGGCAATGATGTTGGCATGCCAGTTCTCCAGCCTGGCAAGAACATCATAGATCTTACTCTTGTGTTTGATGCCAATGAGACTGTCATTCTGCTGCTCAACATAACTCTCATTTATGTTATCAAATCTCCAGGGTGCTTTGACCACAATTTTGACACTGACAAAGAAAACAACACCAGTCACTCCATTGAAAAGGTGAGGAGAAATCAAAAATGGGGAACGCAGACAGGGAGTAGACTCTGACATCTTGGAAAGTCTTTCTCCTACTGTGTATTGATAAGTTGAAATGGTGCTGTAGGATGCAGAGGAAGCTGTTCAGAAGAGCTGAGGTGGACTCAGAAAATAGATACTCTGATTGCTTCCAAGGCATGCTTTGGAGGTAACTCCCAGAAGCAACTCCCAGAGGCAACTCCCAGAGGCAACTCCCAGAGGCACCTCCCAGAAGCACCTCCCAGAGGCACCTCCCAGAGGTACCTCCCAGAGGCACCTCCCAGAGGCACCTCCCAGAGGCAACTCCCAGAGGCACCTCCCAGGGCTTGATCATGTTTGATATACTGTTACCTCTACATAGACCAAAGCTATTTAAACAGGAGGCTGCATCAGCATGATATAGAAGAAACTTTTCTCATTAGGCACAGAAAATCATATACCACAGGATTCATCCATCTTAATCTAGTTAGTATCATCTGGCATAGCAACAGGATCTCAACAGCTGACAATATAACAGCAAAATGTGCCAGAAAACATACTCAAAAGACAAGTATATTTGTCAACACCAATTCCAAAAGGCACCCACAATAATCCAATGCCCCACTGCAATTCAACAAAAAAGCAATTGTGCAAGCTATACCAACAACCACAGCATTGGTCTGACAATGAAGAAGCATCCTTGCAACAGCTGCCTGAACAATGGGAGCTGGATCCATGACGGCAATCAATATGTCAAACGAGCCTGAAGCCAAAGAAACTTCTTGGCTTGGGCAATTAGCCCTCCACCATTTCCCTGAAGGCTGGAAAGCATGTTTGACAGGAGAGGATGAAGAGAGAGATATTTGAGTTTCACATTTACAAAGTATTGTCTTGCAAACACAGTCATTATCTATTGAAGATTTGGTTATCCTCTCCCTTGCATAGCAATTCAAATTATTGAAAATTTATTTCCCAGTTCTGTTGGTGATATCTGAATGGAGATGCAACTTGGGTTGCAGATGATCCTAGCCACTTGTTAGTATATTATTAGGTAGTTTCAAACAGCAGAAGTACATTGAATCTTTCTTTACCAACAGCTCCTGATGGGAGTGTTGTATCCATACGTCACTTAATGTAATGTGCACCATGATTCTGTCTTTCCCTTCCACGTCCCATACCAGCCAAGTTGCACAATCAAACGTCTCAAATCGGAGTTTCCCAGTAGCATACTGCTTGGGATAGAAGTACTTGTTACAAAAGCATGTCAGATCCTAAGTAACCATCAGAGATGACACAAATGGAAGAAAGTAAACATTGCACCTACCAACCATTCCACGAAGGGAGATCTGACGTCAGCTTGCCCATCTGATGCTGTAGGGAGGATATTGCAAACAATGAGCAGAGGCTGGGCTCAAACATCTACTTTCTCAATCTCCTCTGGTTGAATAACTATAGGCTCCATGGCACATAGCACATGGGTCACGATGGAAATAGAGGATACAGAAGAATCTCAATTGTTTTGCTTTACATTGTGTACTTGTCAAAATTAGCCTGACTTTATTTCTAAGCTACCAATTACTACACATGAACTCCTCCCTCAGCTCAGTAAACACCATATCACCCAGGCAGTCTGTCTAGCTCCTCTGGCCAATCATTTAGGTCATAAAAAGACTGGTCTATGACCTGTCTGCTAAGCAAAAGTTCCATATCATTCACATTGAACATTTCTAATATTTGTCATGATGAAGAAGATACAAGTAACTCATGGAGACTGGTAGATGTTGCTGCCTTTGTGTGTGGTCCTTCATGCTGCTTGGCATCACTCAGAAATTCATGAATACCTATGAATAACATTAGCATCCACACAGTAAATCAATCAGATCCACAAAGAAGACTGACTTGAATGCTCTGGAGAATCTGTGTGAGCTGGGAGCATGTAGCTATAACTCCTTCTCAGCTTTTTCATTGGTCTGTCTTGTATATCAGTGTCCTTTATCTTATTTCTCAAGTTGGCAACTAATTCTGTATTCTTCTTTTCTTTGTGCATAGGAATCTCAAGGTGCTTGCTTTGACAATCCACCATAGCATTTAACTGTTCATCAAGCTGTTGCCTGGTCCTCTCAAGCAGCTCCTGTTTCTGACGTGCAACTTCACATGAAGCCGACCCTAGTTTCAAATTCTCCCATCTACCTCCATCCACATTCAGGCAAGTCTCAATATGGCAGATAAAGTTATCCACATTCAAATTCAAGGTACTGCAGATACAGAGAGCTTCACAATGGACATCTGTACACAGTAAATATCATGGTCTTTGTGAAAGAGTCAAACAAGCTCATACAGCACCAATAGTGTCTTAGCAAATTGTCCCTTTGTGAGAAGGTTAGATCCTTAGCCATGTACTGCCCATCAGGGCAGAATATACACTGGACGTTGGTGTCTGAGCAATGATATGAGGTGAAGGCCTTCATGAGCTCTCCCAGTAGGGTTTGGATTCGAGATTGCTGCAAAGCGTGAGAATGGTCAACACATCACGGCATTTGCAGCAAACCTTGTCAACAGCCAGATGCTGACATAAGGTCTCTCTATCCTCAAATGGCTCCAAACACCACAGACACTTCCACTGCAAACTAGCTTGGTCAGTCATTTTGTATGCAGAGCTTGGCTGACAGAGTATGTTCAGTCATAATGGTTTGTGTTTCCCAGATTAATTCAAAGATCTCAGCTTCTGGCGTCTTTTATGGGAGGCATGTAACTAGTGTCCGCCGGGAAGCAGCTACAGTACGAGGCAAAGGAAGAAGCCCTTTCTATAGTCCAGCCGGTTGCCCAAAGTGCAGCTTAACGTGTCTTTTTGCCTACAGGATTAGATTGTCCTTTAATTGCAGGGTAGTGAAGCAAACTCAGCACGCCTGCAGCAATGGTGAGGAAAGGCAGCATCTCAATGTACCTTGGATTTGTACTGATACTTCCTTTGGATTGTCACAGTTTGGGCTGATGCTACAAACTCTGTCCTGTGGACTGTTTAAGATGCCAGCCTTCTCTCTGCACTCTCCACCTGTGCTACCATGGTCGACTGTGCTGTTTCCAACACCACACAGGTGCTGTCCAGCCTGATGTTATGGACACAAAGGCAACAAGGTTCTGGTCGCTAGAGGATCTCATGCTCGAGCTCTGAACCCTATGATCTCCAATTCCTGTTGACTCTCCTTGGACTAACAATATAAATCTATGCCTTGGTCAATTGGCTACTTGTGTTGGTGACACGTCTTACTTCCAGACACTGTCCTGGTCAACCATGGCATGTACTGTACAACAAGCTGAACGAGTCTGATCCCTGCAAGATGGCTGGCACATTACATGCAGCTGGCTGGCTTAGACAAGCTGTTTCAGGTGCAGGGTATTGTGGTGAGATAACATGCTGTTCACCATATGTAGTGGGTAAATTTATGATGCACCCACAGAATGGAGAGCCCAGAGCTTACTGTCACCAGCTTTTCTGTAATTTCTGCCACTGCCTGTCACCTTGAGCAACATTTGATACCTTCTGTTTCAAGCCACGCTTGATGATGCAAGAAACCGAACTGGCTCTAGACAAAATCAGAGAGGATATTTTGCACTACGATGGAGATATTGGAGGGCTTGACCAGATTCAGAATAAACTATCACATCTGCAAGCGCAAGTCAAAATTCAGAGAACACTGCAAATGACAACAACAGTGCTATGCCAGCAGCCAAACAATAAGGTGCTTCCAAACCAACTGGCGACCAGAGTTAAGCATTTTATCCAATTTGTGTACCAAAAGCCTATACTTGAACAAGATAAGTCATCCACCAATCAAAGACGTCTGCAGTTGCACAAGCTACCATGCAATGCATTGAAGTTGTGTAGTTTATCATACAAGATCAAGGACATCATCAAGCTGCCAATGAAATAGTTTGAATTTCTTGTCAAAAACATAATGGACTATTTAAATCATTGCAACCTGGTTGGCTATTTGTATCATAACAACATTAACAAGGCTGTCCATGGCAAGCTTGACCCTGATGACAAGAATTTGTTTAAAGGCTTTCTGAAGGGTGCAACATGCCTGTTGCTCCAATGATTAGTGCTTCTAATCAAATATAATTGAGCTAGCTCACATTGAACTTCAGTCCATGAAACAAAAGCATGACAGTAGGTCACATCCATCATTCTCAGAATGGACATTAATGTTGACCAGAAGCCAATGCAATCTCCCTACCTGTTGAACCAAGGAATTCTACTTTTTATGAACAGGATATGGAAGAGAGACCATTACAGACAACCAGACATAAGTCAAATGATTAATAATACATTTGAGGTGCTGAAATTTCTACTAGAAATTGACTATAGATGCTCCGGTGCTCCAATCAGCCAAATAGAATTGTTGGGAGTCTTGCTATCAAATGCAATCTCGAGTAGCAATCAGTGGCAATGGGAACATAAGCTAGGAGAAACAGTGGAGACAGAGACAACAGACTGCTTAAATGCATTGGTTCCCAAGAGTCAGAACCAAGACATTTCCATCATGGTACTGGTTGGCCACAAGAAGGGACTTGAATTGATTGAAAGTTTTGAACTCATGTCTATGTGAACTTTACCATCACTCTGATGACACACACCTCAAATCCAGCCAGAACACAGCTTGTCACATATGTAGTTTCACTTTCATGTTCCCAGTACAGTGCACTATTCATGTCTGCTTTTGGATCAAAGATCATGATTGATTTGCCTCAGCCTGTGATTTGCCTGTCATGATCAATTGCCTTGAAAAGCTTGATGTTGATGTATTCTTCTTCCCCCAAAAGGGCTTTGGCACCAGCCTATTTGAGATTAGATATTATTTTGTGGATTCAATGATGCTAAACCACACCTCTGACATAGTCTATGGCAGCCAAGTTTACAAAATGTATTAGTTTCCTAAAGTTTCTGTTTTGTTATTAGTAAACATAGACCATTCTCAGTTCATTCTTATCACAGAAATTCTTGAAGAAGAATCAATAAATTTCTAGGAAACCCACAATTGATCAAGGAATCTGTGCCTTGCAGCTTTTGTGAGCAAGCATGTTTGCAAACATTGAAATCCATGAACAACAGCAAGAACTGACCCTGAACAGTGCTCACACAGAGATGTCAATTCAAAAGACAAAGCCAAGGGTGGTCTTGTCTAGAAGTTTAGTTATCAAAGCTTGTTAGTGTAGAGGTACAACACTTGTCCAGAATAATAAAGTGATGATATCAGAAAAAACAAGTTAACTCTTTAAAAAGTCATTGACAATGACAACTATTACTCGATGCTCAACAAGGTGGGGCATAATCATTCTCACACAGGGCTGAATATTACAATGACTAAGTACACAGTATCAGATGAAAATGGTGGCACTCGAGTTGTCACCTGGGCTCCTTCAATGGTGGGTACAGCAATCCAAAGAACAAACAGCACCCAGTCCAACTGAGGGATATCAAGACTTTACAAACTGCTTAGTTAACCCACATATCCACTACACATCTCTCTGTTTCCTGGTCTTCAAGTCACCTCAAAATATTGACCACAGCTTGGAGAAGGTATCCTTTGCTTCTGGTGAAATTGGAACAATACAAGACTAACCTTGGTACGCAAAGTGTTTTGGACTTTGCCAGGGTTGGCAAGAATTGGACAAGTTGACCGAGTGTGAGTAGTGGAAGCGACTCTCACTGAGGAAGTGGGGAATTAGCTAAAGAGACTAATTGGATATATTTGGCTTTCCATACTGCGGGATAACCGATCGGTGGGTAGTTGGGCTATTGGTAGAATGGGTCACGCTATCGTATATATGAACACAGGAGAATCTTCAACGATATGTAAACGGTAGAATGGGGAGATGCTAGTTTTTCTCATAAAAATCTCTCCAGTCTCCCAAAAAGTGGGAATATCCCAGCTTTTATGGAGCGTAGATATAAGCTAATCGTGGATTATGGTTAAGCCATTATCCATTATCCTTTTGCAATAGCAACTGTGGTAGCGATAGAAGCAAGAGCGAGCGATAAACAAAGTAATTCCATCCTTAGTCATGCATGCCCCCCCCACAATACGGAACGCGAAACCAAAAGTCATGACAGTACGCTAGCAGGGATGCGTGCAAGTTTGGGAACCAAAACTGTCTATTTGGTATAGTATGTTTCAAATTACTAATATTTTACTAAGTTAACTAATGACTAACTTTAGTTTCGTTTGGCAGAGATAATCAATACTGATAAGATTGATTGGATAAAGAATCCCAAAAAAGGAAAAGCGTGGAACTCCAACATCAAGAGACCACGTTCCCCATTTGCTGTTTCGACTCGATTTAGAAACACTGAGAATCCGCCCTGAACTGCGTGACGTGAAAAGTCCCTGGTCAGAGGTGTGTTTCGCCCCACAAGTCTATTTCTTTATTTTTTCAATTGTCATCATTCTTACGATTTGTTCAGATTACTCTCTTTTTATCTAATCCTTCTTGAGGCCAACGAGACCTCTTCCATAGTCTCCGCTGCCAGATCACATGGATGCCGCCTTCCTCAGGCAATCACCCTCCTTCGTCCCTCCCTCTCACTACCTCTACCATTGAAACGGCTTCTTTTCCTACACACGCTGCGCAGTATCAACAGCAACGACTTGAACAAAAACGCAGAGAAGCTGCTCGAGGGGTGGAATTAGAAGACCTAGTCCTTGGCATTGACAGTGCTACGTCGCAGCATCACCGTAGAGAGCGCAGTTCCCAGGGCAACTCACACACTCGTTTCGACAATTCCACGCATCAACACAGCAGAAGACAAAAGCAAGACGATCTCTCTGAGCAGGGATCACCTTCACATTCCCCAATGGGCAGGCGGGCACGTGCTGAACCTCAAGCATCCTCGTCGAGGTCTTCTTCGAGCACCTCTGCTTCCTCTGCACGAGCAGCACTGAACGGACGTTCAACGGGAAAAATGAATTCACAGGTGGAGATGCGAAGGAAGAATGCGTCGCTGGACAGCCCCACAGCTGCTTCCCAGACGGCCAACCTCATGTCACGGGCGAGCTTCAGTCTGGACCATGATGTGCCAGTTCCACCGTCTGAAAACCCCAACCATAGCTTCTGGGACCTGTCAGCCGCAGATCGCCGAAATTTTCTTCTACTTGTTCTCCTATATTTTCTCCAGGGAATCCCCATGGGACTGGCGTCCGGCTCGGTCCCATTTCTGTTAAAGCCATATCTCTCCTATGGGCAGATTGGTATTTTCTCTCTAGCATCGTACCCATACTCGTTGAAATTGCTCTGGAGTCCAATCGTAGACGCAGTATGGAGCCCAAAAGTGGGGCGCAGAAAGAGTTGGATTCTGCCCATTCAGCTGATCTCGGGAATCGGCATGATCTGGCTCGGAGGGCACGTCAAAGAGATGATGGTCGAAGCTGGTGCCAACAATGGGGCCGGCGTATGGGGTTTCACATGGGCTTGGTTCTTCCTTGTTTTCATGTGTGCGACTCAGGATATTGCTGTAGATGGTAAGTCAAGCGTTGATGCGTACCCAGCGAACGTATGGCAACAGAGTATGGATTTTCTGACCGAATCTCTCTATAGGCTGGGCCATTACCCTTTTATCCTCCCAAAACCTCTCTTACGCCTCAACGGCACAAACCGTCGGGTTGACCGGCGGACAATTCCTTTCGTATACCGTGTTTCTAGCCCTGAATGCGCCCGACTTTGCAAATAGGTGGTTCCGCCAGGTTCCGTCGCCTGAAGGTGTCATCACTCTTGGTGGATACCTGAAATTTTGGGGTTGGGCCTATCTTATCATTACCGTTGGTCTGGCCTTGCTCAAGAAGGAAGAAAGAACAAAGGAGAGAGATGGCATCATGGAGGTCTACCGGGTCATGGTTGGCATCTTGAAGCTCAAGAACATTCAGTCCATTATCATCTTGCATTTGACCGCCAAAATTGGCTTCCAAGCCAACGATGCCGTCACAAACTTGAAACTCTTGGAAAAGGGGTTCAGCCAGGAAGACATGGCGTTGACGGTCCTTATTGATTTCCCCTTTGAGATGGTACTCGGCTACTACGGAGGCAAGTGGTCATCTCAGTATCCGCCCATGAAGCTCTGGTGTTGGGCATTTGTAGGACGACTAATTGCGGCCGTACTCGCTCAAGTGACCGTCATGATCTTCCCCTCCGCCGGTGTCAAAACCTGGTATCTCGTCACTGTCATCGCAGAGCATGTGTTTTCAACTTCGATGAGCACAATCATGTTCGTCGCGGTTTCCGCATTTCACGCTAAGATTGCAGACCCTGTGGTTGGCGGCACCTATATGACCCTTTTGGCCACGTAAGTTTTTGAACTAAATCATGATTTGAAAGAATATGCTGCTAATTTGTACTTACAGAGTCTCTAACCTTGGTGGTACGCTGCCCCGCTTCTTCGTCCTCAAGCTGGTCGACATCTTTACTGTCGCCACATGCCAGCCTCCCATCTCCCCTCCAGTCGACCTCAAGTCCGACCTTGTTACTTCTCCCTTTTCTTGTGCTCTCGAAGCGGAAAAGCATCGCTGCGAGAATGGCGGCGGCACCTGCAACGTCAACCGCGACGGATATTACATTGTCAACGTTCTCTGTATAATAATCGGCCTGGTCACATTCTTATCCTATATAAGACCGGCCGCCATAAAGCTCCAAAGCCTTCCTTTGCGCGCCTGGCGCCTTGTTGGCGGGGAGAGATAGCGCTCGTTCCCCATGTATTGTAAAACGTAACTTGTATCTAGAGCAAGCATTTGATTCTAAACTAATTAGATCTTATTCCTTCCTCATCGTACTCTCGTGGTATCTCGTATTTTGATGCATTCGAAGGCCCAGTAGAGTCTGCCTACCTGAACAGCTTTCTGTCTCCGTGGTGCTTCTGTCTGCGCGATGCAGTGACTGCCACGACGCCCTGACATGTTTCCCCCGTTCAAGCAAACCCATCAATCCTCTCCTCTTTACTATCCACCCTCACGCCCTCCGCTCCATCCCGATTCGCTCGCCACACGCCGCCCTCATCCCCGCCAAACTCCTCCAGCTTCCATATTTCCGCTTTCGCTTTACATTCTTCCAGCGCCTCTTCCCCCGCCCGCCACGCCGCCTGCCGATGCGGCGCAGACACCGCGATCAATATGCTTTCTTCGCCAATCGGCACGACGCCTAGTCTGTGAATAAGCGCAATCCCTTGCAAGCCGTGGTTCTCCTTCATCGTCCGCGCGATTGTAAGCAGCGTTTGCAGCGCCCGAGGCGGATACGCGGTGTATTGGAGCTCCTTGACTGGCTTGGAATTGAAGTTGTCTCTTGTCGTTCCTGTGATTTATTATCAACTTTATGTTCTCATCTTTATATTTTCAATTTTTGTATTCTCGACTTTTATCTTCTCAACTTTTTTATTCTCAACTTGAGTCTTTTTATGTTGTGTATGTGTGTATGTGTGTATGTGTGTATGTGTGTATGTGTGTATGTGTGTGTGTGTGTGTGTGTGTGTGTGTGTTTGAGAGGGGGATGGGGCGGCGGCGGTTGGGAGAGAGAGAAGGAGGGGGAGGAGGAGGAGGAGGAGGAGGAGGAGGAGGATGAAAACTCGAGGTAAAGAATATCCAGATACATACCGGCAAAAAGCACAATTGCGCCGGCCTTGGGGCTCTTCACTTTATTCATGACAGCGCCGGCATCGAGATGCGCGCGGGTGAGCTCCACATGGATGCCCTCTTCTGCAAGTATGAATAGTGTTTGCTCGGTGGAGTCTGCCATTGTGTGCGCGCGCCAACAACTTAACAGATTGATAGATGCTGGGGAAATAATATAAAGCTGTCTTGTTAATTCATGGGAAATGGTCAAGTGCCTTGCCTGGAACCCTGGGCTTGTTTGACTGTTTATCGAGTAAATTAATTGAAGCGTCGGAATGGTCCCGCTCTTATCGATAGGACATGGGCCGGAGATTGTTGTCAATAAATGTTGCAGCGGGTAACCTAGAAACGCTGCTATTATAGACAGCATCAATTACTGCCTTGATCATTAGCCGTCGCGTTCGATTCGAACCGAATCATCATCATAGTCAAGAGCTCCTCGCTCGACAGACACCGAGCACCTCTTCTCCATCTAATTCTTTTCCTTTCTTTTACTCCATAGCATCCATCATGTCGTATAGAGCGCCTGGTGAAGCGCCACCAGGAGAAGAAGACATGTATCGGTCATCACGCCCTGCGCCGGCACGATATGACCGCGAAGCCAGAATGTACGACGACAACGACAACAGCGACGAGCAGCGATGGCAGCATCATTCACGGTCAAATTCGCCGTGTGAGCGCTATCGACGATATTCACCGTCCCCTAGGCGACGACGCCCTTCGCCTCATGGTATATATCATTACGGCACACGCGTAGCACTTGATGAGAGTTTTTGTTTTTAGAAAAAACATATCGGCTAATGAGCATCTCTGGTGATTTGCACAAAGAAGATTATTCTCAGTTCCCTTCTCGTGAACAATCTGCCATCGACTCAGATCCCAACGGGCCAAATACTATGCCGCGCGTACGAGCTTGGGACTATTCATATCGTGGTGGCCGAGGCAGCAGCAGCAACAACAACCGTGGTGGCGGTCGCAGTCCGCCTCCTGGACCCCGCAGAGGAGGAGCAGGTAGTGGTCGAGGGACATACTTTGACCGTGACCGCGAGGAGTATCACTCTCCATCCAATTATCACGACAGTCGCAGCAGAAGCCAAAGCCCTCGGCGCCGAAGGGACCGTGATCGCTCACCTTACTTTGGAGGACCACCGAGCAGAGATGTCATCTTGGAAGGACTCCCGCAGGATATGACTGAAGACGACGTTGGACACCCTCCCCTTCTTCCCCTTCCCCAGACTTCCTCCGTCTAAGCACCACCTCTGTGCTTCCTGCTGTTGTTATGCCCCCTGAAATCTCCAAGTGGCAGAAACAAGACACTCGCTTTCTTTTTGAATGAACTGAGGCTAAGGCGTTAGCATTGGCCGATTTTGGCCGTTGCGTTTCCACATACAGATTTTACAAGAGCTCAAAGGTCATTATAAAGTGGATGGCTTGGAGGAAGTCCGAGTGATTCGGGATCGCAACACAGGTACTAAAGAGCCACAAGCAAATTTCTGTTAATAGGTCTATGCTGATAAGGTGAATCAGGCGCATCACGGCAGTTTGGATTTGTCCACTTCTCCTCTCTATCCGGTTCTCGCGCTTTCCTTGAAAATTATTATCCGACTCTCTATCTCTACGGCTCTGCACAGCGTGAAGACCAGGCAGCGAAGATTCGAATTGCGTACGGCCGAGAGAAGGACGCAAAGAGCCGGCCGGAGAAAGGCGAGGGCGACTGGAAGTGTATGATGGTAAGTGGATAAAGTTATCACAAGGTGATGGATGGGGTGTTGACCGTTGTAGTGCCTACTCATGAACTATTCCCATCGTATGCAGTGCTTCCGCTGCCAGGCTTCCAGACCAGGTGAGTTGTTTTTGTGTCTTGTCATTAGTTTGAGGGCGGGCTTATTGAAAACCATTAGATCCTACCGTTATTGTCCCTGATGATGATGAGGAGCCATCTGTCTTTCAGAACATTGGGGACAGCGATGTGTCATCCGACAATACTCCGTCTCAATTCCTGCTCGTGCGTGGACTCGAAGCAAGCGTGTCTGAAGAGCTTCTCGCAAAGGGCGTGGCCAAACTGTATAAAGCCGGTGGCGACCCTCAATCACAAACCCAAAGCGCCTCGGCGAAGAAATCAACCAGTAAAGTGGCATCAACGACTAGTGACGGCAACCTCGGCGCCAGGGAGGGCAGCATCAGGCGAGTGCTTCTCGTACGGGATAGAAAATCAAACGACAGCTGGAAGTACGGTTTTGCAGAATTTGCTGCAGTTGAGGTGAGAGGCCATTCAAACTCTGTCATTTGGTAGTGGCTGACCATATATCAGGATGCGCAAGCTGCTTTGACCAAATACAATTCGCTGGATAAATTCACCATCGCTTCTAGGCCAGTAATGATTAGCTATATCCACGCTGGCGTCTTCGTTCCTGTTCTAAACCCTACTCCGGCAATTGATCGGTTCACCTTCAGCCCTCTCAGCAATGCCGCAATGAAGCTCGCGTACTGGGATGAAGGCGCCTATCTCACCGAACTCACAGTGAATGCCGCTCCTGAGCCAAGCATAACGAGCGCGGACGAAGTTTCGAGGCGAGCTGCAGCAGCTGAAAAGGAAGGCTTGGTCAAGAACAAAGATGTTGAGAAGTCGAAGAAACGCAAGGCCGAATCGACTCCCGTTACCAGCACCAAAAAGGTAAATTTTCCTTTGTTTTGTTATCCTTGATCATTGGAGAGACTGACATTGCCAAGGCCGTTCCTTCGCATCTCCAATTCTGGCGTGAAAGGCATGTTGAGCTGCACGGTGGTCCTGCTGCGGCGACTGCAATTCAAGAAGGGACCGTACCTGCGAGCGACCCGACGAAAATCACTGAGAAGACACCCGAGCCAGAAAAATCGGACCAGAGCCCTCCCACGCAATCGTTTGCCGATTTGGAGCGAAGCTGCTGTCTATTATGCTCTCGCCAGTTCAAGACGTCTGCGGAAGTCAACAAGCATGAGAGACTCAGTCAGCTTCATCGTGACAATCTCAAAAACGAAGAATTAAAGGAAAAAGCTCTCGAGAAGCTCGCAAAGAGAGGACTCACTTCCCTGTCACCCGCCAACTCTACGGCCGAATACCGGGATCGTGCCAAAGAACGACGTGAAGTTTATAGTCAGCCTAAGAAGCCCTCTGCACCCCAGCAAAAGCCTGCTCGTCCAGCCCAAGCACCATCGGCAGCCTCACCTTCTGCAGCAAAGGAAACCGCAAAGGTCGAAGAAGAAGACGAGGAACCTGTAGTCAAGTCCAAGGGTGCCGCTTTGCTTGGAAAGATGGGCTGGACTGCTGGAGAAGGTCTTGGTGCAGAAGGGACTGGCAGGACCGCGCCCATCCAGACAGACGTCTATGTCCAGGGCGTCGGTCTCGGTGCAGAAGGTGGCAAGGTAGGAGATGCCGTAGATGAAGCTAATCGTAAGACGAAAGGTGGATATGCGGATTTCTTAGAACGGACCAAGGACAAAGCCAAGGAGCGATTCGAACGGATGGCTTAACTGCCAGTCTCGTTAGTCAATTACAATCACTCCTACTGGTATTGACCCAGTCTGCTGAATCCTTGACTGATTCTTCTTATAATTCTCTTACTGTCCTCTTTCACTTACTATGTGTTGTCATTTTTTTTCTCTGTCATGGATTTTATATTCCTCCTGTCAAGCAATGTTCATGGCGAAAATGGCAAATTTGTTTTCACGTCATGGCATCTGTAAAAGGTCGCACAACTACCTCACTGCACTGAATTAATGCCCTAGACCTACAGTATTAAGCGAAATTTATTACAGTTTTACTTTGCACAATATGAGGTTGAATTTGTGAAGTAGTTGTATTTCCCTTGTGGGTTTTACAGCCTATCTGCTCAATTAAAAATTGGACAAACCGCTCTCTAATGGCTCTCTGAGCATGAAAAGTGCCAACCAATGCACGCTCGCAAATTTGAACAGGCTTTCCGTCTTCAATGGTCATGAACAAAGCCTTGAGAGTCCCCTGCTTCATTCATACTCAGACTCTAGGGGCTAGTTCCATGCTTGAAAACTGTGAGAACAGCGTGTCACTTGGAAGCATGAATCTGTCACTGGTCTAGCTGTCAGACCGATACATAGAAGCAGCAGCAATAGCTACTGCATCACAACCATCTTGGAGCTTGACGCGTGGCACAGCTGTTGCGCTTGAACATAAGTATCAAGCCTGGAGGTATACCTTTGCCTCATCTGCCTTCTGGGCTCGTCTTTGCTGTCGCTCAGAAAGGGTTTTGACCGTCCGCTGATACTTGGGCTGCCAGGCCAAAATAATATCCAAACACACGGGATATAGCAAGAATAGGTTTGGATGGGACAAGTCCAAGGAGGCTGTATTGTTTCTTGCCAGGCCTGGCCATCTCTTTGCAAACGAGCATGGAGCTCCACGTGGGGAGAAGAGATGACTTGCCAACAAGGATGGGCTCCGGCCGAAGGGGAAGACACTTGCCCAGTACAGACTTCCCTGAAGAATGGGTGAAAATGGAGGTGAATGCCCAGGATAGGCACCCTCCATACAATGGCAGACCAGGCGGATAATAATGCTGCCTCAACTAGCAAATCCATCTTCTGCCAATCGTCGTGCCTCGTACTCTGCTCCCTCAAAGACATCAAGTGCTACTCCTCTCTTCTGCGTCTCTGCAATGACGACGCCTGTCCACTTCTTGACAAGTGGGTGAGAAGATGCTACGTCTTCAAAGGTATATTCTCCCTCTCCGACTCCGTTTGCTTCCTCGTTGCCCCCTTTTGAACCGCCTGAATGGCTCGAATCCTTGCCATGCGCAGACCCATGTGCAAGTGCATCCGCATGACTCCCACCGGCAGCACCGACAACAACATCAAACAACCAGATCCCATCAGGTCCAAAGTACTTCTTCCCAAACACGTTCTCGGTTTTCAAATCCTCATTCGCATCGTCAAGAAGCTTGCGCATCTTCTTTGATTCGGTTTCCTCTCCCTTTCCTCCTTCTTCCTCCCTTCCGCTGTCCTGGCCTACCGAGCTGCCATTACCCACCAAGCCCACCTCTTGCTGTTCACTCTGGTCTTCCACACCGGAACCAACTCGACGAGCATGTCCACTACTCCCCTTCTCCTTCTCTCCCTTTGCATTACGACCACTCTTCTCCAATGCAATCCAAAGTCCTTCTAGTGCGCCCAAGATCCACCCAATTCGCAACCCAATGACCGCGCCCAATGCATACCCCTCGTCGAATCCAGCTTGAATGTACTCATTCTTGGCGAACGCAATTCCGTCTCGATATCCCGCTGTGCTATGGACGCTGCGTAGTCGCGGAATGTCCGACGGGGCATTGGCGTCGACTTTGGACTCCGAACCAACTTGCGAATTTGTAGCTTTTTTCGTTGGGGTGTCTGTGCTCGGGACAGTGTCTAAAAAGTCCGAGTTCAAGTCATAGTCGTAGCCGGGCACATCTCGAGTCCTCGCCGATTCATGGGCAAATGAAGGCGGCGGAGAGCCCGAGTCGGAGTAGAATACGTCGTCGTCCATGGCTTTCTCTTCTTCCTTTCTTTCTGTGTTTTGCCTGGTGTGCGGTTTTCTTTTATTCCTCTTGATCGAATGCCGTAATAAATGCCCGCCAATTGCGCTGTATAAAATATATATTTGCGCTCAACGGTGGTATGTTTCCTGGCAGAGTAGAGCTGTTACCCGTACCCCAATTGCGAAAGCTTCACAGCGAAAAGTGACCCTGTACAATTCTTCTTATGTCGGCGCCTGTGATCCTACTATCCTGCTGTCAAAGCTGTCCTGCTGTATTTTATATATATTTTCCTGCTCCGCCAGAAAGTGCCTATACACAACTTTCCCGCGGGGTCGTCCGGGGCGCCAAAATATTTTGTTTGGTCCGAAGCGTCCGACTAATCCACCCGCGGTCCGCCTTACCAATCAACCCGGCATTACCTCCCTCGTCCGTACGGCAGCAGCATTCAACTTGAAAATCCGTGCAGATATATATTTCGTTAATGCAAAGGAATTCAACAACAACGGGTCGATTGGTCTAGTGGTATGATTCTCGCTTAGGGAGTCGGAGCGCGAGTTCCTTCTCAAAACCCTGAGTTTCAATTTGCGAGAGGTCCCGGATTCGATCTCCGGATCGACCCTTTTTTTGTCTTTTTGTCTTTTTTTTGTCTTTTTTTCCCTTCATTCTTTTTGGTTATGGTTTCTTTTCTTTTTTTTTTGTGGTCATCGCTTCTCATGTTATGCAAGTTAAAATTTTTTATTTGAACATCGGTAAGGTCAATTGCTTTGTTCTGATCTTTTCGCGGTCTACGGGAAGTCGCAACAAAGGATAGAATTTTGTAAACCGGTTGGTTGTGGTCTGCTTGTTACAAATATCTTCTTTTTTGGCTGTGGGACAACTGGGACAACGGAACGACAGGACGACAAGACGATAGGACCGGAGCTTGGGGAGACAAACCCTGATTTAAAATTACTCCGTACCGGCACTGTGGTAACGGGGTTGACGGCAACACGGCAGGTGACGGAAAGGTGCTACGTAGGTAGGGAGTAGGGAAATTCGGAAGTAAAAAAACCCAAACGACCAGGGTGCAAAGCAACCTTGTTTTTTCCACGTCCGACGACAATTGTCCAAATTACTGGATTCAGCAAAGATTGTCACTTTTGTGTTCCTTGTGTTCCAGGGGTGCGTGACGCCATGTTGGCCATGGGGGACATGGGGGGGAAGTTTTGGGGCCAAGGATCAAGGGACGGGTGGAGGAGGGGTTTGGTGAACAAGGGTAAGGGTTCTTTCTTAGTTTGGCAGGGAAAGATGTTTTCGATCTTGTGCGACACGGTGGCTTTGGGGGCTTGTGTTTTTGAGGTTACACAAGGGAAATGTGGTGTCACGGGGGCCCTGGGGCTCTCATGCTTCCCCCCTGGCCGATCTCGGGGGAGGTGTGCCCGAAATGGAAATGGAAGTACCTAAGGATAGAAGAAACATGGGTTGTAATAAACGACACAAATGAAATAGGCGGCCAAGGAAGAAATCTGTGGGAGAGAAGCCAAGGAAATAAAATAAAAAAGATAATGTTGAGGAAGATTAAACAAAAGAGTTCACGTCTCAAAACTTGGGACTCGGTTGAAGGGTAATCTAATACGACTAAGAGCGATGTAAGTATCTACCTAAAGGTAAATTGGTAAATAGCTGAGGTAGAAGCAAAGGTATCTCATCTATATTGAATTAAATACTATTATCAAATATCCCGTGAGAAATGACCTCGGGAATTGGGATATGAGAGAAGAAGAGGAATAAGAAGAGACTGTATTACATCGTGTCGTAGATCGTGATCGTGATCGTGAGATCATAACGCCGTTAATCAATCGCTTCGTGAGGATGAAACCAAGCGTTGTCGGCTCTTGAAAAAGCAAAAAGGATATAGCTGCGCTGATTGTGGTATACAGATGATGCGCGAGAAGGGCCCGAGAAATGTAACCGTGAAATAAAATGCCGCAAGAAAATATTGATATATAGTGAGAGAAAAGCGAACAGATATGAAAAGAGCAAGGTATAAGTAGCAAAATTGGGATTCAAAAATGCCATGCGATGCATTGCAATGCAGTTGGCGAAAGCGGGAGAGGGAAGTCTGCACTATCCTCCTGTCGTGATAATCATCTCTGGCGCACCCGGCCGCTGCAATCGATCGATACCCAAATGCTCTCGGCCATCGCGGCCGAGGTAGACACCAAAAGCGTACAAAGGAATAGCTGTTTCCCTTGGCGGGGCGCTCAAGAGTCTAGTGACTAGGTCTGTCTTACTCTTGGGTTCTTTAAACGCAAGATCGCCCAGTAGCGGGCTTTGATAGACGAAGCTGATGATTTCTGCAAGGGTTGCGATGCCATGTGGCAGGTAACGCTTCTTGGTCGGCCAGATACAGGCCAGCGAAAGCACGTAGATGATGAGGAAAACAATAATGGCATAAAAGGCCGACAAATCTGCAGCCATGCGGACCTGGGAGTCGTCGACGAACAATTCGGCCCAGAACACGCCACCTGCCAAAACGGGCAGTGTAACAGAGACGATACTCATGAATGAGAACCACGCCACTTTCGAGTGGCCTGAAATTACCGCTTTGACGGTTACTTCAATGGGAAAGCAGCTGGTATAGTCGAGAAGCAGGCTCTTTTCAGCATTTACACCATTGGGGTTAGCCAGATTGGCGTACGGCTGAAGAGCGCGGAAATACATGTCGATTGGCTGCCAGGCAAGGAAGAGAATGGTTCCAAGGAGGGAAGGGAGGAAGCTATAGAGGAAATTGGCAGAAGAAAAGATTTCGGAATTGGGTGCCGCAGGAAGTAAAGGTAACCAGCCGTGTTTGATTGCGTTCTTGACGAAGCTGACGACGAGGAACGCGATGAGTAAGGCAAAGCCGATGACAATCCAAGAGATTACCCAGCCCGTCCGGAGGAACCAAGGCGTCCATCGGTACCGGATGTGGGAAGAATATATATCCCGTCGCAGGGATTCATTGGTGGACGATCTCACAGGACGCTGTCTCTCGGGATCGAAATCCTGTTGAAGGCGTGCGTCTGTCGGCTTCTCAACCAGCCTACCTTGCTGAACAGAGTAGCGACGAGTGTGAGGTCCTTCCTCCCCAATGGCGTAAAAGACATCGGCAGGTCTCTCAGAAGTCTTCCAATATCCGAGCCTGTTGCTATTATAGCTGAATCGTTTGCCTACATTCTTTCGACTCATTATTTCCGATTTTGTATAATTGTCCAGAATGTTGGACTGCTGGAGCAAAACTAGAACATCTGCAAGCGAGGATGGGTCCCACCGCAGGCCAGTCGATCTTCGGAAAAAATACGCTGCTATTGCCACGAGTGCAATCGATAGAAGCGCGTACAAGGCTACCAAGGTCCATACGACCGGCTGCACCGTCGACCATCGCCAAACGCCTTGGTCTGAGAGGTACCGCACCTGGAAGAGAGAACACTGCAGAGGCAGCGTAAACACGGAGAGCCAGAACACGGAAAAGCACGCCCCAAGAAATACATGGCCATTCCGAAAGTAGGCAAACTGCGGCAGAAGAAACCGCGTTTGGAAGAGTGGTGTGAACAGAGCGCCCGTTCGTTTCCCCAAGGCTGTGGATGCCATGCTTACAAAGGGCAAAACGCGGCAAGCTGCCGTCTGGAGGGCAAAGAGCCACAGCAAAATAACCGCAGCAAGCATTTGCGGTAGGAATTGAAACACAAAGTACCGCCCTCCTCCCAGCCCTTTATAGTCCCAGAGGCCATGATGCTTATTCGACCAGACACCGCAGAATATCAAGCCTGCAAGCATAAGAAGACAGCAAAATAAAAGGGCTCCAACAGCGACTGGGCGGAGTATGCCAGGCAAGAAATTTAAATGAGGATATCTTAACGAGTTTGCAGGCGTATCAATAGGAACAAACACTTCACGACCATCTAGGATAATCAGCAAGAGGAACTTTTCGTATTTTCAAAGCTGCCGAGGACTTACAAGATTCTGGATCCCTTTCTTCCTGGCGAGAATGAGGTCCTCGTCGGGGATTTCGAACAGATGAAAGGTAACCCAGCCCTTCATCGTGTATTAATCGATCAACGGGATAGTCTTCACTTGGTCGCGAATTTCCATTATGTGGCTCGGGCTCTTCTTCGTCTCGCGTTAACTGATCAATGGCAAATCTGATATAGGGAGTATCGTCCATTCCAGGCGTTGGCTGATTCCGGTCCGCATCGACTGGTCTCCTAGATGAACGACTGGAGGAATGGCGAGCGGTTCGTTGCGAGCTCGGAACCGCGCGCACTGTAGAGGGTATTTGAAGATTGGACGGCATTCTCATCACGTCCCTTGCCGACAATGATTCCGGCTCTGACAATGGGTCCTCGTATATGGTGGCTGGGGAGAGGCGTGAAGGTGAACGACATGACACTACCGTACTTCGGTCGCCGTCTTGACTTGAGAGATCGTTGCCCGACTCCGAGAAAGAGTAAAAATCATCCGAAGCAGCGATAGATTGCCTCGAGACACTGTGTAGAAGCTGCGGTTGACTGACTGTCAACGCAAAAGAAGAGGAGAAGGAAAAATCAATGGGATGTTTCAGCCTAGCACGAAGCGGGGGAAAGACATACCGTTCACTGAGTGAAGCTTGGGACTCTCCGAGTTCATGTCTCCTTTGAGCTCAACACGACGACGACGCGTGGTATGCTCCAGACACTTGACAAAGCATGACGGCAAGCGTTTCGTCAGGAACGTGTGTAACTATGCTATTCAATTATACTTTTGCTCCTGAACCCTTCCCAACATGAGGAGGGCCGTGGGAGGCTGGAAGTGGTCGGACAGCGTGGCTGGTGATCGACAGCCTGCTATTGGACGACCATCTCCCAGCCATTTCATTTCTGCAGGTACTGTACAGTAATTGTACAGCAAAAACAGCGCCATGAACCGGTACAGAATATATTTGGCGATACAATGCCGGGATCTAATTCCTCTTTCCCTTGTCCTTCCGACGTCTTTTTCATCAAATAATACGCAGGGGACGAAGAATTGTTGCTCTCATGGCTGCGGGCCCTGATGCGTGTTGACCAGTTGTAGTTTCATCTGCTGCGTCACAAAACGGAAGCGACATTGCACGGACCATTGGGCCTGTCCTGGTCTGTGCAATCATATGCGGTACAAGTAGACTAAAGTCCCAGAACTCCCTTATGTCATTGTATCACTGGACAAGCAAAGTACTGCTACTATCCAGTACTCCTAGTGCAAGGACCCTGAAATGATCGGTGAGCCGGAACCCGTCTTCCATCTATCCGCCCTGCCCCTAGCCCCAATTTGTAACTAGTACGAACTGAGACACCTCGGTCCATCATTAAAGCAAAAGCAGAGCAAAAGCTCAGCTGTTCCATTCGCTCTCATCTACAATTGATATTTGGTGATTTTCTATCACCTTTGATTTACTGGTGTTCAGATATACGATAGTGTGATTAATCCTACTCCTAGCAACCCACATCTCGGTTATCCCGCAACAGCTAGAAATTATAAAAAAGTTATAAGCCAACGGAATCTAGATAATCTTATGAAATAATGATTTGATTTCGCTAAAAGCCATACCAAGGATTGCTGACTTGAACTTAATCAAGTATTATAATAAAGCTAGATTGCAAGACTTATGAAGAGGTTCAAGTGTAGGGCGGTTGACCGACTACGTCCCTCTGAAGCTTGAGTGCAAACACAATGATTCGAGGCTGTCTTTAATGCCTGACCGTAAGCTAATAAATCACCCAGTTGTCTTGGCCGTCGTCCAGAAAAATGATACTTTGTGCATTTTTAGCCTTCTTATGATCTTAGTCTCAGATTGAATACGGTGGTTCAGCGCCTCGCACAAAGGGAATCCGGTAGGAGAAAAACTTGGGTAGCGCCGCCACCACCACGGGATTGTACGGCCCCAGCTTTATCCTATCATCATCCAGCTGAAATGCATCCAGCAGTGTCCCGAGCATGAGTGCTATCTGGACGACTTCCCCATTGGTGTCCAAGAGGGTGCGGATGACCTGTGGGGCGCCATTGTAGATTTCCTCCCAAAATCCCCGCTCCGAGGCATCAAAATCGGGCGGCATGTAGAATTTTCTCTCTGCGAATTCGCCGGCAAAGGTGTGGATGCGGCAGAGACCCATGCCAAAGGGCAGGGGTTGGGAGAGCTCCCAGTCGATGATGCCAGATACCTCGCAATTCTCGTCAAGGAGGATGTTGACCTCGTTGAGGTCAAAGTGAGAAACGAACAATGGGAGATGCTCTAGCCGATCTAGCTTTCCCAGCAAGTCGCTTCCCATATGATAAAACTGGCGGATCTGGTCGTCATTCGAGGAAAGGATGAGCTCGAGATGGGGCCGAAGTTTCGTCTTCACGACGGCTTCGCTATTGCTTCCCTCGATAAGTCCCCGAGATAGTATCCTGCCCAAGGAACGATTGGTGACGACTCGAATTGCTGACATGCGGCCGGCTGCGCTGTCCATCCATATCTTGCCCGGCATATACGTCATCCAGTAAGTCCATATACCATCACGCTCAAGCTTTTCATTTGCTATGAGACCGATTTCGGGTACGACCGGCCCTAGTATTTGACGAGCAATTTTGAAAGGCTCCATGTCTAGTTGCTCGAGCCGAAATTGGATGACAAGCTTCTCACCGGTCTTTAGTGTTACGATCATTGTTCTGCTGAAGAACCCTTGGATGTCTGGGCTGTGTGCCTCCTTGGCAGTAGTGGAAAAATGAGAGGATGCTAGCTCTAGTGCCTTCTTTATCTGCTTTTGTTTAGTGTTTAGACATTTTGGCATGTCAGAATCAGAGGTAATTTCAATAGCCATTGTGTGATCTTGTGATGATGTTTAAGCTTTAAAGGTAAAGTGACAGACTTGAGTTTAATACTTTAAGTATATAGAAAGAGGTATTTAATAATTTATAGGTAAGCTCGGCAGATAGATTGGAGGGTAGACTAGGTAACTCCTGCTATTAATTGTATAATTTTTATACATTACATTATAATATATCAAAACCATGTACTTAATATATATATATAATACATATAGTTAATAAATAATTATATAAGTTAAAATTATATACAGTATAAACGGAGGGATCGAAGGTGCGGGCTCGACATGCTGACCAATCTTTGACCAATTCATAATATTCTTTTGGATTTGAAGCATATTTGCCACATTTGTTTGTTCGAGGCATCCTGCTTTCCATTTTGACGAAGCACCGTTCAGTGAGTGGTTGGGGCTCGAACGTTTGTTCAAAGCGCTCGACCTGACAGACGAATTGTTTATTTCTTTCCTAATAGGGTATTGGTGCCGGTATGCTCAGACCGGCGTAACGGTGGTCTGGGTCTAGTACAAAATGCTATCCTTAGTGTACAGTTGTTTTTTTACAAAAAGACCGAAGATCACCGGTGTTTATCGGCCCTAGCGGACACTCTGAGAAGGGGTTACACGAACCTCGTTTTCAGTACCGATCGCCCGGTTCACGACTGCCACGACACTCACTGATCTAGGGATGATGCAGTTGAAAGACATCTTGGGAAGCTTGAATGCAACAGTCTGCGGCTTGTACCACATCTTTGACCGCTTGAAACATATACAACCCCGCCTGATGATCGTTACAGAAAATCTAGATGATCATACGCCACTGCGGGCAAAAGACCGGGAGCCCCGCGCCCCGGTGCTTCTGCCTTGGCAAGGTTGCATCGGATTGCTACTCAGCAGATCGCCTTGTGCGCGGGTGAATGCATTCTTGTGCTATTCCAATGAATACAACCTTGCAACGTCCTGAATCATAACAATTGAAGATCTGCTTTTACTTTTAGCCTCCCCGGATCCTCCTCAACGCAAAATAAATATCTTTACATACCTCCGTTCATTCATCATTTCCCCTTATTTCAAGTACAGCATGAAAGCCGAAATCTTCTTTTGCGCCTTGTTTGCCGACATTCTGTCTGCAAACATAATCTTTAACCACGTCACTCTCTTCTGTGAGCCTGACGAGGTGAATTTCCATCAATGTTTGCGTGGACAAATATGCTCACATGACGGAGTGTATGCGCCGAAATTTTGTGACCCTATTATGGAGTGTTAGCTGAAATATACAGTTGCGGAGCGCCACCAATACATATGAGCCGCCTCCCTCGAGCTCGCGAGGGCAGGACCTTGTGGAACCCTGCAATGAATCTTGCCCGAAGGGATAATGAGAATTATTCAACAGATGGAACTTGCGGACCGGATCACGGCAATACAATATGCGATCCTGATAGCACAGTATATAGTGGGACATGCTGCTCGCAATACGGCTGGTGTGGGAACACCGAAGCCTATTGTGGAAGCGGATGTATCTCTGGTTGCACGACATCGTCATCTTCATCGGTCGCTGCTGATCCTCCGACAACCGCGATTGCAGCTGCAGCAGCAACATCTGGGGAGCCGGTCCTCGGAAAACCTACGACAATTGCAGGTGCCGCTGCCACTGGCGCAGTCACTACCGATGGTACTTGCGGTGCAGCCAACGGCGGAACAGTCTGCGGTGATTGGCCTCAAGGTAGTTGCTGTAGCATGTATGGATGTAAGTGGGGTATTGGTGATTATGCAGAGAACCGATCTAATATGATTGAGTAGACTGCGGAAACACGACAAGCCACTGCGGCGATGGGTGTCAATCTGGTCCCTGCCTTGGTCCCGCGGTGGCTCCAGCCCCAGGACCGAGTGCAGCTCCGGAGAATCCTAACCCGGGAAGCTTTGCTGTAGTGGGACAATCAGGTGTTCCAGCTATGCATGCCGGTCTGCTTCCAAATGGTCGTGTAGTGTTTCTCGACAAAATTGAGAATTATACGCAGTTGACATTAGCGGATGGACAATATGCCTACTCATCCGAATATGATCCAGCTACAAATCTCGTCGTGCCTCTAGCCTATAAGACCAATGCCTTCTGCGCTGGAGGTGCTTTTCTGCCGGACGGGAGATTCCTGTCTCTTGGGGGTAACGCGCCCCTAGACTTTATAGATCCCACTGTTGGTGATGGGTTCAATGCCATTCGATATTTGCAGAGATCAGCTACCGACGCAAGCTTGAATGGTCAGGATTGGAGTGAGCCGGGCAATAAACTGGCCAGCAATCGTTGGTACCCATCTGCTCAAACGATGCCTGATGGATCTATATTCGTTGCGTCTGGAAGCCTCAATGGACTGGACCCGACAGTTCCAGCAAATAACAATCCAACTTATGAGCTGTTGAGCGCCGAGGGCATTTCCAGCGGAGAGAATATTGGAATGGATATCCTTGTCAAGAACCAACCATACTATGTGAGTACATCAACACTAGGATAATAGAAATAGGCTAACTTCGCACTCACAGATGTATCCATTTATCCATTTGCTTCAAGATGGTTCACTCTTCGTGTTTGTTTCGAAGAGCTCAGAGTTGTTTGATGTCGGGACCAACACGACGATCAAATCATTTCCTGACCTTGCTGGCGACTACAGAACCTATCCTAACACCGGTGGTAGTGTGCTTCTGCCACTCTCGAGCGAGAATGGATGGGATCCGGACATTATCATCTGCGGCGGCGGAGCATACCAGGACATTACCAGCCCTACGGATCCCAGCTGCGGCAGAATTCAGCCTTTGTCGACAAACCCAACCTGGGAGATGGACTCAATGCCGGAAGGACGTGGAATGGTTGAAGGAACACTGCTTCCTGACGGGACTGTGCTATTCGTTAATGGGTGCAATCAAGGTGCCCAAGGATTTGGACTTGCCACTGATCCCACGTTTGAAGTTCTAATATACGATCCGACGAAAACCCTTGGACAGCGTTTCTCAACTGGTGCCTCGTCAACCATTGCACGCTTGTATCACTCAGTTGCTTTGCTCCTTCTGGATGGAACGCTTATGATTGCGGGATCAAATCCTGTACAGATGCCAATTCTGGCACCAGATGCTGCTAATCCGTATGTAACAGAATTTCGAGTGGAAATCTGTAAGTGCTGCTCCTATGAACCGTTCCCTTTTAGCTCGATAGGCGTCTAGATGAGAACACTTTTTGGCTAAGAATTGGTTAGATACACCGCCATACCTTCAGGGAGACAATGCAAACAACCGACCGACAGATGTTGAGCTTTCAAGCACTAGTCTCAGTGCTGACGGCAGCGAATACACAGTCAGCTTCAATGCCCCAGGCGGAGCACAGGCTGTGAAAGTGGCACTTTACCATGGCGGATTTGTCACGCACTCACTGCACATGAACCATCGTATGCTTTTCCTAGACAACACCGGGTTCAACCAAGGCTCAACTGCACAAACTCTCACAGTTTCTATGCCTCCAAACAAGAATCTGGCACCTCCTGGACCATACGTCATCTATGTTGTGGTCGATGGTGTGCCTGCCATAGGCCAGTTTGTCATGGTGGCATAGTGCACAATGCAGTGTAGCGAGTTTCTAGGGTTTATTGAACTAACTGACATGTTAATGGCGCGCTGGAAATTAGGCGAAATTAGCTAAAGAATACCCCCAAAGATCGGCAGTTGGTGATTATTGTGACAGCACAGAAAGTAGGTACGTTTGGGCCTTGGATTCTACGTTAAAAAGAGCAATTTCTGGCTATAATTTTAAAATAAAATTTGTCTCCAAAGCATGAAATGCCCGAATATACACAGGAAATTGGTAGCCAACACAGGCTAAAATAAATTCAGAATGCTCAATGTACGTAGTTTAATACAGAGTCAATCAACCCGCTAGCAGTCTACAGATGGTCCGACGGATCTATACTTTTAAGAAATATCTGAATCATGATCCCGATGTACCTGGAAATCCCCCCTAGAAAATGCAAAATCCTATTGCTTTTCTTCCTTCTTCCTTAATACGGCATGATATACGTAATGATATATTTCTGTTTATAACCCTGTTGCAAATCCACTTATGAGCATGTACGGACTAAAAGCCTGCCCGTTTTATTTTTGCATTCCTTCTCCGAACCCTCTTAAGCTCTGGCTAGTAGATATCATAGTCGTGTCAACGAGAACATAGTAGAGTCTAACCCTCCATCCCTCTAGAGCGCGCCTCCATCCAGCGGTAATTTTTAACCACTGCCTCCCTTCACCCATTTCGCTATTCATTTACCCATTCATGCATCGTAATATTCAAGCATAAGGTGGATACTTTATATTCATGCATCGATTCATTCATTTCATTCATTCGATCATTCTAATTATTTTCTGATTTTTAAGTTACCTGCCAAATTCACAAAACCACCATCGCTCAAATATAAAACACCGCCGGCGCCACGCGAAAAACCCTGCTTCCTTTTATTTCCATCCTTTCACACAAATTGCATTCCTTTCTTTCTTTCTCCCTTTCTTTTCTTTTTTTTCATAACCAAGACCTATTCGGAACAATATGAATACGGGCAGGAAAAAAAATTAGAACAACCAAAGCAACCGATAAGTGAAAGAGAAATTTCGAAGCCGTTGACTCAGAATACTCTGCGACATCCATATATTCGTGGCGGAATCGCCGGCGAAAAAGCAAAAGCTTGGCATGGGGTGGAAGAGAAGGCAGCGTCATGCGCCAACACAGGAGACTTGCCGCTCCGCTGTGTTCTGACCCTCGAAATATAACACACCCTGAAAAGACAACTTCTACGAATCATGGCTTCTTACCCAACTATCCGAACTTACAGTTAAAACCCTTACCAAATAAATAGCGCGGATCTAGTATCCTCGACTACCCACTTCTTAACCATAGTAGCTCCGCCGCCCCGCCGGTTCGGTCCGAGATTCTCCACTGACGTCGGACATGCGGGGTGCTTGACAGCGGCCCTAGAGATTGGCATTCGTAAGAAGCATTTCCCTCCCCTATCCATCACTTTCTCCTCCCCTGCCTGCCCTCGTGCTCGGACCCGCTACAGTACAAGAGCCCACGAACCGTTGGGGGTGGGGGAGGGGGCTGTGTGGTTTACAAATAGCCCCGACTTGGGAAAGAAAGGCTGACTTGATATGCATTATTGCTGCGAAGTGAAGGCGTATCGCCGGGCTATTTTGAAGGTCTGGCTGGTCAATTGCTACGGTTTCCATCAGGCAGCAAAAAGCACAGTCAACCGTCCACCAAAGGGATTTCGCCACCCTGTAAATGGGTCATTTGGTGCGCGAAGCGTTCTCTCTTCCTCAAATGACTGGCCAGGAGAATTGCGGACCCATGTCGAACGGCAAGACAAGACCAGGAATGGAGCGCTTAAAATGATCGATTTGAAATCTTACCGGATCAAGCTTTCCTCTCCGAATGCTTGTTTCTAAACCAGTGTCCATACATCAAAATTAGAAGGATGGAAAGAGTGTTATTGTTGCTAATGACACTGGCAAGATGTCAATATAAATGAAGCCTTTCTGCTCGCGGCTTCTGCTAACATGTTATCCAACACAACCCAGACACATTTTATGACATTTGAATCAATCGTTAAAATAGATTCAGACTTTAAAAGAGAAGTCGACTCTATCGATAATCTTTCGCTTTCTGATCTTCATGTCGCTGATCAAGACTCCTTACCTCTATTACCTCTGGGAAAAAGCCCAAAAGAGCCCATACGAGGCACAGTCGTCGGCATTCTGGGCATATGCTCTGAAAGAAATTTTCTTCCATGGCCCAGAATGGGCAATATCTCCCGAGCAGCCACCAGCGGAGAGGGATGACAGACGACGGGTAGATATCAAAATCACCAACATGACTGCCCACGAAGATGGGCAGGTCACTGGCCGAACAATCTGCATGGTGGAGAGTGAAGAACCCTTCGGGAGCAAAATCACTTATTTTGGAGGTTGAAGCGCAAGCGAGAGAAGCTTGCAACCAAGTCATGGCAGCAGGACAGCCCTTCTGCTACGCAATAACGACGATCGGCACAACGATTCGATGCTGGAGACTTCCATCTCAAAATGACCCACTCCGCCCACTTTACGGGAGCAATTTGGCTGGGGAAAAATCCGAATACCGTGAAATTAACTCGACCGATGGCGGGGATATCCAGATGGCAATAGAGGCAATGAAACACGGATTGGGGTATTAACAATGTCACAGCGGCAGCTCGAACGTGCTATTACAGAAGTCTCGTTCCATCAGCCGCAACATAAGGGAATTCTTGTGGAAAGTCTACAATAGGAAGGGTTGAAAATATTGTAGAAGGAGCTTAGAAATCATTTAGTTGAAATCCAGTATTCCACAAACAGAAGCTTGTGGGCATAATTGAGAAACATGTCAGACGTCACTTTATCAGGAACCTTGACGAGCTCTGTGACTTGTGTCAGAAACCTAGTATCCTCTTTAGAATCGACATAGCTCGTCTCGCGGTACCCATCGAGACGAAAGAGTCCAAACGATGTCCATACACCTCGGGATCGGTCTTTGACCATAAATCCGACAAGTTTACCGTCTTTGCTCGGATACCTGCACGTTTCAACTGCGAGGATATCACTCAGCTGGACTTTCACCTTATAATTTTCCAACACCGCTGGTATTTGCGCTAGAGGCGTAGGACTAACATGACAGCCAAAAAGTTGAATTTCATGGGACTGGGGATACCGTTCGCATTCGTCGATGGCGATCTGAAAGCCCGCTTCCGATCTTTTAATTTCGGTGTACGTCTTATGCGCCATAAGACCGTGCGAAGGACATAGAATTCGGCCCTCGCTCGTGCCAAACTGCGTCTTTTTGTCAGCCGAGGCCCGATCTCTATCCTGATTGTGATTTATTACATACTATGAAATTCTTCTCAAAGCCAATCTTCTGTGTGCGAATCCAAAGAGTACTAACGCGCTCGGCTTCGCGCAGACGGTAGTATGTCCAGGACGCTTGAAAACGCATGGCTGCTTCGAATTCCTCGTAGAATGAATGTTGGGATTCGTCCTTTACCGGCCATATGCCCAGTGTACAGGCTGCAGTGGTCGCTACGGCAATGCCACATAAAGCTGCTCCTATATCCAAAGTCCTCATCCTAGGAATGTGCCCCATACAAGTCATCCACGAGCGTGCTGAACTCGAAATACTCATATCAGAGCAACCATTGATTCCAGGGGTATCAAAGACTTCAGAGATATAATAGATGTTCATATCGGCTGCTTTGGGGTCATTCCAGCAGACTGCCTGCACGGGCGAATCATCGCTGGTACGGATGTATCGTAATTTCAGCTTCTACGCAATGCACATGGTTAATTTGAATTGACCAAGACGACATGTCCAGATGCTTACATCCCAGTATAACTTGACCTGATGCGTAGGTTCGAGGCGTAATCTTTGCCACCAAAGATCGTTTACCACTTCCGGAAACTTTTGCTGTATGATTCGCACTCCCCGGGCATCCATGCCTACCCAGAATTCTGTGCCTAAATGGTGCTTGATTGGGGGCTGAGAAACAGCATTCGACAGATACCGTCGACCTTCGAGCATGCGTGTTTCGAAGTACAAGTTCGAGGCCGAAAGTGTCGAAGGGTGGCAAGGGGCTGATGCAGAGGCTGCGAGACTGAGAAAAGCCCATTGCTGGGATATGAGACTGTCCAAGGCATAGTGAAGAATCATTCTCCACAATTCTGATGGCAAGGCAGGACAGATGTTTCGTTGAAAGTAAGATCCAAAATGGGCAAGCCAGTATTGTTTCCGCTCGCGCTGAAAGCGCCGTGACGGGACATATCTGAATGCTGAACACCGCGCGAGGGCTATGGCATCGGCCTCCTTTGGCAGCAAATGTTCTACTACACGATAGCAATGTGGATGGGTGTACCACGCTGGGCGGCGGACATCAGCAGCGTAGCCGCTGTCATCGTCGTCTCCAAAGCAATGATGTACCTGGATTTGGCCGCGCCGGTGAACATCGAAATGGAATGTACGGCTCTCGCGTCTTGATGCAGGATCAAATGGAAAGGCAGCGGTAACGCTGCCAATTCCATTGCGGTCCGGCTCGTCGATGCCTGCAGTGATATTGCTTAGTGCCCGTCCATCATCCCGAGTCGGAAGACACGACTTACAAACTTGAATGCTCTCTCCATTTTCAACGTCGAAGCCACAGTATGCACACGTAGGTAATTGAACGCAGTATGGGCCTATGGATCTGAGTTTCCTTGGCAAGTCGTCATCTGGGCTTAGCGCTCGTTTGGTCATCCTGAGACAACTTAGAAAGAGGAAAGCAAAGGGCAGATAATCAAGAGACCTACACTTAGTGGATGAGCATAGTACAATTTACACACTTGACGATATATTACCTGTCCACTGCGGGGCGCCGTGCTCTACAATTTGATATCTAGTCCAACTTCACAACGCCCTGATGCTATGGTTGGAAAATGTCGATCGCCAGATAAAGGGAGCTCGCATGGCTGTGTGACACCACCTTGGTGCAGCGAGAAGATGTTCATTCGGGTAACTTCTCATCAACTTTCTGAGCCGCGAGCAACAACCAATGAAAGAAATTGATCATGTTGGCGCCAAAGACGACATGCCGGGATGTTTCTAAACGGGGCGAGATGCACCGTATTCCCAGAGGAGATACCCCGTACCTTTATCTATAAGTGCAGGCGTTATAGCCGAGGTTTACTCCCGATCGAGCGTGGCTCTAGCTAAAATCCCAAAATAACGAGAATCATTAACTTACAGATACGACAAAATAATTGTCAAAAGAAAAAGAAAAAAGCTTATTACATCCTCAGGGACCACTCTCTTAAAAAAGCCGGTTAAAACTCCAGAGAGGATGGAGTGAATCACTTTTATCAGGAGAAAGGAACTCCTTGTCCCAATGCACATTTTGTCAATCTTCTGCTGACAAGCCGGTTGAAACTGTACTCATCAGTCAAATAGCTTACCGATAAAAAGTACCTGTAGCTCAGGTACACCGTACGATAGTGTTGCAGTACAGTTATAGTGCCACTTTAGTTACCCGACCATTATTTGTTCACCATCACTCCACGACAAGCAGTAGGAATACCCCGAGAAGTGAATTAGATTGACTACCCGCGTTCCTGCACTTGACTATACAGAGTATATCCACCTACCACTCAACCCAAACTAACTCCCTACTTTTATCATGGATTCTAACCCTGCGTCTCAAATCGGAGAATATATTTCACGCTTGACATCACTGACAAGCCCGGAAATTATACCGTGCATACTACGTAGTCCCCCAGTTCCCAGTTCCCAGTCCCCATGTTTGAACTTTGTCTTTTACGTTTATATCCGCACTCCTTACGTATTATTGTACCGGAGTACTTCGTACTTTTCTTTGCTTATCAGGGTTACCCTACTGTACCTTTGACTCTGGCCCTCCTAACTCCCTTCCCCCAACCCCCTGACTCCCGGGAAGCCTTCTCGGTTATACCTAACCCAAGGTATAACGGGAACCTATGATAACATTACGAGGGGCAGGGTAAGGGTGCCCCTAAGGCCAAGGTCAGTTCTGTTAGTTCTACTTCTCCTGGCTCTCGCTAGGAGAATTACCTTACGGAGTACCGTGCAATCGGCCCTCCCCTACGATAGAGGTCTTGCACAGTGCATCGAGGTACAAGTGGAGTGATAGCCTGATAGGTAAAGCGAGGTACACAGTAAGGAGCGTCATGGGTTTTCGAGCAAGGAGGTACTTCGTACTTGGCATGCTACCATCGCATCACGAGTGCCCTCGTACTTGATAAGCAAAACAAAGAGACAGAGAGAGAGAGAAACAGAAACGGGAAAGAAGTACCGTAGGCAACTGAGAGGGTTTTATCGCCAAGCAGCAGGGCGCAAGGCAGAAAGGCAACGACGCAGCAATGTAAAGAAGGCAGTAAGGTACAGTACAGAGAGTACTCTGGTAGAAATGTCCCGAATCGTGTCAGGATTTAGCCCTAGGTTCCGAGGCAGCGTGTTAATTTGAATTGGAGGATGTGGGTGGTGAGAATTTCAGTGAAGTCTGTCGAGAGAATGGCCTGACACTGATGGTCGAGTAGTCGCTCGTTGAAGGGCCAAAATAAGGGTTTGGAAAGGTATACCGTATACACGATAGCGACTGCAAGACTTCATCATTCCCATATTGAAATGGAGTGCCGCCGGTGGTAAAACATCGTGTGCATCGCAGCCAGCCTAATGACGATACATGTCACGAAATCAACACACCGAGGCAAAAAAAAGGAGAAATAATAAGAGAAAAGTTTTTGGTATCAAGCGTATAATATATATATTTCAGCGATATCCAAAGCAAATATTACTCGGATATACTACTGCAGGGTGAAGACACCCCAAGATTATAATCATCATACATGTCCAAACTAATATTCAGACTAAAAGAAGAGACATGGAACGACGTTTGACAACACGCCAATCTTCCCCTCTTTTTATTATATTCTCTTCATAATTCGTGAATCGTAATCCGTAACAGTGGCCGTGATCGTAAGAGTGCTCAACATCCCCCCCAAAATAGTCATCCAACCAACCCAAGTTGCTAAAGACGCCGCGTGCTCAAGCTTTTCCGGTTTGCATCAAGGGTATGTCTCTGAAAGCAAAAAGGTATAATGAAACAAACATTAAAGGAGAAATAAAAAAAAATAAACCGAAAAGGGAATCATAATGGCAAGTCCGTGATAGGTAAAACAAAAAGGTATAAGACGCCAGTCAGGCATGATACTTGTCATTCATCTGCTTCGCCACAGCAGAAGACTGTTGAGAATGTCCGCGATGTCTTCTTCTTCCCTTGGCCGTTGTTCGAACGCGAGCTGAAACAGCGCTTAAACTTTCGCATACTATCTGACGCGCCAAAGCAGCGCACAGATACATCATCTTCAAAAAAGGACCGCTCATTTGGGTTTGGGGGGGGAAGCGGGGCTGGTCGTGGGTCAGGATAGTTTGGCAGCTGCGGCCAGACGGTGAGCCTTGGACCTGCTGAGCATTGCTCGGTAGCTGCTAGCTCTGGAGGGAATATTTGCGATGGAAGAGAGTCTTTTCGAGGAGGGAAGTCTGGTCTTTCAAGCTTATCTGACTTTATCTGCTTCGTTCCTGATAGCGGATCTGATTTCTTCTTGTGCGACCGGGGAGACGCGTGACGAGGGACCTCTGCATATGCGCGAAACTCATGCGGCGGCGTTCGCGCTTGCTGAAGCTGTGTTAAGTTGTCCGTGGCGCAATTCCGATGGTATGGTGAGAGAGCACCAGCACCTATAGAAATTGGGGTATACTGGCATGCCGTGTCCTCCGAGTAGCGGAGGACTCTCCGTGGAGGAGTGCAAAGAGAATCTCGACCAACGGATTCAGTGCTGGAGCGGTACAGCCCAATGAGAGTATTCTCAGATGCACAGGGTGAGTGATCCGTTGTGGTCGAGGACGACGTCGGCGGTGGAGGTGTCCTTGGCGTATCTGGAATAACTGTTCTGCTCGATGCTGTTGATGTCCTGGAGCGGGTCGGTGAGCTTAATAGCTCTTGCTGGGCTGGCCAGTCCACTGCTACAGCAGCCGGCGTCATAGTGGACGCATGTAAGAAGGTAGCAGGTGATGATGGTGGAGCTGGAGGAAGGACCACTGGCGGCGAAGACGCAAACCGTCGGCCATTGGTTTTGAAGCTGCGAGCTGGACTTCTCTCAAGTGTGCACATTGAAGGCTGAAAAGGTGAAGAAGAGACTCTCTGTCCAACATGTTCCGCCCGGACTCTGCTGCCCGAAGGCGGGACTGCAATTCTCGAATGATGAGCCATCTCGCTCTTAGGTATAATAATAACAATCTCTAATCGACGCGACTGAAACGAGACTTGATCAGATGAACTAGTGTTATTGTCGTGACAGCAAGGCAAGCAACGGACAGATGATAATAATTCTGATCAGTCCGATAAGCTGCCACGACACGGGCGCGGAAATGACAAGAAAGACGATCATGAACGCGCTCAAGGGAGAGTGATGCTATGCTTATAACATATAACACGTCGCACGTATACACGGCCCCTCGCTCTGCCGAAGAGGAGAGGGTTCGTGGGGTCGGAGCTTGGAGCTGCACGTCCATTACGTCTAATTGCCGTTTTGGTCGACAGGGTCAGATGCATTCCAAGTAGGATAAGGAGAGCCCTCCATTATCCAAGCCTAGAGTTGCATCCCCGCCGAGTAGCGCGACGAGTCAAAAGCAATCCGAAGCAGCGCTGTTCAGCCAATGAAACGGCGTCGGCAAACCCTCGACTGATCTGCATGGAGATTCCGGGGGATGGACGATGCGGATCGACGCAAGGGCGGGTAAGTTGGACCCTCCTCCTACAGTAAGAAAGATGGAGGGTGGTTACTCCACTGACTGCCGACTTGGTGTCAAAAGAAGCCAATTCGAGTCAGTGTGTCACCGCAACTGCCTAGTATGTTCCTCTTTGCGGCTCCGATAGCGACTGGATATACCCCTTCATCCACGCCCCAGCCGCACAGTCCAGCGCCTCTCATGCACCGGTTAACGCGAAAGGCCAAGGAGGGCGTTGATAGAAGAGGGGAAGAAGGGTAAAACCTAAAGGTTGGCCCTGCTACGGTGGCTGCCACTGGAAAAAGCCATCATCTCTCCTGGGCTTGATGACGCGCAGCCATCCCCATGTCCAACATCCCAAAAGTGCTACCATTTCTTAAACTCTCTTTGTCGGTGAAGATTTTTTCAAGTAGTGATGCATCGAATGCAGGCTGTGGGGGGTTTTCGATGGAAACCAGTCCGCTGTGGATAGCACGGCATCAAATTTCGTTCACAGTTCCGATATTAAGAAACTTCTTGGACGGAGATTGACTGTGCCACCGTCGCTCGGCACACCCGAGTGTACAAAACACAAATGATAATTACAACGTCAATGCTTGGCTGAAGAAGTCTCCATAACCCGCCATGAGTGGTACGATATCTTGGATCAATTGTCTTTGATTCCGGGCAGATGACTCCGGCAATTGACGAGAATGGGAGACATTTGGGGGTTGCAGTTGCACGAACCAAATTAAAAGAGACTCGAGAGCCAATTAATCGGACATTTTGATTCAATGATCGAACACTTAAGTACGAGCACTTGTTCTTCTTTCCTCCTCTCTCGGCTGGAGAGTATCTAGTAACCTCATCTCGTCCTGCAATACCTACCTGCTGTGGGCAAGACCAGTGGTGCTCGCTTTCACTTCACGCCGTTGATCTAATTCATTAGCTGCAAGGACTAGACAGACGAGCAAAACGAGCAGGAAAAACCGACGTCGAGCATTTGCGACGTCTTTTCCTCTCACACTGGCATCAAAGTAAAAAATGCGAGGGTGGCATACCGGGCCGGTTATCCGGCAGGCACAGTGGGCGACTCGACTGCTCAAAGAGGGCAGCTAGTTTGGCCTGCTGGTCGAACTCAAGGAGGATTTGCTTGGATTTAGTAGCGAAGAAGAGAATATACTACGCAAGTACATACCTGACTGACCGCTTGGCAAGATCGCTCGGATGTTCAAAGCTCGCGACTAGTCCAGGTTTTGTCGTTGGTCATCCAGGGGGATGCGCAAGTGCAAGCCCTTTTTGCTGGGGAAGATCATCTGCACAGTAGATGCAAAAGCCATAGGTGGTGAGGAGCAAACTCGAGCAAAACAATGTCAAGGAAAACTTTGAGCCAAACGGCATAGAAGCAAATTAAATGTACGGCCTATTCTTTTTGTGTGTTTGCGCATGTTTCCATGCGGCCTTGAAACCTTCACGAGCATGACATTGGGGGAAGGGGCGCAGGTCTGCGACGTGAAATGCTCCGTACATACATACTGTAGTCGAGCAGTAGGAGGGGGTTGTGATTGGGAAGGCTGAAGGAGGACCGATGGGTGTAGCCAGACGCGCCAAGATACGAAGGATAGAGGGACGTGACCGCCATTATTGTCGTATCATATCATAATAATAATAATAATAATAATAATAATAATAATAATCAAACGCGACGACCGTTTTTTGAAGCAGGAATGATACAAAGGCAGACAGGACCAATGTGATCTCATTGATTGCCCTCTCGCGCTACTCGTGGGGCGCGGCAGGAGGAAGCTCATGCTCCGTGTTATGCTCATGGTTAAGCCAGTTTGGAGAAGGGAAAACGGTGCACGAGCTACTAAGGATCTTTTGCGCCGATGTTGCCTCGAAAAACACGACAACGTACGGAGTATTCTGTTTTTCCAAAAAGAAAGAGTGGGATAGGGAAAAAGAGATCAATCCTTTATTGCATGATTCCAGGAAAAAGAGAAAAGGCTATGGCAATTCGGGAAAGCAAGCTAGGGGTATTCTGGGGATTGCATAAAATTAAGCGATTGACTCTCTGAGCTACAAAAAGTTCAACGAGAATGGTTTATGCAGGATGACAGCAATTTCCAAAGTAATTTTGCACCGCGGTATGATTGCTTTGAAATGGAAACAGGAGAAGGGAGATGCAGTGCAAGCCCTTGGTAAAGTTACCGAACATGTAGACATTATATAAATGAACGATTGGCGAACTAAGCGAGCCAAGGGGGCTTGGCGGGAGATGAACCGTGGAACGACAAGGGAACCAGAGAGGACAGTATCCGCCGTCATCAGCGGATTTATGCCTAGACCCATAACCAATCAACGAGGGATACAGAGAACACCTAGGTAGTCTTTCAACAATCAGCGGTAGGAAACCCCATCAAGTTGTGACCTCTAATATCGCCAAATGGTTTCAGCTTGGCGACTTTGATAGTGATTGGATTCTCGAGGGCGTCATCGATCTATTGATATGAACCCTAACTATCATCATCGTCCTTGTTGAACACACAAAGGTAGCTCAGCAGGCCATGTAGGAAAGTTTGTATTTATTGGCAACCCTGTCTCAATCACCAGTCATACTCCTATCAGGCTTGATCATGTCCTCGGAGCCCGAGATGCGAGGATCAAAAGGAAATGAGATCCCATCAGGTGGCGCCTTTGAACCTACTTGTCGGGCTGACGGGACCCTGTCGAGTTTGCGATGGCGAATCTCATTTCGAATCATTTAGATCGTCGTAATATTATTATTTTACCACTTCCAATAATAGACCTTCTTCGATATCTACCTCCGTACCAGAATATCTCACCAGGAGGAAGATGGGATCGGGGGCCACTGTGACCAAATCGGCCGCTTGCCAACGCATCACTCGCGAAATGAGCCACTCGCTATGCTTGCTCTGCTCACAACCCCATCCCAGTAGAGGTTCCTGCTACCACAGCAATCTCAAAATTCACCCTCGCAGCAATACTTGCAGGCTACCCAAGTCATTGCAGGGTCACTTATTCTACGAGACAGACGTGAATTTTTCGCTTTTGTCTTATCAACCTGATTCACCGCCTTCTTGTCTTCTTCTGGTGACGCGTTGATTGTTGTCTCGAGCAATACCCAAGTCCCCGAAGTGAGATGATCTGGTGTGAGAGATTAGCGCACACTTGTAGCCAAGGCTGGCCCGCCCACGTCCTCCCAGTTGGGCAGGCGCTCTTCGCCAACGAATACCACCTCCACGACATCCATCTGATCCGCCCTTGAGTGAGAGAGACTGGGCTGCGCTTTGCGCTTGAGGGTTTTTCTGCTTTTTCTCTATTTTTTCCCATTGCTCAGGTCATTGTGGTTAAGCGTCATATTAGCATGATTTCTTTGGACATTTTCTTCACTTCTCTTTTCGATTATCTCCTACTACTTGCCAGAGAGTTTCGTTGCGTCACCGGGACCTCCGCACGCAAAGACAGCGCATTTGCGACCTAACAGAGCTGCGGCCACGTCCAGATTACGATCCTTTGATCGCGTGGTCATCTACGGAGGTAATATATCACGATATAGATCCATTTGTTTCAGACAGCGCAGTTTTCTTTTTTTGGCTCTCCAAATCTGTCATCGTTCCCACTTCGGCGCTACGGCTTTTTGCATTTTCAAGGTTCATCGACTGTTCAACGTCGTTTGTTCGCCCAACCTCCTCCAATTGGGACAGGGGTCTACACCCAGCCACCGTTTACCAGGTCCCAACCTCAGCGACCATAATTTTTTGCTTGACCTGTTGCGCTCAGTTTGCGTTCACTGTGATTTTTGTTTGAAAATTTTACTTTGCAAAATTGCTTAGACTTGCATTGTTTTTGCCTTCGTTTACTGCACCTCGGCGATTTCTTTGTTTATGCTTTTCCGTGGAGGAATGATTCCTCGCAGGTGAATTTCACCAAGTTAGCTGTTAAACTGGTCTATTCATCTTTGTATATTGTCGCAAGCTTCAATTCCCAAGCTGGTCCATTCTCAGGCATTGGCGAAAAATCAACCCTTTAACGAACGTCACGATCTCACCACGCGTCACGATTTTATCACGTCGTCTTTGTCGCAACAACGGCATCGACAACCAACGCGCCCCCTGACGCCTGCCGAAGTTGGAATCTTCTCACGGCCGTCGAGTTCTTCGGGTAGCCCGTCAACTGTATATCGGCGAACTCCTCGTCTCGAACAACGGCGTGGACCATTGCAGCCTTCAGTTGATCCGCCGGCACACCAAGCGGACGTGCTGGATGACCCGGAAAATTTCTATATAACCAGCCAACGTCTAAGAGAAGGACTTCCAACTCTCCCGCCTGGAACACCTCGAATTTCACGTCGCACCGCTGCAGCAATCATCTACGCCCTCGAGGACGCACTCCGTGGACCTCATCCTTTTACACCTGACCTTGAAGAGGAAAACGCACCTATGACCGATCTAATCGGCGGAGGGTCTGCCGCTTCCGGAAATGGACGTAACATCAATGGAAATTCTCGCGCTGTGTCGAGATCAGCTTCGGGTACGCAGTATCCGGCTGTGCGAGGACCACGAGATATCATGAGGGACCGTCAAGCGAGGGAAGCGCGGCGTAAAGCAGAAAGTGAAGCTCGAGAGCGGGAGCTCCACGATGCAGAGCGTCTCACCCAAGAGGAAAGACGAAGGAGCGCTGAAAGAAGAGCTACAGCAGCTGGCGTCACTGGGGGCGCTGTTGGAGGAACTGAGGGACACGGATATCGTCGGTCGGCTGGGAACCAATCGGCCCGTCCGGCTGCAGATCCAGGGGTCTCTTCACCTGACACCGGCAGACGACAGGGCGAACGCGCCGTCAGCGGCCCCGCGGCGATAAATCAGACGGGAGAGTCCCAGATGAGTGGAGGCGGGAGACCTCGAGGCTCGTCTGTTGGTCAAGCCGCAGCTCGCACCGGAACATCGCAGCCAACCATGACTCCCAGCGCTTCACATCGCCCTTCAGAAACGCAAGCTCAACCAACACAATCAAGACCAACTGCGGCTTCAGGACTTCAAGCGCAAGGTAGCTCTGCGCCGCAACCTGCTTCTCAGCGAGCTCAAGCCGCCACGAGCGCATCAAATGGCGCAAACCAACAGAGAAACCCCACAGTGTCGTCTTTTCCGCATGCGTTTGAGCGGTGGGAGCAGCTCTCGTCTCATTGGGAGGGACTTACTTCTTACTGGATCCGGCGCCTCGAATCTAACAGCGATGAAGTCCGCCAAGAACCACTCGCACAACAAATGTCTCGGCAAATTACAGATCTCTCTGCTGCCGGTGCCAACCTCTTTCACGCAGTTGTTGAGCTACAACGACTTCGGGCTTCTTCGGAAAGGAAATTCACTCGATGGCTTCTAGAGCAAAAGGGGGAACAAGAGCGCGCTAAGGAAATCCAAGCCGAATTGGAGACAGGCCTTCGTAACGAACAGCAAGCTCGCATCGACGCAGTTCAAATGGCCGCGCGAATGGAAAGAGAAAAGTCCCTGTCAGACAAGATGGTCGCCGAAATGCGGCGAGAGCTTCAAATTTCAAAGGAAGAGGCTCGAAGAGCCTGGGAAGAGCTGGGACGACGGGAGCAGGAGGAGCGAGATCGCACAGCTTCTCTGAGAGAAGGGCAACCAACGCTCGTGGGAGGGGTGCAAGTTGTTCCCATGGCAGGAGCCCCAAGTAGACATGCAAGTACGAACCGGTCTCATACAAGTGAGGCGATGTATCCAGGCGGTGTTGGCCCTTCAGCCATGACCCCAGCCGCTGGACCAGGGGTTGTCGGTCCTGAGGCCGCATATGGAATGTACGATCCTGATGTGCGGTCGACGACGGATACTGACCCATACTTGGAACGGGGACAAGAAGGGCTGTTGCTGCCGCACCTTCATCAGGAACACGATGTAGCCGCACTGTCTGAAAGCGGAGCCACAACACCTACAACTCGGGTGGCGTTTCAACCGACCGGTACCAGCGCTCCGCAGGTGGTCACAGTGCCTGCCACCAGTCAAGAGGCGATCGAGTCTTATCCCGCATACCAAGCTCCGTCCAGAGAAGCTCCCACAGAACCAATTTATCAGCAAGCGGTGACCGTGCCCCAGGCTCATGTAACTGAAGAGCCTGTTCACCATGCGCCCTCTACAGGAGATACCCTCAGTGAAGAAGATGAGTACGAACTTGACGACAAGGGCCGGGTCTTGTATGATACTCACGGTCAGCCCGTAATTGCACGTGGAGCGTCTCGATCCGAGGGCAGTGAGGAGTTTGAGATTCGCGAGCGAGCAGTCCCTGCTCAGCCCTATGGCCCGGGCTACGTCCCTGTTACCAGTTCGGGAGAATACGGCTACGGGGGCGACCCTGTCGACTACAGCGGGGCAGGATACGGCTGGGAGACGTCTGTCCCACGGCACCACCATCCCACTCGATTGAGCGATGTCATCGAGGAGGATGAGCGTAGTCGTACAAGCCCGAGTCGCGCCAGCCAAGCAAGTAGGGGGATGTACTAGTTGCGGGATCTGTAAATATGAGAGACCTCCCAAGTAAATCCTTTCCATCAGCTCTTCAGGTTGGTTGAGGACCAAGCAGCCCCTTCCCTCTCTTTCGTTTTCCTCTTTGATTCATCTTGATACCAAGATCTCGTTTCCCCCTCTCTTCGTGTTCACAATTAGATTCGTCCTAGTCTAGTTTAATTAATCCGCACCCCTGGTTTATTCCGCATATTCGAATCCAGTTGGTTCTTCAGGTTATATAGTAGCTGGTACTCAAAGAGTGTTATGCATGCATATATTCAGAGTGCAAGCATTGATTCTCTCGCTTCTTGTATGCGTCAAGTTGGGGTAAACAGAACAAGATGATGTTTACTGACCCGAGCTCCGGCAAATTAGCTTTAACCAAATTGGCTCTACCACCGACAATGGCACCGTAGATGGCCGCCTGCTTAGTGGACCAGACATTTTATTCTTTTCACGAGTATTTGAAGGCATTATCTGATCATCTTTTTCATCATTTAAAGTATCGTCGCCGTGGAGGAAGCTGGCAGGGTCAACGACGAAGATAAGCCCGCGGTCTGATGCAATCAGGTTTCGACTTGGGTAAAGGCTGCCATATGCAGACATTTGCACGGCACGTGCCAGTGGGAAGCACATGCAATTGTGGCCATCGCAACCTAGCGCTATACTTGCCAGCCAGTTAACGAATCCATAGAAAACGGCCACGACTCTTCACAGTCAGTTGGAGGCTATGCAGCATGTGATGATTGCTTGGGGGTCATTTACTGCCTGGTAGATCTCACTGGAGCATGCGACGTCATCCCCAGTATTGCCCTGTAGCACGATGCATTGATGATGGCATCACTCCAACACCAGTCATCGTTGGGGAGCGTCTCAGATCTCTTACCACGAGTGTCTCTGACCTTGCAGGAATACCAAACAGCAGAAGCACTTTTCAACAGGCTGCTGCAACACTATGGAATCGAGCACACCACAAAGAGACGGTACAAGCCAGCAACTCTTATTCAAGCTACATTCGGATATGTGAAATCTAAAGATGCATTCCTGGACTACTTCTTCCTATCCCTCTATGGAAATCTATGTGTAAGAAAGGAAAGCGCTTTTATACCGAATGTTTCCCAGGCTTTATCATACTTGGAGGATTTCTCTTCGTGGGATGCAAAGGGGACAAACGATCTAGCAGCTGCTATCGAAGAGTTTGCCGAACATTTGGTCGTCAATTTCTTTTATCCACGTAAGTTGGTTGACTGGTGCTCACAGGAATCATCCATTAAGACCATCTAGTCAGAGCTTCATCGTCCAGGACACCACAGCCCACGCCCGCGTCCTTATCTGCCTTGCAAGCATCTACGCCATCAGGATCAGTCCAGCGTCTATCCGTTCTACGAAAAAGCTGCCTGATCCGCGATCATCATCGGTGTGTGGTATCCCGGAAATTTGATAGAGGGGAGGCGAAGAGGCGTTTTAAGCAACACGGCGAGGCAAGTGCAGATGATGATGATGGGAATCACTTAAAAAATGAGACGAGTGACCAGCTTTCATTTTTGGAGGTCGCTCACATACTCCCCCACTCTCTCACTTCGATCTCGACGGAGGGTCTAGAGCTGGTTCGTAAAAATCCGTAGTTGACCGTCATTGCTCTGCTGATCCTTGTGTCCAGAGTGACTCGAAGAAGAACGTGCTTCAAATCCTCACTATGTTCGACCCTGAGATCAAACATCTCATCAACGGCCCCAAGATTGATACCCCTCTGAACGCACTCACGCTAACGCGTGATTTTCACCAACTTTTTGGCGAATTTGAGATCTACTTTGAGTCCACGGAGGTTCCATATCAATACAAGATTGACTCAACGGAGCAGAGGGCCTTCTTGCGTGATCCACTATTCCCTGTCACTCGTACACTGCATCTGAGCCCGGGACGTTCAATTGATCCACCCTCTCCTCGACTACTTGCAGTCCACCGTGCCGTCGCACTCATCTTAAAGCTTAGCGGTGCTGGCGAATATATAGAGAAGATTCTTCAAGACATAGAGGAACTGAGGGTGGAAGAAGATGGTTCAACAAATCTAGATCAGTTCGTCAGGTTGCGATTGGCAGCTTGGCCGGCATAATATCTGAATTTTATTGTACTGATTCCCCAACACGTTACCGTCGAATGTAATAGTGACTTGTTTTTAATCATGTATTTTTATTTTTTTTGGTGGTCACTACAACGATGAGCCATGAGAGCCTTGCTGCAATGACCGACAATCTCTGTAAGACTATACTAGCAGAAGACTCTGGCAAATATCCCATCATATCTGGCTTTTTAAATGCATCCAAATATCTACCTGCTCTATCATGCCTAAGGCCAGAATCTCAAAGATCATTTCTGCAGCGCGACTTGTGTTTTATGTGCTGATTCACTGCTTGTTTAATAAGAAACTCCTTGCAAGTCATGCATTTCAAGTGTAGTCAGTACGTTCAAGCAAAACAGATTTCTTAAATAAAATCTAGAGAATTTTTTTAAATCAAAGAATATTATAGTTAGATAATAAAGATGATAAATTATTAATAATTTATCAAGGTATAAAGAAGATAATACTTAAAGTAATAAATAAAAATTTATAATTCTAGTACTATATTTACTTACCATTGTTATTATAACCAATCGGTAAATCAAGCAATCACTGACTTAACTAAAGGGTTCGTTGAGGACGGTTATCGTTTAAAACTCGCTGGGTTTGACAGAGACGTGAGGGAGAACCGTCACATGACAGGCAGCATACAAATGCAACGCGCGCTCCTGTAGAGAGGGTCGGCCGCTCAACGACGTTTACTTAAACGTCAGGAAACCATTGGGACAAAATGTTGACATGTCTGCTCTTATGCCCTGTGGATATCGCTCCAGCACTGAATACCATTTCCACGAGGAACAGTCTGACGCCATTGTTCGAGTCACTGCCTACCATCGGAAAGATTACTGTCAATCTGTGATATGGTTCTCACCAGGCCAACACGACAGTATTCGTCTGTCGATAGCAACGCCTTTCCAGCGGACTTCTAATAAGGGACTTGGATCCCTCGATCGGCTACCCCTCGAGCTCTTGCATGACATGTTGCTACGTCTGGACATGCATTCACTGTTCAAATTTCGACAGATAAACCTCCGATCGAGACAGATAGTAGACTCTCTCAAGCAATATCAGATGGTGGTCTTGCATGGACTGAACCTTTTCTGTGCCTTGTTACGAACACGGCTTGCCATCGACATTTCTCTATTCGACTTTTACTATGCCCTATGTACCAAGACTTGCACTTTTTGCGGCGAGTTCAGCGGGTTTATATCCCTCTTAACCTGGACTCGATGCTGTTTCAAGTGCCTTCAAGGAGCGCCGGAAACCCAAATGCAAACTCTTCACACTGTCCGGAAGCAATTCCACCTGACCAAGGCCGAAGAAAACCAACTGAGTTCATTCAAGACCTTGCCTGGGATATATTCGATGATGGAATCTGCTTACAAATCCCGCTTTACTATCGTTTCTGTTCATCAGGCCATATTAGTTTCCGGACAGCAATCGCATACACTAGTGCAAGTACCGCTGGCGAACTCGGGAGGAAATAAAAAATATAACTTTATGGGGTCGTGCGCACTTCCTTATTATGATAGACGAACCGGCAAAGTACAACACGGAATATTGTGCGCCGGGTGTCAACTCGCTCTCGAAAAGGACATCATTGGCTCCAGAGGCGAGAAATGGGCATTCGAGGCTCGCGACAAGGTATATGCGCAAGATGACTTCTTGGAACATTTTCGATGGTGTGAACAGGCACAGCTCCTGTGGAGATCGAGTGGAGAAGGTAACAACCCGCCAACTGAGCTACCGGAGGCTGCTCGGAGAGGTGGCTACTTCAACAAGAGAGAATAACACGAATGGCGAAACTATTTGGCAATATATTGCGGCTCGGCTCTCTACGAATTGTCCAAGTAGGAAAGCATCCAGAAAGCGGGAGAATCCCCAGACTTCCCCTGTGGCTTGCATGCATGTAACTGGGCGCTTATAAGGGTCTGAAGCAACGCCATTGACTCGGTCGGTCTGATCTGGATCCAGCCGCCGTGACAAAAGACGCATGCGTTGACACGTTGGCTGCCGAAAGCCAGCTGTAGTAGCAACTTCGGCTCACCACTGTTGCCGCTCTCATTCAGACACCACCCTTCAGCTCAGAAAAAAGGGAACGCGGCAAGGAAGATCTCAGGACAATAACGTACGAATGCTACATCTCTTTTACGTTTGCGCTTCCTTCATCCACTCATAATCTTAACAGTGAGTGGTTCAATCCTGATAATGTCTGGCAAAAACGCTACAAACCCGCAAACGCAGCCGGTCATTCTGTCCATGGAAGTGGACGATGACGATGAATATGAAAGCGAATACAGAGTGCAAATCGGAGAAAAGGTTAAATATCTCGTCATCTCTCCCGGAACCTTTGACAGAGACACGCTTTCATTCCCTCTTCAGTCCCTACCCCATCTTCCTTACGACAAGGAATGGACCTTGGCTTACATCTCACGAGATAAGGCCAGTGGTGACTTGAAGACTTCATTCTCGGACAAAACACTAGCTGGAGTCAAAAGTCAATGGCATCACACCCGGGTCGATTGCTTAGCGTTGGAGAAGACCGAACAGCTCACAGCAATGGCTTTCGAAGCTGTCTCACATTCAATCCTTCCAATTGCTCCCCCATCATTATCAGCCACTATGATCGTCAAGATAGCCCGTTTTGCATGGGAGCTGCCTTACATTGAGCAAGAAAAAGGGCATATCAATTGCTTGAGGGCACTGGACTGTGCCCGCGCTTCCTTGGCCATGTCCATGAAAGTGGACGCATCATGGGTTTTCTTTTGGAGAAAATAGATGGACGTTCTGCTTCCCTTCAGGATCTGAGTCTCTGTGAAACTACTCTAAAGAGACTCCACAGACTGGGGCTAATACATGGGGACGTGAACCGTTACAACTTTCTCATCACGAAAGAAGGAGTGAAACTAATCGACTTTGAACGCCTTCAGGAGAATGCTAGCCCCACGATGATGGCGGAGGAACTGGAGAATCTGCGTACTAAATTAGTCGATGAGTCAGGACGTGGCGGAGGTTTCATTTTCCTTGGCAATAGCAATTGAAGTTAAGATTTGAAGGATTGCTTGACCTAGACACTCTCACTTCTATAGATTTGTTTTGTTCATTAATTTCTCCTCTTAGCTCAAGTTAAAGGTCGTCTAGCATCTTCAATAGTCGATCCCTTTTTAGATGAACTTCTCGCCTTGATACGAAGTACTCTTTATAATTTAATGATATAAGTCCCGAATTAGAGATCGGCGAATATAGCGCCAGAAGGCATGAGCGGCAACTTGTCAACGGAAACGTTGACATTCGTACTCTTTCAGCCTCGCCGCCTCGTTGCAGGAAGGGAAAAGCATGAAGGAAGGCAACGAGGCTATCGACCGGGGTAGAAACAAGGCTGGGGCCGGCAAAACTTCGGATGCTCTGCTGGTAAAACTAACCGAATCAGGCGAATATCTTGTGATTCTCGAATGGATTTCTCCGAGATGCCATAGCGGGAGATCCCCGGAGACGTTTCAAGAACAGCTCATAGCTGCAATTCAACTATACGGATTGCTCCACGACCGTCGCAATGTCGCGGAATTTAGCTTCAGTATCTACTACTCGTCTGGGCTTTAAAGCTCATCTGTCGAGAGCGTCATGCGGAGCATCCTTCCCACGGGCCGCGCCCGGATCCTTTGCGAGCCCAGCTCAAACGGCGTTCTCAAGGGTCTCTTCTCGACTTTTGACGACCCATTGCCAATTTGGAACTAGAAGTACTGTTTCCTCAAGAGGGCCCGTTGCACAGTCACGGTCTTTTACATCATCTTCTCGCTCTCTGTACAAGACCGTCGAGGAAGCAAAGTCACGATATAGGGCAGGAGTAAGTCTGAGGACCTTTTGGTTGTTATACGAAGACATAGGCTGATATAGATTTTGTAAAGCCCTTCTCTTGGGCGTCTGGAGGCCTTTTTCTCCTTGCGGGTGCCGGCTTGATTGTGTACTTCCGCTATGAGAAATCTCGCATGGAGCGCAAGCGTGTGACTGAGGCTACTAAGGGCGTTGGGAAACCTAAAGTCGGAGGTGATTTCGAACTGGTTGACCAGAACGGCAATAAGTTCACCGGAGAGGATATGAAGGGAAAATATGCTTTGGTACGATACCAATTCTCCTCTGGGCGCTCTCCACGTTTTACTGGAGAAACAAAACCTGGGGAATCCCGTTCACAGTTTGGCTAACGGCTATGAACCTTTAGGTTTACTTTGGTTTCACCCACTGCCCAGATATTTGCCCGGAAGAGCTTGACAAGATGGCCGATATGATTGATCTTGTCAAGGAAAAGAATGGCAATGTAATGCGACCCGTCTTCATTACTTGTGACCCTGCGCGGGACACGCCTGCCGTGACCAAGTCGTATCTTCAGGAGTTCCACCCTGACCTCATCGGCCTCACTGGAACTTGGGAGCAGATCAAGGCTGTGTGCAAACTCTACCGCGTCTACTTCTCTACGCCTCCCAACGTCAAGCCTGGCCAGGACTATCTCGTGGATCACAGCATCTACTTTTATCTCATGGGTACGTAATCGTCTCAGTGTTCTTGGTGCTTTGCATCGCAGCTGCATGCAAAAGCAAAGGCCGCGACAAAGCGATAGTAGCCGTTATGTTGTAATTCCATCTAACTATTTACATAGATCCCGAAGGCGACTTTGTCGAGGCCATTGGCCGTCAGCACACGGCTGCCCGCGCAGCCGAGATTATCAGCGCTCATGTGAATGACTGGAGAGGGAAGCTCGATAGAAGCTAAGTGGCACATTTTTGAAGAAAGAAAAGCAAACGATGCCAGTGCCAGGTACCCTGGCTGTATACTTTTAAATTTTAATGCGCGCACAAAAAACCCGTGGACTTGTATAGAGGACTATTCTGGAGCACAGGGTTCTTTTTTTTTTATGATATTTATTGCGAGAATTTCCCTTTTTTTGGTTTCCTTCTTCGGCGTGTATTATATATTAGATTTGCCATTTCTTTTCCAAAAAGAATATCCAATTCTCTTCTCATTCAATCATTCGGAAGCGCCTTGTTTGAAGAATAAAGCCTCGTACTATTCTTTTTTACAGTACCGGGGACTGGGAGGTGCTTCCCTGCGCTCTCTCCTGCAATTTACCTCCCTGGGTCGGAAAAGGATTCCGAACCAGTGGATTGGATCAGGTCGTGTCAATTTCCGGCAATGAAGAAGTAGGGGCATGCAAGAGCCAGACTTGATTAGACGCGCAGTTCAAAGGTTGTATCAATTGACAAGGACAAGGAAAGGTCGGTCGTCTCCGCATATGCACCCCGCAATCTTAATCCTGGGTCATAATGGGGATATAAGGGAGCTGGGGTCAAGTTCTAGACTTTGAAATTATATTTCCTTTTGTCATTGTTTTGACGCTGGGTGCATAAAGACAAATATTGGAAGAAGAGCTTCCTCATCCATCATGGTTTTTGACGCTGTTTTCTCGACAACAACGAACACCAGTGCTGCTCTCCTGCTTCGGCCAATGCGGGACAGTATCAACGGCAGCAAGCTGCTTGGCATTGTTATATGGTTGAGACTACCGTATCATCATACCTCGTGATCTACATGGCTTTGTTGAAGCGCTATCTCTTGGCATGATATCACTAAGATATACCGTATATTTCTTTTTGGGCTTGTTCGCTGTTTTCTACCCAGACTATTCTGATAATTTACGACACTATTTTGGAGGATCGGGATTTTATACAAGATCGTCATTTTGTCATATGGTCACGGATGGTGTTTCACATGTTTCCAGTCTTGTATCAAAAGGATCGACACTGCTTGTGCGCATTATGACGACAGCTGTCAAATGGGATTTTCATCTTGACCCGTCAATGGCGTATGGATCTCAGGTGTCAAAGACAGACGAAAAAAAAAATTGATGGGAAGACGTAAACTTGCATCTCCCATGTTATGGGGTTGCGTCAATGGCCCGCTCATCAGATTTGCAATGTATCGATACATGAAGCCTTTTGAAGGAGATCGTCCTTGATTATCCGGGGACACGGGGAGCCACTGACTTGGGATTTGCGCGGGGATCGAAGATGATGGGAGGCCTGGGCGGGGTTTACAACACAAGTATTATGCATGCTGCTATCTTGGGCCAAACACAAGAATAACAGATAGTGGACCACGGACGATACAATTCATGTTGAAGAGAAGGGCTGCGGTATCATCTACGAGGAGAGTACAGAGGTACAGAAAGGGAAATTGAGCTTGTGCTCTGTGTCTGCGGGGGATATGGATTCTGGCTGATGAGGCTCTGTAATTCCCGAAGCCGGATTGGAGGATGGGAGAGAGCTCTGATAACGAAATGACAAAGGGCGGTGATACCGAATGTAAACGACGTTTATGACCTGCCGTTTCGAGTAATCACCCTCCGAAACGCTTTTTGCCTTGGGTATCTCCACGATCGATGCGCCCATAATATGTACAATCCACCGAGTCTAATCTCCTTAGCTTCAACTTTCTCACCCGTACGATTTCATGTTTGCAGGACACCTGGCCGTAGTAAGCGCGCATGGAACTGATCAGGTGAGAAGAAGCTGGATAGGCCCCCGCAAACACGCGATAGAGATTGATAAAATTCGTTGTGTACGGCTAGCTATCAGGTACGGAAGTAAGCATAACATGGGGCAAAAGGCTCAGAGCCTTCTTGCTGGAGAGTATGGAGTATCTTCCGGCCACAAGGCGCATGACGGTGGCCGTGCACAGTGTCACATTCTTCTAGAATGTCGAGAGAGTTACGCCGAGTGATGAGGGCACTAACGAAAGTTGACTTTCTGCCGTCGACGCCATTTAGGATGGGGATTGTGCTTGTGGCACAGTAAAAATACAAATGTTGGGTTGCTCTGCTTTGATACTCGAAGTCGGACAGCCCATAGCCTACACGCGCTGCATCATGAAATAGATTCCTTTCCGGGCTTCATCGAGCAATTGGATTTCCTAGTGACTCTTGGCATTTGCCGGGTCTGAAGAGGGATTAAATACAGCCTGTGCATAGATAATGATGTCCGCTCCAAAAGACAAGCCCATCACCTTTTAGAAGAGGGTAAGTCCGTCGTCTGTCTAGACTAATAAGAAAGGTCATCACGGCCTGTCAAAGGTTGCCAAGAGACGATGGCTGCTGGATAGCAAGAGACAGCCGGCGCTAGAGGGCAGTAGTAATACTGCTAGATATATACTTATTACTTGGCGGCAATATTTGTGAAGCTTTCTTGTAAAAAATGCGATGATACCTGAATGGGTCTGACATCCGTCTTGGCACGCACGACAATTGCCCTTTTCAAAACCAGTCGCTTTATCAGTTGCGATGGTGTATACGTTTTACTCTGTACGATACGAATAACCGGCGGCAGCGGGCAGTATTATCAGCATCAGGAGGAGAAAGGTGACACTTCCTGCTTATGACCACTTCCCGCCAAAACAGTGGCGTCAAGGACAGATTCGATCGGCGTTGTTGATGATAATCTGGTTTGTCGAACAGCTAACTGGCTCCGTTCCCGCCTCCATTAGCATCGTGCGATCTACAGAAAGCGCCCGTTTGGTTGTACTTGTAACTTGACTGAACTCTCTTTTCCGACGCACTAAACAACGAACCCTTTCCCATCATATCATATTTCTACCTATCAAACTTCTATTATGAATGGTAATTACAACGGCTGGGTTAATCGCTAATGAATTCAATACACCCATCTTTGGCCAAGGCGCAATAATACTCCACCATGAGACCATTATTGCGAATGTCCCATGCATCCGGTTTCTCTCGCTTTCCCTTGTCGGAGCTCTACAAGTAACACTGCAACAGCCTTGATGCAGCTGGAAATCACCTGAATGGCCATAGGACGGGAAGCAAAACACGTTCTTTTACGAATTGAAAAGATTATGCAATTAGACTTGCTTCCATTTTCTTCAGCCCTCTGTTTCTAAGCTACACATGCTGACTCTTTATTTGCACTGCTATTCGTTGCTTTTCCTGCTGAGCTTTACTGCGGGTGGTTACACTTGTGCAGTTGCCCTTGCTCGCTGCAAGGATCTTACGGGCCCAGAACCTTCACCTTTCCACATTGCTGCTCTCGCTGCCCTCTGGCTCTCGTTTTGTTGCCCGACGGCCTCGTTTCCCCCCCTCGTGCCCCCACCCCCTTCGACTTTTGCGATCATGTTCCCGAAGATGCCAAGATCGTCCTTGACTATGGCAGGAAGGAGCTCAACCCAGCCATGCTGGGCTGGGCTGGGCTAGCTGGAGATTCAACCCTGTCGTTGGACAAGGGTTCCTTCTTCGACTTCGTTGCCTCACACCTTAGCTGTGCTGTACCTGTACCATTGAGCTGTTGGTGGCTATCTATCGGACCTGGGTGCGTTGCTATCGCCTCTTGCAGGCCTCTCGTGTGCCGCATGAGGTTGATCATGTCTCGCGGGATGTGCGATTCAATGGTCTTTGGTGGCTTGAGCGTTGCTTGAGCCTTTCTTGCTTCCAATGGGGACATGAAACATATAATGGAGCTCTACGCCCCCCTCCCTTCGCATTGTCTGAATTGAAGGGTCTCTTGATTCCCTTTTTGCTAGTAACCCGAATCTATCTCATTACGTTACCGCCGCAACCATGTCCGACGGTCACGACCACATGCAGAGTCGTGGCATTGGGCCCACAGTAGTGTCGGGCTTCAATGTCATCGAGGATCTCCCAAACGGAGAGAGGGTCGTCCGTAGAGCATCCGTGGATCCAAATGGCATCAGCGAAAAGATTGGAGACATCAAAGACGGCTCTGCCGTCAGTATCACCGAGGAAGAGATTGAGGCGCCTGATCCTTTTAAGCCTTTTCCGCATGACCCGGGTGTTCCGGAAGAAACCAACATTTTGCGAGTTCGAAGTATTTTCATTGGCCTCGTTTGTGGAGCGTTGGTGAATGCCTCGAATGTTTATCTTGGTTAGTACATTATGCGTCTGTCAAGGCAAGGACTGGTTTTTTTTCTAATGTTTCGTGATTTTTTATAGGTCTCAAGACAGGATGGACATTTTCGTAAGATACCTATCGGGTGTAACTGGCCATTCGTGATGACTGACAAGCTATTGTTAGAGCTAATCTGTTCGGCGCCATTCTTGGATTCGCTGTCATCAAGTTCTGCTCGAATACATTTGCCAAAAATTTCCCCATCTTGGGCGGGGACTTTGGTCCAAAGGAGAACAATATTATCCAAACATCTGCCACCGCTGCTGGTGGATTGAGCAGTATTTTTATATCCGCCCTTCCCGCCCTCTATCAGTTGAACCTTATGAGCGATGATCCCAAAAAGGACTACTGGAGGATTGTCTCTTTTACTACTGTCTGCGCCTACTTTGGCTTCTTCTTTGCTACACCTCGTAAGTGGAGCCTTTCTGATACGCTGTTAAGCTATATCAACTGACAGGTCCGAACAGTTCGAAAATTTTTCATCATTTACCTCGCCCGTGAACTCCGGCTGGTTTTCCGTGAGTAGCCCCGATGAAGAGTTATTTTTTCGGCAAATTATTGACTGGTGTTTCAAGCTACTGGCACTGCCACTGCCATGACCATTCGTTCTATGCACGCAGCGATTGGTGGTGCTGCCATTGCAAAGGCCAAGACAAAGGCAATGGGAATCGCGTTTGCTGGTGCCTGCACTCTGAGAGTAGTGTCGCAGTATTGCATTGGTATTCTCTGGGACTGGCACATTTTCACTTGGTACGTTGTTTCTGCCTAGTGAACAAGCACCTGAGACTGACCGCAATACAGGTTCTACATTTGGGGCCACTACAAGAACCTGGCCATCAATGTGGAGAACTGGGGATGGTATGTTGAATGGACGCCCGCCTTTATTGGCTCCGGCATGATTGTCGGTCTCAATCCCTCCTGGTCCTTCTTCTTTGGCAGCGTCGTTGCCTGGGGTATCATTGGCCCTGCCCTGGTTCACAATGGCGCCGCATACGGTGTACAAGCCTTGGGTCCAGATGGTCCTGAGAAGTGGCAAGACTACATTACTTTTGCTTCCCTCCACCTGAAAGACGCCAAAAACAACCCCAGTCCTAGATACTGGCTCCTCTGGCCGTGAGTGACATGAAGATTCACCGCAAAATATTTTGGCGATTTTCAGCGGCTAACTTGGTTGTCTAGTGGTGTCTTGACTATGATCGTCGTCAGTTTTACCGAACTCTTTTGTCAGTACAAAGTCTTGTACTATACAGGTATTTCACTGTGGAGAGCTGTTGCCATGTCTCTCAACGCAACTTTCCAAGCTATGAAGAAAGATGTGCCCTGGATCAGAAAACAAGCCTCAATCGAGGAAAAGCACACTGTTCAAGACTTTGCCACAGAGGATGAGCTGGTCAAGTGGTGGATGTGGGCTCCCGGGCTATTGGTCGTCATTATCTGTACTTGCGTTGTCCTCGGGCTGCAATACAACATGTGAGTATCTGCTTCTACATCCTGCGCCATTGGTCACGATATCTGACACTTTCTTCTACTACTCTAAAGGCCTGTTGGAATGTCACTTCTCGCAGTTTTCCTTGGATTCATCTTCTCCTTCTTGGCCATTCAGTGCACTGGCGTCACGGATATTACCCCTCTGACTGCCGCATCCAAGGCATCCCAGCTTGTGCTCGGTGGCGCAACCCGCGGCGAGCACTGGTCCATCAAGCGTGCTCTGACGCTCAACCTTATCGGCGGCACTATTGCCTCTGGTTCCGCTAACCAGTCTTCGGACCTGACGACCGATTTCCGAGTCGGATTCTTACTGCGGACTCCTCCAAAGCAGCAGTGGATCGCACAGGGAATCGGCTCCGTCGTTGCCATTTTCCTCGCTCCTGGAATGTTTGTCTTGTTTACAAAAGCCTATCCTTGCATTATCGACCTTGAAGCTGATACGTAAGTTTCTTTCTCTGGAAAAAGAATTCTATGAAGCCAAGGAACCATTCCGCTAATGCACGCTTCACAGCTGCGCTTTTGCTGCCCCATCCGTCTCCGCATGGCGTGCTGTCGCGCAGGCCGTGACTGACCCGGTATTCCCTGTCCCAACCTCATCCGGCATCTTCTCTGTCATCTTCGCCGCCTTCGGTGCCCTGCTCGTCATCTTCCGTACATTCTACCTCACTGGCTCTCGCGAGAAATACCGTGTCTGGGTGCCCAACATGATGGCCGTCGCGCTTGCATTTGTCCTGCCCCAGACGCAATACGGTACCGCCATGGCCATCGGATCCACCGCCTCGTATATCTGGGCTAAGAAGAGCCCTGTCAAGTTTGACATTTACTGCTATGCCGTCGCCGCAGGTCTCATTGCTGGCGAGGGTATTGGCGGAGTCATTAATGCCATCTTCCAAGTCGCTGGTATTTCGGGAGACAAGTACGGTACCAATATTGCTTGTCCTGGAGATTCTTGTTAATCGTCTCTGTCGCTTCTTCCGTAATGTTTCTTTTCTGGATTTGGTTCATCAGGCTTCCTCAAGCAAGCGACGATCCTGTGGTCATTATACCCACGCGCTACTCTTTTTAACGATGATAATATTAGAGTTTGTAATACCCGGACCTGTGAATTCCCAGATCAAGTTAGTTTTACCGCTTGCAGTTGAGCGCCCCGATACGCCGTCATGTAACCTCCTCCGTTGCCTCCAACATAAAAGACCCCGACGTTCGTCGTCCACGCCAGCCTAAAGAGCCAACTATAAATGTCCTGAGCAGCCATCATCTCGTAAAATGGTACTGCTTTTCGGGCAGTCGTTTTCGTGAGAGTGGAAAGCAGCTTTGTGTCAGTTTTTTTGCTAGGAGGAGGTTTGATCTTTTCTGAGGGCTTTTGTGCCTGGCAGGTTTGGTGGTTCCTGAGGGCCATTGGTGATACTTTGAAGTTCCGCAGCTATCAGCGGGCACACGGTCTGAAATTGTCTCTAGAATTGTATGCATCCTAGTCTAATCTACTCCTTCAACTTTGGTTTTTACACACTAAGCTACTGTACTGGACGGCTAATGAGAGATTCTTTGACGCTCAAGCAGTTGCGCGCTGGTTGTGTTTGACAGTGGAGGCAGCGAGTGAGCCCTTGATTGGTCAAACTTGGTACTCCTTTCTCCACATTGGAGTGGGAGTTAGGCTTCCAGCAGGCTTTGTCTAGTTCATCATTGATATTTTTGGGATACGAGACCATTTGGCGAAGGGACCAAAATACCACCCTGCTTTTGGTAACTCTATCAGACATTTGATAGATCCCCTCGGGGCATGTTACCCGCAGTCTTTCAATCCCCTAGGGGAATTTTCCCTTGGGTGATTAAATCCTCAGGGGCTAACTCCCCGGGGACTTTATTGCCCTAGGTCCTCAAACTCCATGCTCCAATTTTTGCATAAAGCTTCTTTTCCCACAAAGCTCACATCTTTGAGCTCTGGGAAGGCTCGGGCGCTCGTCGATGGATCACGATCGCGACGTCTTGAACATCGATTCTCACGCACTCGATTCCCGTGCCAATGCTTCCCTCTTCCTCAAGGCTGAATTTTAATTCACACTCCAGTCCTAATCAATCTTGGCAATCTCTAAATTCAGAACTCGTTCAACCTAAAATATAGTGTCGCTTCATACTGGCTACTTTGACGTAGTATAACCCTCGGGTGCCCCAAAGAAATGTGATAATGATTGGTCAGCCGCTACTCTTTTCTCCACATTGAAGTTGTGGTTAGATGAAACCGTTGATTGGTGGATGATACCATCACATCGGGTACCAAGGTCCATACAAGGTACCTCTAGTCACTACCTTATCCGTACCCTCTAGTTAACCCTCTTGGGTTCCCTAGGCAACTATAGAGTACAAACAATCCATTTACAAAGGTACGGAAGTCTCCCTCGTTGATTGACTTCCAATATTTTGTCTAGGTAGTTTTATTGGTCTTGACTACGTGCGCAGCCTAAAACATTTAGTAACGCCAAGCGTCCGCTTCGCATATACGTATGAATAAGCGCCTTGCAGTCAACGGTCGCGATCACCTGACTTAATGATCTTCGACATCCTTCGCTAGTCTTTTGGAGATCCCATCATCTTCCAATATCTCCGAGTCAACATGAAACAGATTCATTTTGCTATCTCTTCCATCTTAAAGATGCTTACATGATAAAGCTGCCTTCCTTCCTTCAGATCATGTTGTCATCACTTTTGCGGTCTTTGCCCAAGCTCGGACGGAAGTGGAAGCCCCTTAATTTCTCCAACCCGAACTTTGTTCGGATACCTGAGCAGCACAAAATTGAAGAAGAGACCCTCCCAGACTATATTGCTTCCCGGTATTATCCTACTCGAATAGGAGAAGTCATCAAGGAACGATATCAAGTCGTAGGCAAATTAGGATTTGGATCTACCTCAACTGCGTGGCTTGCACGGGACATGAAGTGGGATCTCTATTGAGATATAACTACTCGGATCCAGTCTGCTTATGCACTACAATTACAGTGGCTGTCGTTATGTCATGCTCAAAATCTTCGTCCAGGCTTCGTCTATGGGCCAGCAAGTAGATGACGAGCTCAAGATGTATAGACGCATGGAGCAATCCCCAAAAGGCCATCCCGGTCGTAACGCTGTCAGAACGTTACTTGATACTTTTTACATCGATGGGCCTGAAGACAAGCATCGATGCCTCGTGCATCGCCCATTATGGGAGAGTGTTTTGACTTTCTTACGCCGCAACCCGGTAGAGAGGCTGCCTTCAGCGGTCGTAGCGTTCGTTCTTCGGCGCCTTTTTTTGGCGTTGGATTATCTACATACGGAGTGTCAGATCATACATACTGGTTTGTGGCCTGATCTGTCCTCCCTACTTCTATAACTTACTTACTCCTTTTTCTATTAGATATAAAGGCCGATAATATTATGCTCGGGATCAACGATGATTCGGTCTTTAGCGACTTCGAGGAGAAGGAGCTTCAACGCCCTGTGCCGAGGAAGGAGGTGGACATGGACGGGAGAACAATCTACATGTCCCGGGATCTTAGAATGCCTAATGATTTGGGTGCCCCAGTGCTATGCGATTTTGGTTCGGCCATGCTCGGCAACCAATACCACACGGAATTCATTCAACCTAATATCTATCGAGCGCCGGAAGTGATTCTAGGAGTTCCATGGACGTATAGCGTCGATATATGGAACGTGGGATGCATGGTATGATAAACAGCCTGATTATTACAGTGTGAAAATTGCTGAAAGCTAGGTCATAGATTTGGGACATTTACGAAGGTGGTTCCTTGTTCACCGGCCAAGACCCCGAATTTCAGAAGTATCGAAGTCGAGCCCACCTCGCTGACATGATAAATCTTCTTGGTCCCCCGCCGCCTAGTCTTCTTGCCCAAGGGGAGCTAAGAGACAAATTCTTCCCTGGTGAAGGCAAGTCAAGCTTCTTGTTATTAAGTATCTGGTGTATCCTGGTATCCAAATCCGCTAACTATATACGACTCTCCAGGTGATTTCCGCACTAAGAATTTATTAAAGGATCAGGTCCCGCTTGAGGAGCTGGAGACTACTCTCGAGGGAGAAGAGGAGAGAGAGGCTTTTTTACGCCTAATGCGAAAAATGCTGCAGTGGGAGCCCGGCAAGCGTAGCTCCGCTAAGGAGCTAGGGGAGGACGAATGGATACATAAGCATTTGTAATTAAGTATGCATCAAGAAATGAAATTCTACAGAGCCTTTGCCTGAGGACCGTGGCACCGGTGGCACCAGTGGCAGCGCGGCGAGCGGTAGTCGACACCGTCTCAGGCCTCGACTTATTTATCTACCCATTCCTTGCGGGCGACTTGCTTCGTCTGAGCCAAAACCATCTATCTTTTCTACTTCCTCCATGCTCAGTGCACCTTGGTCGACTGCTTCAGTCTAGAGTCTCTGCCTTCACCATGAAACCCGCTGAATTAGCGCGCACTTCATGGTGCGTCAAGAGGGCGTATCGCCTCAGCGTGACGCTCTGCCCGGAGAGAGTTTCCATTCAAGCAGGATATGAGCCCTTGGGTTCCAGAACTACGGAGTAGCCTCGAGTTCCAGACTAATCTCGAGTTCCAGGACGCTTTCCTAGTGCGTGTAATTTAAGGTACCAAAGCGGAACACATTAATCGGCGTTACATGTGGTCAATGATTGGGTGGAGCGGGGCGTGAGAAAGTCCGAGACCGAAGCATGGCGTTTATCTGCGCGCCATGACGCATGGTGCATCAAATCAAGTCAAGTTGCATTATATGATAACCCTCAACTTACGTGTATCGTTCAAATAATGTATGGCTTAAACTGGGAAAAACCTTTGAAGGCCCCAACACAAGAATGGTGTTGTTACATTTCTCGCGACGCTTTTCTGAGGGCAAGGGACAGGGCGAACAGTGCCCCTAGTATTGTTTGTCGACCACGTGGTGTAAGGTTGAGAATGATTGGCAGGGTACGTGGAGACGCGTCGTTGGGACTGCAAAAAGGACATTCCAGTATCCAGGTTTCGTCGCCAGTTAATTAAAGGAGAGAAGGGTCAGACGACTGACCGGCACCCTCGTGTCTGGAGGTCATCTCACCTTCCATGAACAATGTGGCTGCATTACGCTCAGACATGTTTTAAACCATCAACCTGTGTTGACAATATGTTCAACTACTAACTACCTTAGTTAGGCTTGATCAGTTTGCTAGATGGTAACTTAGAGAGCGGTACAGGCACCACGAGTCTCGAGGTCTCGGCAAGAGCGCCAGTCAGTTTGTGACGGGTAAGGTTAAACTGCCCATGACGCCACACGGAACATTTGATAAGGCTCCACCGCTTTATCGACAACTTGACCCTCCCTCTCTAGGGCGAAATTTATCTCCTACCCTTTGTGTCCCGCACAATCCGAATAGGAGTCCCTTGATGGGTGTTGAATTATTGACTATTATCTCTATTATCATTATCAATTGGGTGTCATCTTGTCTCTCCAAATCTTCGTGCCAGCAGGTGGATGGCGGGCCCATCATCTGTCTCAGTCATCTTCTACACTAGCTTGACAGTCACGACTCCCTAGTTTTAGTCCCGTCCATCCATCAATCATTTCTATAATCCATTATTATACTGAGCCTTTGGACACCATTGTTCATCTCTTTGTTTCTTTCTCGCATACTAGTAATAGTATCTCTCTTGCGGCCGAGTCTCCTTTTGATCGCAAGTCGCTCCGCTCCTTCCTTGAACGCCTATTACCCAGGTGTTGACTCATCTTTTGCCCGTTCGATTCGAGACACGCTTTCAAGATGCAGCGGTAGCGTTATTTGAACCTACAACAACATCGAATGGATTAAATGCGAGGGGTATAATCTGGGATCTTGACCTTTTCGATACTCCGATATTCCGCGACAGCTTTGGGCACATCCCAGTGCTGATATCTGGACCCTCTCGCAATGGAAAGCACGGAGAAGCCACCGGCTGCACAAGGCCAGGGCCAAATTCCCAAAGCAAAACGATCATGGATAAACCGTTTTCGCAGCCAACCTAGCGATGCAGCTGGGCATCGGGGCGGCGCGGAGTCGGTGGAAGATTTGGAGAATCAAAAGATTCGCCCGGCGAAATGGTGCTTGGGCATTTTGAATGACCCAGAGACTGTTGAAGTACCTGGTCAGTCTATTTTAAATTCCTATGCGCCCTCTCCAAACACGAGCTAATATGTGAGCTGTCAGGATCTGTACTGTTGCTCTCAACATCTGATCATAATGCTCCTTTGGGGCTTCGTAATACGCCCGCACGTACGTCGGCTTCTTCGATACCGTCATTTCGCTACCCTCCTCCGCAACCACGGCACAAAGCAGGGACACCAGCTGAAGAAAAGAAACGAACTGCGGATGGTCAAATCATTTTGGATCCACAACCGGATGACTCTCTCAATGATCCGTTGAACTGGCCCGCATGGCGCCGAGATTCTGCCCTATTGTCACTTGGTCTCTACTGTCTGCTTGGAGGTGGAATGACGCCAGTCCTTGCTGCGGGGTTCAACAATGTCGCGGCTGATTACCATGTGTCGATACCCAAAGTTGCCTTGACCACGGGATTGTACATGATGGGTCTCGGTGTTGGCTCTGTGATAGTGTCGCCGACTGCCATTATCCTTGGAAAGCGACCAGTCTATCTTTTGGGCGCTATAGTCTTTTTACTGTCATCCGTATGGTGTGCGCTCTCTCCCAATTACGCTTCCCTTGTCGTGGCCCGGGTTATCATGGGCATCGCAGTCAGTCCCTGCGAGTGTCTTCCTTCTGCTACTATTGCGGAAATTTTCTTCTTGCATGAAAGAGCATACCGAGTTGGCATCTATACGCTTTTGCTTCTTGGTGGAAAGAACCTCGTGCCTTTGGTCGCTGCTGCCATTATCCAGCGGTTAGGCTGGCGTTGGGTGTTTTGGTAAGTCTGGAATATCCCTGCCTTTGGAAAGCCCCTGTTAACAAACGGATAGGATCGTCGCAATTATTGTCGGCTTTTGCTTTGGACTGTTGTTTCTATTTGTTCCAGAGACTTTTTGGGACCGCACACCACGTCCAAAAAAGCAGAGACCCACATTGTCCGAACAGCTCTCGAGCGTACTTCATTACCACCACCACCACCGGCAGGAACCACATCGTAAATGTACGGGTACTCTGGGCGGGGAGATGGCTACGGATGCTGAGACTGAGAAATCAGTTCCCGGCACTCCGATCGCGCCAGCCTGCTCTGGTACAATAGCGCACAGACGACAACAGCGGAATGCGCATGTAGAGTTTACAGACGGCGATGATAAAGCCGATGGAGACGGCACGACGTCGCGGAAAAGTGAGGATGGGGTTCAGACACCCTTGACTCTTTCAGGATTTGGCTTCTCTCATACGAATTCCGCAGCAGCATCGGATCCACCAGCGCTACAGTCTGCACTATTTCCTGCTCGAGAAGAACAAGCTCTTTCTGAGCCGTCTGAACTCCATCACTGGCCTTGTCCAGCGTCGCATCAAGCTTCTTTGGCGGTCACAATGTCTGATTCAGGAGCGGGTGTCCGACCCAGCACACCAGATCTTCACAACTTCAATTCGCCATTTTACGAAGGTGTCCAGCGAAAGGACACGGACTATTTTAACAAGGATGGCGAACCCCTAGAGTCTCCACGGCGTGTTTCACGGTCTCTGCGAAGATTTACATTTCCTCTCAGCATGAAAAGTTCTTCTCATCATCGAAACTCAGCATCTCAATCTCGAATTCGGTCTCGGCCTGCTACAGCTGACGGGGTAATGTCGCCGCCGCTACCACTGTCGATGCGATATACCAAGGAATTGCAATCGCAGCCACCAAAGTCTTTTGTACAGACTCTGAAACCGTGGAACGGGAGGTTGCGGCATGAACACTGGTTTCGGATCGCGTTTCGGCCTTTTATCCTGTTTGCCTATCCGTCCGTGCTGTGGAGCACGGTAATTTATTCGCTCAGCGTTGGCTGGTTGATTGTGCTGTCCGAATCTGTGTCTGAGATTTACCGCAACAGAGAGACGTACAATTTCAGCTCGCTCTCGGCGGGGCTGATTTACGTTGCGCCCTTTGTCGGCGGCGTGCTCGGAACCGCCGTGGCAGGCCGAGTCTCAGACATTATTGTGCGGTACATGAGTCGCCGCAATGGTGGGGTGTATGAGCCCGAGTTTCGGCTCGTCATGGCCATTCCCATTGCCATTTCGACCAGCATTGGATTAATGGGATATGGATGGAGCGCTCAGATTCACGACCACTGGATCGTGCCGACAATCTTCTTTGCCATTATCAGTTTCGGCTGCTGTCTCGGCAGCACCACCTCCATTACCTTTTGCGTCGACTGTTATCGGCAGTATGCGGGCGAGGCCCTGGTCACTATGAATTTTTCAAAAAGTAGTTCCCCCCGCGTCCTCTTGTCCCTGCACGCCATTTCCATGTCCCATTTCCCGCGCCGTTCCGAACGTGTTCTTCGTATGCTAACCTTGATGGTCTAGATATCTTTCATGGCCTCGTCTTCTCGCTCTTCTTCAATCGCTGGCTCGCCGCTGATGGCGCCAGGACCGTCTTTCTTTCCCTGGGCGGGATCCAGCTGTTCTGCCTCTTGTTCACGATACCCATGTACATTTTTGGTAAAAGAGCGCGCATGTGGACGGTCCGACGGAACCTGATGGAGAAGTTTTGATTTTTTTTTTTTCCTGCTGTTCGTCCCGAACGGTCCACCCAACATTTCAGTCGAGACCTTTATTTTTTGTTTCATTGTTTTGTCTTGTCACACTTGAATAGAGTTGACGAGTAAAGGCGCTTTACTCGTCGCTTTTATTTTCCGTCTCTTGGATATGGCGTTTGTCGTTTGTCGGTTTGTTGGTTTGACTCGGGTTGTCTCACTTGAGCTGTCTTTTTGGCAAAGTGCATTGGATCTGCCAAAGTGTCTCAGCCTCTCGTCTGTAGCCACAGTGGCACTTGATGTGTATAGTAGCGCGTATGGTGTATGGTAGCTTTGCGGCCCTTTTCTCTTTTTTTTTTTATTTTGGGTTAGGTTGGGTTGCGGGGCGGGGAGGAGACGAGTAGATCCGTGGCATTTGCATTTGCATTGACAATGGCGTCAGGTATACTACAGCCTGTATTCACATTGGATGCTTGAGTCGAGATTTGACTGTTAGACCATCACGTCATGTTCGACCTCAACACACTCAACACACGCATTTGAATACGTTCCATACGTGTATGACAAATGAGAAACGGAGTCTCCGAGTATAGTATAACTATAACTATAACTATAACTATAACGTATATGTATGATATGATCATCCAGAATTTTTATTATCCATCTACCATCGACCCAAAAACAGGACAGGTTCTCAGTCGTCGGTCGTCAATCGTCAGTCGTCAGTCCCATCTCTGAATGGCCGCTTCGCTCGTCTTGCTGCTTTTGCGGCATGCGCTGCGTGGCGCGACATTTCGAGCAACACCGCAGTAGGCAGCGGCCGGTTCTCGTCAACGACCTTGCTCCACTGCATTTGATGTGGAGAGTCACAGTCGTCGTCCCCGTGGTCGTCGTCATAGTCGTCGTCTAAAAGTACGGCTTGGTCGAGGAGAGATGCGCATTCGGACGGGCGGTTTGAATGCTGAGCGGTGTACTCGTTTGGTGGGGAGTATGAGTAGGATGACGATGAGGAGGATAAGTAAGAGGAAGAGGAAGGAGAAGATACGAATGAACGCGACGGCGTGGGCGCAGCGGGGAGATGCTCGTCTAGAATTTCTGGCTCTTCGAGTGTAGGGGTGTATAGATCTAGGTCGTACGGCTCGTCGGACCCGTCAGACCCGTCAGACCAGTTGGATTCGTCGGGTTCGTCAGGATTGTCGGACGACTGTGTCTGAGCATGACACGGTGCGTCTAGCCCCTCGTCGGAGGAGGATGGTCGTAGTGCAAGGAGAGAATGTTTCCAGAGTGAAATGTAGTTTCTGGATAGAATTTGTATGCCATCCAGTAAAGTGGACTGTGTGCCGTCCAGCTGACGTGCGTCCTCTGATGGTTCTGAGGTGGAGACTTGCGGGGCGGAGGAGGAGGACGAAGAGGAGGATAGAGGTGCGGCGAAAAGGAGGTGAGAAAGAGCGAGGAGAGTGAGCAGGGAGAGGGTTTGTGGTTTCATCTTAAAAAAGAAGGGGTTTTTTGAAATAGATGGAAAGAAAACAAAAAGATGAAGTAGAATTGAAGTGAAAGATGTGAAATGAATGAAATGAAATGCAATAAAATGAGGGAAATGAAGAAAAGGAGAAAAAATGAGACGATTTGAAAGAAATGAAGAAAAGGAACAGGAACGAATAAAGGGAACGCAATTGGCTGGTGTCAATTGATAGATTGAGTGGTATAGTATTTTTTGAGAACAGTGTCAGAGATCAGCTACGAAGATTAGTAAATCCATTACTGTAGAATGCGAGGTATAAGAAAGTGTCGTTGGACAACATACAGATAGTCGTGATGGTATATGTGAAATTGATCATTTGTAGCGTGAGTGGTAGGAGTAGAGGACCAGCTCACATTATGCATACAACGAAAATGCAAACGATGGAAAGAGGGGAGAAGGTTGGATAGAAGGTGGGATAGAAGAATGTGGTGTATATGTACGAAGAATGAATGAAAGGATGGATGGATGGATATGGTCATGAAGCTACTTGGGTGAGCACTGAGCACAAATTGATTCGACAATCGGCAGGCTGAAACACGACAGGGTAGGGTGATAATAGTGGTGACCACAACCGGCGGAACGCATCTGTTTCTTCAAAAGTTCCAGACACTGGGCTGCCACATTGTTGTCCCATCTTTGCTGGCCAGGCGGGTCTCTGTCAGGGTCATGGTTATGGCCTTTAATAACGGGACAATTCCCATCAGTATCGCAGTAAGTATAGTATAGGGCTTACGGGGATGCCAGGGGAAATAAAAAAAAGAGGGGACATTTCTACCTCGGATCATGTTCGTATTAATTTATCTCATTTGTGCTCTTCCTCGTTCCGTGTCCGTCCGCCCCGTTGACAATGTTGATCAGCCCCAATGTGTCATCGAAATGACGGATGATGGACTATCGTCGTATTGGTGGATGAGATTTCCCTTTTCCCCGCCGAGGCGCAGCTGCTGCCTAGAGGAGTAGCCCTACAGCACTGCGCCCTTTGACAGATTCCACAATGATCATCTATCATCATCTTTTCCCTTTTTCTTAAGAGTAAAGAGTACTGGCATTGATTGAAGAGATAGTGTTAAGATATAGGGATATACAATAATGTTAAGGTATTGATGATGTGGATGATCCCGAGAGCCAAGCTTTTACCGTTGACACTAAACGTGACTAAATCATGGGTGTCTGCGCCATCCCATTCCTCTCTGATTTGACACAATTATTAGTCCACATATCTTACATCCAAACTACAACGTTGACTACAACAACATGATGCACGGCCGCTGAATCCATGCCAGCTTTCCACGACGCGGCCCCGTCTGCGCAAGGGGACGACGTCTCCTCTCACCAGCACCGCAACCTCTCCGTTCCGTCTCCTCCTCTTGCTCCTGCTCCTTCTCCTCCGTCATCCCAACCCGCCTTGTTGCACCGCACCACCAGCTCCGACCCAAACAGACTTGCCCCCGAGGACGCCTTTTTCGCACACTCGCCCCCGCGTCGTCGCCAACAACAACAGCAGCTCGTTGATGCAACACAGGCGCCAAAGCAATTGGTCTCGCAGGGTCTGTCCAATGGATCGTCGTCAACTTCGGCCGCAGCCGCCGCGGCGCTGGTCGCCAGTCGGGTGCGCGCCAAAGAACGCGGTCGCAGTGGCAGTCGCCGACGGAAAGGTGCTTGGAAGAAGCTCCTCTGGGTGAAGCAGTCTTGTACGTTTCACTTGGTTAACCGGGTCTTCAATTACTGTAAATACTGACTATTACGACCAGATCCCGACAACTACACCGACGAAGACACCTTTCTCGATCACCTCCAACGCAATCCTCGTCTTCAGCCCTACGAATTCTGGCCGCTGTTTGCCGATTCTACCGTCATCGTCCAGCACGTATGCTCCGTCATCATCTTTGCCTGCTGCTTCACCGGCATTCTCCAAGAACGAGTCTCGCCCCTCACGGTTGTCACATGGGGCAGTCTCGGCACCATTGTCGGCTGGGTCTTGTGGGATCGCTGGATCTATCAAGAAGAGGCGGCGCGGGTAGCCAAGGAACCGGGTCTGGATAATGAAGCAGAAGAGGCGGTGTCCAGTTTGAGCAACAGTGCCAGCGCCAGTTCGTCGACCAGTCTGCCGATTTCAGGTGCTGCTCCTGCTACGACTGCCACTGCTCCCCCACAACCATTAGGGCTTGGCCTGACCATCCCCGGCGCGTCGTCGGGCATTCTTGCTCCCTCGGCCAATGGTAGCTCACATCATACATCGTCGTCTTCCTCCTTTTCTCCCGTCACCACTGGCCATCCGACCGGCGCTCCGACATTTCCCAATTACAGCCGCTTTCCACCGCCCGGAGTGACCGAGTCATCTGCCTTTTCACCGCGAAACCAACAACGTCTGGCCACTGCGAAATCGGCACTGCTCATCTACTGTGCACTATTGGGTCTCAGTCCGATCCTAAAGTCCCTTACAAAGTCCACCACGAGCGACTCCATCTGGGCCATGAGCTGCTGGCTCATGTGTATCAATATCGCATTTTTTGACTATGGCGGCGGAGTAGGCGTAAAGTACGTTTCCTTTGTTCTTTTCCCTTGGATGCTACGCTTCCCTGCCAAATTTCCGTCCCATTAAGTCCCCTTACTGACTGGCTGACAGATTCCCCGCGTCGCTGTCGACCAACGCAGCGGTCATGGCATCCACCGTGCTCGCATCCCGACTGACCTCCACCCTGCACGTCTTTTCACTGACCCTCTTCTCCATTGAAGTCTTTGGCCTGTTCCCCGTGTTCCGCCGCCACCTCCAGCACCGCTCGTGGCGCGGCCACGTCGTGCTGACCATGGCCCTCATCATGGGCGCCAGCGGCAGTATGGGCGTGACCATCTCCCGAGGCGGCTGGAAAGCAGCCACCCTGGGCGTCATCCTCGGCAGCATCCTCACCGGGCTCGCCATGGGCGGCTGCAGTTGGTGGCTGATTGATTTGCAAAAGTACAAGAATGAGATTCGTGGGCCGTGGGATCCAGCCCGGCCCGTCATTCGACGGCGTTGGGACTGATTTTCTATTTACCTTTCCTGTTTATTTCCTCCGTTTAATTTCCTTCTTTTTTTTTCTATTCCTTTTTTTCCCCTTTAATTTCCTCTTTTTTAAAACCGTTATATGTTAAGATACCATGACTGTATATTATTGTATTTTATGACTATTGCCTTCATTCATTCAGCATCTGTTACTTCACTACGACCTAGTCTTCCACGATTGCCGTTGCGCCCACGTTATTACGTACTGCCCCATCCCCGTATCTTATAGTTGGTCACTTGCGCTACCAACTCCACTACCACTCTAACCCGCACTCTCATACCCTCAAGTCTAACACCACCACCACCATACACACGCTAATACCGCTTGACAAGCGCCACACAAAACTTGCCAAACTCGCCATGCGTCCTGTCCGCCACATCCTGCTCCAGCGCCACCCCGTACTTGCGCCGATAGTCCGCCTTGACCAAGTCCAGGTGCGGCCGGTCCCAGTGCACGCGCACCAGGCGGGACACCAGCAGCTCCGTCCTCTCCGGGACGACTTTACTCGAGGTTGACATAGCGGTGGTAGTACTACTAGCCACGCCCGTGGGATCGTAGTTTGCCAGGGCGTGGTGCAGCAGCATCGCGTCCCGCATGGGCCGGTTGATTACGCCGTTGAGAATGTGTGCGAGGATTTCGCCCTTCCGTCCACTGTTAGTCCGATTTGACTCTGACTCTACTTGACTCTGATAGCGTTTCTTGACTTGACTCCTGACTTCTGACCCCCACGCCCTGCCTCCCAGGTCTTGAGGTGTCATGTCGTTTTCACGTAAAGACAGACCGGGAATACACGGGTTAAGAGTGACGGTAACGGTGAAGTGAGCGTGAAGGCAAGGGTAAAGGTGACGGTGAGGTCAGGGTAAGGGTAAAGACAAGGGAAACGGGAATTTGAAGGGTAAAGGTGAAGCTAATTGGAAAGAAAGAAAGAAAGAAAGAAAGAAAGGAAACTTACGACAAGATTCGTGCTCTTGCGCAACATATCCCTGGCGAAATTACGGCCATACGTGGCCTCGTACACGCGCAGGACCTCCTTGAGATGGGCATCGCTGCGGAGCACCACTATCTTGATCATGGCCGTCTCGCCGCCTTCTTTTGCCACGAGGCTTCTATACAATTCATCCGCGTCTCTCTTCACTCCCCTCGCATCCACCCCTCTCCCGTATACTCCTCCTCCCACCCCACCCGCCCCCACCCCCGGAGCATCCTCCTGCCGTCTCTCCTCCAAGACCAACAACATCGCATAACGAAACTTATTCGCCGGCAGTTCCGCCTTCATGCACTTCTCGAGACTATTCCCATACCGCTTATCGCTAAACACGTCCTTGATGGCGCGCACTTCTGCATTCGAGCGGCCCATGAGCGCCTCAATCAGCAGTTCTCGGCGCGACGTGTTGCTCTGGTACCAGAAATTCGCCCAGTACGCCTCGCTCTCCCAGCGGCCCAGCGCGGTCGCGTAGCACGCTTTGCCAAAGGGCCCGCCGACTTTGACTTTGATGTGTTTCGCGAGGTTGACGCCCTTGCCGCCTGGTGCGATGCACGATTCTTTGTACGCGGCGCGCAGAAGCAGCATTTCGTCGGAGGTCAGGCGTGGGAGGATCGAGATGAGGGGGGCGGTGGAGGTGAAGGTGCGTGTGTTGAGTGCGGCGATGAGTGTGGATGCATCGGAGGTGATGGAGTGGAAGGCGACGGATTTGGGGCCGCCGACAGAAACGCGCGAGGAGGACCGGTGACGGGAGTGGGAGATGCGGGAAGATGAGCGGTGACGACGGTGCCGGGAAGGGGAAGAAGTGGAGGAGGATGAAGAAGAGGAGTGGTAGTGGTAATGGGGGTCAGAGGGGAAGGCGTCGAGAGAAGGAATGTCGTCGAGAGAGGAGTGAATAGGGTCAAGAGAGCTGGGCAGCATCATCGGAGACGGCATGGGTGACATGCTTTGATATGTGCCGTGGTAGGCTTCGAGCAGTGGTGAGCCGGGCGGAGCGTGGCCTGGGAGGAACGATGCAGAGGGAGCGCCGGCGCCACCGCTGACGGAGAGGCGGTGCATGCGTGGTGTGAGAGATGTGAGGCTGCTGGAAGGAGTGTGACTGTGGCCGTGGCCGGGACCAGGGCCGGGAGGAGGGTGCGGAGGTGCTCCGCCAGGACGAATCTCAACGACGTGGTGTCCTGGGCCAGAAGGACCTGGACCAGGAGAAGACACGCGGTGGGCAAGAGGTACGTAAGACGGCGATGGAGACGGCTTGGCCGCTACATAGGAAATATTCTGCGGTGGCTGCGCGTACGGGAATTGGCCAGGCATGCTTGCCCCCGACGAGGGAACGCGGTGCACGTCCGGACGGGCAGTGTAGTTGCTTGAAGGGGCAGCGTATGGCGGAGACGCAGGAAGCGTTGCGTACGACGCCTGCGGGGAGATTGGAACAGCATAATTCTGTTGCTGCTGCTGATACTGCTGCTGTGGAGATGTAGGTCTACTGTTGCCATGACCGTGGCCGAATTGGACGCTAAAGTTACCGCTCGCGCTCAGTGATGTAGATCGATCATGGCTTGGACGTGCGCCAGGTGCGCCAGGGGGAGGGGGAGGAGGGGGAGGAGAGGCGTAATTATATCCTCCCGGCATAGAATACTCAGGATGAGGCATGTAATCCCCCGGCCGAGCGTAGTTTGGGCCTGGCATCTGCGGCTCGGCGCTCTGGCGGTACGTATCTATGGCAGCATGCGTATAATTGTCCGCGTGGGCGTATATCGAATGTACACCCGCCCCGGATTGGCCGCGGTGGACATCATACTGAGGCGCGCTGGTCTGCGTGTATGACGTTGGAGGAGAAGCAGACGAGCCCGGCCCTGCGCGAGGAGCGGCATACTGATATGATACCGGCGCGGCGTATTCATAGTCGTACCCGTGCCGATCTGGCTCCTCGGGAGCAGCAGCAGCAGCAGCATAAGGATTCGGCGACGGCGCGCGGGAGTGTGAGCGTGAGCGCGATCTCTCGCGGCCGCCGGGAGACTTGGACCGCCCACGTGCGCGAGCATCATGCGCTGAAAGAGACATTCTCGGGATGTCGTAGTGTCGTAGTAATGCTGTAACGTCGTAAGGTGAAAAGAAGGGTATCAGGAAATCAAGATACAAGACAATTCAGGAGAAGACAGTAAAGATATGATAAAGTCCGGCAAAAGGAATATTCGTCGTGGCACAAGGCGGGGTATCCAGGCGGTGAAGCTCCAAAGCGATGCTGATGAGGATGATGATGCGGGGCAGCAATTTCAACACTGAAGCACTGAAGCACTGCTCAGCAACAGCGACAAGGACGAAGCAATTGAACAGAAATATTGCGATCTAATATACTCTGTATATCGGCCAGAAAAAGAAGCAGCGCGCGCACGCGACAATGATACAAATAAAGAAAGAGAAAATTAAAAAGAGGGGCTGGTCTCGGAGCGCAGCACGATAATAAATAGTTTTCTCAATAGAGTACTCTGTACCATAGCTCTCTCTTCTGGGTCAGCAAGCAAGCACGGCTAGACTGTGGATCTGATCTCCACAGGGTTCTTTGCTCTCTCCACAAGGGACCCTCGGACCCCTTTGGTCAATTTCGGTCGGTTGAACCGCGCGCGACGGCAGGTTTGCGGCACAGTGTTTGACCAGAGGATATCCCTGGTGAACGCATATGAGATGTCAAATTTCTCTTCTTTCTTCGTAGAGTAGATATTTCGAGATACAACTCGAATTAGAAAATGCTTGAATAGACGACCTAAATTATCGTGAAGAGGTCGAGTTTCAGATTGGTTAATTTTGGCCCCCACATGATCATTTCCGTTTGTTCAGCCTCGCGTGCACCCTTGCAGGCAGGTCGCAGGCAGGTTGCAGGCAGGCCTTGTGCCCGTCCGTATGAACTTTGACTGTTGCTCAAGGACATTGAGTACGTAGTATGAGCGCATTATTTCAGATGCTATAGAAGCATTGTCATCGCCGTACATGGCCTGGCAACTCGTCAGTCAAGAGAACAATCCAATTCAAGCGATGACAACAACAGATTAATCCTGCTCTCACTGCTTCTGTCAATTCGCTCGTTTCCGGGATCGAGCCGTGGTTAGTGAGTCGTAGTGGTTGTTCTAGGCCGAGACCAAGGCCCTTCTCATGAGCCACCACTGTTGCGGCCGAACGACCCATCGAAGTTTGTATGGCGCCTCCATAGTGAGAGAGAGATTTCTACGACATCCAAAGCGCAGGGTAAACGAAACCTTGGATTATGTATTTACTATTACGAAACTGTTAAGCAAATATCAATTACATTATCATATGGCTCACTCACTCGTTTTCAGGAAAAATTTACATAGATTACATTGGGATAATGATCAATAATTGAAGTCTAACTAGACTCTAGCTTTGCGCGAGACGAACTGAAATGCAGGCTAGAGGATATCACATCGTAACGTCGTAAAACGTCGACAAGAAGCTGGATAATCGGTAGAGCGCAACGTGTACCATCTGCTCCGGACTGCCAACCATGACGACATCAATGTAATAACATGTCTCCACAACAGGTGAACACAAATAAGGCTTCAAACAAGCAAAAGGGGGGCAAACGTGAAATGGTGAATATTAAGGAAATTGGCAAGGGGATTTGAAAATTGTCAGAAAAGTAAATGACGGGAAATGTAAGAAAGAGTCGAAAAGAGGAAATTAAGCCTTGTGATGAACAAGCATCTGAACAAGACCAGTAAATCCTCAAGGCTAAGCGCGAATATTGACAAGCAATGCGCAGCCCATGCCAGTCTGTGGATTACAGAGCTCGCCCGGCGCTCAGGCGCTCGGTCCTCCAACTCTCATACCACTGCTCGCGGCTGGCCTCCTTCAATTCGGCACGCCAGTCATGGAAGACAGACTCATGAAGGCGGCGAAAGTCACAGTGATCGAGATTGTAAGGATCAGCAAAGCCCCAGGGGAACTTGCGACCAACTGCACCAGGCTCGTAAGAGTCGGGACTAAGTACTGACATGGGCAGAAACGGGACCGCCGCTGAATCAATGGATCCTTCTTTAGAGCGGGATGGGAGCAGAGGCGAATCCGTAGAGGCATCCGTAGAGGCTGATGTGGACGGAGAGCCCGGCTGAATCATGTCTCCGTGCTTCACCGCAAGATGGCCATGATCGCTGGTACTGAATTCATCGTGAGCATCATTAACATTAGAATCATTGGAGCTACCGGAAGGCGAGTGAGGAAGACTCTTCTCGGAGGCTCTGACTTCATCATGGCCGACACTGTCATTGCTGTAGCTTTCGACATCTGAAACCTCGTCCTCATCTGCCTCATCAATGACGTCGTCATTGTCGTCATAATCATCATCATTCTCTGGACCATAGCTATCCAGTCCGAGCGCTTCAAGAGCAATATCGGCTTGCTTGAGACTCTCCCATACAGCCTTTTTGAGAGCGGCCATATGGGTGGCAGTGACGGTATCGGCTTTTCCAATCACTGGAATAATTGTCGTCTTGCCTTGCAAGGTACGCAAGACCTGAAGGTCAAGATCCGCATCAAGAGCACCCACAATCTTTGAAGTGGTCGTCGCCTTATTGTAAATTCCCTCTGCATTCGAGTTTTTGTTGGCCTCGGCAAGATTCATGTCCAAGCGAGCAGGGTCCAGAATGAGAATGGCACAGTGGATATGAGGATCCGCAATGCCAGGAGCCCGAATAACTTTCATTTCCTCGGAAAAGGTCTGTTCAAATTTGCTGTCAACAAAGGCTGCCATCTCGCGGAGCTGCAGATCAGCGACACTCTTTTCCAGGCCTTCAGAGTCCCAGATGGTAAGACCAATGCGCTCCCCATCAATCTCCGTCTCGAGGTAATTTGACTGGAAAGCCGGATGAAGGCTGCCAGCGTGAGTTTGGAAGTGCCCATCTTGAAGCCTGCTGGCGCCAGAAACGGAGGATCGAAGAAAGTTGACAAAGGAAGTCTTGCCGGCGTTCTTGGCCCCAATGACAAGTATACTGTATTACACATTAGCAAGTGAACAGCAGCAAGGTATCTCAGTCGACGTACTTGAAATGGGTGGGATCCTTTCTGCGACGAATGCGACGTGGGCTGTTGATTGTGCTCATCGTACTAGTCGCGTAGCTTTCCCTGCCACGATTCGTCATGCTCATTGTTCCCGCGTATGGATCAAAAGGCTCAGCCAGACCCGTAGTGGGTGGCGAGCTGGGAGGATGAGGTGAGACTGGGGCAATTCTCGCTGGAGGGCTGGAATAGAGACTCTTCGAGTCCGTCATGGTAAAAGGACTCTGATTGCGATACTTGGGCGTTGTAAAACCAAAGACGTCCGAATTTCCAGCAATGGTTTTGAGTTGCGGTTGAGGTGCAAGATTGGGCAATTGCGGAGCTCGTGGACTGGTGATTGAAGGCTCACGATGCTGAGATTTACTGAGCCTCGAGCGAGAGCGACTGCGGTTGCCACGGAGAGCTTCGCCGGACCTGCCACGCCGAAGAAAGCCGAAACTGCCACGGCGTTGAATGTCACTCGGCTGCGGCAATTGACCGTTGTATTCGCGGATAGGGAGGAGTTTCGATGTATCCGGGGAAGATGATAAAGTCAATCCGGTACCAGAATCTGGGGTAGTTGCCGCGGCGGCCACCATCTTGAACAACGCGGGATGGGTCCAGTGGATCCAAACAAAGCCAACAATGGCTCGCCAGTCAGATTCTCGATCAGGTGCGAGCCAGAAGCAATCGAAAGATGGGCCTTCTGTGTGAGCCCCCAGAGGCAGTGTGGCTACCGTCAACTGTCGGCCTTTCGTCGTTGTGCCGTGCAGTGGATTGACGGAGCAGAGCAGAGGAAGAGACAAGAATGAAATTTCCCTAGTTTCAATGTGTCAGTCAGTGTGCAGAACCCCGGGCAATTTTTCGATCGCAACAATTGATCATACTCAATGTCGATAGCTGATTACACCCTGCACTAGACCGCTAAACCCTGCAGGTAAATGACAGGGCCCATCTATCATTCGCGTGGTCAAATAAAGGCGGTGGTATGTTTAGTGTGGGATCATGAGGGACAAAGAGGTTGACAGTGGAAGAGCACAAAAACGGATAAAGACGTGGAATAACTCCATCGCTGCTCCCCCCACGGGTCTCTCTTTTCGCTGCCCAGCTTTTCACGGTCAAGTGAATGTTCCAGTCAGGGGTTTCAGAAGAGTAAAGGAAAGATCCATCAAGGTGACACGGCTTGAACGCAGACTTCTGCCCAATCACATCTCTCCCCGGTCAAACTGCTTGTCACAGCAATCTGCCATATTGTGTGACAAAGACCTGGTTACTCCGATATTCGAGCAGTGACCCTGTCGGTTATGACGCTCCTTCATGATCCTTTCATTAGCACGAGGAAGATTACTGGTAAAGTATCCCATCGAGCGATGAATGGAAAGCGGCTAAGATTAATCCTGGTAGTCTGAAACCACCATCATTTCCCGACATCATCTACCTGCCTGCCCTGGATCGCAGCCTATCGGTACTTGGATGAGTCTCATCCATCCTAAAATGTTTGGATGTCTGGAGACTACTTAAATGCAGACTTTCCGGTGACATTTGATTTGTGCAGATATTTGGTTGATGATTTTTCGCTCTTTGCATCAGATCAAAAGCGATCAGGGGCAGCTACAGTTAGTAAGTTACCGATTAATTTGTTTATCAATGACTAGCTATTCCACCCCTTGCGCTATGGCAGCTTACTGGACAGGCTGACCAGGCCCACATGGTTCTTTGATCATCTCAGACCACAAATCAAGCGAACAACCTAAACGCCCTGCGTCCTCGCCAACGGAAACCACTCCGAAAAGGGTTCCTCACAAGAACCTTCATGGGCCTAGAACTGGCCTCACAATACAAAGATATCCATTATCCGGACATACTTGAGTGCGATTCAGCTGTTTGTCAGCAGGTCCAGTAGGGCCGCTCGTATATTTGGCAAACCCAAAGAATTCGCGTTGCCTTGGGTCCGAGTCGGGATACTGCTGGTCTCCCCACTGCCCCGCATAAAGGAGATACCCGACCGGCTCGCTGGAACTATATGGGGAGAATGACGACGAGGCCGCATCGTAGCGGTACCAATAGGCGTTGAGCGTCGGGTCCCATCTCACGCCTTGATCACAGTGGTCTTCGATCAGGCCTTGGTCGAGGTTGAGATCTGGGATTGTGTGATCGTGCGTCCTACATCATCAGCTCAAGCTCTTCAAAGAAGTGTTGATGGCGACTTACCCAGCTGTAGCATAAACAGCATGTGTTCCTTTTGCGCTATACGCCACCACCTAAAACAAATTTCACAGTGAGCATATCGAAGGCCGAAAGGAACAGGAGAAGGGGAAGGGGAAAAAAGATTGTTCATCACTCACACGTTGACCCTGCTTCTCTAAGCAGTTGTATGTAAAAGCCTCTCCATTGTCATGCTGGCTAAACCAAACAGCTTGCGGAATACCGTTCTTGAAGCGGATCATGTTATGCTCCCTGTCCAACAATTAGCCGTACATCATTTTCTCAGCAGAGAAGCTAACCAATCTCCAACATGATCACCTAATTCCTGACCAAGTACAGTGTCGCCTTGATTGTACCTGCGCAAAGTTAGAGAAGCTCTCCATTTCGGCAAACATCAAAAGAGGACGAACGCATAAAAATAAAAATAAAATGCGTCAACGTTGCCGGATCCATGATCATTGACAACAATCACTGAGCTCACAGCACCATTTGTCTTGCCTGTCGCATCGGGAACGATACCATTCAGCCACGCAGGCGCCTTGGTGATATCGTCTACGGAAGTGAGGTAGACATCCTTTCCGCCATCGGCGTTGAGCGCATTGAGGTTGTCCAAGGTAAGCGGATTAGGCAAGTCTTTGACTATGGTGAAGTTTACTTCTGGTTTCGTATGTACTAATTGTGCGCCGATATCCGAAGGATGGTATTGTTCTGAAGACTGCAGCCAGACAAGTGGAGCTGAAGTATCCATAAGTAAGCCCCTTCACTGTCTTTCATTGCTGTGCGGCATATGGAGTTCAATACGCACCATATTCCAGAACATAATTTGGTACTCCCGCCTGTCTTCGTTGTAGCTCATGCTCTGCATTATCGAATGGTCCTTCAACAGCCAGGCTCGCAGTCAGCGTTGACAGGAATAGTATCACTCGTCGAAGACTCATTATGGACGACATGTTTAGTTTTTTGCAGCAAGCACAGTCAAAGAAAAGTTGAAGCACGGCAGTCTCTACCATAAGGGAGCTCTTAAAGCATCAAGAAACAATAGACAGATATATTTGCACCTCAGCATCCTGTCTACACTCGTCCTAATAAATGAATATTGGCAAAGCGACCATCCTTTAGCCACATGGGCCCCCGAGATCTATACGCAGGTGCTTCAAGCCAGCAGCATAACCATGGGGAAACCGACCAACAAGATACTAGGAGACTAGCACGCCGATAAATCCCAGCTCCAAAAACGCGACATGTGGACAGTAATTTATGTTTTGCGTGTTATCCAATGACGACAAGTGACACGCTCAATGACCAAAGAAGCATCATGGCACCTTCCGTATAATGCAGCCGCCCGTGTGCGCAAGCAAGACATGAACATATAATAAACTGTACGACACTGAAAATGCAGATAAATATGGCGTTCTTCATCTCCGACGATATCAAAAACTGGCCAATAGAAACGTAGGTTGACGCCTCGTGGCTGATCACGGCAAGATCAAGGTAACTTATGCAGGGGTATATCTTCCGAAGGTTACGGAGGTAGGCTGCCATGTGAAAGTGCCAGCTGAGCTACCCTCGACCATTAATTAGTTAGCGTTTGCTTAGGGTTCACTTTAACTATTTACCGGCGCATGCAGTGAGATTTGTCTATTCCAAATTGCTATGACGTTTGATATCTAGGGAATTTATTTAAGGGGCACCGTTCCACTGACAACTATTTTCTTTTGACAAAGGAAAAGAGATTGCGCTGCCTTCGACCTGTGCCGCAATACTGGTCAGGTGGCCACGCATCCATGCCTGCCGCATCCCACAGAATGGACCGGGATGACTGGAAAGCCCCATTCTCATCGCGCCTCAGAGTGATAAACAGCCCATGGTCCGTCAAGATATAACCATATCGCGCATCCAGTTGAGCTGGCTCAGAATTTGGAAAATGCTGCCTACATTGAAAATATAACCAACCTTGAGTCACCCTCAGTCACACGCTGCAGAAGAAGGAGCAGCACCAATTGAGCGTTGCCAAATCCCTGTGTGCATATAGGCAACTATGCAGCGCAGAAGCCATCTGGACGCCCTGTGCGCTTCTCCGCACGCAGGCAGGCACTCATTATCACCTGCTATCCAGATCGATGAAGTATAAATTTCGGTGATGGAGCCCCCGAGAAGAAATTCATTCAGCACTGCCAACACTTCTTCAAGTCGTACAGATTCTAGAAATTATTTAAATCATTTTTGATATCTCTCTGAGGGTCGGCCCTAATCGAAACAATGTGCTACTACGTTGACACTGTTTTCCTCTTTACCGGGTGCACCGTACCCGGAAGACATCGAGTCACCGATCGTGCCTACGTGATTTGCTCGAACCCACGCCCACTGGGAACATCTCGCCACTGCTATGATGCGACAGCGAACCCGAGCATCATATTTGGTTCTTCTTTGAGGAGCGAGGAGTGTCCTGTCTGCAAAGGCACCAAGGCCGAGATGACAGTGGTAAGCTCTATAAGACAATCTATCATTCAACTCCGAGAGCTGACGTGTATGACATAGTCTTATTATACTCAGCGCTAGCTCAGCCTTCCAAACGGGCTACAGAGAAATGATCACCTTCATTGCGATCGCAGCCATCTCATCAAGAAATAACTCGCTGCCATGGTCGACGCAAGGAGGATCAAGGCTCTTTGGCTTCTGCCGAGGGTATCGAGAATATCTGCGCTCTGTTTGTGTGGTTCAGCCTTGGGAAGAGACTCCAGATCAGCTAGCACATCATCTGCGGTGGCATAAGTGCCATGCCAACATCCACGGATGATGTTGCCGACGGGGAGATGGTTGACGTCTGCGTATTGTTTATTTTTGAATCTCTCTTCCACTACCTCGTCCGTTTCATCTCTGTATGGTGCATTTGTTGTCCAAATTTCATAAATGACAGACCCCAATGCAAAGATTTCTGTCTCGACAGTTGCATAGTGAAATGGTTCAGTCCGTGACCTTCGCTCCGGGCCAACAATAGGTCGATTTCCATCATAAGCTGAGCCAGCAAAGTCGGTCAACTTGAGATTGTCATCCTTGTCCAGGAGGATGTTGTGGCAGCCAAGATCTCCTTGCACAACGCCCTTTCGGTGGACATGCGCCACACCTTCTGTGACCTGACATGACCAAAGTAGAGATTGGGCGTATGAAGGTCGTTCTCCTTGGCCCCGCAAATCATAGAGACGCCGCCGAAGCTGTACACCGAGGCGCTCAAGAACGATACCCCTATTAATCGAAGAGATGAATTTACAAATGCGAGGATGGGAGCCCAGGCGTTTGTAGACTTCTCGTTCAATCTGGATGTCATTGAGGCTTGCATTGTCCGAATATGCACAGTCTTCAAACTTTTTTGCTAGCTTCGCCACTTGATGCTCATTCATCAGATATACAAAGCCAGTGATACCCAGTGAGATGAAGTTGCCGAGGTCTTTCCGCTCGATTACTGGCAATGTCGGGTCGTCCTCGAGGCTCATGTTGGCGCGCGGCAAACGGCTAATTTTTTTCTGAAAATTATGTCAAAAAAGAACAAGGTATGTTTCGGGCACTGAGATGACGACACTCACTGAAAATATGCAAAGACCGAAGATCTCACCCTCGATGGGATGTTACGATGTTAAGCAAAGACGATAAGGGGGTCTGGAGAAAAAATAGCGCAGCGACGGCGGGTAGACCCTTAATTATAGACCCAGGGGTTTAGCCGTAGATTACTGGATTAGTCACTTAATAGTCGCTAAGTTAGTTACCGACGGGCGCTAGACGTGTCAGGCGATCGCTCTGGATTTGAAGGGGGTTTGACATTAATCAGTCGTCTGGCATCAGAGCTGCGCGCCTCAATAATGCAGCATTTGATGCGAAAACCAATACAAAGAGTATGCCACTTTTTGGATTAAAAATATGCTGGAGTGTACTTGAAAGGTCATTCGAGCATTTTCCCTTGCGAAGCTAATGCGAGCCAATTAGTCGTGGCTGCATCGGGGGAATCATGCAAGAAGGTACGATTACGTTCTGGCCTCCGACTTGCCCTGGTGACGCTTGTCTAAGCTTCTAAGCTGCTTGACTGTATCTAATTCTCTTCTCGCTCGATAACATTTATCATGTCTCTTGACTGGACTTGACTAATTCTCTACAGGACTCTTAGCGACGGCCTCAATCTTTCGACGAGATGCGGGTCGTCTATCTACGGGCCAATACAAAAGGAAGACATAAGGAAGATAACCGACTCAGGCAATGAAATCATACAGCAATAATGTGATAGGAATTAATGTCATCTGGTATTTTGCCAATAAACTTGCAGCGCTAAGTCTTGGAGCAGGCGTTAACGCTCCAATGATGGGACCGACAGCCGGACGGTGGTAACCACTTAGGTACGGAGTACCCCAGGCTGCATGAAAAAACCTCGTCTGATTGTACAAAATCGAAGCTGCATTCAACCCCAGTCATAACCTTTGGAACACACCTTGTGCTCAACGTTCGCTAGGGGTTCAAGTCTGGTCCGCCTCTCAGATATGCTGGAGAAGAGAGACTGGGTTGTCCGGCCAATAAAACATCCTACAGAGATCCAGCTGGCCCTGCATTGTGGTTCAACGTGTCGATCAGCCGCTGCCCTTACAATGCTCCTTTTCTCCGCACCGCTTCTCGGGCTGCCATTTCACCCTTAATGTCTATCGTACAGCGCTTTGATGGACCGATATAAACCTATTTCGACAAGAGAGGCACCTACAAAACCTCCCAAAGAAACTGAGCGTAATCTTTCGCTTCTCCGATGTGGGTATGTGGGATATCTCGCTGTTCGTTTTTCTCAATCAGAAGTCTAATTGATCACGCAGAAAAACTTTTTCGATGATTCCACCGAGCGTTCCTTACACGAGTAATATCGCCGTTTCTGTGGCGCTATATGATATCGATAGAGACTCATTGGGGGATCAAACAAAAGCATTTGCGGCCGGAATTTTGAACCATTATTTCAAAGGCGAGGATAGTTATCTCGTCGCGTCGGAGCAGGAGAGAGAATCGCATAAAATCGATTTTCTCATATTGAAGGTCCCTTATGGCCGGAAATCATTTCACGACCATACGTTCGTTGTGAGCAAGAGATATACCGAGTCCTGGGAGAGTACATTGGACCAATTGTCACAATCCGCCGCCAAGACCATCAACGCAGCTCCGTATGACCGCACGTTTGCGATTGCTATAAGGGGCTGGGAGATTGTTTTCTGCGAATATCATGTCACATTCAGAGAGCCGCCACCCGATTCTTACCGCAACAAACTGTTGCCAATTGCGCCCTCGGGCTACGAGGAATGGCAAATCTGGAACCTTAAGAATCCTGACCATGTTCCCGTCATCGATGATTTATTTCGTCAACTTCAGTCCAGCGACGTCCCGCCGAAGCGCTAGGATGATGCTTTTACAGATCACTCAAGACTATATTTCGGAGGACAATAATTGTATTACTCGAATTTCGGTTCTTTAGTATATCAGTTGGCAGTATATAGATTGGCATCGTTTATCTTAATACATTTGCGTCGCAAACAATCCAACTATCGGCTTCATAATATATAATCCCTGGCTACATGCTGAGGCTGTTCTGTATGACAGACTCGAAAAGTACTGCTGATATATTACAAACGAGACGTGTGTTCCTCTGTTTCGGACTACGCATCTTCACTTTACTATCGCTGCCTCCACGAGCCTCGGAGTGGAACCCTTCTATATAATCCACTATACCTGATATTCATACACCCATATCTTTCCGCATATTATCTCGTGAAAAGAAACAAGAAAATATAACTCTCCTTTAGACTACCGATGGATTGCCACTTACACACGACAATAACATCAGCTCCTCCTCGTTGCCAGCATTCTGATCTGCCCCAAGGAGACCGAGATGTTGTAAATCACGACTACCGCGTCCACCCTGACGACCGACTCCCTACGCTATCGGAGCCTACTATAGTACTACCTCAGTCACCTATCTTCCTCAATTTGACTTTCTATTCGTACTAATTGAAATTAATTTATTCACTTGAGAAAAACAAGAAACGGTAAGAAAATAAAATAGACGCGAATTAAATAACATAAAGTCCTCCTTCTTCTTCTTCCCCTCCTCAGAAAAAATAAAATAAAAAAAACCCCTCGAACAAATGAAATAAAATAAAATAAAATAAAATAGAAAACTGAGGAGTCTAATTTGCCAAACGAATGGGCAAAGGAGCGAAAACAGTCGAAAGTGCATAGTAGGACTTAAGAGCTATAGAGAATGGTAACATACACGAAATCGATGCGCGAGGACACGAGACGGGAAAGACATAAAATACAGAGATGGACGGTACGCGCCCGAGGTACAGATCGAGAAATGTCTACCTTACATATATCATGGGACTATTAGGCATGGAGGGGATCGTGTATACTCCGTAAATAGGACGCTACATGCTGTTTTGAGTTGTTGAAAGTATAGTGATTAAGTAGGACACCATGACATGGCCACAAAGTTAACTAGTGTGAATGAACATAATACTGACGACTTTCAACTCTACTCCAGTAGACTTCTCCAGAACAATAGTCGACAGTTCACAGATCAAATGCAAATGGGCACATGTTATTCATCTCTTGAAGTGTTTACGAAAGAATAAATAAATCAAATTGCTGTCCATCCAAATACATTGTACAATATATAACTCAGCAAGTACAGTATCCCTAATTTACTGAACGCTAGCTGGGAACGCTAGCTAGCTGGACAACACAACAAATAGGATCAAATTTACATCATCAGCATGGCGGCGACGGCGAGGACGACTACGCCAGAGGCGCCCGTGCCGGCCTTGCTCGCAGCGCCAGTGAAGGCTGCGGGCGAGGTGGAGCTGGGCGAGGCGGAAGTGCCAGAGCCAGAGCCGGTGCTGGAAGAAGAAGAGTAAGAAGAAGGCTTAAAGGCCGAAGGAGTAGCGGCGCCGGCGGTGTAACTTGTGCCGTTTCCAGCGGCGTGGGGGAAGCCGCTGATGCTGGCGGAAGCGCCGGTGGAGAGCGGCACAGGCACAATGGTCATGGTCACGGGGCCACTGGGCTTGGATGCCGAAGGAGCGCCGGAGCCGACACTGCCTGCGACGGAAGAGCTACCGGGCTTGCCGGCCGCAGAGGTGGTCGAGGTGACAAAGGTCTGCGGCGCGGACGAGCTGAAGAGGGAGCCAGAAGCGCCGGCCGGGGGAACGGCGGCGGAGCTGGAGGCGGTAACGCCACCGGTCAGGCTAGACACGGGAGCCAAGCTGGACGCAGGAGTCATCACGCTGGCGAGCATCGAGCTGGCAGGGATCGAGTTGGTGGGCGGGACCGTGAGGGTGACAGTGGTGGGGGTGGCCGCACAGTGAGTGCAGACGGTCACAGTGGTGGTCCAGCCGCTGGGGAGGCTAGGGGAGGAAGTGGCTGCCGAAGCGCCAGGCACGCCAGGCACGCTGGGGGCGGAGGTGGTAGCAGAGACGCTGGGAACAGCAGTGCTGGGGTAGGCAGTGGTCTTGGTCGTGAATCCCTCGGGGCAAATGTCCACATAGGACGCTTCACTTGTGCATTAGAACATCGAAAATAAAATAGCAACTTAAGGACTTACTGGTAATCATGGTAACGGTAGCCTCGCCGGTAGAGCTGGTGCCGGCGACACCGGTGCCAGTCGAGCCAATACCGACTGCGCCAGTGCTGGACGAAGCACCAGGGCGGACGGTAATAGTGACGTACGGAGTGGTCGTAGTCAGAACAACGCTGGTGCTGGTCAAGGTCGTAATGGGCTTGGTCAGGGTCACCGTGGTCGGGGTAGGAGCGCAGTTGTTGCAGACTGTCACGGTAGTCGTCCAGCCGCTAGGAACGCCAGTGGAAACAGTTGTCGTGGCACCGGGAACAACGGTCGTGGGGTAGGCGGTCGTGACAGTCGTGAGACCAGCGGGGCAGACGTCGACATACGAGGTGGTAATGACAGTAGTGACGGCCTCTGCGCTAGAGCTGGCAGATGGTGAGCCAGCAGAGGCCGAGCTCGTGATGCCAGCTGCGTCAGTCACCTTACTGGAAGCCGCGCTACCGCCGGTGGAGGCAACCGAGTTGGTGGCCGCGGCCGAAGTAGCAGCGGGAGTGGTGGAAGCGGGCTTGGTCAAGGTAACCGTAGTCGCACTCGGACCGCAAACAGTGCAGACAGTGACAGTGGTGGTCCAACCCTCGGGAACTGAGGTGGTGGTGACGGGACCAGTGGGAGCAGAAGTCTCAGTAGCCGGGCACACAGTCGTGGTGTAAGCCGTGGTCACGGTGGTGAATCCCTCAGGGCAAATGTCCGTGTAAGAAGCTAGATCGAATGGTTAGACCGGCATGCCCAAAGACTAAACGCTTCTAAATGATGCAGATACTTACTTGTGATGACGGTGGTGGTAACCGCGCTGGAAGGGGCCGAGCTGGTGACGGGCCGAGCAGTCACGCCAGTCGCTCCAGTACCAGAGGGCTTGGGAGCACCATTGGCGCCAGTGGCAGTTCCATTCCAACCCGAGGAATGAGTGAAGGGACCGTGAGTGGCAGCAGCAGCAGCAGCAGACGAAGAGATGCCAGTCGTCTCTGCGCCAGCCACTGACAGGCTGGAGCTGGTAGAGGAAGCAGTGGACGAAGCAGTAGTTTCGCCGTAGAAGTTGGGCATTCCGTAGGGCGTGGAGCTGGATCTAGACAAAGAGGAGCTGCTCGAAGAAGCACCAGTTGAAAGTGGCACGGACTTGCTCACACCGGTGGAGAGGGGAACGGAAACGGGATTGGCGGAGGAAAGAGCCGACGAGCTGACAAGGCTGCTCGAGAAAACGCCAGTGGACAAGGGCACTGACTTGCTCACGCCAGTTGAGAGAGGAATCGACACCGGGGACGAGAGCGCAGAAGAGCTGACGATGCTGCTTGAGGCAACACCAGTTGACAAAGGCACCGACTTGCCAGCGCCCGTAGATAGAGGGATCGACATAGGTGAGGAGAGTGCGGAAGAGCTGACAACACTGCTCGAGGAGACACCAGTCGAAAGCGGGACCGAAACACTGAAGCTTGAAGCGCTCGAGGCGGAAGCAACGGACGAGAAGACGGAGGAGCTAGCGGAAGAAGCCTGCGAAATGTTGGAGGAAGTCGCGGTAGCCACGCTGGATTGGCTGGACGAGACGGCAGTGGCGGAAGCCAGGACACTGCTGCTGCTGCTGCTGCTGCTAATAGGGTTGGCCTGACGCTTACCCAGAAGGATGGCCTTCATCCAGTCGGCGTAACTCTGCGTGACCTGGTTGCCCTCAAGGTACGAGGCAATCTGGTTCTCCTCAGAAGACGTAGCCTCCCAAAGCATGAGACCACCAAACAAAGCATTGTCCTTGTACGCAGCAACAAGGGTCTCGACTTCGTCCAAGGTCAGGTAAAAGTTATTGTTGGCATCCTGGCCAGCCGGGAGACCAATGTAAATCTTGAGCGCCTTGTTGGCCGCATACTTTTCAACAAAGTCCACCCACTCGAGGAAGCTGATGTTTGAGGAGCCTTCGAATCATGTTAGAGAGGGGTTTTAGGACTAACGTGGTGTGAAGTACGTACCGTCAGGAGAACCATAAGAGTGGTCGAAAAAGGCACGAGCAGAGCAGACCGGGGTATTGTAAAACTGAATGAAAAGGAAGTCGAACCAAGAGTTCTGGACTGCATCGGCAAGGTGGGCATCAGGGATGACACATTGAGGTGCACCGGAAATATAAAAGTCCTTGCTCTGCTCCTCCGCGAAAAGCTCTCGCAGATGCGAGATCATCGTGGCGTAACCGCTTGACAGGTAAGAGGGGCCAGGGAGAGAGCTCTCCAAGGACTCAATGTCAAAGTCGAAACCGTCGAGAGAAACGTCACCGAAAGGACGAGGTCCAGTCCACGAGTCCTTCTTGGGACCAAAGGCACCCCAGACGAAGTCGGCAAAGTTGACGGCAGTGGTGTCGTTCTTGATATAGTACCCTGGCGGCCAAGAACCACCAAACGAAAGCAACACTTTCTTGCCGCGAGCTTGGCAGTAAGGGATATCTTCAACCAAGGTCTGACAGTCTGAAAGGAGCTGTGTCGGGGTACCATCAGGCGCCGTGTAGGTGGATGCTCCGCAGGCATTGCCAAAGGTCATTCCAGGCCAGCCTCCAGCACCTTGGTCGGGAAAGACATTCATAAAGGAAAGCGGAATGATGTCAATCGACGAAGAGTCACAGAAATGTGAGAGCCGTTTCTGATTGGCGCCTTCTCCCTATTTCGTACATGTCAGTCTCAGATGGCGAAGAAGGGCTCATAGAATCGAGCTCGCCTTACCCAATAAACGGCGAGATTGGATGCATCCTTGGGGTCAAATGTAGCAAGCGCAGGAGACACAGCAGAAAGAATGGAAACGGCCGTAGCGGCCAAGGGAATGAAGGAGCGCATGGCTCAAAATACAACAAATTCAAATCTGATCTATAAATGAATGGAAGGCCGCAGCCTGTAGAGCGAGTGTAATGACCTGACGGTCAAGGAAAGGACGCAGACAAAACGTCTGCTGCTACTGCAAAAAGCAAGTAAAGACTTGAAGAAACACAAAAACCAAGAGAGTGTAAGAAAGAAGAAAAGGTCAGAAGGATGAAGCAGACAAGAAGGAAATCAGTGAACGCTCCCTAGAACTGGGGGCGGCGGTGGAGCCATGCCAAGTGGTAGTGGCGGTCGGGGGAGGCACGGCGTCCGGTGGAGCAACGCCTCGTCCGTAAGCCATCTCGTAATATTTGGTGGTGGTGAGCGGCCACTGTTTCGTTACTAACACGGATCACCACGCTTAGAAATTGCGGTCGGTGGGTTTTGTCACAGGGGATGAAGTTAGAGCGGACATCTGACCGACAAGGCTGTAGTTGAAAAGGGATAGCATGCCGAAAGGGAATAGCATCGGTGCAGAGATGCTTGATGGGATTGGTTCAATGGAGACATTAAGCTACTGGAGCCTGCGCCCGCCCTCTAGGCCGGCATGTTGGTCGAGAAACGTGCCACGAAGCCGCATCATTTTCCCCTGACAGGCGGGTCTTGAATAAAACAGCGAATGTCTCTGTGTGGGAGTGATTGGCCTGATTCCTTCTTGCCTGCTTCGACACGGTCATTTCGGTAGACGTGACGGAGCGTACTAGTCACCACTAGTCAGGGGTAAACACGATGACTGAACTGCCAGCTTGAAAGCTGCCCCTGAGCACAACTTGACAGCATTGGTTCGTTTGTCACCGCTTGACAGGTAATCAAAAGCCACCATCTTTATCTGACACGCTGAAAACAATATGTCATTCGCGATATGAATTTTGTACTATATGCCGTGTACAGAGGTAAAGTGAAAGTCATATATGTCAAACCGTGCAGATGCCGGCATCTAAATGGTGAATCCGAGTCGAGTGGCATTAGGAGTTCACTGGGGCCCTGAATGTGTACATGTAATGATAACTCTCAGACGATATCATTTTCAAGTCTGTAATGAAGGTGGATCGTGCCGCAAAGGTGAACAGAGTCCGTTGATTATTTGGTGTGGAGCAGTCGTGACGGAAGGACGTTGCCGAACTCTTGGCGGCGAGACCATCGCGATTGGTGACTGTGGGCTGCGGCACTTTGATATGTAGCTTCAAGTCATGCGGGGAACAGACCCCTTTTGTAAAAATAATAATAAAAGATGTCTGGTGGCCTAAACTCGACGTGGTTCTCAAATGTAGATCTCAGGAAAATTTCTATTCTAAGATTTGCATTTAATTTTCCGTGCATCGTCCATGGTTACTCTCCCTTTCGCTGGAGGGTGCTGACGATTCCATAGCATCTCTAGCAACTGACAGGAAGCACCACTCTAAGCGAACGAGCGGAGACCTCGCATTTTCATATGAAGCGTAGTTTTCGTTGACAGGAAGACTTTTCGAAGATGAAACTCCCAAGGAAGGAAAATACTTCGTTTGGATCAACGTACTCCCCGTAACTTAGATGTTGCTCTGGCTGCAAGTTATAACGTTACGATTAGTCATTCAGCACCCCTGCAATCGTTGGAATTCAGACCTACTGTGGCTCTTGGACTGCAGAAACAAATTCCTAGACTCATTCGTCATGCTTTTATCGGGTTCAAAATGCGAGAGACTCTCACTAAGATGCTAAATTTCAAGAACCCATCTCGCTGGGAGATATATTCCAGGCTTTGGTGTGTTACATCCGCTTTCGTCAGAAGTATCAGTCGATTTCTACCTCCGTTTGGGCGCCCCTTGGTAAAAGCGCCTGACGAGGATGTCGAGCAACTTGGAGCGACAGACAGGCAACCTCCTAATAAAATACCAGAAGAATCTGGCCGCATTATTTTCAAAAAGGGTGTTCCATCTATCAAGCCGTCCAGTGATGTGAAACTCCTGATGGTTGGCATGTTTGCTGAGGTCTACCTTTTGAAGGGCTCGATTGTCAGGAAAGTGCCTTGTAATGATGCCGAGAACGGAAGACTGGCGATACTCTGTGAAGCCACTGTGTACTCGATCCTGGGGAAGCACCCTCGCATCGTCGAGTGGCTCTCGTGCGGGGAGACTGATTTTGTCGAGATTCAGTATTATCCAAATGGCGATCTCGCTGCTCGTGTTCTCGATGAAGAGAAGGAGCTCCCCGAGAAGCTGCGACGAAAATGGTTCCAGCAGATCATTGAAGCAATAGTTAAGATCCACGAGCATGATGTGATCCATTCTGACCTGGCTTTGCGGCAGTTGTTTCTGGATGACAACATGGACGTGCGGTTGGGCGACTTCAACTTATCTCAGTATCCTGGGCACATCGCATTAGGGTATGAGAAAGTATCCCACTGCTTGCCGAGGAATTACGAGGATCCGAACTCGATCCATTCCGACCTATTTGCGCTTGGCTCCACACTGTACGAACTTGTCGCGCGTAAGGCGCCATACAACGAACTTTACCCAAGGGAACCCGAAGCTGTGTTGCGTTCACGCGATCAATCTGTCATACAAGCCCGGGTGCAACGTCAGTGGCAGGTTGACAGTGAGATTGAAGCTCTCTACAAGAATAAGGAATTTCCAAATGTAACAAAGTTCTTTGGAGGCGACATCATACTTGGATGCTGGGACGGGAGCATTTCTTCAGCAAGTGACGCACTCGAACTATACAAAGCACTAATTTTGAATCCTCATCCAGGATAGGAAGAAATCAAGACTTCCAATATTCAAGGGAGTATTACATGATGCATTTACTATCTCGAAGTGGGTGCTGATTATGGAGAATGAGGACAAGGACAATATTTTAACATATCTAAGTCCCAACGCTATAATATAAAGCCTCCTTGACCTCCGTTGTCCGCTTTGCAGCATGATAATAATGAACACGATGGAAGAAGTAAAGCGAGCGATAAGAGGTACAAAATTCCATACAGCCGAGCCCCAAGAGCAATCATGGGCGGACAATTTTAGGCAGTTATTATAGGAAACATTTGTATATGGGGTATGTACAAATGGGAAATGAATATTCGATACCAATTACAAAACAGGATTTTAAATTTCGTCTCACAGGCAGACCCTGTAGACCAAATTCAGGATTTTGCCTTCTTGATCCTTGGATCAATTATGCTGAGATCCAGAGGAATTGGTTGTCCCAACCAGGTGGCACGCTGGGAATGATCTCGCAGCTCGTCGTCAGTATTCGGATGCAGCAAAGCGCTCAGAGGTCCTCGGTTGATGACGAGCCAAGGGATGAAGGCGCCGAACTGCTGCGGAGTAAAGAGGTTGACCTCAAACATGGCAACGGGATGCGGACCAATTGGTCTGTCCCACAGGCGGTAGACGCGCAATTCGGGGACTACAATACATAACGAAGGATCATTTCAGTGGACTGAGAATAGCGCAGCCACAGAAGGAAAAAATTACTTACATTCGCGACGGACACGTTCCCATAGAGCTCGCGCAAACTCTGTCTGCTGTTTATTGTTCTGTAACACGTTTGTAAATATCTTGTACGCGAAAATCGAGAACGCAAATACATACTACGAGGTAATATATATGGACATCGAAGCCTCCCCGCCGGTCCTTTGCGATGGGATCCGGAAAGCTTTCGTAGGCGGCGCTCAGCTTGTCCGACTTTGGATTGACATAGCTCTTGCCATCATCATTCTTCTCCCTGCATTGTACGAGTCAACTAACACATATTGAATGGTAATGGGTACCACACATTGCATACTCTGAAAGTGGCGGTGCATTTTCGTAGCCGGCCAATGGGGAGGGATAGTCGTAAAGCCACCACTCAGACATTCTGTTCCTCCAAAGATTTGAATAGTTACAATCAAAATATGAAGGATAATTGTGAATTATTTCCAACAACAATTTTACGGGACGTTTAACTCTTATATTTCTAACTAGTGTGCATGATTCAAAGTTGGGCTTGTATGGCGAGCTAAGCTTTGGTTACCATTGACAAGGCGGATTCCCCGCCGCTTAGCAAGCATTTTTGTCCACCCGCAGGTTCGCACTGCAGAAAACTTCCCGCGCCTCTGCATGGCTGACCAGGCCTTTGTTCAGTCTTAGTAAAAGACTAGAATAATATTCAAATCATGGGGAGTATATAGATGACTCTTGCACTGCTGACCTCCTCAGCAAAGCATTCAAGCCACCAGGAAATGGATTATTCAGCCATTTTCAGCGCCGCAGCCAGCGGAAGACGATGACATTGCCACCTGACATTCTTCCTTTAACGGTTTAGCTTATTTCCCTGAAAGAGCCGTCGGTGATTTCTTCACCGACGGCGACAGACCGCTGATTCCTGTTTCGGCAAAGCGCATGTCATTGCTTCTTTCCGGTCGCGGACATTTTCCGCTCTTTGTGGTCGGTCCTTCCTTACTGGGAAATAAATTTTTGCGATAGGTCCGATAACACCGGACCGGTACGTAAGTGAAGCAACTCCGTGGGCACTAAAGCAACGTATGCACCGCACAAAGATGCACAATTTGCTTGACTCATTCCGAAGACCGAGGGACATTGGGAGATTGAGAAAAGAGAGACGCGTCTCGGACTTTAGAGGGAAAAATACCCTAGAACAGATAAAAAGTAGCCCTGGCCTTCTTAAATGTCAAAAGAATCTTCAGATTTACACCGAAGCCAATTCTCAGTGCGACCTCTGGCATTCCGTTTCAACCCCTCAAATTGTCCCCCGGATTACAAACAGAAGAAAGACTGTGTCGCTCTTACCCCGCCATGACTGATTTAGGAAGGAGCAGGACAGCCTCCTTCCATTCGCGATCCAGTCGCACGGGGAGCCCTCAACTCCACCAAACCCTTTCGGGTCGCCACATGGATGACAACACCGTCTATCACGATCGCGTCAATCACGCAACGCACCAGGACCAACACAACACCAATCAGGACTCCACAGAGGTGGAGAAAGACAGCAATGCTCATGACGATGGGGAGGAAACCTCATTACCGTCAGACTCATCTGACGACGAAACCGTCGATGAAGTTCGTGATGGCATTAGGGATGAAAGAGATGTGGAAGCTGGACCAAAGAGCCTGGAGAAGAAGGCGACGTCGAAATCAGACAAGGATCGAGATCCGAACTTGGTATGTTTCTTACACGAGCAACCTTTTGGATTCGGGACCAGGGCTTATTGCTGACTGAGCTATGAAGGTGACTTGGGATGGACCAAATGACCCTTCCAACCCCAAGAACTGGACGATTAAAAAGAAATGGGCCGCTACTTTTGTTGTTTCCTCTTTTACTTTTATAACGCCCCTTTCATCATCCATGGTAGCTCCCTCGTTACCAAGCATTGCCAAGGATTTTGGCATCACCAATGAGGTAGAATCACAATTAGTATTGTCCATCTTTGTGCTGGCGCTGGCCGTTGGCCCCCTGTTCATGGGCCCCTTGTCAGAGATCTACGGCAGGGTTCCGGTTCTGCAGCTAAGCAACTTATTCTATCTGATCTGGAACCTTGTTTGCGGTTTCGCCCAAAACAAGGGTGAAATGATCGCTTTTCGCTTTCTCAGTGGCCTTGGTGGAAGTGCGCCATTAGCTGTAAGTTTTCTATTTAGCCCTAACCCACGCCTGAAACTTTCCAATCTTTGCGTTACTAACAAGGGCCAACAGATTGGTGGTGGAATCCTTAGTGATTGCTGGCACCCCGAGCAGAGAGGCAAATCTATTAGCATTTACAGCTTAATGCCGCTGCTTGGACCTGCGTTGGGACCTCTCATTGGCGGCTTCATTACGGAAAAGACTACCTGGCGATGGTCTTTCTGGGCCGTGTCCATTGCTGATGCTTTTATTCAATGTGCCGGCCTTATCTTCTTAAAAGAGACTTATGCTCCGAAGTTGCTCAAGCTTAAGGCTGACCGCCTGAAGAAGGAGACCGGCAACCAGGCTTTCCATACCGAGTATGATGTTCCTGGCCGGACCATTGGCAGCTTGTTGCGCACCTCGCTCGTGCGTCCGTTTCGACTCTTGGGTACGCAGCCTATTATCCAGGCTCTTGCTGTTTACCAAGCCTATCTCTACGGAATCATGTACCTTGTGCTGTCGACGTTTCCAACCCTTTGGGAAAATCGCTATCATGAATCCGTTGGCAATGGCGGATTGAATTATATAGCCATCGGTCTGGGTTTCTTTACCGGCACCCAAGTATGTGCCCCTCTCAATGACCGCATATACCGCCGCCTGCGACAACGAAACAATGGCGTGGGAAGGCCCGAATTCCGTGTTCCCCTGATGTTTGTTGGCGCTGCGTTCATGCCCATTGGGCTCTTCTGGTACGGCTGGTCCGCCCAAGCCCGGACTCACTGGATCGTGCCCGATATTGGCATTTTTGTCTTTTCTGCAGGCATCATTGTCGGCTTCCAGTGCACGCAGACATATGTGGTCGACTCGTATACGCGATTCGCTGCCTCTGCGGTGGGTGCTACTACCGTCTTGCGTTGCATTGCTGGGTTCGGGTTCCCTCTTTTTGCGCCGTACATGTACGCTGCTCTCGATTATGGCTGGGGCAATAGCCTGCTTGCCTTTATTGCCCTCGGGCTCGGTGTTCCTGCGCCGTTTATGCTCTGGAAGTATGGCGCCTCTCTGAGAGCAAAGAGCACATTTGCAGCTGGCGGCGGATGATTACTTTTGGATACCCCTTTTCCTACATCTCTTCCCTTTCATTACATCTTTTCTCATATCCTTTTAATATCTCTTATCATTTTCTCTTCGCTGTAGATGGTTTTCTACATGCCATTGACGCACGGCATACTTGGCATTTGCATAATGATCCTCTTGCATTTGGATACCGGCATTTACACAGACGATGCATTGGTTCGGAGTTGAGGGTGGCTTGTTTGTTCATATAGATGGCATCTTAATAGATTGATGAAATCAAAATTAAAACCCTAATAATATACATTTCCAAAACCATCAGACGGACAGATTAAAGAAATACGCGTAGTGATATATACAAATGTGACAGGTATGTATATACAATCGCAATGAAACAACTGCGTGACATGTGCTGGCCTTGTTTGGTAAGTTGAACTTCCACCATCCCAGCAACCAGAGCAGCGCTTGGGTCGTCAGTTGACATGGCAGGCGCGTCATGTCAAACAAACGTGGACTATCATGTCATTGGCGGTGCACTCACAATGGAGCATGGCAGGTATCAACCTCTTCATACTCGTCATCACAGCATGAGCGTATCCTACTCTTGGGCGCCCCAGAGGTCTTTGCGAAATTGGCGACGGGTCAAATCTGGACTGGCAGTTCTTTCTTTCTTTCTTTTTCTTTTTTCTTTTTTCTTTTTTCTTTTTTCTTTTTTTTTGTTTTTGTTTTTGTTTTTGTTTTTTTGTTTTTTTTACAAGGAACCCAGAGCAGAGCTCAGCGTTGTCGTTGATTTGTTTGAGATTACTGCGCTTGCTTTGCGACAGGCGTCTTGGGGAGTCGATTGCTAGACCTTCCGCAGTCCTCTTGTGAGCTGTTCCTGGCACGTGCAGCATATATACAATATCTTACCCCTAGATTATTTTCCCTCGCACAAGCTCCTAGCTAACATGACCTGCCAACTTAATCTTCTCTCGCTTTATCTTCTGTCGTTGATCCTCAATTTACGGCGCGCGTCGCACATCTCGACCGAAGACTAAGGGCCCACTGCCACGAATATGGTCAATACTCAATATCTTGCAGCATGCTCTATTTCAAAGGATTATTTCCTTTTCCGTGGGGCTTTCCAAACGGCTAGTACATACTTTCCGTCTATTAGTCTCGTTGATTACCCCACGAGCTGAAGATTGTCCCGAATATAGCAATCATGGAACAAAGGTGTGTACATCCTCTATCAAATGATGATATTCTAACCACCGGAAGACCGACTTTTTGAGATCAACCAAAGAAGATCTAGATCCAGTCCCCTATGAACCTTTTTTGAATAAACCTTTGAGCCAAGGTTCAACCTCATTGATTGCAAAAATAAGCCCGGGTGTTGTTATCAAATACCCTCGGTATTCGTGGTGGCATTCCGAGGCGCCAGGAACCCAACCCATGGTCAAAGCCATGAAGGATAGCTTCAAGGTTGAAAGGCAACTCTTGGAAATTTTGGGGAGCCACCCTAGGATAATACGGTAAGTCGGTCCAAAATCAACTTGTTCTATTTGTTAATTATTATTTGCAGCTATATTGGCGTTTCCAAGGAGCCCCGTGGATTACTTTTTGCCGAAGCTAGTGAAGGTAATCTGCAGGATTACATTGATAAACACAATGATTCCATCAATCTACATGTGCGATTAAAATGGTGTTTTCAGACAACAGAAGCTATCCATTATATTCATCAGAAGGGCATGATACACTCTAACCTACGACCAGAGAACTTTTTATTACACTCCTATTCTCCTGATGAGCCCGAACTTCTTCTCTGTGACTTTGGAGGGTCGACAAATGGTACAATAGATGGTGGACACCTTCCCGACTCAGGCTTTTTCGATTCACGCAAACCATACAAGTCATCAGAGGCTATGGACATATTTAGTCTCGGATCAGTTTTCTACACGATAATGACTGGTCATTGGCCGTACAGATCACCTGGGCCTTTCAGCTCGGTGGCAGAGAGGAATGAATATGGAGATATGGTAGACGGCCACTTTCAATCCCAAAAGTATCCACCAGTTGATGGTCTTATTGGTGGTGCTGTGATAAGAGGATGTTGGACTGAACGCTACAGTAATGTGGGGGCACTTATTCGAGATCAACACTTGTCTTACATTTAACTTGTTGTTGAGGGTGCTAAGTGGCTCAAACAGCAATCTGACAAATTGAGCCATCCCTTTGCCCTTCCTCCAATTCCCCAACTGCGGGGCTTCTGCATTAGCTCGAAGAAGCTCTGTGATCGTTCTGCCTTCTCTCAATCCGCGCCTAGAAGAGAAATGATAATGCAAGCCACGCATGTGGATGTGCGGAGTCGGTATAGTCTGGGCGTCATGCTACTGTGTAGTCATGGTATGTCTTCGCTTGTCTGGCACATGGCGCAACGAGGGGCAAGTTCAGGGAGATACCTGTGAGTCGCCTGGCCTGTCAGGTTCTGAAAAGGCGAGGATCTATGCTGCAGTGACGAAGGCCTTCCATTTTCCCGGGAGGTAAAGATTCAGGCGAGGTGACTCAAGGGCATCCTTTCACGCTTTGGGAAGGTGACCATGAAGGCCCAACCAATGTGCGTCAGTCACTTTGGGTTACTTGGCTACGCTACCACATCCGTTATACCGTTCTGGCTTCTGGGTTCGTGGTTGAGCAGCGTTCTTCGTCATTGGTTCCCGAGCTCTCGATGTCGACTATGCACTACAAATTCCGTTCTCTTAAGTTGCAACATGCAGAGAACGTCAATCGTGCATGCTAGGAGGCGGCTGTTGACAGGGTACGCAGAGGCGCGCGAGGAGTCTGAAGATATGCATTAAGTGACGTTTCACACGCAACTGCGCGATAGCTATTGCCTTGCTGTCTGCCCGGCGCTTTATGTTGCATCAAAGCCACCACGAGATTGGCGGCTCCGGGTCAGCTCGGCTAATGCTTGGTCGAACGAGTCCATGCTATCATCTGGCGTGTCATCTAGCATTCAGGTGAAGAGGTTGACCATCGGATTGGAAAAAGACGGTCTGTCTATATTGATCTGTGTTTAATCCAAACTACTTCTGTAATTTGCAAAGGGTTCAAATCAAGTATTGACGTGAGCCTTGTCAACCATAGACGCGTCGTTGAAATATATACAAATTGTGACATTTATGTACAATAAAATCCAAACGGACAGGGATGCTGTTATACTGACCCAAGTAATAGTAAAAAAAAGTCCCGTATGTGTTTTCTAACGCCGCCAGATGAAACAAACATGACAGGATGCAACTTTTGTAACCAGAAGAAGATCGACGAGCCGTCAGTATTACCACAAGATCAATGCTCATCCCCCTTCTCATGCCGATGATAATGTTCGAGAATCGACTCCTCCAGCAAACTCGTCATTCTCTCCACGAGCCACTCTGCCTCGGGCTTCGTGCCCATCAAGGGACTGCGATCATCCAGCCAGCTCCACGGTTTAACGTGGCCCTTGTCGTCCATCGTCTGGGCCTGCTGGAGATCAGGCCCTTCGTGGGCGCCCTTGGCCGGATGAGCCTGGGGCCTGCGATGCGCCGCGGGGGAGTTCTCGTCTTCGCCAATGAGCTTGAGGTAGCGGGACCATTCTTCAAAGGAGAACTTTTTGGGCGGCGAGTCGTTCAAGTGTTTCATGACTTTGCGGATTTCTTTGATGAGGAGATAGTGCCGGTGATGGGCGTTCTCGGCAGGTTTGTCGCCGCGCTCGCGGGCTTTTTCTTCGTCTGTTAATTCTTCGCGCTCCATTTGTTTCGTTGCCTCATCGACGACTCTGTTTGCGCCGGTGGTGGAGTTGGAGTTGTGACGATGGGCTTGAGTGCCACTGGCGCGGCGCTTCAAGGTGCCGAGGAGACCGGGGGCTTCTTCCAAGTCGCCGCTGGCGGATTTGGTAAAGGAGCGAGTTAAATTACGGAGGGATCGCTTGTCGCTGGGGAGAATGGTAATGTCGCCGATCCAAAGCGTGACGTCGCGGATGATCTTGATGACAGTGTCGCCCATGTTGCTGATCAGGATGGTCATGGTGGGGATGGCGAGCATAGACCAGAAGACGAAAAAGGGCTTGCCCGAGTTACTCTGCGGGTAAAAGTCTCCGTAGCCTATGGTCAGGAGGGAGGTATATGCGTAGTACAGCGATTCAAAATACGACCAGGATTGATCGCGTTCGGTCTTGAAGAAGATGGCGGCCCCGACGGTCCAGAGGGTGAACCATGCAAAGGAAGAGATGAAGAGAGATGCCCATCTACGCGTGTGCATCGCTCTGGCTTGGACAGTGCGCATGAGTTGGAATTCCTTTTCTCGTCGGTCATGCTCAGATAGTCCTTCAAGAGAAATTCGCTTGGGCATCACAATGTTGGGCATCATGCTGCGCCGCTGCTTATCCATGCTGGACACAAGATGAACACGGTGTTTTTCAACCATTCGTGCAGCCAGTTTTTCTTTTCCTCGTTCCAAAATGAGAGCTCGGATCGACCCGATGGTGAGACCTAAAATGACGATTCCGCCGATAGCGTAGGGGAAGAGAAGGCTGCGCCCGACGTGTGTGACTGGAGTGTAATCTCCTGAACCGACCGTCAGGAGAGTGCATTCGGCCCAGTACACAGAATCGAGGAATGTCCAACTCTCAATACGAGCATATATAGCCGCTCCGATGAGCAAGTAAAAGAGGTAGCTGATGGTCTGCAGCATGAGCGTTCTCTGGCTCATTGTCAGACGGAATTCTTTTGCATAATGTCCGCGCCATGCGCCGTACACCGTTGCGACCATAAGTGACGAGATCAAAAAGTACAAGGCGGCGGACATTATGGCATAGTAGAATGGCTGCGTAAACGCGTGTTGAGCTGCCGGATGCAGCCTCAAGTCGTCCGAGGCCGCAGACACGAGCGCAATCAAGAGGACTGAAGCTATATACCACCCAATGATGGTCACTGGTTGCGCAATAGAAAATCGAAGACGTCGCGCCATATTGAGCAGCAACGCAATATTGGCAATGATGGCAAATACAAACGATACAGCATTGATAGCGATTAACCTAGAACAATACGCTCGATATTAGGAACAGTATCATGCAGGACATATGCTTTGGGCTTACCATTTCGGATCAGCAATAGTCTGTCCATGTATCTCACTACCCCCAGGCGGTATGTATACTCTCCAGCTTTCGACCAGGGCGCATAAGTTGAACGCCGAGGCCATCGGACCAAATGTGCCCGCTATTAGAGGAAATGCAGTCGAGAAGAACCACCAACGACTATGTGACAGATAATCAGCATCTGGAAACATAGAAGCAGAAACAATAACGACATACCTAGGATCTAGGAAACTCCCTTCTTCATTCTCTTCGGAGGCTTTCTCTTTCTTTTCCGACTCGACCTCTCGTGCGCCATCTTGGATCGGGCTATCTAAGCCGGGATCATTCATGCTGTCTTCAAGCCGCTGTCGCCGCACTTCCACAGATCAAGAGATTGAAGATGCTGTGTTCATTGATGTTTCACGCCAACTTCAACTTTCTCTCTTGACGTCTCAGCATGAATCGCAGGCATGCGATCCGTACCATGTTCAGGACCGGTTTTTGGGACGTGGATCATGTTTTCCATTTAGCCGTAAGATTTAGTTTCGTGCCTTGGACCGCTTTGGGCCTTGGACTGCCGTCAGAAACGCAGGAAGCAAATTACCGTTTGTGGGCGAGGAACGTCATCTGACCCCACAAAGCTTGGCCGGTTTTGGGGTCCTTTCGCTTACCAGGCCAAGCTTTTGCTCGGTGACGATCCTGATCCACTTTATGTCACTCAAACGTCCAACGTCAACACTGACGCTAATCCTTTTAGCATCTCACAGAATGAACAAGACAGACTTAGGATTACAGAGTTGGTATTCATTAACTAGATATCTTTGTATGTAAAGAAATATCTCGAAGATATCTTCGAATGAAGGAATGAACAAATTAATAAAGTATGTGCTATCGTGGGCCATCCATCTTCAATCCCGTCATTCGGGCTTTACTAATATTAGTGCATTAAGGTATGAAGAACCTTGCATAAAAAGCAGTCGACAATCAGAAAAGAGAAAGGGTATGTTGGATTATGCACCTGTTAATAGCGAAGAGACGACGAAATTAAACAAAGGGGGGAACCACAGTCAGTTTTTAGGAAAAATGACACCATTCTCCTCTACACGAAGCTCGCCAAAAGGGACCAGGCGAGGAAACTCCAGCTAGAGTTAAAGGTTCATTTTGATTAGACTGCTTGCTCCGGAGTTTGAGTGGTGCCAGTAGTACCATTGGCACCAGTGGTTGCGCCAGGAGTGGGCTCATTAACACCGTTGGTGTGACCAACACCATTGGTGCCCTCGGCGGCCTTCTCCTTGTGCCCACGGTGAGCAAAAGAAAACCGTCCTCCGGATCTCGTCGCAGCGACACCCGGGGCCGCAGTTGAAGCACCTTCCTCGTAATCACGAATGGTGAGGCCCATCCGGCCGGGATCAATGTTGCGATGGCCCCAAAGCAACAGAGCGCCGAACACCGGCTTGGCCAAAATGTCGAGAATGCCGTAGAAGACGGCTTCCGAATCAGGCGATATTACATTTCCTCCCTCGCAGAGACCCCAGCAAATAGGATATAAAAGCCAGAGGAACATGGTCCAGCAGCCGCAGATGAGGTACGTTCTGTGGACATCGCTGCCTAGAGCATACGCATGCTTACGACCGATGAAGACGACAGTCCACGCAATTTGGATGAGAGCGGCGCAACCAAAGACATAGTAGCTGATCAATGTCAGTTCTTTACCTCTTTCGTCATTGCTCCCAAGAGCTATCAAATTAGGCACTCACCCCCATTTGTACGTGCTCTGTACCAAAGCTCCGATAAGTCCAGAGATCACCATGATCCAGTCCATCAAAACCGTGTAAAGAAGAGTTGGCCAAGGCAGACCAGCGGTCAGCAGAATGTCAAAGAGCAAGAGTGGAGTGGTGATGAACCTAAGGATGATCCAGTGAGCAACACTGCACATACTTCTAAACTAGAGAGATACTGACCAGTCAATATAGCGAGCATAGAAGATTTGACGATTGACTCCAGCCACATCACCTGAACGGCGCCATTCAACATTAATTGGGGTCCATCCCAGATTAGAAGCCATGGTGAAGTAAGCAATGGCAGCTACCAAGGTAATGGCGGCCGTGATATAATGGAAGATGCGATGCGTGCGAGGCTTGGTGAAGCCCAGACCCAAGATAATCATCGTTGAGACGACCATGACGGCCGTGACCGTCCAGTACCAATCCGATCCATGCGTGGTGATATGAATCTGCACGGTCCTGCCATTTACGGTGTCACCTGAGAGACAAATGTTAGCCAGTGCAGCTCTTCATTTGAGCATGTCCGCCGCAAAAAATATTATTGAGAACCATACCGTTGATAGATGGAGCCCTGTTAACCATTTTGACAGATTTAAAAGCTCAAGTCCTAAGTGCGAGAGGCGTCTAGGAATGGTTTTCTTGTATGGACCAGAAGGCAGCGGTTGTTGATAAGACGAGCGTGAGGAGTCTACGATTGTTCTGGGAGGAGATGAAGCAGCTTAAAAATAATATGGACGATGCGCTAGCTAGGCAAATGAAGTGAATTGGAAGTATTCACTGTCTGCGAGGTCTGGACCAAAAAAACCAAAACAAGGAATTGGACTGGCTGGTCTGAAGTGAGGGCGGGCGGCCAAGGCTATTTGAACCCCTTCCAGCCCAGCTCGACAACTACGTAAAGTATACACGGACACTATGAGATGAAGGACATGGATACCGGCTATGACATCGCATGCATTTTCTCGTGCTCACACTACTCTGACTGCTTATCCATCAGTTCCAATGCTCTCCGAGTTTCTGCCGCACTGGCCAGAGACGCCAATGGATGGAGGTGTAAGATCAAGGCCAAGACGGTTCTCTCGGATGATTCCTCGACCCAATAGGATAGATGGTTTGAACAGGAGGTGAAGCTAGCAAGATCCCTTTGATGAGTGATCTCGATAATAGCTCTAACAAAAAGTCCTGAGTTTCCGTGGGCGAAATAATCATGAGAACTAACTTAATCCCGCTACCCGCTCTGATCTTCTTTCGTTCCGACTTTCCTATCTAAACGCATTGCCGTTCTCTTCACAACCAGCTACCCTTACCCTGGCTCGCCCACACTAGGTAGGTAGCTGTAATATGGAAATTGGATTACTCCTACAATACTCCCGGGGGCTGGTCAGAGCTCCTACAAGCTTCTTACCAGCCTCCGGGGTCAATGCTGAATAATCTTTCTTTTACACAATTTTACTGTTGAGCATGATACTCCGACTTAATTCGTTTAATTTCTACTCTCATCAAAGATTGAAAGATCCCGCTGTGCATCCCAGGGTCGACCATTTGCTTCAGAAAGTCTCCATGGCGTCTACACCCTCAGCAAGCGTTCAATTCCAACTTGGGGCGAACGACATCGGCTTCGGCCTAGCGTTATAGCTTAATCGCGAGGGAATATTTTCTCTGAAGACTGGAGGCGGTGTTGGTGTCTAAGTCTTCCCTGTCGATGACGATTACCGTTCCAGTGTAGTTTCTGACTAACTTGGTTATAGCTTTACTCATCACGTTATCATTGCGCTACTAAACTGATTTACAAGTGTCGGAGAAATCTGGTTTTAACCGATACGCGGAGCCAAAGGGTTCTTGCGTTGTGCTTCAGACCCATCATGTGCTATTTCGCTATGAAGAGGGAAAGGATTCAACGTTAAACGTCAGACATGCATGGAGGGACCCGGCAACTAAACCCGCTCTGGAATTGCGCCACTGGAGCCCACGGAGGTCATAAGTATGGCCATTGCAATTTTGTAGTACTCATACCTTCCCGGACACCTTGCATGAGACTCAAGGGACTGAAGGACGCATGGGGCAACGGCAACTGCCTCTAAACCATCTCCACTATCCGAGAGCGTCTGACCGGCATGGTCGAGACTAAAGTTCGCCAAGTACACCGGTACCCTGCTCAAGCATGCTGCTAATGTAGTGCTTGTGCCTGATAGAACCTCGCTGCTCTCTAATGTGCACAGAAAGGTATATTCTATCAGCATACTCAATAAAGCTAACCAGTAAGCTGTAGGGGTAAAAGGAAAAGGCCAGACAGTTGCTTTAGAGCCAATAAATGAGTCCGGGCCAAAGTCGGTCGCCGTCCGGGTCATCCGTTGACTCAACTTGTCGGGGAAGTTGCGCTACTCTAACGGCTGCAAGAGTGATGATGTCAACTCAAGCTTCCTCGAAAACAACGTTTTAACTTGGTGTTGCACATGCCAGTTTCCCTACTTGCAGTTTTAGTGCGGGTGGTGCGGCCTGGCGGTTAGCGGCAGATTATGAGGGGACTGCTCGCTACCGACATAACCGAAACGCAGGTATCTCCAGCCGACACCCGCACCCCCTTACGCCAAGAAGCTAGTTATACCTTTTAGCCAACACATCAGAAAGCGAATTATTTCCATGAACTCCCCGAAGCTTTGGTAAAATCTCCATTGGGAGAGATTACGTGAGATTAAACAACTGCCCTCACGAACCTTACATGGACGTCCTCGCAGCTCATAGTGTATCAGCTTAATATGTACGGCTTCAACAAATTGCTGCGGGTGCAGTACACTCATTGCATGTATCCCCAGCCATTTTCATATGCAATGTAAGGCAACTCGCCAAAGCAAGGCCCTCTACAGCAAAGTTACCGTACTATATCGTATGGCAACTCACGGCGAACATCTCCCCGCATCGCATTTTCCGGGGACGGCTCATTCTTCCTAGTTTCCATGAATGAGCAACACAAAACATCCTGGCTGGCTATGCATGTATCGTTTGATGTGCACGGCATAATATGCAAGAGTCCGGATAAGTCGGGATCAATCACACATTGATAACGGCTTTTAGCAGGGCGCATCAAACCAGACGTTGAACTAAGGTATCGTATCCTCATCCCCCCCCGGGTGTGGCGATCACCCGTTTTTTGTCTTGGCAGCCACCCTTTTGACTCATCACCCGATCCATCTTACCACTCCAAAACAACCCCTACCTGGAGCCCTCCACACCCGTCAGTGTCAAGTGGTTCTGCAAAGCATAACGCTATTATTCTGAAACACCTTGCCAAGTTACTTAATCAGCAAAACTGCTGCATGAACGACGCTGTTAGTGTTAGCTCTCGGGAAGGTAGTGCGTCATGTGGATCCAATTGATCATTTACCGTAGTACTCCGTACCGTAATCACAACACGCCCTTTTCCTACTGTCCTGTCCCTCCTTGTCGATCCCTAGCTTTTCCGTAGGTTAATCCTATACCCGCTGCGCATCGAAATTGAGCAGAATTGAAGAAAATGGTTTGGTTGTTTCGGCTAGACACGGCAATTTTCCATGCCCTTCAATGAGCTCTAAGAACTATATTGTGCAGCCATACCGATTATGAGAAGCAACCCCTACCCTATGGTTTTAGGTATGACATGTGATCTTACTTGACAAATGGCGCGACCTTACGGCATCCATCGGCGTGGTCCGGTTGAATGACGTGAGACTTTTTAATTTTCCGAGAGCTTATTTTGTTTCCCTTATGGGAAAGGCGGATATGGCAGCCGCAGTAGGAACATGGATTTTGAGCTAGTGATTTCGCAATTGATAGACTCATTCGATTATTTGTTTGATTGATAAATTGTCGATGAGGATTATTTGTAGTCAAGCTCCATATGGGGCTATGCCAAGGAAACGCGATGAGGATGTGAGGATTGAGATGTGAGGATTGTCTCAGTAATAAATCCAACTCTTGACAATGCACACTTAAACTAAAATCGTCATGCGTGCTGGCGATATCTAGACAAATCCATGATACATCTTTGCCAAACTCGGAGTTGTCAAGCCCAAATCTTCAAACGCGCATCCAAAGTATGGCCGACAAGATCGCTAAAAGAAGTACAATGACAGAAATGACATGACCTGGCATGGCAGGATGCACTTTATCCAATGTGCTATTCCGCCGTACTTTATCCACACTCGCGTCTACTTCCCAAGGAACTCGTATACCTAGTCGTCCAAGAACTTGTTCGCTCGTGAGCTTGGCGCCGGCAAGACAGATAGGGACTCCTGTGCCTGGATGCGTACTTGCTCCCACAAAGTGGAGATTCTTAATTGAGGGATGCTGTGTCCTTGGACGAAAAGAGAGTACATTGAAGAAGCTGTGGCTGAGGCCTAGAATGGCTCCTTTGTCGAGATTAAATCGTTCTTTCCAGTCCTGTGGACTGTTGACGTATTCGTTGACAATGTGCTCGGAGAGTGAGATGTTAAGTCGCTGTTCAAGGGTCTTGAGAATAAATGTGCGGACTCTTGAGATCATTGCTTCCCAGTCTTGTTTTCTTCGTACATGAAGACCTGGACGACCTTTCGCGTCGTCGGAGTCATCGTGCTGGTCGTCGTCTACAAGGTGACCGACTGGAACAAGTACCACAACAGAGTCTTTTCCTTCGGGTGCAGCAGTTGGATCGATTCGCGATGGTACGTTAATGTAGAATGATGGCTCCTTGGGCAAGGTCTGCTCCTTGAAAATTTCGTCGAAACTGTCCTTGTAGTCGTCGGCGAGGAAAATGTTGTGGATTGATAATTCGGGAAAACATCGGTCAAGTGCCCAGTAGAACGAGACGCTGCTGCATGATGCCGGGCGCTTTTCGAGAGATTTTGCATAGTCTGATGAAGGTAGGAGGTTGTTGTACGTATAGACTAGATCGGCGTTGGCAATTACAATGTCTGCGTGTAACTCTTCTCCGCTCTCGAGAATAATGCCTTTTGCTTGTTTCTGATCGGCAGATAGCAAAATTGACTTGACTGGACTTGACATGCGGAATTCGACTCCGGACCTCTTTCCAAAATTTACCAATGCATCGACTATCTTTTGTGAAATGTGAGCGCTCAACTTCTGCATTGACGGGACTGGGATGGCAACTGACCTTGTGAAACCCACCTTTCGGATACCAAATACCCTCTGCAAGCTCGGTATATTGCAAGAGGCTGTACGTGCCCGGTGCGTCAAATGGGCTCATTCCGAGATACATGCTCGAAAACGTAAATGCCCTTCTCAACCGTTCTGTCCAAAAATACTTTGAGGCACGCGTGTATATGCTTTGAAGCACGTGTAGATCAAAGAACGCTTTTACAAACCCCGGCCTTAGCATTGAGAAGATTGAGGTAAAATTCTTGCGTAGTACAAATTTCACACTGAGCTCGTAATGACGATGAGCTTCTTGAAGATAAGCAAGATAGCGTTCGAATCCGTCCTTTCCCTCCCATTTTTCGATTTCGGCCTTCATGCGGGCAAGGTCCGTACTAAGATGAACAAATTGACCATCGCTGTACGACACATTGTAATTGCGAGGGCATTGTAACATTTCAACGCCTTCATCTTCAATGCTTGTGCCCAAGTCCTGGAAAGTCTCGTAGAAGAAATCCGGAAGCAAAAGGAAAGACGGCCCTTGATCAAACCGCTTTCAAATATCATTAGCAACGAAATTTCACACCATGAGCATAGAGTAACTTACATAGTCCTTATAATAGATCAAGGAACATCGGCCTCCTGTGAAACCATTCTTCTCGACGACTGTAACCTTCAGCCCTGCTTTAGCTAAGCGGGCAGCCGTTGCCACACCACCAACGCCAGCACCTGTAGGACAAGTTATTTTAATTTGTTCATATCAAAATGTGACATTCTAACTCACCGACAACGATAGCAGACTTCTGCCCCTGAGGTCCCTCCATCTCTCAACTATACTGATGGATGATTGTTTACTGGTAAGCCCCCAAAGACAGAAATCGCGGGGATTTAGGCCAATGCTTAGGGCAACCTCTAGCGAAACATGGGGAGGTTTAGTGGGAACTGGACCCTTGTCCACCGGGCCGAAGCGAACCTCTCCTAGCCTATACCCTGGACTCTCGCTGGGATGGGTGCCAGAGTCATGAATCACCACTTCGGACTAGGAAGCTCAACAAACTACGTCTTTCACCTCTCCATATGAGACTTGAATTTACTCAATTTCGCAGTACGGGATATGATCGCTAATGTTTTTGCCTAATTCGCATCAAATCCTTAAATCCGCGCTATATGCGGCGCTGGCTGTGGAATGCTTCTCGTCTTGCGGATGCACTACTCTAAACCCACCTGAAAGTGATCATCTAATTGAAAGAGAAAAGTGGCTTGCACACAAAACAGTATTTATTCGGTTCAACCTCAGCTCCATACTAGAGAACGACAGACAACCTTCAGTCTTCGCAAGAAAGGCACGGTTGCTTTGCCTGCTCGTAATTTGCCATCACTCTCAAGAAGCACGCGGCCTATCTCCACATAGCTTTCAACCGCAACTCGGACTGGGCCCCTGGTTTCAGCAGGAAGCTCTTCAATAGCATGCCGGGACTCGTAATATCTTTCTAGCCCCTCCATTATAAGCTTTCTCCTCAATATCTTCATGCAAGCATGATCAGGGTTCTCCAACACGTCGAAAGGGCGCAATTGAGCCTCTTTCAGCCAGCTTGTAGGAATGTACACACGGCCAATATAAGCATCTGTTCGAATGTCTCGCGCGATGTTAATAAATTGAAGTGCTGTGCCCATCTTTCTGCCCGCCTCAATCAAGCGACTTTTGTCCTTTTCTGACCCATGAAATGTGCTATGGGAAAACACAAGCTGTAAACATAGTTCACCGACTGAACCAGCCACACATTGTGCGTAAACGTCAAGTTCAGCATCAGTGCGAATTGGCCAGCTGCCCCTGCCTTTTGAGAAACTGCTGTCAATCTCAAAGCCGTGTAACAATTCGTAAAATGGAAGTTCGGAGAGAACATCCCTCGGAAGTAGCAACAATGTGGACTGGACTGGCGCCGGAAACGTTGATGAGACGAAATCCTTGAGAGCAGCCTTTGAAGAAGGCTCATTGTTAAAGGATAGTTCAAAGTACAACTTGAGGCTGGAGATCCAGTGCTCGGCCTCTGCATGCGACGCAGCGCTATCAATCAAATCGTCTGCGATTCGACAGATCGCATACCTAATCGAATGAGAAAGTAAAAAAAAAATTTTAAGCGATGGAACACTCACAAGATGATAAGGTCTATCCGCAGTCTCCCAGGGAAAACGCAACTGGCAATATGAAAGCTTCGGCTATGCTTTTTGAGGACTCTGGATGCAGCCAGTAGACCATTTATGCGGCTCTGATCATATACAGACGTGGGCGTAGTTAACGCCTTTACCAATTCTGTCGGAGAAGGGACTTTTCCGACATTAGGAAATAATGAAGGGAAGGTTTCCAAGATAGTTTCTGCGGTGTCGAATGCAATGAGGCCAAAAACAATCATCGTATTCGTTATCAAGAAGAAAGTGGCTTCCCTAGGTAGAGTTAGTATTTATCTTAATCTAGTAAAACTTCTCATACTCAATCTCGAGACCCGTCCACAAAGTGAGGTCAAGTTTTGTTCCTGACTCAATCACCCATGTACCCCGTTTTAATTCTATCGTGTCTATGATCCAGAGGTAAAATGTGGGAACAAGCACAGGCACCAATGTATTTAACAAAGACAGTCTAAGAATGAATTGGTATCCCAAAGACCTTGTAATGCCAGGTTAGTCGGATGGATCTCGTAAGGGGAGGACTCAGAAAATCGAACTTACCAAAGTAATAGAAGAAAAGGCACAGCCCACGCGATTATTAGACCGAGATAAGTCCCACGACCTCCTCTATAAATCAACCCGCAGCTCGCTGCGAAAGTACAGACAAGAACGACTTGGCCTAGCGTTCTCCAAGAAAGTAATAAGATACCTCTTTCCCGATCTCTATCTTGACGGCCCGGAAGATACACGGGAAAGAATACAGGTTTGCTCAGTAAAATATACAATAAACTTGTACTATACGTCTGAATCACAAAGAAAAAGATTTCTTCAGCAGGGATATCAAATAGCGTGGGGCCAAGAATCACGGAAGCAGGATACGTCCATATTCCAGCGCGGATGAGGTACGAATCCCAAGGTATAGTTGAGATCAGAGCAACCTATATCTCGTACATTAACGAATGTTCATAGATAACAATATGCGAAACATACCAGTATTAAAAAGATAATTTTATATACATCTAATAGTGTTAAGAGTGGACGTGTAACTAGTGTCAAGAGTATTGCAGGCGGTATGGTGTACTTGAGATGCCTAGTCGAAGTCGCGTATTGGTTAGTACAGCGGCATATATGAGGTAGAAAACCTCAATTTGACTGCCTTCCCTTGCCAGGACCCTTACACAAGAAGATAGTCGTAGCCCATTTTCTGCTCGATAATATGAGCACAGGGAAAAGTTTTGCTCACTCACAACCGGTCGCTTGTTCAATTTCCAGGACTGAATATGCCAAGCAACGAGATGTTATAACCCAAGTAACGCTTTCTGTATGAAGGGACAGCCGGTTGCGAAGATTGGGATGGGAATGCATTGAACGGATTTTCGATCAATAGATCCTACGACGGCGCGAGTGAATTCAGTTGGCAGTCAATTGGCAGATGGACGTTGTCACGAGCATAGGACGAGAGATCTAAGTTATTTAGTTAAAAGGAGTCCATGGATCGTTGAGAGACCATCGTCCCGCTACGGAGGAGCAAATGAGAGGGCAACTTTACCCGGTTATTACGGCCTGGACAACACTGGTCTTCTTCTGCTTACATTTAGTGGGGGCTAGTGGGGGCTTATGGGTGGCTGGAGGGCGATCTGGAGTTAGTTCGGCTCCATTGCTCGGTAGCCGGTCCACCTAAACTCCATCTGGATCGGGTACGTTGGTTTGTTTTGGTTTCGGATACGGGGATTATTGACCCTCAACGTCATCACTTCTTCCATCTCAAATGATTCTTCAAGTGCTACATCTGCCTTCATGTGCCGGCAAAGCCGAACTACCCTAATTTACGGAATGGAGACGACATGGGTAAACATTATCCCACCATTACCCGAGAATTGCATGATTGCCTAAGTTGGCCCTTTGTCGCAACATGAGCCTAGTGGCTTACATGTGCAAACATGCCGTTTACAAAACCACGTCCTCCGCAATATATGACTTCGTTCAACCCAGTTCAAGCAGACAGCACCGTGTACCTTGATCGTGCCATTGAATGAAGCTTAGCTAAGCACCAGTTGGTCTCTGAATTGGTACAAATCCCGTTGCCTCCGTGCTACCGTCTGTGATTTTCGTTTGTCAAGCCATTCTCTGTTTGAAGGAAACGGTTACGGAAGAATCTCTTTTTTTGAAGGCGAGCATCATCTTATACAATACCTATTTTCCGTTGTTTTACTTGAGCAATTATGCTATTTTGAAATGGATTGAAGTAAGGGATTGCAGCTCGTCTTTCATCGCCTTCGATTTTGTTATAATGCTCGCGTTAAAGACTAAGCTACTCCAATTTTGCATTTACTCTCCATTGCCTCGCTAAACTTGCAAACCCTGCTTTCATTGCTTGAGAATCTGGAGGATCAACGGGGACCGGGTCTCTTAACCTTTCACGTATACTGGCCGCCTGCATACCTTTAGCGCAGGGTGATCACAAAAGCCATCCGAAGGCTCAGCATTCGTGCTATTTGCTTGAATAATGTCGTCAGAATCTAGCGGGAAGAATGAAAAGGGGATTCATCCGTACGTGTCGTCTAAAAATCCTGAGTCTAATAGATCAAGCGCTCATACTTCGTCGTAGGCATCTGTCTGGGAATCATGCGCCAGTCCAGCGCACCTTCTCTTTGACGCCGTGTGCTTTTCAGGGCAAAATACCCAAAGAACTTGCCGGAGGGCAGTACATTCGGAATGGTGGCAACCCCGTGACCAATACCGAATTAGACCGTGATGCTCATTGGTTTGACGGCGATGGCATGCTCTGCGGGGTTGCCTTTCAACGTCTACCTGGGGAAGACGATGGTATTCAACCGGAATTTGTCAATCAATTCATTTTAACCGATGTTTATTTATCCACCGTCGAAAACAAATTCCTCAAGAAACCTCTTTTGCCAAGCTTATCCACTATTATAAGCCCGCTTTCTTCATTGGTGCAGATTTCTGCAGCGTTTCTCCGCTCCATAACCCTTATTTTGATATCTCGTCTACCTGGGTCTCAAACAGCTGTTGAGAGAGTCAGCGTTGCTAATACGGCTTTGGCTTATCATGATGGTCGTGCTTTAGCTACTTGCGAGTCTGGGCCGCCCATCAGATTCACATTACCCGGACTCGAGACAGTCGGATGGTATAATGGGTTGACTGTAGATGGAGAAGTTGCTGGGCAGCAAAGAACAAGTTTTGGCGGCGGCGGAATTTCCAGCTTTTTTAAAGAGTGGACTACCGCGCACGTAAGTGGATCGAAATGATCGGCCTAGGATCGCTACTAACTAACCGTTCTAGCCTCATGTAGACCCAAAGACAAAGGAAATGATTCTCATCCACATGGGATTTGCAGCACCATTTCTTCGCTATTCGATCATACCTGCTGATGTTCTAAACTCTACTTCAGCGGCCTTGATCGGATCTCCCGTCGATGGAATTGCGGCGCCCACTCTGATGCACAGCTTCGGTGTCTCTCCAACTCATACAGTCATCATGGACCTTCCGTTGTCACTAGATCCTCGTAACTTGCTCAAGAATAAAACCGTGGCTCATTTTGACTGGAACAAGAAATCGCGCTTCGGCATCTTTCCTCGTCATAACCCGTCGGCAATCCGTTGGTGCGAGACTGAAGGCTGCTGCGTCTTCCATACTGCAAATACTTGGGACAATGACGCTGCGGCCATAAACGATAGTCCAAAGCCAACCGTCGTCAACCTGCTGTTATGTCGCCTCACTTCTGCAGCGTTTGTCTTCACTGCGGGAAGTGTTCCGGAGCCGCAAAGGCCAGCGGGGACAGCCGCTGACCTAGAAGGCGAGCAGGACCGTCTCTATTATTATTGCTTTTCTCTTTCAAACTCCTCTTGTGAGGCGATCATCACACACCAGTGGGCGCTGTCAGTCATTCCCTTCGAATTTCCAATTTTAAACGAAGAGTATAACATGAGCAATGCTCGATACATCTATGGAACATCCGTATTTGGAAGCACATTCGGTGTTGCTCTTGGGAAAGGCGTCAAAATAGATGCCCTTGTGAAAATGGATACCCACACTCTCATCGAGAGTGGCAAGTCTATGGACATTACTCCTGTTACCGGAAGCGTTGATACAAGGTCCATTTATGAGATCATTGCATCGACCAACCCGGACGACCCTATCAAAGTCTTCGCCATGCCCGAAGGGTGGTATGCCCAGGAGTGCCGTTTCGTATCCCGCAGTAATCCTGCTAGCGAAGATGATGGATGGCTCCTTACCTATGTATTTGACGAATCCCAGCTCGACCAGAATGGCAGTTGTCCTGAAAGTTCTGCGAGTGAGCTCTGGATTATTGACGCCCGCGGCATGAAAGAGGTTGTCGCTCGCATTCATCTTCCGCAGCGCGTGCCTTACGGTTTTCATGGATACTGGTACTCTGAAGAAGACATTTTGAACCAGCGTCCTGCTGATTCCTTCCGCAAGCGACCGATAGTAATTGATCAAGTCGACGAGAAAGGAGTACCAGCGGAGGAAAATGGCAGTATTGCCTGGAATGCTTGGATGGCAGTGCGGTGCTCGCTGCTCCGCATTCTTTCTTGAGCTTGTTTTCGTGTTATTATCTGGCACGAAAACATGTGATCTGACAACATGCTATCTCTCAATTTTGCGTGCGATTATTATTATAAGCATGGTCCATCATTCTGGCATTTATCATCGGACCTTTTTCCGGTTGCAGATCAATAATTCTAATTTCTAATAAGCACTTCAGTCTTGATATTGGCGAGATTAACATATTCGGTAGAGATATTTTCATCCCTTCACATGAAGGAATAGGATCAGTATTACTTTTCGATAGGGGAGTCTCATTAACTAAAGTGATGATCAAATGTACCAAACGATGTTTACATTAGGGTACCACCTTTTCTGTAGAGATTCCCCGCCACTAGCTTTAACATACTTCTCATGTTGCTCAATAGTGGGCCAAGACCTGAATTTCAACTTGACAGTAACTACCTAAATTGAAGGGGAGAATTGTACTCTCCGGCTCCTTCAACTACAACCTGTGAAAAGATTCTCTGGTTGCAATAGTAGATAACATTGGTGGTTGAAGATTCCAATATTGGTTCTCTCCAGTAAAGCCGAAAAGCGACTGGGCTGCACATCGCCCCGACGATCTGACAATTTGTGTTAGTCAAACAGGGATGATTATGTCGTCGCTCATTGAACCTTAAAAACAATCAAAGACCTGCGGCTAAGCTGGAGGAACACAACCTGACGCACAACACACCTCGCTCTTAAGTTTGATCCACATCTCTAAGCCACCTTCCACCATAGCTTGGAGAAGCGTTGGGAACCTTCAGAAATTCTAAAACCTTATTTTTCTTTCAAGGAATCTGCCTATTTCTAAAGCAGGATGGGTACGTGTAGAGGTTCATAGATTACTGGCGATGAAGCCTGCCTGCCCGAATGAGCGTAACTGACTGCTTACCTCCCAACCAGACCGTAAGAATCCTTCGGAGGAGGACTTGGCTCCCATCCCGGGAAGCCCGACGCCTCTGCCAAGAACGAAACGCGGTAAGTCACTCCCTTCATAGTTCTCTTCCACGACCTCATTTCCCCATTCTTAAAGACGCATTAGCAAGCTGCATGTGCGCTGACGACAGGGGATATGTCAATCTGAGCAGGCCTTGAGAAACCTTCCTGGATGGATATTCGGGCGCCTCCGATGACCCCTCCCACTGACCTTTGGCATGCAAGCCGCGGTCGAAAGGTTCCCCGGGTGAAGAAGCTAGCGCTCGAAGTCCGCCTTTTTCTGGATTTTGAACAATGCGGAGAGAAAAAGGTTTTTGATATTGAGAGATGCCTCTCCCTCAAACAATTTTTAGATCTTGTCGACAAAGTCTTTGAAGGTGTTATGCTTTTCGAGCAAGTTGACACCTCAGAGTTGCAGTTCATCTCAATCAGCTGGCAACGTCGAACCGGCACCCACTGTATAAAAATTACTCCAGAAGCCTATGCTGATTGGGAAGCAATGGTTCAAGTTGCGAAAACCACCATTCGTACCCAAAGAGCAGGGGAAAAGGTCGCAAAGGTTGAGGTCCATATTCGGTAAGTCATCAGCTGTTTGGGTAACGGCTTTACTTCTTCGTATCTTCTAACAACATTTCTCTGATATAGTGATGAAAACAAGCGGCGCTGGGCCGAAATCGCGGAGAAAATCAAGCTTAAGCTTAATACAGAGGATACTGAGAAAGGATATTCCTCTGAGCAGACGATGGATTTTGAGATGGAAAATTAGCGCATTGCGATTTTCTATTCTGGCAACTCTTTCAGCCAGAGTGTCAAGAGAATTTCTTTTGTATCGTCATGTCTTGTGGCCTCTCTGTCGGGCACATTTTAGTCAAGAGTCCATGAGATGTTAGGATGGATGCTTATATGCCGTCGAATGGAGGTGTAAGTAAGCTCGCAAGCGATACTGCTTTTGGACTACGGCGAACTGCTAGAGGACTTCACTTCCTCTCCAGCAACAACTTCAGCTGCTTCAAGCCAAACTCATTTCACATTATCAAGATCAATGTATTGACTATTCAAAATAATATTCTTAAATTTAATTACTGCTGCCTTGATTTCGATCGATGACCCCGGTATTCCCGTGTCGCAATATAACGCCTTATATCCTAGATTCTTTTACGGTTTCTCCGCTTCTATCATCTGCTTCTTTGATCAATCGTCAGATTGGGCCCTGCTTTCGCGGCCAGCTGATTATCACGCTTTATTGCCAGTTTTCTGCTTTATCACTTATTGCAATTTCCATTTGAGCTCACGCTGTCACTATGTCTCTCTGTACCCTCCCTCCATCTCTTTCCCGCCAGCTTACTCTCCCCTTGTTGTTTTACATTGCAAACTATCTTATGCAGTAAAATCGCACTTTATTTGGCACGTTGAGCAGCTCTACTAACACAATTCCATTGCTTCTTGTGGCCGTTTCATAAAGCGCTCCTTAGATTTCACCTCAGGACCACATACTCTTGCGCACTGAGCTCATTTAAGGCCTGGATCGTCAGTTCCTTTGAACGGTGGGCTTGGATACAGAGGGGCGCGCTATGAGTACAAATATGGCTCTAGTCACCGACACTGATATCAAGAGAATGGTATCGAGAAAATTAGGGAACGTTCCAGATGTTATAAAAGTATTGTTGCCCTGAATAAGCAAACAAATACTGTCTCTTCCCACTCAAAAGAAAGCGCTCATTTATTGTAGTGGGACTGGATCCCGACGAGAGCAATCTTAGTTTAGAGATGAACTGGCTTGCGGGCAAACTTACTGCCCACTAGAAGCTTCCCCCAAATTGGCTGGAACTTGGTCCTCATCAGGCATATTACTTATGCTCAAAGTAAGGGTTTGGACCTAATTATTTATGGAATAAGCGAAGCTCATTGGTTGGGAAGATTATTCTTTTTTCTGCTCTCATATTCACAGTTTCTGAGCAAACTTCCCCGTGCTAAAAACTTGTCAAGCTTTGTTTCCGCGACGACCGACTACACGTGGGACCTTCTCGCTCTTTTTAATTCTACGTGTCGCCAAACAATTGATCCCAAATCAACATCATCTCTTCTCCTCTTCTCTGCCGTTCCAACCCTTCCAGATCTGGGAAGCAAAATTCCGGATTCTGGTCCTTTCTTTCCTCATACCACTTGAACAACTGAAGACTTGTTACGCTATTGCAAGGTGAGATTTATCTTCTTCTATTACCTTGCCTTCTATCATCGTCCTTTGTAAGAGTCGCTTGCCGCAGAGACGCGTCAGGCCCTCTCCGTCCATTCTTTGTCCACACTGCGTCACTCCAGCTATGCAACTCCTGTTTTCTCTCATTTTAATAATTGACTTTGTACTGACGGAAAATTTATCCTTGGTAGTATCAGAATGTCTGACCCCGACAAAGATGGTGCCTTTGGCACTGCTGCTATTAACAATGCTCTGAAGGATGTTGTCAATTCGCAATCTGATGCTGGTCAGACGGACAAGCCCCCCAAGCCGTCTGGCTGGGTCGAAAAATCCGGCTACAATTACGCTGCCTATAATGCTTCTACTCGCGAGGAGCGTGAAGCTGCCCAAAGCTCCGGAGCAACAGAGGACGGACCTGCCTGGGCTGCCAATGCCGTCAAGTACGAATGGTCTGACGAATATGGAGATGTCGGCCCAGCCCATCCGGAGCTTGAAAAGCAGCTTTTCCAAGATGAAAACATAATGCGTATTGGAAATGACATTTTGAAGTATGTGAACTAAATTGTACCTCCATTGTTCATCAAGGCTGACCCAGAAAAGCATTCAAGAAATTGAAGTCACTCAAGAGGGTGAAATGCGCATCAGGCCGGTCCGAAAGGTTAGCTGCTCCCATATATCTGTCATGCTCACAGACTTATTCTTTGGTAGTTTGAGGATGCAGGCCTTCACCCTATCATGCTTCAAAATGTTTCACTTTGCAGATATGAAGCGCCCACTCCGATCCAAGCCTACTGCCTCCCGGCGATTCTTAAAGGACAGGACGTTATTGCCTGTGCTCAGACTGGTAAGCAGTACTGTCTTGCAATTGTAAATATATTGTGTTGACTTTTCAAGGTTCCGGAAAAACTGCAGCGTTCCTCATCCCAACCTTGTCAAAATTGATGGGAAAAGCTAAAAGACTCGCGGCTCCCCGACCTAATGTCGCAGCTGGGTTTGATCCTAGAACCGATGCCGTCAGAGCTGAGCCTCTTATTCTCGTTGTTGCACCGAGTCGTGAGCTTGCTACCCAAATCTTTGACGAGGCTCGCCGTTTGTGCTACCGCTCCATGCTACGCCCTTGCGTTGTTTATGGAGGTGGCCCGGTTCACGAGCAGAGGATCGAGTTGCAGAAGGGTTGTGACGTCCTAATTGCTACGCCGGGACGTCTATGTGACTTTATGGAGAAGCCTCATATTCTGTCACTTCGGCGCGTCAGGTAAATTCCATGTCATTTGCCTCAAAGGCAAGCTGCTAATCAATCTCAATTTAAGGTACACCATCATTGATGAAGCAGATGAGATGCTGAATGCCGACTGGGACGAAGAACTCAAGAAGATTATGTCAGGTGGAGGTAAGACATGTTCCTTGACATAAAGTACGTTGCTAAGTAGAATTCACAGATACCAATGAGGACGCGGACCATGTATACATGATGTTTTCGGCGACTTTCCCGAAGGGAGCCCGTGAGCTTGCTCGCCAGTTCATGGCTCTCGATCACGTCCGAATCCGAGTTGGCCGCGCGGGTAGTACCCATATCAATGTTCAGCAAACAGTATGTAACGTTCTAGATGCTGATGCTACTATTTTGCTCACGTAAAATAGGTAATCTGGGTTGACGAGGATAAGAAGAAGCAGGCGCTTTATGACCTCCTTTCTTCTATGCCTCCTGCCCGCACTCTGATTTTCGTCAACTCGAAACGTCAAGCCGACTTTATCGATGATTATCTCTACAATCTTGATTTGCCGAGCACCTCTATTCATGCGGATCGTACTCAACGTGAGCGTGAGGATGCTATGTATGTTGAAGGTGTACCACTCTGTCCCGAAATACAGCGTTACTAATACAGTGTAGTCGGGCCTTCCGTTCGGGAAAATGTCCTATCTTGGTGGCAACTGGCGTCACAGCTCGCGGAATTGATATTCGTAATGTGATGCACGTTATCAATTTCGACTTGCCCAGCACTGCCTATGGTGGAATTGACGAATATATTCATCGTATTGGTAAGCCGAATCATTTCTGGATCATGGGTGTACTAGTTTCTAACATTCGTTTTAGGCCGTACTGCTCGCATTGGCAACCGTGGGCTTGCGACTTCATTTTTCAACGACAGAAATGAGGATATTGCCGACGTTCTCGTCAAAGTTCTTCTTGAGGCAAAGCAAGAGATTCCAGATTTTTTGCAAGGCAAAGTCCCGGAAGGAGGCGCCGAAGCCATCACTTTTGATGACGACACTGATAACGAAGGTGATGATCAGACTGCCACTGGCTGGGGCGAGACCGCTTCCGCGCAGAAGACCGAGACCGCTCCAGCTGCTGGTGACGGATGGGGGAATTCCGAGCCTACCAAAACCGACGCAAAAGCTGATAGCGGTTGGGAAAATCCCGAACCTACCAAGACTGACGCAAAAGCTAATGATGGTTGGGGGAAACCCGAGCCTGCTAAGGCCGATGCCAGTGAATGGCAATCCGCTTCTAATGACGATTGGCAAAGTGGCGCTGCCTGGTAATCTGTTGCTCGTTGCTTTTGCCGATGGTCTCAACCATGCGGCATCGCAAAGCTTCAGCGGCGTTTAACAGACTGCCTCGGTCTAAAAATACAAACCTGCATCAATCAGAAAAATAACAAAAAAATTTATTTTCCCTTCCCCAATCCTACCCAATTTCCCCCCAGGCTTTTATGCGTACTGAAAGCGGATAATTGCCTTGTCCCCGAGAATTATTGCACCCGAGTGCAGGTTTTACCCCATTTTCAATGTCTTATCTCTCTCAACAAGTTTAGCTAGTACTTCGATAGCGAACATTTAAATAAAGGCAATGAAACAGTGTTATTAATATCGGAGTAAAAGTGCAATCTGTATTTCCATTTGTATCTCTTAACCTGACATAGTGTAAATTACTAGCGTCATACCATCTACCACGATTGACCCCGCTTACATTTTTGAGTGGCATATGCGAAAAGACTCACACAGAATTGAGGATCTAAAAGGGCTTAGAAGGTGAAACTCATACAATGCTGCCCTCGTAGCTAAGAACGAGCACATAATATCCTTCTAGATACTAAGAAAAGGGGCTTCAATTCGAGACTTGTCAGTCCTTTCGCAAAGAGTAGTAAACTTGCAGCGTCAGAATAGCGGCCAAGTTGTCTATAATGTCCCCCGCTGGAAATATGGTGCTAGTTCTAGTGTTAGTATTGTAAGCTAAAACCCTCAATATCAATGCTCAAAAGAGCGTGAGCTCGAAGGCCAGGAATGGCTGAGCTGCCAAGGCCTCGGATTGTTTCTGGAAAAAGCGTTTTAGAAAACAAGGAAGTTTCATTCTCATCCGATTGCATTCATCCAATCTATGGTTCTGAGTGTAGCTGGATCGCACTTAGCTGGGAGGTAATCCGAGAAGGAGGTCGCTGAAGAAAACAACATACAACACGTTTCTCTGGTGTAGCAATTGCTGGCTGAGACGTGTTTCAACCAGCACAATAAATGCCGTCCAAGTTGGGCATTCCTTAGTATGTAATCGAGCTGCTGTACTTACAGACACGTAAATCGAATTGTCAAAGTGTTGTTCAGAAACACATTTCGATCGTTAAGGGGGCCCTGTTGCTCCTTTTCATCCGGTTCGTAGGAGAAGAAGACCGGTATTTCAAGGTTTGGTGGCCATATCTGGCTTCGGTCTCTCCTCTTTAGCAAGCAAGGCTTTTTCTTGAAGCTAAAATCTCAAAACTTTCGTAAAAAAGGTTCACACCGTCTTGTATCAGACTCAATGCTCTAAATCATAAAAAAGAAGTTGAGCTTCAAATAATAGTCCACCTTGCAAGGCTGGCCTGCTGAGGGTGACGGACAAAGCCTGCCGGCGGAGAGTAACGTAGTTATGTTGAAGTCGAATCTTTTGTTGTCAATTCGGCAGCCCTGCCCGCTGGCAGGAAGTTTGTGACGATATCTGACGATGTTGACAACTTAGAACGACGAGTCACCAAAAGAACGCAGAATTTCCGAACGAGCGTTTAGATGGACAATGTGGAATCATCCCAATCACCGCAGCTCACTAACGTCAATAATACTAACAAGATTTCCAGCGAGGCTGGTTGCCCAATGAACAGAAAGAAAAGTATCAAGTGAATGCCAGGTTTTTCAGTGAATGAAAGCTCGGTTACGCTCTCAGAACACACACAAATAACAAAGAGAACTTTCAGTAACAGACTCAAAGAACACACTGATGGACCAATTTTCACAGAATACTCCAACTATGATGAACCAAGGGGAGGCATCACAGATGGCTGCGAACGTCGAAACTCATGAGTTTACAACACGAGAACAATCCAGTCCGCCCACGTTTACCGAGATGTTGGTTGGAAACGAGCAAAACATGGTGTTTGAGATGCCGAACAATCAAGGTGATGTCGCTGCTTCATTAATTGAAATGAGTGGTCAGCAAGGTGATCAATTCTTCGTGGCAGGGAATGGGCTCAGTCCTTTTGAGTCACAGACTCAAGCTGCATTGTGTTCCACAAGCATCCACCCTGTCCAAGCTCACCTGTCGTACCAATCGCCTTACGCTCAAGAGGTTCAGCCCTATTACTCTCATGTGGCCTCTCAAGATCCTCTTCCATTCCAAGCCGATCCTATTACTCAAAATCTCCCCGCCCTTCAAACTTTCCCGGCTGTTCAGACCCCATTGTCGTTTCAAATTCCTGTGGATCCTCAGCTTGCGATGATCTCTGGTCCGAACCAGCAATATATTGGACAAGGTCCCCATGGGACATATGAGAATCCATATTGGCGCCGTGCCGAAAACTCCAAAGCTATGAATGGAAATGACATTTCTGGCGATGAATTGACTCCGCGAAGCTGGAGGCCGGGCCAACGGCCGCTTCACATTCTCGAATTGCTAACACATTATACCGAAGAGATCGATAAAGCTAGATACGAATGGGGCCTATTCGACGCTGAGACAAGACAAGCCTATCCGTCGGATCAGAGCCAGAATCGAAATGAGTACCGCGACAACGAATATCATTACAAAGTTTGCAGAGCACAATGTATCTTTTTGGAGAGAATGAGAGTGTATACCGAATCCTACCAGCAATCTGAAGATCATTTGAAGCCCGGAGATCCAGTTCGCGCCATATTTTTCCCGCCTCTAGTGCCGAACGATTTTCCGCCAATGAGGACTATAGCGCCAATTGGAAATGTCGGAGGATTCAGTGGCATTCAGAATGATCCTGCACTCCCACAAGCAATGGCGCAAGTGTGGGAGGCCCAGAAGCTTCAGCAGAGACAAGAACTTCTGAGGATGCAGAATAACGCATTTCACGCCTTCGATAGCGAATCTGCCCGGTTGCAAGGTCCTACACAGCCTATGGGTCCTTATTGGTCGCAAGAGTCTTTGGAGGGTTCCCAGTCAACGAATTTTCCGCGTCTTCATGATGATCATATCCCGGCGCAATATTTGCAAATGGCCAATTATGGAGACTCCGCTGGATATAGTTATGGGAACGAAGCCGGTATTATGATGAATGAAAGGCGCTGGAACTATAATCATCTTGGAAAGCCTTCGCAGCCAGCTGTCACTTTCAGCAGCGCAACCTGCCCTCAGCCGCCTGTCCTATTCGGAGAACCACCTTTTGATAACCTTAGGATGGTGAGCCCCGCAGATTTTCCGCAATATAGATCAGGAATTCATCAAAGTTCTCAGGGCGCGACCGCTCCAGGACACCAGGACGGAGCAAAAATTCACCGACCCGCTCGAGCAAGGGCCTCAAGAAAGAACAGTCGCAACCCGAAGACGACAAAAGTCAGCCGAGCCAGCAGACCTAGAGTTCCGGAGAGACGGACAAATGATCCTGTTGAAGAGGGCGCCGGCAAGATCTTGATGCCCAGTCAACATGTTCCCCAACAAGTGGCGGTTGGAGCGGGCAGGTTCATGAATCCGCCACCGGAGCAGGTGGGATTTAGATATGTTTTCTAAAATTTGCAAGCTGACACATGTTTCAGGCGAATGAAACTGCATCCTTTTCGCAAACAAGCGCTCTTGCAGCTCCTGTTGGTAATGATGAGACAGCTTCCAATAACTCAAACATGGTCCAGACGTCGTCGGAAACAGCAAGCATAGAGTCATCGAGCGTGGACGCAGATGACCCGACCGACGTGAGTTATAGTGCTGGGAGACCGATTGGCAGGGGCCGAGGAAGCAATTCTGGCAGACGCGGGTCCAGAGGCCGAGGTCGTCGTCTCGAGCGCGGCAATTAGAAAGTCTCAGGTGATAATATTCCCAAAGATTCGAGCTCCTCCTCAAGAGTTCAAAAATCTCTGAAGAAAGGCAACCGCACGCCTTTGAGCTTTCACACATGCTAAATCTCCCTGATGAAGGATTTGAGGATGAGTTGACACATTACCACTCTTCTACATTTGCGTCAGCTTCACGGTCCACCGCACCAAAAATAAAAGCAATTTAAAAAAAATCAAAAGTCCAGAAATCAGGAAAAAAAAAGTTTCACCCTACCCCATCTTAATGCCCATTCTTATTACCCCTAATCTTCCCTATCTGTCATTTTGTTCTCACCACATCGTCGTTCGTTGGAGTTTCATGTTACTGGCCCAGATTAATCAAGGCATCTGAAGATATATTTTCTTTTTACCGAGTGGCTTATCTCAAGGCTTTTTTCTGCGAGGTTCGAGGCACAACTTTGATTCAGTTTCCATGCCGTTCCGCCTTGTCTGCCGCAATAATGGTTCATTTTTCTGACGAGTCACAAGCACAAGTCCTTCGAAAGCGCCATCATGTAATCTGGCAGTTATTTATGTAAGCTCTGCAGCAAATAGCAGATTATTTCCTCTCGACATCTGTAAAATATGAAAGTGAGGCCTGATATGAGGTTGAATTGAAGTTGTGATCCGCGCTCGCCGAGAGAGGCAAAGGGTCGGTAGAACGGGGTTCGGTAACTTGAGCCGGAGGTTCGGCGCGCTTAGGCCGCAACTAAGTTAACGACGATCTACACTTAACTAACGAGTTAGTCGCCAAGCTGACCTGGACCCTGAGCCGGCTAAGAGTCAAAGAATCAGACGTGTGTAGTGATTTCATAACTCATGAACCTCGTTGGTATAGAGCATGTGAGCCCTTGGGCTAATGAGAAGATTGGTTCTCTAGCTGCTGCGATTTTATGAAGAGATACGAAATGATAGCAATTTGGACTTGCGCATCCTTCTCTGTCACAGGATATGCCTCTTCAAAAGGAGCCATATCTGACTTTACCCCGTCAAATCAACGAATGAATGTAACAAAGAAAATTTAAACTGGTCTTCGAGCTAACTCGAGAACATTCTCGCCCTTCTGCTCGTCTTTCTCTCAACAAATATCACAGCAAAATGTCTGGAAGAAAGCGCTGTGGCGACCGAGACACTGTCCTACGGACGGTAGAGATCTGGTTAACACCAGAAAAGAGGCTGTTCATCCATTCCAGCATTCTCATTTCCTGCTCGGAATTCTTTGCGGCTAGCCTCGACAAGGCCTGGACTTCTCACAGGGGGATGCTGAGCAAAAATGAAAATGCTCCAATTATCTACAAGTTAAATCTGGAGGAAGACCCTTGCGGAGATTCTCTCACGATACAGGTACAACTCCGTTCATAATACACTCACTTTAGCATCAATGGCTGACATCATTTGTAGGATCTTCAATCTAAGACGGCGATTCCGAGTAGCGATTGGGAGAGTGAACATATTCGGGATGAGACCTATTATCGAGCTTTCGAGAATATGATTGGTATTTTTCAACACGTCAAGCCTATACTTGAAGGCGTCGAAGATACGTTACAATTAGTCAAGCTGGCCGACAAATATGACTGTCTTCCAGTGATCAGTCGTGCCGTCCGCTTAGCATTACTTGAGAGCGACGGCAATGCATCTCAGCTTTATAGAGACATTTCCAAACAACCCGTGGACTATCTTTATATTGGAGAAATGACTAGGTCGTCCATAATTCTAAGGGAAGCCGCGATTCATGTCCTCGGCACTTGGTCAGGTACAAAGCAAAAATGTCGAGACACCGTTTCCCAGAAATTGTTTGATACGCTTTGTGAAAAGTACGAGCACCTCCGTCAAAAGAAGGAGCATGCCAACGAAATGTTGCTTTCCCTAAATTATTCCCAATCGATCTCTCTCGATTTTGCTTCGGTGAGCGAATCCATGGTCGCCTTGCTAATGGTTCGTGAAAACATAAGCAAAATATATTCCAACTGCTTTCAAAACAAAAAACCGGAGCATTTTGAAGGTAAACTCTATCGCGCGCTTGAGAAAAGCGCAAAGATTGAGCTGCCAAGTTCTAAAAAGATTACCAAACACTATAATGCACCATCATTCGAAGACGTACGCAAAGAATTAGAAACCAAAATTCGCCAGGCTTTGGGCGATCTACCACGCAGCTACTTGAGGGCGGATCAGACCGAGATCAATGCCGATTATCTCTTGTGCGCAAAGCTGGATGATGCAGATCTACCATGGAAAGAGGACTGGTAATCATGGATCCCTCCCACTTTGAGGCAATGGTAAGCGTCCATACCTAATATCTCAGGCAACTGCTAACCGATTACAGCATTTCGGGTATGTCGTCACGGCGTCCTTTTGACACGGGAGTGGTGAACTAGGGATTGATGTTTGGCCGCAAATTTCAAGGATTGCTCTAGGCCTGGATAATCGGAAGGAGCGGTGGGTACAATTGCGTGTGGGTTGGAACAGGTTCTATGGTCGAACGCTGCGTTTAAAATGTCGAATTTGTTCTGGGCCATCTTAAGAATTCCAATCTGGGTGGACATGTAACAAATGAAAGAACAAAGCTCTCCTGGGATCCCATGATACAAGCTCGAACAACATTCACTTAAAAGTCAGGTTTCTTTAACCCACACATTTGCCTGCCTTCCTTTTTCCCGTTGCGAAGCTGGAATTACTTCTCGACGAGGTTTTGATCTTCGTTATCAACGCGACTGTAGACGGGCATCTGAGCTCTCAATTCTGAGCCCATAACGAACCGCAGCTGTGGATCACGAAATTCCAATTGACCGGGCGTCTAATATTATACTTCATGGATTAAGACTAAAAAGACCTAATATGTCCAAAGAAATCTTATACTGATTAACTCTTCATTATAAATCTTAACTCTCCGGTTGAAAAAAAGAAAAGGAAAAGAAAAGAGGAAGGAAAGAAAAAGGAAAGAAAAGAAGGATAAAAAACAAAAAAAAAAAAAAAGAAATAGGACTTCCGCCGAATCCACTGATTATAATTCCATCATCATTAGAGAGCGAATTGACCCGGGGAAATGTAAGAATGTAGTCCTGATTCAACAACCATGCGCCAATCAAACAAATGTTCCCTGTATATATGAGATATTGTGCCGCCCAATGATAAGACAATTGGGTCTGGCGTTATAGAATCATGTCTTTGCACTCCAACAGCTTTAAAAGATGAAAGGTCAATGGAAGGAAGGTCCCGAAAATATAGATGCTTTTTCTTTTCGAAAGTTCAATGACGCCGTAAATATGTGGAATATACATGGGATGTGAATCGAATATTGGTAAAAGGGTCGATACGAAACCGCATGGAAATGCATTCACCGAAATCATAGGAAGTTTAGCCGTAATAGATAGCTTCGGCCAGATAAAGTACTCCGAAAATTAAGAAAGCGCCCGCACCACCAAGAGTAACTGAAGATAGATATGTTAGCTAGAAACCCAGATGGATGGAAATGAGGTGAATTTTACATACCCACTCTCAAGCTGACTTTTCCTGCAATGGCGCGGCCGCCAATCACTGCGGCAGCTGTGCAGATGGCGTGGCCAGTGATTGCGCCAGCCGTAACCCACCAGTAGTCGGAACCCGCTGCCATGGCAATGGTAGCAATTTGGCTTCTATCTCCCCATTCACCAAGGAAAGTCATAGCGAACGTCTGGACCCAAGCGGGAGTGAGCAAAAGTGAGCAGAGGTTGCCGAAACCAATCAGAGCCGATGACAGTGAGGATGATCGAGAGGGCGATGGAGAACGCGACGGAGATGTTGACGGGCTTCTCGGAGGAGAAGGAAGACGCGAGTTAGACCTTGTTTTTCGGGTTCCGCGGCCGGCTTCAAGAACATAAGGAGTAATGGAAGAGCGACGGCGATGTTTCTGGGCGATATGCTCCTTTTCTTCCAATTCCATCTCGACCTCCTTCATTTCCTCGCTGACGCCCTCATCTGGACTCATGCCATAACCTTCCCGAAGCATCTTCGCTCCGAAAACGAGGAATAGGATAGCCGCCAAAAAGTTGGTGAAGCGCTTCGGAATCAGCGTGGGCACGGCGTGGCCAAGCACAGCAGACAGAATTGTCATGGTAAAGAGGGCAGCGACGGCAGCCGAAAAGACAATAAGGCGAGGATATTTCATTGCCATCAAAGCTGCAACTAGGAACGTCTTATCTCCAATCTCGGAAAAGATAATCATGGACAATGAGAGGACATATGAGTGCAGCGGGTTGATCAGGGTGCGATCAGTTTCCTCCTCTGGCTTCGGAGAAGCCGGCGCAGGTTCAGCATCAGATTTGACAGTCGTTTTACCAAGGGCCAGCGGATCATCCTTGGATGTGGCAGGCACAGGCCTGGGAATATCATGAGGCTTATCCGGAAGATCGGTCGGTACCTAAAGTGATATTAGTGATATGCCAAACAACAATATGGCCTCTGCTCAGAAAAGACAAACCTGAAGGCCTCCTGCGCCCTTGGGTTTCTCCGAATCTCCAGTTGTTTTCTCCGTTGTCTTTTTGTTGGGGCTAGTCGCATCTTGCTTAATCTTCTCTTGCTCGCTGTGGGGCAAGGGAGGAGCCTCCTTTGGAGAATCGGGAGTCTTTTCTACCTTCGCCCCAGTCTGCCCTTCTTGGGCTTTTCTATCCCGCTCCTTTTCAGAAACTCCCCCTTCGGTACCCGTAGTGCCCTTCTTCGGAGAAGAGCGGTTTGGATCATCCATGACTCCGTCCTTTGAATCCGGCACCGGCTTTCCATTGATCAGTGTAGTTTCTTCCGATGTATCTTTTAACGGTTTTGGAGGAGGCTTCTTCCCTGGCGCGGTGACCTCTTCCTCTGTTTCTACCTTTGGCTTTTTATCGGTAGATAAATCTACCCACGGGCCGGCGTGGGGTTTCCCATCTTTGCCATCCACTGGCGCATCTTTCGTCCCAACTTCAGGTTTCAGCGTGGGAATTGACGCAGGAGTCAGATCATCAGCAACAGGAATAGCTTTGGGAGCATCTCTTGCGGCTAGTGAGGCATCTTTCTCTTCGGTGGCGGCACCGGTCGCAACGGATGACAACGCTGGAACGAGGAGTAGAAATAGAAGGGATGACGCCCGCTGGTTGACTCTCATCTTCATGGTGCAGTGCGTTTCAATTGGTTAATTGGAGGTCTGCCAGAAAAGTTGGGATCCCAAACAGCGTAAAGCTGCGGCGTAAGGACAGGCTCAATAAACTCTGGGGAAAGATGGCCCCGTATTGGATCTGAAGGTGTACCTCAGTTCATATGATTCTAAGTTAGGTAGCGAGAAGGATAGAGTGAAGTTAAAAGGCGAAGAGAAGGGAGGGAAGAGAAAGTCTGATCGTTGACTGAGGCAAACGGTCTCAGTTTACGAAACTGATGCTGAATTCGGGCAGGAGGGCGCGCGATCATCCCGCAAGGGGTCACCAAGTCACTTTCGCCTCGTGGCGCTTAATCCCAATCGAGACTTCCATTTTTGGCTGTCTACGTCGCCTGTGTCCCGAACAAGGAATGTCCCCCAATTGGGGTCGAGCTCGGACACCAGCTCATCGGCCGGGATATTGTGGGACGACAACATGGGTGTGCGCGATGCTTTCACAAATAATATGCACAACGATATATGAAGACGATCTGAATTCGTGATATTGGACTCACAGCGCAACAGAACGGGACTGGTTCAAGTTTTCACTTTCCAGTAGAACCTTTTTGAGCATTAAACAAAAGGGACAACATGAGGTATGCTGATACAGACGCGTCCACAATTGTGTTATGTTTGCCTCCTGCCTCGTCTACATAGCTCCACAGGATATAGCACCTTACACCAAGTACTCTTTTCTCTTGATCAACGAATCGGACTACTAATGATACCAAATTTGTTGATTAGCCGCAATTTCTTCTCAAATCCGAACGTGTCGCGGCTTAAGCAGCTCACCAGTAATCATAACCTCTCGCCCAGGGGCGGTTCCGTAGGCTATCCCACCCTTCCTCAGACTCCGGAGACGTCAAGCGGCAGAGAAAGAGTCTCCCAAAATACCAGCAAAAGCGATTATATTGACGACGCGAGAACACGCGCTGCTGTGCGCTCTTTGGCGGCCCTAGAACAAAATATTTCCCCACCAAACGATGATGCAGAGGATGACGAGTGGCGCCCTGGCCGCAATTCCGAGGACAATGAGGTTTTGCAAGACCCATATGTGCCCACGCGGTCTTCTCAGCAGATGCTAGAGCAGTACACCATAGGCAAATCTCTTCAGCGTCGCGAGCATGACGCCGAACAGCAACAAGGCAGGCCCAAACGTAACTTCATTGATCGGCAGCCAGACGCCTCAAGGGTAGAGTTTGACGACCCGCCTGGCAGCGGTCAGCCGACTCCGGTACCTGTGGGAAGAGCCTCGCGGAAACGAAAATTGGCAAATAGGAGTAATGAAGGCGACGAAGACGATGATCAGGATGACGCGTTTCAGCAAGATACTCGGCCGACGAACGCTGAAGCAAGGAGACGAGAGGCTCCTGTTGCGGCACGTCGCCAAGCTATTCGAGAGATGTCGACGGAGCATCATGATGACGATGCCGAAGATGCTCACGAAGTAGAGCAGCAGCAGCAGCGAGAACGGCGGGAACGGCGAGAGCAGCGGGAGCAGCGCCAAGAGAGAGCATCTGAAGATGCTGCTCGCGAATTCACACCAACGTCTAGAGGACAATCACATCTGGATGACGACCCCGGCAGTGTTTACCAGCAAGTGCAGGCTGAAGCTCGACGTCGAGTAGCAACTCGATTGCCCCCCAAAGTTCAGACGCGGCAGAAGTGGTCGACGGAAGAAACTAGCCTCCTGATCAGATGTGTCCAAAAATACGGTACATCGTGGTCCAGGATTGTACAGAGCGAGCCACTCTTCAATGATAGGGGTCAGGTCGGTCTCAAAGATAAGGCTCGAAATATAAAATTTGACTATCTCAAGTATGCATTTCCGTCTCTTGCTTTGTGGCATTTTCTTCTATTTCGCCAAAGGACTTGGGACAGTCAACTGATTATGCACAATCAACCATTTAGGGCGCAACTTGAGCTTCCGCCAATGTTTGAGTACGTTTCTCTCAACCGGCTTCAAATCAACAAGCTGAGAGAGCTTGGGATCGATTACGAAAGAATGTAGCCAAAGCGATGCCTTGGCTTTTTTTTTTTTTTTTTCAATTCTACTCACGCCGAGACATGTCGCTGTTCCACTCTGATATTGATGTCACCTTTTCAGCGTGCCATTCGGCGCCTTTTATGCATTTCGCTCCTGGCTATGATACCCGGGTCATTGTTGTACAGCAATGCTCACCACACAGGGCGAATGTGCCATCTCTTTGTTGAATTCGAACCATTAACGAGCAAATATAGTCCAAATTATTTTTTCCTTTTACTGCTTTTCATGACATTGTAACCCGCCATGTTCACTGCTGTGCCACTGTTACGTGTTCAGCGTTGATCGTGGACTCCCAAAGGACCAGCATCTTTGACGTCAAAGCACACAAGCTGCGTAGTAGTCTCTTGCCTTTCTAGTCCTCATTTTTCGATGATTTTCCTGTTACAACATCTTCCGGGCTGTATTATATCCTGAGCATTGTCGCCGCCCTTGCATCTCGGCATAATCTTAAGCACGCTACATCATGCACAATTCTTCTTCACAATTTGCATAATTACGGCACAAAGCTACCTGCCGTATGTATCTCATGTACAACGAATCTAGTCTCATCTATTCCAATTAATTCCCCCTCCCAGGGCGTCTTCCAAAGCACCATGTTCTAGTTTTCCTTTTATTAGATGTGCTTAATGCCATAACTTGACTGTCTTGGTCTTGTAAGCATGCTCTGTCCGGTAACTATGGTAGGTTGTGTACGTAGTATACACACCGACTACCCCTGTCCTCAGTCCAAAGCAGCGACTGTTCACTGTACTCGCATACCGTAGATTCGCTTTGCAGTTCTACTCTAAACCTGCATGACTTAAGCGCGTTACCCCAAGTAGGCTGTCATACTGTAAGTCTGTAAGTCTGTAACTATAGTACAGCCGTTGAACCGCTGAAACAACGTTCAGGCGATGTCTGAATTGCCGTTTAGGCTGTAGTAATGGGGTAAGTTATGTGGTAGGATTATTGTGAGGGTGCTGCTATAATTTTCCTTAATTTTTTTTTTAAATTGAATTCTGGACTCAGTGGTGATATTTCGTCCAGTGTACTGGGATGGACGCATGAGTTCATGTGTGATGACAGCAGTACAGCATCCAAACTGGATTGTGAAGATCTGTAAGTATTGGGAAAGGCTGTAGATATCACGGTATGGTTTATCTAGATACTAGAGTTAGATTCAGTCATGGGAAAACTGTAGTCTACAATAAAAATGGTCCAGATGGATATCGAGGGTTCAGTGATGCAAGAATTTGGCGATTCAAGCATTGAAGGATTCGATGATGTTGTGTCTGCTAGAATCTGGGTGGCTTGAGCAGATATCCAGATTGATAGTATTCAATTATCACACGTCATGATTTGGGGACTGATGGTATTGGGTAAATATATTTATGATTGAATGTATGAGATGCGACTGGTAAGGTTGTGCAGATGTGCATAGATTTCAACCAGGGTTTGGGCAGGTCTTCGTCCTATTAATCCTAGAATTTGTCTCCAACTGTCAGCTTCAAGGTATGCTACAGTTCAAATAGCCCTAGGGAAGCAAAGTGAGCATTTAGGTGGCCAGGCACGGCCGCACAGGCTAATTGATTTCTCCTGGATCCAGATGATACCGATAATCTATGCTGCTGTGCATCTAGACGCGGGACTAGGAAGAAGAAAGTGGACATTTGGCTCAGCCTCTCAGTAATCAAAACCGGACATGAAAGGTTACGATGAACAGTAATTAATCAAAGAGATGGCATCAGCATTATTACCACCGTTACCACTACAAGGTCACGCCTTTGCTTCGTCGAATTCATGAATCATGTCGCTCTCTATTCCATACCTCTTCCCCAACCCCCTCTTGATCGTCTTAGACATTAATCATCCCGAAAAGTGCAGAATCAGCAAATGAATCTACCATCTAAATTACCAGACAGTCAAATTCCGAAATACGATTGACCGAAATCCAAGACCTGCGAGCTGTAGGTACGGCCTATTTTCCGCCTAGCGAAATGGTGATATGAGCAATTTAAAGGTGCAATTGGTGTTCATTTTAATGCAGCCCACAACTTCAAGCCTGAGCCATTTCAAATCAGACTCGTCGTCTTTGGATACGGCATATCGATGGGTTTCTGTGAATACTCCATCCGTCTCTTTCGTTGGATGATCCACAAGGTGTTGTATAGGGATAACTTGAAGAAGGATATTGATCCTGCTGATTTCTCCAGTTAGGTGCTCGCGTAGCCATTCGAAAGAAATGTGTAATAACACGTCTGAGGCTTTTGTTGGCCATCGATCGTAAAAGTGGAGGCGGCTGTGAGAAGCATACGTGAAAGTTCTAATTTGCACATCTGTGTCAATTTTTTGGATCATCGAATCGCTAATTTTGACCCCAGTGAGTATCTCGCGGTTCTCAGCATTGCGAGGAGTCGAAGGGGGAGATTTGAGGCGGTCTTTCAACCCGGCAGAGGTGTCAGACATTTGAGTTGGGCTCGGTGCTCTATATATTTGCTTAGCCGGGCCTTGCTCTTCTGTTTGAGCCTTGCTGTGCATTTCCCTGTGTTCTGCACTATGACTCGGCGATTGGCCGCCTTGATAAGGCGATTCTTTTCGGGTACTATGCTCCAACGACAAGGGGGGAGTAGTAGCTGTCTCTAATTGTGTTTGATCTTCCTTTTCTTGCGACATGTCTTCCTCCTGAGCGGCAGATCCCATCGGCGCAATCGGCACTTTGAATTGTGATGAATAAGTTGCGGCGAAACGTGGTTGAGGATCTCTTGGGCCATTTAAGGGGGCTGACGCGTTTTTCATGTCCTCTGTGGTCTTCCGTGAAACTCTCTCTCGATCGGTTCTGATTGCGTCGACATCAATTACTTCACGCTCAGGGAGACGGAGTCTTTTCGGCTCGAGACCGGGAATGGTTGAACTTCCTGTTCTCTTTGCTTGTCGAGATGCTTTTTGTGGGTTGGGCGGCGTTTCTCGTCTTGATCTGGAGGCATGTTAGTTTTCGCTAATGGTTGGGGCCGAAGGACGGTAGGTTTGGCTTACTGGGCACTGCGCTGGGACGGACTTGTGGAATATTGTGCGGTTGATTTGGCTGCGTGTTCATTTTCTCTCTTGCCGTATTTTAGTATGACTATACGATCTGGGGCATAACTGTGAGGGCTAACTGTGACTGTGCTATTTTCGTCTCCCTCTTGAGATGCAGTTTGGGTTAATGGAGCTTGGTGATCATGTCCAGAGACATTGTTGGCGGATGCAAGCCCCTGGGCGTTGTTGACATTTGACTGGCTCCTGAAACTGCCTCCGTTTGCTGGCAGATTATTTGTGATTAAGTGAAGTGCATTTTGCGGGGTTGAATACGTTCTGCTCTGGTTGCTGAAATCTGTCAGCTCGCAACTAGGTCTATATTCATCATCGTCGTCCCCGTTCCTATATCAGATCAGGTCTACCGCAGTTCAACGTAAGACGTTTCCACTCACCTATGTGCACAATCTTCATCACTCATTTCCGAGGCGGAGACTGAGCTCAACCGATCGCGGCGCGTTGTATCAGAGCTGGAGTGCCTAGCATAAAGTGAGCTTCTTGGTCCGCGTCTGCAGCCGCTGATCGTGAATATCGGTTTCGTGGGGTCGATATTGCTTAGGATATCATGTAGTCCCGTATGAGAAAGCATACCTTTCATATCTTTCTAATGCTCTCGATGATCGGATATGGTTGAAACCTTGTTGCGCAAAAAGTTTGCGCAAGATATCAAGGATTCTGTCGGGGTTAGAGATCGTCACTATTAAAAATTAACTCTCACTATACCCTTACAATAGTCGATCTGGTGGGTTCTCCCAACTTAAGTTTTGAGGCTCTGCAAATTCAGATGATTTCTTCCGCAGATCACGAAAGGGTATAGGCTGGGAATCATCATAAAAAGTGTCAGTATCGAAAAAGTATTTTGCCATTCTACAAATTTCAGGCGAGGATTGCCGTGACATGTCATCGGACATTCTGTCGATCAAATTGTCCGAGGCATATTTCGCCAGGAATTTTAATGCTAAATTTTGGAAGAGTTTGCTTTTCGTCCCCCTGAAGCCAAGCTTCTCACATAAGTCTCTGACGCCCTCTTTTTTCGGCATGATGGCTCTGCAAAATTGATTAATGATAACATTATGCAGAATATTGGGGGACAGCTGGGTTCAGAATTGAATTAAATATACGTTTTTGTGTGGCGGCAGAATTTCTCTGTAGCCCCTTTTCCTTGCATAGAACGCCTTGACTTTTGTTAGGCATCAGCGGGAGAGGTTAAACTTTCTCTGCAAGAGCTGGGGTAGTCGTATCAAAAGTGTTGACAGAGACAAATGAGAATGAAGCCGAATTTCTGCCGGATACGCCACAACAAGGATATCCGTTTGCCTGCCGTTGCCTCGTGGGTTAGACACTGGATTTGGACGTGTGCAGGGTAATCGTTCAACCAAATCCTCCTGCGAATTTCCAGCATGGCGAATCTAGAGCTTTCATTTTAGTCTTGAGGGAAATAGTCGGATCAGCAAGAATGATAATCATTTAATGGCCCAACTCGCAAGCTCCTTCAATTTTGAGGGGGACAAATGCTGGTTGCCTCTTTCGAAAATCACATTTGCACCCCTCCATCTTCAGAAATGAAAGGGTAGGAAAGAGAAAAATCAGGTTTCAGTCAAAAGGCAATGGCTGGGCCTAATGCAAGAGGAGTCGTCGGGGGAGTAGAGTGGACATGCTAGGTCCTGCGGCACAGCAAGTACCCCGGTAATTGAACTCCCAAACGCGGCATAATCGACAGTCAAAGCGACCGGGAAGCGACAGCCTCGGGATTCGGAGCATTCTGACAGGTCGGGGAAACCGGGAAGTATCGATAAACGCGCTGGAAGCCACAGTTCAGCTTGTCCAGGGTGGTGGTGGAAGAGGGGCAACAGGACATGAGTCTGGCAGTCACATTGCCGCCGCGGATGTCTCGGATTCCTTTCCGCCTGCTTCACGCAATGCATGATAAGAGACAAGACACAGAGTTCGGCGAATTTTGGCTTCTGCCGCGATTGATTCAGCAATGCCCAATTATTCAACAACCTGAGAATGAAATAAATTCCATCCTTTTAGAAACTCCTATCCACACGTCGCTGGGATCAAATTCACAATCGTCGGGATGGGAAAAGGTTCAATGTGTAGGCTGGTCTCTCGCCTACGACGCATTACCATTATATATCCTCGATCGCCAATCGATCCCCGTGCAGAGAGAACGCACTGCCTTTCCTCCCCTCATCCTGGGAACGTGTGTGAAACTTTTTGTGAACCAGGGGCCTAAGAAGTCCAGAATCTTTGTAATTTCATATTAAATGTTTTGTGCTTCTAGCCTCCTCGGAAGTCCGCTGAATTACTAAAATGTCATATCCCAGTAAATTTACTTATTAAGTACCAGCAACCCTGCCTTGAAACTTCCCCCGGTCAAGAAACACACTCAAAGATATCCAGAGAAAGCTCCAATCGGAAGAAACAGCCAGTGACATCTGCCACCATCCTTCATAACGCCGCATACTCCACCTCTACAAAACAAATAAGCCAGTGATTTCAGTTCCCAGCTTTCACTAGCTCGGTCATGCTGGCTTGCACAGCCTTCCACCACCTTGCTCTTGTTTCCAAGTCCTCCTCTATTCCGCCTGTGCCTTGCTCCTTTCTTCGTAGAGCTTCTGTTGCTGCCGCCATGTTCATGGCTCGTTGCTCCTCTAAGGGCCTCAGCTCGGCCTTAAGGCGATCTACTTCTCGCTGCCTTCGGGGCAACATGGACTGAAGCGCCGCGACCTGATGTTTTACCTCCGCAAGTTTCGCTTCCCTCTCTTCGAGCAACTCGGTAGATGCATCCAGAGACAGATTCAGATCTGGGTTATCCGAGACGGGCGCTTGTTCCGTCCGTAGTGATTCTATACTTTCTTCGAGCTGCGCAATATGGGGAGGCAATTCGCGCAGTTGTATTGTCTGTAATTGGATTTCTTCGTATCCTAGGGTGAACTCGTACATTAGTCCCGTTCTAATTCCGCGCATGTGATTTCATCCGACTCATCCCTCGTTTCGGCGAGATACGCAAGCTATACATACTTTTTGCCAGAGCTCTGCCTCTGCTTTCAATCTGAGAAAGGAGTTCCTCGACTCCATTCTTCTGTGCTTTAAGCTCTGCCTTGACGCTCTTGAGCTCCTCCTCAAGTTCCACGTTCTGTTGCGGCTCGACTAATACCGGCGGTTCAGTGAGAAGTGCCCGGAGGAATTTTTCCTTTGTAAGTTGTTCGACGAAGGAAAAGCGGAGTTTGGAGAATAATTCCTAAAACACGACGGTGTTCAGTTTTTTGCCTTACTATTACCGCTTCTCTGTGGACAGTCGCCAGGTCATGATGGCTCAGTCGTCTAGCAATGCGGCGCAGCACTGAGACTGTAACAACAAAGTACCTTGTAATGTGCCAGTTCCACCTCTAATCCAGCGGGCGTCTGGTCATCGAAGGCAGAGAGATCGAATTCGTCGGTAGAAGCATCGGAACGTTTGCGACTTCGAGTATTTGGGGCGCGGCGAATTTCATTGGTTAAAGGCTCGCTCAGTTGGATGATTGACAGCACCCTGGATGCAAGGAAATCCTCTATTGTCGAAAGGAGTTCCTCTGGTGAGTCTGCCATGGTCGCAACCCTTTTGCAGTGACGAATTCGGGTTGAGGGTGCAGAATAGGCTGTTGTTTACTTTTCGCTGCCATTGTTTGGCAAATGCATTGACTCTGGGGTTTTAGCGTGTTCGCGTGCCCGAGATTCTGCAGGTCACCTTTCCCCGCCAAATGCCGGCATTGACCCTCAATACTGGTCTTACTGCAAATCGGGTGCTGCATAAGACTGATCTTCTGGCGCCAATTCGAGACATTTGTAAAGACTTGATTTGATATTGGGAACATTATCTCATGTCCTACGGGCTTGAGACTGCAAGAATTACGGAGTACATCATCCGCGTTGTATTTTGGTCAGATAATCCACAGAACAATCATATTTTAAACCCGAAAAGAATGAAGGAAAACATAAATTATAAATAAAATGCTAGAATATTTTGTAAAGCTCTAAAACTCTCCTGAAGCTAATATCCACATAGGAGAATTACTCATACACCGATTTTAAATTTATTAAGCTCAGTAAGGCGAATGCTGTTTGCCGTGTCTGCTTTGCATTTTAGTGGGAAGTGGCAGATTCGGTGACATCAATCCCGCACTACTACGTATAGTTACAACTGAACATTGTCTTTGCGACAACTTACGGCCATTACGTCTACCACAGAAGATATTTTGTCAAGACCAAGTGCTACGCAATGAGAAAAAATTGAGGGAGTTCGAGTATTGCTCATATTCGCTATAGTCTGACCGTGGACGCATCCCATGGCCAAACCCACGCCACATACTCTCGTCTTGCAGCTCAGCGCTTCCATCGCGATTAGCAGTTGCATATCCTAAGGAAGAACTGCTATTGCTTCTGAGGCCAGTACAACCAAATAACAAATGTCCGCCGACACCCCTTTTTCTGACGACTACGTCGCCAATCTACTCAAGAAAGATGCGCGAGACAGTTCGGTGAGGTATTCCGCTCTTGGGCTACAGGCGTTTCTTCCTCAAAGGTAAGCTTAACCCAAACAACCTTTTAGTCAAACTGCCCTTCTGACTAGCCGCAGACCCTCTTCAAATGCACCGAAGCCAAATACGAGATTTCTTCGAAACATCATCCGAGACACCGATAATCACAATGCCGCCCTCCTTGCGAAAGAAGCACAAGAGGCAAGGGCTCGGCTGAGGGCGCTGCGCGAAGGGGAGCCCAGATCAAAGCATGAGCACCGATCAAGTGCAAGTGACTACGCTGAGAACAAACGAAAGCGAATGGAAGTTGCGGAGTCTGAAAGCAATATACGAAGATCTAGTGAAAAGTCGTCCTCAGCTCGAATACGTCACCAACGGTCCAGGCGTGACGAGGTGAAAAGAGATGGTCACGACGATAGTGACAGAGAACACTCGCGACATCCGCATCGGCATAATTCAAGGGAGCACCGACGACGTCATCGGAGCAGATCCAGAGAGGGTCACTCAAGCCAAAGATCTGCTCGAGACTCACATCGTCATTTACGTCGACACCATCGAAGCTCTCGATCACGTTCTCCTCATGGCGAAAGAGTATCGCAACATCGAAGATCGCATCGACCCCGATCTGTATCATATTCGCCCGAAAGGCACAATGACTCTGCTCCTAGCCGCTCCAAACGGGCGAATTTCTCTCCTAAAATTGGAATGGGGACATCAAAAAGCAAACGGTCTCCGTCACTTACGTCGGACTCTGATCCGTTGGAGGCAATCATTGGTCCCCAACCGCCGACTGCAGAACCTAAGGTCCGTGTACGAGGGCGCGGTGCTTTATCATCTTCTTCCGGCATTGACAACCGCTTTGCGTCCGGCTACGATCCATCCACCGACGTACAACCGAATGTAGAGGACGAGGATGACTGGGACCAGGCACTTGAAGCCTTAAGGGATCGGCAGCGCTGGAAGCAATCCGGCGCGGACAGGCTTCGAGCGGCTGGTTTTACGGAAGAGGAAGTGGATAATTGGAAGAAGGGTGGAGAGAGGAGTGAAGCAGATGTTCGATGGGCAAGGCGAGGCGAAGGACGGGAATGGGACAGAGGAAAGGTTGTAGATGCAGAAGGCGATATTGACTTGAAGCCCGAATGGGGCCGGCTCAAAGACACCTAGCTTGGCGGGCTGAAAAGGCATTAGAGATGTACATATTCGATGCTTGCAGAACAGTTGCAAGCAATTCAGCTTTTGTGATACCCCTAACACCAATAATTTACACTTGATAGTAACTGTCCTCTAAGTTTCCCCCAGTCCATGACAGCTGCTTTCTTATTACCGAATTTGAATTAAACAGCCCGCTGGCGACGCCTTTGGGCGGCCGCGCAATTATGATCTGATAAGATTATCATTTTGCATTGGGTCGGACGCGCTAAACTTGGAATAAAATCTTGGCGTGGTCGGTTAATGTGCGGCTCTGGAGGGTTTAGACCTGCCCTCCCACAAACGAATTAGCGATTCTCGAAGTGTGCGGACAACCTCATCGACGCAGCGACCACGACAACTACGACACCGGTGAGCCGACGAGGTATGTCAAAAATTCGAATCTGAGTCTGTTATACGTTATTTACAAAAGTGCTGACGTCCTTTTTTTGCTTCAGTTCCTAATTCAAAATGAGTACGTCTTGACCCTATGCAATTCGGAAACCCGGACCCTGTTCCCGCCCGGCGACGATATGCAACGAAATGTAAAGAAAGTTACGAACAATCTGATGACTGACGGATCGAAACAGCGAAGGGAACTTCCAGCTTTGGCAAGCGCCACACCAAGACTCACGGCCTTTGCAGACGCTGCGGTGCGTACAACCCTTTTTCTCAACCTGAATGCATCGATCGCTTTTCTCTCCGCGGCGCGAATTCTCAATTGTGTGAAGAGGAGGAAGGGGGGGAAAGGAAGAACGGGAAGAGAATCGCTATACCACGAGAGGGAAAAGAACATATTTCGATGCTTTCCGCCAAAGACATTTCTTGAGGGCTCAAGCTGATTTGTGGAATTTTTATAGGCCGTCGCTCTCTTCACCTCCAGAAGAAGACCTGCGCGTCATGCGGTTACCCCGCTGCTAAGACCCGCGGCTGTACGTGAAAAGACCCAAGCCATCATTCGATATACCCTTTGCATTTTTCTAACACGGATACACAACAGTCGAGTGGGGCCAGAAGGCCAAGCGGAGAAAGACCACCGGCTCCGGTCGCATGCGGTACTTGAAGACCGTCCCCCGGAGATTCTCCAACGGCTTCCAGCTCGGTACCCCCAAGGGCGCCAAGGGCCCCACCGTCAACGAGGCATAAAGGCGTTATTGAAAAATAGGGGGAGCGAGTGTGTTGTCGATGACAGCTGTACTGGATTCAGGCAATTTAGCTCATAACGTCTGCAATAGCAATGGTTGCCATTTGACAACTTCTTTTCGTCGTCGATTCGCTGTGAACTGCAATGTATGCGCCAGATGTGTCACCGATATATCCTATTTTCGAACAACTTCCATTTTACGAGACACCACTTTTCGGACCCCGAATTTTCAGCTTCAATGAGCGAAGAAAATGTCGGGCGCATTTAACAACGAGGATATATTGTTCCAGCAAGATCTTGCTATAAATTCCAAATGAATGTCGCCACCAGCCAGTTTATTCGATTGCCAAATATGTCTATACAGAATGGACTCGTCGAACTGCATTCTCCCAAGACGGTCCCCAAATTCTATTTACGTTTGCAAAAACAGTCCAACAAAATTCACTGCCTTAATAGACCGTCCAACGCCGAATAATGCTCGCTTTCCCAATATCTTTCTTTTCTAAACCATGAAATGCAAACATGCAAGCTCCAAACCAATCGCATCATCTGACAGCCCAGACATTTTACGTTCCCCGCTCAAACACTTTTGCAGCCCCATCAGCCGCAATGAAGTACAACAACTCCTTGTCTTCGAGATGCTCGTCTTCAGTTTTGTCATCAAGCTCGTCTGCGCCTCTCGTGAACTGCATGACTCCACTGACGTCTTTGGCTGTACCCGTGTCTAATAATCGCAGGGAGACGGTAAGTCGAGCCTGGTGCGCAAGACTCAGCAGAAACGAAGCGTGCGCTTGCTCAAGCGGCGTCGTCGGCGACTGCACCAATGGCGCGTCTGCCGCAAGAGTGATAGTTGTAGAATGAACTTGCTATAACGACAGTTAGCTCCGTACCCATCCAAATATCTCTGCCTAAAGCTCTTTTCACTATCGTCGTTCCTCGTGCCGCCCATATCCATGGCACGTCTCCTCACACAACACCACCTGATGGAACCAGAACCCAGAAAATAACCACGAAACACAAAACTTACCTCGCGCAGGCCAAATACCCAATTCACCATATCCGTAGCATTTACCCCCGTAGTAGCAAGCAACACATCCGGCTGGTCCACAATGAGCAGCACTTTCCGCTCCTGCTGTGAGCCACTGACGCTCGGTCTCCCAGAACCGGCACCACCACCAGCAGGAGCAGCGCCAAATGGTGCCGCCGCCGGCGGTGCCCTCGCAGAACTTGCTGCGCTTCTGGGCCCATTCAATCCGGAACCCACACTAGCAGGTGACTGTGTTTGTGTTTGTGCTTGTCCCTGAGTCGCCGTTCTTAACCGGCGAATCTGTACCTTAATCGACTCGCCGACGCTCTCGAGCTTCGGAGAATCTAGCACTGTCGTTTGCGGGATTGACGCAGCCGTCGGTGCCGACGCCGCTGAAATTGGAGCGCCACCAGGAGCCTGTACGCCCAGCGGCCCACGCGGAGGAACAGCGCCTGGACCACGCGCGGGTCTTATAGGATAACTTGGAGACGCAGAAGGAGACTGCGATGCAGGCGGCGCGAAGAGCTCAGTCAATCCATCGACGAACGCGAAACGTCCTTGGACCGCAAGACGTCTGAGATCGAGACCCTGTATTTGCAGCAGTTATTAGCAACAGTACATATTTCAAAATCATGCAAAGCCATTTCTCAATTGCACATCCAACCCCCAAAAAGCAATATATACCACTCATCCTATCCGCCGCCCAGCCCCAGGGCTTACGGGGCATAACCCCCGAACAGAACGCAAGGTATAGAAGCTCCAGAGCATACACACACAGAGAGAGAGAAGAGGGGAAGGGAAAAAGTGATGAAAATAGTCGTACCATTCTCCGCGCGCCCTCTCTCCAAAACTCCCCATCCCGCAAAAAGCTCACGAGCACGACCGCGACATCTGACTCCGCGGAAGCTTCATCTTGCTGTTGTCCCGCACTGGCCAAGGCCGCGTACAAGTATCGCAACACGAGCCAGTTGGTCGAAGCGCTCAGTACGGATGTGAGCAGCGTAAGAGACGTCGAGGGAGGTAGGCGGGTATATGGTTCGAGCAGAGGTGGAATAGTGCGGGAGCTCATTTTTATATATATTGCGACGTTGACGTTGTTAGATGTGTTCGAAGTGATATTTCGCGATCATGGATCTGTTTTGTATTTGTAGCTTGGGCTCAGAGACGCGGGGAGGGTGGAAAGTCGGATTACTCCGTAGATCGATCCAGTAAACAGTAAACCGGAATAGAGGGGTCCAATTGCTCGCGCTGGCAGAAATTGGAGAGAAGATTGAGCTGTTGTGACGTGCGACTGGTAGTCAAAAAAGTTGACTGCTACTTTCGTTGACCTACACAAATCGGTGAGGCGGGATTCGGGCAGTCCTCTGACCTGTCATTTGGTTGCTAGTTCCGGCTACAACATGCGCCTCGGTTTAGGTGCTTAACCGAAGGGATCAACAGATGCTGGGAAAGTTAACTGAACTTGCCTATTCAGTTGGAGCGAATAGTTAAATTAAAAGCGCACCGAGTGCCTTTTGTAAGCAGCTGAGCAATTACGGTAGGAAAAGTGTGAAGGTTACAGTCATCACAGCAGATCTCCGGTGGTAAGTCCCGTTCTTGCCAGTCACTTCTTTCAAATGGTACCATTCAACAGGTCAGGAAACTTTTGCTCATAGATGGATTATTTATTCGCGCAATATTTACCAACAAGCAACGAGACCTTAAACGTATAAGCCATCTCTAAAGCAGTAAATATAGAATTTGCCCTGTTCATCTTACGACCTCTTCTTGTAAGTCATGAGAACCTAAATAGCCCAAAAGTCCGAATCTTGGTGCAGGTAATGATGTAAACGTCCAATAAATAGCAAAACAGTCACCGTCGGAATATATGCTTAAGAAACGAGATTAAACAACTCTTCGAGAGCAGATTCCCCAGATGCCATGTCAAGAGTTACGACTTCGGTAAACTCTTCTTCGGAGCTTGACGCTTCTTCTTCGTCAACACCTTCGGGCTGCTCTACTTGACTGGAGCTATGAGACGAAGATGGTGCATCAATGTCCGGCGTATTCTGTCGACTATTTTGGTCGCTTTTTATAGCAGGAGCATTCGATAGTCCATTGTTTGTGGCAGTTTCGTTTTCCTCCCAGACAAGAAGATCCCCAGAATCATTTGACAGCGTGGTCCGAAGTCCATCACTCGGTGCATCGGCGATTTCTGCTCCCAAGCTCCCCACGGTATCCTCCCGCTGGAGAATGGAACCATCAATAGGTTCGGGCTGTGAGACTATCCCAAGTCTCTTATGTTCTGGCTCAAGGATTGGAAGTAATGGTGAAGAAATTTCAGAGTTCAGAAGTGTATCTAGAAGATGAGGACGAGGAAGGAAACTTTCGCGTGTTTCTGGGGAGCCTTGTGGCTCGACGCTTGTCAAGCCATCTGGGTGGCCACAATCCTCAGCTGCTTCAGTAGGCGACATCTCCACCTCTTCGGAAGGAGTACTCTTCCAAATTTCAACTTCGAGATCCTGCGGGACCTTAGACATACCATGGGGTCCAACATCCTCGAACCCAAGCTTATCTATGGGGGCGACAACGTTGGTATGAGGATTTTGACGTAGCATATCCATATCTTTTCGATCGAACTCCGCCAGCGGGGCACCACTTCCTTGCCTATTGGAGTTCTGCTCCTGGCGATCTCCATGCTGGAAAAGTTGCAGCATCTCCCCACGATGAGTGACTCCCTCGTTCGTCTCCAATGAGTCTCCTTCGAGGCCCAACTCGCCCAGATTTATCGGCTTAGCCAGATGGGCTCCTATTGGAGGATGCCCCTCCATACTTTCTGGCGGCAATCTCTCCGTAGCCTGGCCATGTCGACCCGGTAGCTCGCCATTTGCAATTCTCCCCAAGACCTTGTCAAATAGCCATGGAAAACTAATCAGAGGCATCGTGCTCACGTTGATCTTCTTGCTCGGTTCTTCCTGACCTGCGACTGTTCTGGGCCTGCGACTCTCTTCCAGAGCTTGGCTTAACTGTTGCTCAGTCACTTTGTACATTGCAACTACAAACGGCACGAGCCCATCAACATCCCTTGTGCCAGCCTTTTCGAAACAGGCCTGCTTGAACCGCTGCTTAAGTCCAGATGATATCACTCCCATCTCCTCGTGGAACTTGTAGTCTTTTGATGCATTTGCGTGGCTCATTAAAAAGGTCGACCATACCTCAAACTCTGTATCAATCTGATACTGCGCCATGATACGGCGCATGGCAGCATCATACTCCTCCTTGAGCATCGCAGCGGCTTTGATATCTTCATCTCTTGTTTGACAGGCTCCCAGAATACGCTCATCAAACTTCGACTCAAAATGAGGAACAAAATCCACACGTTGGACCTGATCATAAAGCTGACCAAGGACCTTGCGTGAGACATAAATCTGCTCCTTCGGTACATGGTTCTTCTCCATGAAATGGGGCCACTTCCGAGCTCGAAGCTCTCTGGGCATTCTGGCTGGCTCTCCGGTCTTTGTATAGTCGACAGCCTTCGAATGGAGTGCCGCTAATTGTAAACCTAAAGCTATGTTAGCGACAGAAGACTGTCCCGCGAGAGTGAACCCCTTACATTTTCGATCCTTGACGCCGGTATCGAGGTAATCTGCATGAGCCATGTGCGACGTGGCAATGGTAGGTAGTCGATCGTTTTTCATATATGTAACGAAGAAGGAAGTGATATGATCTATAGTTACTTCATCAACTGGGGCAGGATTTGGTGGCGTATAGTCCATTGGCTCGTAATTCCATTCAGTAGGAGTCAGCTCTTGATCCCAGATGACCAGGTAATCGTCGCCATCGAGATCGCCGCCAGAGCACATGCTAGCAACATCTCGATCGCCAGTTTGCGGTAGAACAACAACGTTTTTCAGGTGATATAACTCAGGAACGTTGACGGCACGCACGACGCGAACGTCCCCGGGGTGTAGAGAGGGATTCCGTGCGAGAAGGCATGGTCCTTCAATGACAACATAACCATCTTTCCTCTCTTGATCAGAAACTTGAATGAATATCTCGGGGAGATCAACAGCCTCCTTATTCACATTTCTCCGATCTTGCTTATCGTAGTGTCCGTTTAATATTCCAGTTTCATCAACGCAGCCCAGAACGAAAGCGCCATCCTCGATGAGAATCTTCGCCTTTTCCTTCAGATATTTGATGGACCAAGCTCTCCATAGGTGCAACAGCGAGGCCACAAAGGGCTCATTACTCTGTTGAAACCCGTCCAAAATCATATTCGCTATATTCATTGTCATTTGATTCGGGTCAACGTATTTCTGAAGTAGGTGCAATGCCTTGCTTTGGTTCGACATCGCTTGCTCAAGATCAGAAAGCATGCCTTTCAATTTATTGACGAAAACTTCATCCGGAACACCAAGTGCAGAAAGGACGAGGATGATTTGCCTATTCAGTGAAGCCGCGGCAAACTGAGACCAGCGAATAATTTCAAGGCCATTATGTGCTGCAGCAAATTTATACTGGCTTTCGCGGATATGTATCTCATTCTTTTTGGCGTCAGGAGAGATTGCGAGCACACCTTTACAACCACCGAGCCGAAATTGGAACACCGATGGGGGATCCTGTGGGTTGGGAAGCTCAAGTTCTGATGCGACTATGGTCGCGAGGAAAGGAGAGATCTTGCCGACACCGTCAGTGAAATTATAGCCATTACGTTGAATGTCTTGGAGCTCTTTAATCTCTACCCTTGTTCCGTTAATGGCCCGCGTGGTCGAGAAACATTGTCCGATGCGAGCTGCATATTTGGCAATAACCTTGATATTGTCAAACTTTCCCATCCAAAGCCGAATATCGGCAGCGTTCAGATGCGGAAGCCTGGCAAAGAAATAGGCACCGTGTTCATGAAATTGCGAATTTCCAAATGCAAGAAATTCATAATGACGGTCTCCGATGGTTATACCATTCGCAAGAATTCTCTTTATTCGCGTAAAAATCTCATCATTTGATTGATTCTCTATAGCATTGATTCTCCCCTATAACAGTAAGCATATATACGGTATAAAACAGGTCTGGAAGGACCCATACCTGGTATTTCTCATCTGAGAATCGCACACGGAGAAAGCGATCCGAATGCTCGATATAGCGCCTGACTACGCGATTTGATGTTTCGATGCTTGGACTGTTGTAATAGACCATGGTAGGCGTTACTGTTGCCGATCGCATTTCTGCGCAGTAATGTGGAATCTTTGTTTGTGATACCCTAGGGTATTTCAAGGTAAATATCTCCATCGGATCGTAAAATCGTCGTTTCTGAGAGGCCACGTGCTCAAGAAGATCCTGGGCCCTCTTTGCGTCCATTGCTGTCAACGCATCGACGAAGGCTTTGCTTATATTGTGCTCGTTAAGGCAACCCTGAGAAATGCAGACCTCGAGTTGATATCGCACGGGGAAAGAGAGTGGCGGAACTGTCAACTGGGCCATGTCCTCGAGAAACGAGCCAGAGTTCTGGTCACGGACTGAAGGTCTATCTATAAACTCCCAGACCGACGATTCGGGATCAACCTTGAGTGCAAATTTCTCAATCCCCAGCATCTCCACATTGTAGTCCCGCAGAGCTCGGTGCACTACAGCGTATTTGTTCCAGTCGTTATTGGCTTTGCTGAACACGAACCGATACGTTGTCCATCTTCCTAAAATGTCGTGTGTCAGTCTCACTCTCATAAGAAAAAGTAGGGTCGCAACTAACCAATATCTATAATAGGGGCGCCCTTCTTCAGAGTTAAGGGTACATGTCTAAGCTGATTTGGTGCGTAGAGCACATCAGTCTGTCTACGCCAGGTCTCCCATTCGTTCCAGAATGTTGCTCTCTCATCGTGAGTTGCCTCAATGCGTTTGACTCTTCGGAAGAAGTTTGGCGGCGTGTCTATTGGCACAATGAGCACCTTTTTGTCGTCTCCAATATCCATCTCAAAAATTCGCTGGCATTGCGCAAAGGGAATCCTGAACCGGTAGGTTTCGATTCTGTCGAGAGAGCCAACGGTAGCCGCTGGCTTGGTACCTGCAAGCTTGGGAGCAAGACCAATTTGGCGCCGTGGATCCTGGATGTGTAAATTAAACCGAATGTCAATTTCCCGGCGAATCAAGTTTAGTGTAAAGCAAATGTCAGACTGGCTGGTTCCGTATATGTTACGCATGGCCATCATTGTTGATTCATCGTACAGGAAGCCAAAGTCAAGAGCTTCTGCCAGTAAAGTCTATTTATATGATTAGTTTCCAGCTTCATCAGCCACCATTGTACCTGCAAGCCATTGACATACCGTCCGTTCCGGATATTTAATCGACGGATTTAAAGGACTAGGGTGCAGAAAAGTCCTACGCTTGGGCTCCAACTCGACCGCAATGGGCCGCTGTTTTGAGGCAGCAGTCTCAACGGCATAGCTTTGTTCCAACCAAAATGATCTTCTCGGAGGAGGGCTAGATTGGACACCGACTTGTTAATATCATTTATCGCAGCCTTACCGGATGGTTTCTGATTACCTGAATCGAACTCTTGCTACACCATCTCGAGTTCCTCTAGTGCTCTCAAAGATTTCAATGGTCTCGATCGGCCCTTCATCGATCAACATGCGATATAGTTCAAGCGTAGTGATAGAGGAAGGTAGGCCGGAGACTTTAACACCGAGTTCTGTCCAGTTCGACCAATCTTCGACTGGTTTAATCGACTGATGCTGTCTAAATGCCCAAGGGCTGGCGGCGGACGGCTTCCCTCTGCGTCCATACGTGCCCCTGTGGGAACTATATCCGCCTCGTACAAAGCCTCGACCAGGTTCGCCGGCGTAACGAAAGGCTTGTGGAGTAATTGGCCGTTTCGGAGGCGCGCTCTGAGGACGCTTTTGGTCACCCAAAGCAATTCCTCGCCCATTTAGGGCTCCCCGGGGCGCTTGATGAAGGGTCGGGTGCGCGTGAAGGCCATGAGGCTGGGTCGAAGATCCGCGACGGGCACCAATGCCAGGATGATTTGTTTTTGCCCAGTCTGGAGAGCTTGTAAAATTTTGCGAGAACTGGTCCAGTGCGCTTCCAGCCATGTTCACGAAGAGAGAACAGCGTATTAAACGAAACTGGAAGATGAGCAACAGCTGGATTTCAGCTGATCAGGATAAGTTGGCGCATCTAGGAGTTGAGGAATTTAATGTGTCCTGGAGGGTAATGAATATGCTACATTCCCTTGTGAAATAGGAATCCCACCAATCGGTAGTGAATGAAATGCTTCAATCTTCCTTTTCTTGAAGACTTCAATCCGAAAAGGTCTAGACGCAGGTGATAGTGATGTTGATGATGAAAAATGGATGGGCTGGAGAGGCTCTTTCACAAAGGCCTGCACAAGCTATCGCGATGTTGGGAACAAATCAATCCTGTTCGTTTTGGGAGGGAATCAACCAAAGGAAACCCGCATACTTTTTATATGTGACAGCTCGCGAAGCCAAATTGGGAAGGATCAAACATAAATAAACATTAACAATTCTGACATGCAGAAAATAGAGTGCAACAATTGGGTATCGTAAAGCGCTGCGAAGCTCAGACGGGAAAGGGAGCACATATTCGATCTACCTTTTTGGCTGCAAACCGAGCTGTGACCGTGAAGACAACTGGACAGCAACCATTGTGTAATCAATAAGCTGAAAATGGGTCGGGCTTAAACGCTGACAGTTTATTGGAGGGGTGACAAGAATTTAGATACAGTGCTGTTTCCCATGTCTTTGCCCAACATCAGACACGGCATACCAACCGTCCAACTCAAGGCGAAACGGACAAAGAGGTCACTCGTCGTTAAATCATGCAACGTGCCGTGGTCTGCCGTTGCACAAAGAAAGCTCCATTTGAATAATGAAAGCGAGTGCATGGATGTGCTCGGTTAGATAATCGCGTGTGAAGTCTAATGCTTTCCTATTCCGGACGAGCAAGTGGTTGAAGACACACCCTATCATCAGAGCTTCTTAGGGAAAACATATCTAGTCACTATTACTACCTTCTTTTGCACATCAAAACAATCTTTCGAGTTTGTAAATGCTTATCAACAATACCACCATGCTTAGATTGTCTCCCTACCTGCAAGACTGGAGCAAACGGATCATGGCGGAACTGTACATGATGCAAACGCTGAGAATCTCACAGTAAAAGACCAAAAGAGAGCCGGTTCGAGAAGTAAAAATCATTTCCTTCAGGAATTATCACGAAATGGTTCCTTGATACCCTGCGATGTATTCGACATTCTCGGAGGACATTGGTGGACTTTGCCGTTCTGAAATCTCGGAGAAAGACCGGCAATCAAGCTCTCCACGTCGGTTTCCATCCTCGATATTCTCTTTCTCCTCAATATATCTGCGAGACTCGCATGGCTCTTCCGGTGAATTACTCCTGCCACATGAACTATGTGGAAAGTGTTGTGTTGGCTCATTTGCGCCGTCATAACCTGCAGTAGTCAACACAGTTTGGCATTGTTTACCATACGAGATTGGTCCGAGGCGAGGTGGCTTTGCGCCGGCCCAATTTGCAGAAAGCCCGATGCTTTGATCTGAATGCCTCTTTTCCCTCGCATCTGAAGGCGATGTGCCTTCTCCAGATCCGATGTCCCTCAAGGGTTGCCTCAACCCATTTGTGGGTTTGAGACCTGTACCTCTACCAGCTAATGCCTGAGGTGGGTTTCCGTTGGGCGTTAGAGGCATCTTTTGCGTTCTTGACCTTTTTGCGATCCGCTCTTCGGTGTGATCAGCCTGGATTGGTAAGTCAGGAAACAGTACAGTCAAGAGATCCCAGGAGTAATCGCATGGCTTAATCGTAACAACCGATATGCCGGAAAATAACGCCTTTAGTGGCATCCTACTTACATCGAACGACTCCCCCCTAGCATCGAAACCAGATGATCCAAAGTCCTTGGGATACATGGCCACCATTAATCTTTCTTTCCATTCACGTAGCTCTGAAAACTCCTTGCACTTTTCGTTGAATTGTCTAGACTGGATTTCAAACTGCAAAATAAATGAGCCACGAAAACCCCAGTGAATGCGGGCAAGCAAACCTTCTCTTCCAGCTCGAGATGCTTTAAATTAGCCTTTTCAAGCTCACTTCTAGCGTGTCTTTCAACGCCTCTAATTTTCTCAGCATATTGGGCAACCAAAGTGCTGATGGTGGCACCATTGTGGCTTCCATCCGTCAAAGAGTCCAAGTCAAGCTCCCCTTGAAGAGCCTGTTTTGCGAGGTTTTGTTCATCAAGTAGATGTGTATTGGCAGACTCCAACTCCTCAACCTTCGATTGGTCAGTCATTTTACTACTCCTCAAGGGCCTGTTGACGAACCTTTTTGAATGTGCATTCCAAATCTCCCTTCAACTTCTCGTAAAGTCCCTGGAGCTGAATTAATTGCGAGTGTTCTTCACGGAGAGAGGCATCCCTAAGTTTCAGTTTCGATTCAACGTCGGCCAGCGCTCCTTCAAGCCAATTTTTATCTTCAGTGATCTTTTGCTTTTCCTCTACGAGCATGCTGTTTTCTTTCTTTCTCTCGTTTAATTTCTCCATCATGGAGCATAATTCCTTCATCAAATCCTCAGCCGCGTCGTCCTTTGCGCTTATCATAGCAGCAGTCTCTAGTTCTCTTTTTTGTGCGCCCTCTTTCAGGTGAGTCTCGGTATCTATTGCCTTTAATTCCACTGATTTCAGGAGCTCTTTCAAATCCCCAGTCTGTTGGACGTAGTCTCCAAGCCTTTTCTCTGCCGATTCAGCCTGTTTGCGCAACGCAGAAAGTTCGGCTTCAGCACCGACCTGGAAAAGATTACGTTCTAGAAGCATTGAGTCCAGTTCTTTGTTACGATCCTCTGCTTCTAGAAGGCGGAGCTCAAGCTCTTCAACCTTGAACTTTTCCTGGCGAAATGGAGTCTCCGCTTCGTCACATCGCTCTTCGAGTTCCCGGCATACTGTTCCCATTTGCTGAACTATGCTTTCGTACTGAAGTCTTGCATTAGCAAGCAGATTCTCACTGAGCGTTTCTCTCCAGTTATTGCTCGAGATCTGTCGAGTATCCTTCTGAGCTGGTGTGCCAAACAGATCATATGACCGGATATTCGCACATATAGTAGACTCAGTAAAATCGGCTTGGAGAATCGAATGGTCCGCATCTTGTTGATCAATCAATGCACCTATGGAGGTTTTGCTCAAGTATATCTCATATTCATGTCCACAGAATGCGGTTTTGATAAAAAGCGCACGTAAACTTCGTCGAAGTTTTCCTTTATTCGCAAAGTACTTTTGACAGCATACTCCGCACGCGCAACATTTTCTCTGAGATTTCTGAGAGCTTTTTGGGCTGTGGAGGCTGGTTAGCTTCCCGGAAAGCTTCCCGGACATTGCACGCAGGACAGCTCTTCTTAACGTTGAACTTTCAGAAAGTGCCTCGTTCAATGCTTCTAGGAGTACCATAGAAATATCTATGCGGTGGAATTCTTTAAAGTTCGGTTCCTCGCAAGAAACTGATATATCCAGAATGGTTTCTAGCAGTAAGAAAATATTCGACTCATCCATATAAAGCTTCGATGCGTCAGTCTTATCATAAAGTCTGAGGTCTGGGCGATCAAGTTTTACTCACAAGCAGTTCTTTTGCAGAGTTCGCCAAACTCTCCGATCCTACACTGTCCATGGCTGCGAGAAGGCTTTTAACAAGAGTTTGGCCGTGACTGTTCAAAGAGGGGACGTTGACGATGCGCGCATGCAAACCGTCTAAAACGAAATCGAGTGCCTTTGAATGGAGCAAGCACTTCAAGCAGTACAAAAGAAGCAGATTTTGTTGCACATACCCTTACTTGAAAATCGATGTGTCTATTGCTAGGGTGAAGGCATTTTTCCAGCAATTTTCGGGCGCCTCGACTGTTACCGTTTACAAAATCTTGCTTTACTTCTATAGATATTGCGCCAGCAATGACTTTTGCTAATTCAAAATATTCGGTAGCTTCGTTCTGCGACAAACTGTTGGTCTCAGAGCAGGCATAAGCGACCTGCAATGAGATAAATTCTAGGGTTTTAGGCGCTTTACGCGCAGTGAAGAATTGTTTCAACCCTTCGGAGAACGGAACGCGCTCAGAGGTAAAGGAACCGTCTGATTCTTTTGGCGTCCCAGTGGTCAAATTACTTGCATGACTTTCAGGGTGTGCAATAGCTGCCAATATTCCCAGGCAGAGCAAGCAAACGGCATGATCTTCAAGAGTCTTCAGGATATTGACCAGTTGGTCTTGGAACCGCGCCATCATCTGAACTGGAATAATTTCCAGGAGATCGCTACAGTTTCCTGAGAGCAACACGTAGACTGGCCTGATAGTCTCTGCCGAAGGTGAAAGCGCGGCGCGATCAAAAGTCCCCTTGAAAAATGGTAGTAATGATCCAGGTAATGGCACTTCTCTAGGAAGTGGAAATCTGAGCAGCGCAATACAAGCCCGACCATGCTAACAGCTGGTTAGTTTTCGCAAGTACAGAACCATTGCCGCGTACCTTGTCATCATCTCCTTGACACTCGAGCGATTTTTTGGACAGTAAGTCCAAAAGTCCAGGATTTCTGCGAAGGAAAGCATCACGCGCGGGCAAAGATTTTGCTGGACAGGCGCGCTAGAGTAAGCGCCATCCCTCTCAGACATATATGAGGGAGCAATTCATACATAGGTGCACTAAGATATTCAGGGCATAGGGAGATGTCCACAAGCATTCAGACACGTCGGACACAAGTGATTCAACTAAACAAGGATTATATTTCGCCCAGCGGGATATGTATATGTCGAAAGTCACACACAACGAATCATGAAGCCTCTAAAAAAGTTCAATTAGCTTCAGATGACCCGTAAAGACCAATCCTTTCTAATTATCAGACTCTTATCCGGACCGAATTGATACGTACTTTAAGAGAGCAAATATAGGGTGCTTGCACAATCCTCCAGGCTTCATCATGGAGACCCATGATCTCTGCCATCATCGTCATGTCTTGATAAGATGGTCAAGGAACATTTCTGTACAGCAATCTTGCGGAGATCAGGAAGTGCTCTCCACATCGCGTGTCAGTCAATTGTTGCCGCGGTGATTTTCGCGAATCCTCTCCAAACGCACTACGCGACCGAGGCACGAGTTCACGTGCCCTCTCATATTACCCTTGCGGTAAGTTTAGGAAAGGTGACAAGGGTCTCCTCAAAGCACCGCTCATCTTCCAGCAATTGTTGGCAGCCAAATAAGTCACAGCGTCATGACATGTACTAATGAAGCATCAGATATTTTTGCCGCGAAAATTTTTGCAACATGATTGTGGTATTGTATTCTGAGTAGCAATCCCTCTGCTTGGTCTATGTTAAAAAATCGATTCCAACGCTGTGGTACGATCGAGGTCATGGAAGGACATGCCGCCTACAGTACTCCGGTACAAGAACGACCCTTGGAGGAGGAGTGGGATGTGTAGCACCAAACGGGAAGGCAGGGCCGAACATTTCTGAGTGCATTTACTGGGGTTTAAAGAGCCGCAACATGATATAGAAACCAAACCCCCGCAAAACCAATGCAATTCCTAACGTAGCCCTTCGAGAGCCATAATCTAACGATAGACATCCGCTACTTCGGTAATTAACTTCCCAAGTCCATGCTGGGGTGAATCAGCCCAAACCCCGCAGACAAATGAGTGCTGTCTGTGCCCTTGCAGCAGAGAGTCGAGGCTCATGTGAAGCTGGTTGGACAATTGTTCTGGGTATTACCTGAAAGTCTTACGTACAGGATCGTATTCCCACCTTGGGGCACGGGAGCACTAGCTGTGGTCGGATCGGGCTTGCGCTTGCCGTTCGCACATCCGCACGCTTCGACGTTCGCATTTTCGTCCCATCTAGTTAGCCGGCGGCCAAACGACTACGCTATGGGCCACTAGTATCCAAGCTGGCTTCAGGAGAAAGGGACTCGGACCCGTGGGGGTGACACGCGACCTGAAAATGATATGCTCCAGGGCTAAGTTATCATTGTTATTTATTAGCTCTTTTACATTGTTCCACGCAAAGAGGGCCACCCAATGTGCATCTGGCTCGTCCAGTCCTACTGTGCTAACTCGTATGACAATATCTTTTGAAAATCGATGCAAATCATGGGCAGCCGTCATATTGTTCAAGACCTTCACATCTGTCTCTTTCTATTGAGACCGTTGGCTCCTTCCCCATCTGCCAGGGCAGGATGAATTTGAGATCCTTGTCCAGAGCTTGCCCAATACTAGCATGCCTGAAGCAGACCCGTGTGACGTCTCGACATTTCCCGCAGCGGGGTATGAATCTGAGGCCTACATCGAGATTATCTTCAGGTCGGACTGTTGAAAGCCAGAATCACTCGCCACGACCATGGACAACTCGCCAAGTGGTCTTGTTGACAGCACTGGCAGGCTCGGTGGCTTGCGCGCTCAGCTTACTGGCCACCAGCTTCGAAATAAACAGCAGTAGACAGTCGGAGCCGACATATGCAAAGCCCAGGGAAATGATCCTCGTAAGTGCACGCAACCAAAGGTTGTATGCCGACTCTAGGGTCAACTAATCATGATAGGCAATTGATGAACTGAGAGCATGCCTTTCCGATGATGCGATCAGTACTGATGACGACGATCTTCGTTCCCATGGCTATTCCGCATGGTCTACGATCAATGCCGAAAGACTGCCGGTTGCTATTGCCTATCCGAAGACAACGGAAGAGGTGTCCCAGATAGCCAAGATTTGCCACAACTATCGCATACCCATGGGTAGGTCATCAATGCTTGGTTTTGCTTGCACTTTATAGTTTGTGTATCCGGCTGAATTTCATGCCAGTCCCTTACTCCGGAGGATCCAGCCTGGAGGCAAATTTCTCGGCTCCATTTGGCGGCATTACTATCGACTTCGCTTTCATGGACAAAATTGTTGCATTTCATAAAGACGAGTATGTAACTGGTCCTTCCAGTAGATTAACGCGCCTTTTCGGATCCAAAAAGGACTTCTTCTTCTTTTTTCGTTGGAGAAAGCTGACGTTTAGTCCAGTATGGACGTTGTCGTTCAACCGTCAGTCTCCTGGATGGACCTGAATGAGCAACTCAAAGATGACGGGCTCTTCTTTCCGGTAGACCCCGGTCCAACGGTACTTTTCCTCCTCTCCAGAGCTCTAATTCGGGGGGGGGGCTACATTCTAATAACATTCGGGCTTAGGCCAAGATTGGAGGCATGGTGGGAACATCTTGCAGGTACACCACGAACACTTCCTCCCCTCTTGCCATGACGAAGAGGATGATAATTGAGAATTGTTATGTAGTGGAACAAATGCCGTTCGGTACGGAACGATGAAAGATTGGGTGATCAATGTCACTGCGGTCTTAGCGGACGGCACTATTATTAAAACGAAACGCAGACCCCGGTAGGGACCTTTTAATGTCAACTTTGTTGTTGTTATCAGCTAAACAATTTGGCTAGGAAATCATCAGCAGGTTATAATCTGACTAGCCTCTTTGTTGGTTCAGAAGGCACGTTGGGAATAGTCACAGAGATAACACTTAAATTGGCTGTCCTGCCACAAGAGACGAGTGTCGCGGTGGTGACCTTTCCTACAATGAGAGATGCTGCGGCCACTGCCTTCCAGGTCATGCGAGCCGGGATCCCTATTGCAGCCATGGAGATTATGGATGAGGTACAGATGAATGTAGTCAATAGGTCTGGGACAACAACCCGGAAATGGAAAGAAGTCCCCACGCTATTTTTCAAGTGAGCAGATACGCATTTCTTCCCTTCAACGTGTATCCCTAAAACCCAGAACTGAGCTAACTTTTCCCTTTCTCGCGAGCAGGTTTGCAGGAACAAAAGCAGGGGTATGTCCCTCTTCATCTCAGCTTTGAGCAAAACCCACTCACATAGGCAAAGGTGCATGAGAATATCGGTCTTGTGAAGCGGATTGCTGGGAGCCACAATAGTGAAGAGTTCAAATTTGCCGCTGATGAAAAGGAACGCAATGACTTGTGGTCTGCACGGAAGCAAGCGCTATGGAGTATGTTAGCTCTGCGAGAAAAGGATTCGGAAGTCTGGTCCACAGACGTCGCGGTCCCTCTATCAAGGCTTCCAGAGTTGATTGGTGAGTGTTCTATGCCAATTTGGCGAACCAAATCTCATGAAGTTTCAACAGAGATATCCAAAAAGGAATTGGATGAACTTGGCTTGTTTGCAAGCATCCTTGGCCATATCGGCGACGGAAACTTTCATGAGAGCATCATGTATGACAAAAACGATACAAAGCAGCGCGAAGCCGTTCGGAAATGTGTTCATGCCATGGTTGAGCGGGCTCTTGAGATGGAAGGAACATGCACAGTAAGAGCCTTGCCCACTTTTTAAGTATGCCGTCATTTAGCTGACTTGCTCAACAGGGTGAGCATGGTATTGGGCTCGGTAAGAAGGAAGCGCTCTTCGCGGAATTGGGACCGGAGACAATCAATGTTATGCGAAGCTTGAAGCGGGCTATGGATCCACATTGGCTTATGAACCCGGGGAAGATCATTGATCCTTGAGTTAGTTTGTGCTCTGGCATCACAGCAGGCGGCTGAAGCGTGGCTGGACTATTTTTAATCTCGAAGGGATACATCATTACGCGCATTAAATAGAGAATCTTGGGTATCACAATATATCAAAGTCCCCAGTACAATGATTTCTCTGTGATAGACTGCTTTCACCCCGTGGTATTAGGCATGTGACATTGGAAAACATACCGAGTTGAGACGCAGATGACTGCCAATCAAATGTGGTAAAGTGCCGTGCCAAGAAAGTACGAAAGTACCTAGAGTACCATTTCCAGCCGAACATCGAGGACAATGACTTTCGCTGCGGAGATGCCCTAGGGCTTTCGCGTTAAGCGAGCGCGACTGCTCACTTTCGCTAGGATAGTGTGCAAGCGAATTTTGAGATTCTTGGACATCCAGCCTCAGCGACAACGCCAAACGACACGACCACTTTCCTTCGAGGTACCGATTCGACTGGAAAGCAATCATGGCTCGCGGACCGTAAGTCGTTCCATTATCCTCAGTCGCAGGGGAAGAAGTTTTCGAGTTTCGACCATACGTTCCGAATTTGTGTCCCAAGACGAATCTACGTGCGTCCAAGAGTGCGACCATTTCAGCAATTTGGAGGACCTGAAGGGTGAAGCGACGAGGAGCGATTGCCACGGAACGTACTTTCCATGGCTACAACTATTATCGCCGATACAGTCGAAGTCCAAATTGCTTGAATGGCCGGTTTCTTGGTTTGCGGCGCAGCGGAATGGCTGAATACTCGAATACTTCGCGACTCCGAATGATATACAACAAGACCAAATGGCTAATTTTCATTTGTGATATAGTAAGAAGCACCAGCACCGCCTTAGTGCTCCCTCGCACTGGCTCCTGGACAAACTGTCCGGTGCTTATGCCCCCAAGGCTTCCCCCGGTCCCCACAAGCTCCGGGACTGCATGCCTCTCATTGTCTTCATCCGCAACCGGTCAGTCTCCAGTCTCTGTCCCACAATTACTGCAGGTGGCATTGCTCGTGAGCGTCATAATTAACACCTTTTGCGACGTATAGGTTAAAGTATGCGTTGAACGGCCGTGAGACCAAGGCCATCGTCATGCAGCGCCTGATCAAGGTCGACGGCAAGGTCCGCACCGACGTTACCTACCCCGCCGGTTTCATGGACGTCATCTCCATTGAGAAGACTGGCGAGAACTTCCGTCTCATCTACGACACCAAGGGCCGTTTCACCGTCCACCGTATCACCAACGAGGAGGCCGAGTACAAGCTGGGCAAGGTCAAGCGCGTCCAGCTTGGCAAGGGCGGCATCCCATTCTTGGTTACGCACGATGCCAGAACGTATGTTATCCCCATACATCTGCATCCTTCAGACGTTGGACCAAGCTTTGGCGATTGAACGATGAAAGATGCAATGATCAAACCACTTGAGAGTATTTGTCATACTGATCGGTGTGGTGGAATTTATATAGTATCCGCTACCCCGACCCTGCCATCAAGGTCAACGACACCGTCAAGATTGACCTTGCTACCGGCAAGATCTCCGACTACATCTCCTTCGACACTGGTGTCATCGCCATGGTGACTGGTGGTCGTAACATGGGTCGTGTCGGTGTTGTCACCCACCGTGAGCGCCACGATGGTAGCTTCAACATTGTCCACATCAAGGACGCCATTGACAACTCTTTCACCACCCGGGAAAGCAACGTCTTCATCGTTGGCCAGGAGAAGCCCTGGATCTCTCTGCCCAAGGGCAAGGGTGTCAAGGTACGTATTCTGATCCAACGGTCTTATGTTCGTGTAGTTCTTGAACAATTTTACTAATTATATTTGCAGCTCTCCATTGCCGAGGAGCGCGACCGCCGCCGGGCCTATGCTATCTCTGGCAACTAAATGCATTAATTTTGCATTAAAGGTCTTTGTCAGTGGGGTCATTGGTAGTCGGGAGTGCTGGAACAGGGGGTTTTTGTGCTATTAGACATCAAGCTGGCTCTACGCTGCAGTGATTTTTCCATATCCTGCGGTAGGCGCCCCGAAATGGGATGATAGGTCTAGGTCCAGGTCGTTTTCCAATGGCACGAACAAAATTAAAAGAAGATTTCCTTGATTGTTCAAAACAATTAACGTGCTTGCATACCCTGCAACGAAAGTAAATATACCAAATTGACGTGTTGTATCCTGATAATAATGCCTCCGACCCGTGTCCCAGTTGCTGTCCAGTCTATTAAACCCAAAACCTGCCAAAGCGTGCAAACTTGAAAGAAAGGATTAAACGCAATGATACCCAAACCCAGAACAATGAAAGATGTTGTCGTCTCATCATCATAATCGTGAAATCGTTAAGATTGTCTCAATCCCAGTGACGTGAGATGAAAAACTGAAAAATTGCGAATCATTCCTAAGACTCATAACCGCAATCCATAATCTCCTCCCAACTTGCGTTGCAACCTTTGCTCTTCAAAATTCCGGCATCCACATCCTCTAGAACAAGCAGTTTCTCAGGTTAGACTTCTCCCTCAATATCTTGTCTGTTTTCTTTGTTTAGAATATCTTCAGGGAAGAAAGGTAGAAGCCCCAAACAGAAGGATCAAACTCCTTAGTCCGTCGGTCTGCCAATGATATAATGTTCCTCGTATTTCTTTAACAGCATTGTGAACGTGAAAACAAAATAGCCAAGTCTTCGCAGTGTCCGATGCATCAATTGCGCCTGTTTCCGCCGCTAATGTTTCAGAAATTAAACAGCCACCATCTCAGAAAAGAGAATGACGAGACAGGCTCAAGATATCCAGAAACGCAGCATCCTGGGGAAAAAAAGAGTAAAATGAAGACATGAAAATTGAAAATTGAAAAAGATATGATCAAGACGAGGATTCAATTCGTAACATATAAAATGGACCGCTCCGTAATGATAGTGTACTGAATTGCATCATGCGTTGTAATGACAAGGTCATAATGTGTGATGGCAAGAGAAAAGGATTGTCCATGATTGATGTATATAATTCTTGCTTCACTTGCGAGCGCCAGCAGCGATTGATGAAAAAGAAATTGATCCAGGCGGGCCCGAGCTCGGTATCAAACTGGGCCGAGTAGGTCCTCCAATACTTCGACGAGAGGCAGTATGACCTTTTGCCCCTGCTCCTGCTGCTGCTTTGGCGGGCGAAGCAGTTGTAGGTTGCTGTAGTTCCTCATTTGCTGCGAAATGAGGCAGCGAGCCCGCAGGGTTGGTTGATAGGGAGCCTGAGCCTGCATGAGTGGTTGAGGAATTTGGAATAGGAGGTCCGTGTTCATGGTGATTAACAGGACCAGGACCAGGACCAGGGGCAGTGCCGGCCCCGGCGTTTTCAATATCAAAAATAGGATGGTTTGCCATGTCCTCCCACATCAAGGCAGCACTGGGGCCGTCAATGCCGAGGCCGACTCCAACGGGCATGCCGACTGACATGGGGCCAAAGGAACCCATCATCGAATTCATTGGCGTCATGCCCATAGGCATGCCCAGGTTCAAGCTGTTTACATGCAAGTTCATCGGCATGGTCATGTTGATGTTCATGGGCATGTTGTGGAGAGGTAGGTTCAGCCCTGGTGCCATATGGTTGGAAATAGAGACAGGATTGATGCCGCCGCTGTGTGCCTGATTGCTTGTAGGGTTGTTGGAAGCCTGGTTGTGACCACCTAAATTGGAGTGGTGCATTTGGATTGGCATCGGCATGTGGAAGTTATGGAAGCCATTCATTCCACCGCCGAGAGATGGGTTCAGACCTCCCATCTGGAGCGGGTTATTGATGTTTACACTGCTATGCTGGTTTGAGTTGCTGTTTTGCACATTTGCTGATATACTCTCCATGCTGGTGGCGAGAGAGGGCATATGGGCTAAGCCGTGCCTTCCGGTGGAGGAAGAAGTATTAGGGACAGCAGGGCTCGTGGTGTCTGCTGATGGATTTGTGGACGAAGAGGTTGTGGGAGCAAGAGAATGGTGGGGGCGGGCCCGTTTCAAGATGTCGGCGGGCTTAAAATGAATTCCAGTAATGGATGAGGAAGGAGTGTTATTCGTGAGCTGCTGTTGACTGGGGTTGAGTGTACCCAGTGTTGGCTCGAAATCAAGCGCTGAAGGAGTGATGAGTTCGCTTGGCCCAGGCAATGTAAATTGGGGCCGTTCGTGTGAACTTGAAATGCCATCTTGGCTGGAGCTCGGAGCAGAAGAATTTGGATATGAGAGTGTTGGTAGGAGCGACGAAAGGCTCCCCTTGGACTTTCCAGTAGAGGGAGTCGGTGTGGTCCCTGCGGTGTTGGGAGATGCGAGGGCATTAGAGTATTTCGGGATATTGAGAACTGGGGCAAGCTTAACGGAGTGCGAAGCTGACTGCAGAGGTGGATGGCGAGTGATCGAGGGTATAGGATTAATGTTGTCAAAAAATCTGTGAAGGTCTGACTCGCTGCTGCTCTGAAACGGGGCCAAGGTATTCTCGTTCCAATCATCAAACATACTGCCGCTAACCATGAGTTCCGGATCATCCGCGTCATCGGTACTATCTTCACTATTACCAATTCCAGGGCGGTAATTTTCTGCCGAGCTATCCTCTTCACGGTCGTCCTCGCTTTGCTCCCGACTGGTCTTCCGCTCTTCCCGCTCTTGCTCTCTTTCGAGCATCTTCTTCTTGGCAATAGCTTCAGCTTCGGTGGACAGCGGAGGAGCTTTATTCTGATTGACCGGGGTGGCCTTAGAAGTCGCTCGTGGCCGAGATTTGAACCCAGCTTCGGCATATTTTTCAGGGTATCTGTTGCGGAATCGATCCCGAAGATCTGTAGCACGTCTTTCTCCCAGGTTAAAGCTTGGGTCATTTCGAATACGGCTCCACATAGGTCCGTATTTATTGTAACCCTTCAGTAAGTCTTCGTCTTCCTCTTGCCGGAAAGCTCGCCGTTCTCGTCGGGCAGCTTTGCGAAACGGTCCTTCAATTCCCAGACGAGCTAGATCTTCAGGGTTTTTACGATGCGAACGTGATTTCCGGGGTTTCGATGACGAAGGCGACGGATTCGATGTTGGTTCAGAGGCAATCAAGATATTTTCCGTGAGGATGCTAGCTAAAGGCTTTACGGAAGTGCCACCGATATCTCCCGCAATTCTTCCAGCGCTTGGGCTCTGGCCGTCAGAAGGCGTGTTGTTCATATGCTTCCGGTAGGCGTCTGGACAGCATGTCCGGAACCTAGCTCGTAGAATTAGTCAAACAAATTCCCGGAATAAGTTAAGCCACGTTTCTCACCTGTCCTTTAAATCAATCGAGCTTCTATTATTGAAGGTAAACTCCGAATGTGAAAGTATCTTTTTCCAACACCCAATTCCAAACAATGCAACGCCACGAAGGAGATCATCGGTCTCCTCCTCGGTCCACTTTTTCCTTGGGCGAGTCAATTGCTTCTTCGCTGCCTTGATAGTCGACGCGCTCTTGTTATTTTTCGGTTGAGATTCCGGTACCTTTTTTGCGGCAGCTTGCTCTTCGGGAAAGGCCTCTGTGGAAATTGGAGGGAATAACGCGGCATTCGGGGGCGGATCCTGTAGCGCACTCAATGTCGCAGGGGCCGGTTTCGTAAATTGTGGAGGCTTTTGGGCAGGGTTTGGGAGCTGAACAAACTCTCCAGGAGCTTTGACATTCTCTATTCTCCGTCTTTTCCGGGGACTCTCTGGAGCTTGTTGGGGTAAAGGCCGGTCCTTTGAGGCTCGAGATTTTGAAACCGATTCCGCAGACGCGTCTGGTTTCCCTGTTGCTCCATCAAGTTTCGTCGAGACCAGGTCTTTCGAAAGAACTTTTGCAGCGTTGGATTTACGTGTCTTCTCGGTCGCTCGACTCGACAAAGTGCTGGTCGCGTCCGCCGGGGCATCTCGATGAGCGCTTGTGCTGGGTTCAAGAGGAAGCGGTCTGCTCGCAGGATCCGTCGGTCGTGGATCTTGAAGTGGTGGTAGTTGCAGAGACCCGGAAGGGTGAATACCCCTCATCAGAGTCAAAGGATCCTCGAGACGAGTCGCAAGCCGTGGCTCCGTGGCCATGATCCTAAAAGCACCGAGTTGATATGTTGAGCTTCACGCCAGTAAGCTATTAGGTCATGTTCGCGAAGTTGAGACCGCCAAACCGGGGTTGACGTGATATGGCATTAGATTTTATTGAATATCGTATGAATACAAAATAAGTATATAATGATCTGTGACAAGAGACGAGGAATCTGAGGTTTTATTTTCTGATTGCAGATGTTATTTGATTTCGGCCTCGACAGTGATGGAATGTTGGACTTCTGAATTGGGCTGCTGGTGTTGCTGCTTGCTGCAGAGTTGGCTAGTTTACCGCCAACGGGGTTGCAGATCTCCGTATGTCCGACGCTCCGAGCTGGTCAACAGGGTCAACAACCCGGACGTTCTTCTTTGCCAATTCGGAACGATTCAGTCATTATTTCATGAGTACTATTTGTGGATTTTAAACATATGTGTTCTGTTTCACTCCTCTCACTTATAGAAAATCCCATGAGCTCAAAATTATTCGTGTAATTCCTTCAGGATTTTTCAACTAATTTTCATATATTTTACACACATTTTGAATCTCCCCTAATGTCCGCAATTCTGGCACCCATTCCCAGGGTCATATTCACAATAATTGAGCCCTTCTCACTGTATGTCACCATTGTAACAAAATTTTCGATCAATTCCATGTAGAACTCTAACACTGCTGCCAATTACAGGCTCTGTGGATTTCTGGGGCCGATCGTTTCACCTCGCAGTTTCATAGCCGATCAGATTATCGACATCTCGCATCCAGAAGATGTCACCTCTCATGAAATCATCCTTGCACTCCAACTAGGAAACTTGTACCTTTTACTGGCTTTTATCGGGATCAGTGTCTTGTACACGACGACATCAAGTCGCCTCGTGAGGAATTACTTTCTGGCCCTGGCGGCAGGTGACATAGGCCATGTAGCCATGACGTATCATGTATTAGGCCACCAGCAGTTCCTGGACGTCAAGGGCTGGACTCCAGTAATTTGGGGGAACATAGGCTTTACAGTGAGTCCAAAGATCTCCAAAGATCCTGCCTTTATATAAATTTGCCAGAAAATGCTTTACACAAGCACGTGTAATAGCCAACTGCTCTTAACTCGTATGTCACAGCTTTTAAGACGGATTACTGATTGAGAATCTGCAATTGCAGGCTTTCTTATTCTTCGCTCGTATTGCATATCTCACTGGAGCGTTAGGAAAGGACAAGACAAATTTGTCCGCAGCAGACGCGACTGATAAAAAGAACACATGAGGGAGCGCCAATTCACTTACAGGGCTAATCTTGAGCATGAATATCCCTGGTGGGAATATTGAAGCAAGGTCCGAGAAGAAAATGTAATGTTAAATAACGTAGAATGTTGAACTGGGCAGTTCCGTCAAGGGCATCTTTCTGACGGAACAAATATTCAACGGGTATACAAAAATCATCGGAGCTACTGATACAAAACGCCATCCGCCAAATGCCCGTGAATTGTGCGATGGCGAGGATATATGAACGTAGACGAAAAGGTCATGAAATAGACAAAAGAGAAAACCCCTCCTGGAAAGGACAATTCGAACCAACAATTAAAGTATCTTGAAAGTCAACAGAGGTAAAGGTGCCGATGCTTTTACAGTCATACTCCTCAAAAAGAGCAAAAGGAAATTTTCTATTGTACACGCCTTCGAAAGAAAGACGATGAAGAGACTAATCTGAGAAATTCAAAGAAATACCCAACCAAGAGTTACCACCTCCCCTGATAACGCCGAAGTAAGAGGGCAATAAGCGTCTGAGTCCAGCTGACGGCAGGACGCGGCGAACAGATGCGTTCTGATACGAAGCACATTGGCGGCGAGAATGAATCAAGCTGGTTCAGCAAGATCGACCATGTTCGGCAATGGCAGCGGAATATTCAAGGTGTCTTGACAGACACAAAAGTCGGTTCGAGCGACCGCTAGAGACAGGGTCCTGACAATACGTGGATTACTCAGGGCGAGGTCGTTTCGCGCCATGCGGATTCCAGTTACCATCTCCTCCAGCAGCGGCCTGCTGGCTCTGGTTGAAGAAGGCGGGGTTATAGTGGGGCGTCGGCCCGGCGAAGCTAGCTTGACCTGATTGAGAAAGAGTACGCTTTAGTGATTGATTCATGCTGGAGGAGGGTGAGGCTGTAGAGAAAAATGCAGAATTCAGAGTCGGCATTGAAGGAATTGAAGAAACAGATGACGGGCCAAAGCCAATTGGATAAGTCGCAGAACCAGCAGTGGCGGGCGAAGCTACGGCGACGCGTACAACAGCTGGAGTGCATTGTGGATACTTACCCATAGTCGGGCTAGGAACAGTGCCCGTCATGGAAGGGTTGTAGAAGCCGGTCATACCTTGCATTCCTCCCATTGGGCCCATGTTCATGCCAGCACCCATGGCCCCCATTTGGCCTGGCATAGCACCCATTGCCATGCCCATGTTTCCCATGGGCATCCCGCCCATCATCGGACTCGGAGCCATTCCACCACGTCCGCGATTACCACCGGGACCGTTGCGCATCCCCATATTCCCGCGATTGCCAAAATTTCCATATGGCTGCATTCCCATGGCCGGCTGAAACCCGGCCATAGGACCGGCAGAGGGATAGCCGGAGGAAGCCATACCGCCCACGGGGGAAAAGTTTCTGTTACCGTAACCTCCCATGTTGTTCATGGCTCCTCCGCGATTGAACCCACCACGCCCGCCGCGGAAACCTCCGCCCATGCCAAAGTTGCCAGCAACGGGAGACACGCCGCCACCCATCCCGCCGGGACTTCCAAAGCTACCGGAACGGTGATCCCTACCATCCTTTCCACGAGCAGGGGCATCCTTGGGTAATGTACGGAACGGGTTGGCGGTAGCAGCGGTAAAGTTAACCGTATGCTTTTTCAGCTGTTGAGGATTCGCGTTGAAAGACTCGATTTTCTGTTTCACTGCGGTAGCGGCCTGGGGAGAGATGAATTCAACAAAAACTTGACTGAAATGGGCAGAGAAACAGATCAGCATGGTCATGACAATATCGCACGGAAGATTCAAGTGATCAAGCGAGGTATTACCCTTTACTCTTCCCGTTCACCTTGTGTTCGCTGAAGGTGATATCCTTGAGCTCATCCTCGCAGCCACTCTGATTCACCCAACCACGAACGTCATCATCCGTTGTCCACCAATGCAAATCGGAGATAAAGAGCGCAGAGGTGGCTCCTGTCTCAACTGGTCGAGTATCAGGACCTTCTTTGCGCTTGATACCTTGCTCCTGAGGAGGCTGTTTGGGAGGTAGTACATCATTTTGAGAGGCACCTTCAGTCGTGGAGATCCTCTGCTGCATTTCCGAATGCTCGCTCTCCCCTACCTGCTCACTACTCTCATGACTGGCGCCCTGAGATGCGCCTTGAGTATTGTTGGAAGCTTGAGCTGGGCCAGTCGCACCGTCAGATTTCTGGTTCGGCTGATCTTCAAGGGTTATATCCTCCTGCCCGGGTTTCTTCTCATCGCTTGCGCCATTCGCTTCCTGTTGGTATTCGCCACTATCGTCGCCGTAGATATCGATATCGAAGTTGTCTTCATCAGCCATTGTGAGAGAAGTAGATGGTTAGAATTTCTCAAAGTAACACTCTTCTCTTCTTGATTGCGTTATAAATATGATGTTTTTGTCCGTTTGTATGAAGTAATAATGACACAAAGTCTGTATAAGACAAAAAGCGGTATCAGCTTGCGATGAAAATTAAACATTCAATGACATTGCGTCTCAGTCCAGCCACTCTGCAAAGTTCTGCAGATATTATAAACGTTTTGTAAAACCACAAGGAAAAAAAAAAAAGAAAAATAAGACGATCACTTTGCGGGGTGCTGACTGACGAACGAACAAAGACACGGAGGTACGTACAGTCCCTGTAAGGCTCACTTTAAAAGACAAATCCTTTAGCAGATTGACGTATACTGAGCCAGTGACAATCTCTCAGTCGGACGCCTAACGGCGAAAGCAGAAAGAGAAATGAGTTGAAAGACGAGGTTTTGAGAATGAGGAGCGAGCTCTATGCTCAACTGCCTTTGTGAATAAACACGAAGAGACACAAGATGATGCAGTATGGCTTTTGACAGGACAAAGCCGTTTAGTTGTGTAAAGTTTGTACGCAGAAAAAAAGACAAAAAGTCAGCGTTCAAGAACGAAGATTTGAAGGCGACAAAGTCAATATTTCAATAATAGGTCAATCAAGGCCTTATGGGATATGAAATTGTCCGCTGAGTAACCCTTGCAAACCCACTAATCCTCCAAGTCGCAATATACTCGAAACCGCGAGAGGAGCGTTAGTGAGGATCGAAGGCAATGTGGGAAACGGAACGGCGGCGAATTTTCTGAAGTGTCGTAGAGCGGAAAGTAGCGACTCGTTCGCCGATAGACAGCTTCGAGTAAGAGGAAATGGCTATTGACTGCTGAAACCTGTCGTTTACAGAGGCGTCGAGGGTTGCAGTTGCTGGGCTAGAGGAAGGAAGAGACGCGATGAAGTGCGGTTGCAGTCCGAAGTACGACGTCTCTACTCGGGAGGCCAGAAGTTCCTCCGAGCTCCGTCACTGTCGCCCAAAAAGGTGTGGTAGCGAGGCGAGGCGAGACGAGCGAGGGGAGTGCGAGACAGCCAAACGCCTTCGAAATGAATGCCCAGCCTGCCAGTAAGTTACAAGGTACCTGTCACCTACTTCTGTATCCAATTTAACCACAGCTCGACGGAACCTGCCACTCAGAACATTAAGGACACGAAGTAGCAAGTCGTTTAGACCCCTTCTGGACCTGGGGCACCCGCGAGAGCTGATAGAAGCCCATCGACCTCTTGTCTCCCTTTCCAACGCCCTCGCTTTACCAGCTTCTTCAGCTCTGTCAACTATCTCTTTCATAATCAATTTCATTCTATCTTCTTTTCAGCCGCTATTCTAGTTCTCAGTTCTCTATTTCAAAATGGCCGATCAGCTCAAGGAAATCGCTGAGATCCCCCGCGACTTCCTCAGGGAAGGAACGCAATTTCTCCACCGGTGCACAAAGCGTATGATAATCTGAACCTCGTCAATTTGCACCTTTGGAAGACCATGCACTAACCTATTCATTTCGATGTCTAGCCGACAAGCGCGAGTTCATCAAGATTTCCCAGGCCGTGGGCGTCGGCTTCGTTGTGATGGGTACGATAGGATACTTTGTTAAGCTGAGTATGTCTACACGATATGATTTCTTCCTCGTGGAAGAGCTTCTCATCCCTTTCAAGTATGCTAATGCTATGCCAGTCCACATCCCCGTTAACAACATTCTCGTCGGCGGAGCTTAATCAGAGCAGAAGTACAAATACAACATTTTGAAATTCCAAAACCAAGGCGAATGCTCTTTCATGTTCGATATGGGTAGCGTCGAACTTGTCACTTGCGGAAGCGGAGTATTCTTGTATTATAACACGTTGCATAATTCTATATCCCATCATGATAGTTCGTTGAAAAGAAGATACTGGTAGTCAAAAGGCTCAAACCATGAACAATTAAACAGAAATGGCTCATATCCAATCGTCAACTCAAAGTCATAGCCTAAACGGATGCTCCAACTCCCGTACCATGACCTGAGCGCTAAAAGCTACGAAGCAACGCTTTTTGCTGTCAAGATCAATAAAAATCATCTTCGCTGTCTTCATCATCCTCGTCCAAAACATGCGCCCTAGCCCATGAGCGAGTATGGACACCGCCGCTGGTCGGTCTAAAAGATTCGTCCTCGTTGTCCTGAAGCTTCGAGTCCAACCATGTTCCCATCTTGGGCTCAGCCTCGTCATCTTCCATTCCGTCATTCCAAGAGTGTAGGGTGCAGGTTCCCGATGCCATGCGCCAGCCATTCCATGAAGTCGCTACAGAGAGTCAGCTTACTGCTTGAAGCCACAAAAAAAATCAATGTTAGTAGTAGTGGCCTACCGGCAATAACAGGTGCGTACGGGTGCCAGCTTGCATCTCGAACGCATGTTTTCCAGGCGCCAGAACCATGGCGAGATCGTAATCGCTCGCCCTTGGCCGTCCGCGTAGCTTCATTGACGTCAATTTTGCCAGCCAAAGTCGCATCCATATTATAAACATAGACAGACCCGTCTTCACTTCCAGAATACACATAACGTGAGTCCGTGCTACCTGGCGGGGAGAAGTGGCATCTGATGAGCGTTTTGAGGACTCGGTGTCCTCGGAATGTAACAAGAGAGCCATCGCGTGGATGAGGTGTATAGTCGTCCTCTACATAAGGTTCAAATCGATAGTCGAAGCCTGTGCTATACTCTGTTGGATCAAAATTATCCAACTTGTCAGGGCTTGACATTTTTCGAAGATCCCAAAGTTTCATAGTCTGATCCTTCGAGTTGCTGAGCACATATCTGCCGTCTCCTTTACTGTCGACATAAGTAAGGCCTTCCGTATGACCAAGGAAGACACCAGCTCCGCGATTATCGCCCATACTTCGGCGGTCCCAGACTTTCAGCGTGGTATCGTCCGAGCCAGAGTACAGGATGTGTGGAGACGAGGAATCTCCAAAGCAAACAGCGTTCACATCATCGGCATGTCCACGGACTTTTAACACCGTTCTCCGACTCTCAATATCATATACGCGAACGGTCTGGTCAGATGTGCCTGCAACAATCTCTCGACCATCCCCAGAAAACCGAATGGACCATATCTAGATCACGTATTAGCTCCCATGCCAGTCATTGGGCTATGGAAAAGGAACCCACGCCAAAGCTTCCGAGAAAGTCACGATTATCGGAGAAGTCCAAATGCCACGGATCTCCAGTCTCTCCAGGGTCTGTAGGGGCGAGACACACAACGTTTCTTATTGAACTGTAGGCAAGTAGCTTGTTGTCTGGACTCAGAGAGGCATCGGTGATCGTCCATTGACCGGAAGGATAGAGCACGGTTTTGTAATACTTCCACCTATAAGGATTCGATGTGTCGTACATGCGCACTCTGAAATCTTGTGCGCATGAGAAAAAAAAGTTACCATCATCGGAAAACTGCCCAGAATAGCATCTGCTGCCATAGTGTATAATGGTGTCTGCTTTTGAAGAGGGTATCAAATCCTAGGAATATACTTCAGTCAGCCATCGTTAATTTGATCAGTACACAATCAAGGCGCGTACTTGAGAAATTAATCTATTGGTATCTCGCTGTCGCCCATTGTTTGCCAGCCCAAGCTCCCTCTGTAGCAGCCTACTAGCAACCTTGTTCCTTCGCCTCATCGTCCCGGAAAATGATTCGTTCCGGCCAAAAACTCCCGACATCATTAGGCCTCGCCCTGTATCGCTAGGGACCTTTGGATATTCGCCCTTGGCACCTCGGCGTGGACGTGGGTATCCGTAGCCTGTGAAGCCTTCATCTTCATCATCAGCCAGTAGCTGCCGTGCACCAGGGAGGTGCTGTGCCAGAATTCGGGCAAATGCAGCTTGCCCGCCTAGCAACTGCATGATTTGCGCTCGGGACACTGATTTTAAGGGATTCAGCAAGTGCGCTGAAATTAGGTCATCGACGGCTCTACCGTACCTTGAATCCTTCTTGGTCCAGCGCCGTCTTGCCCTACCCCTCGAGTCGCTCCAGTCTCCGTTTCTTCGCCACTCTCAATCAGATCATTATCGTCCCCTACTGCAAATTCAATGTGGACCTCGTGGTTTCCATCATCTGCATCTATATAGGTCAGAAAAGCGCATCGAAACTATTATGGAGATGACACAATCGTTGACTGGGTCAACTGACCATGATATTCATCGTCATCGTCATCGTCATCCAGATCATGGCTCTCATCATCTTCATCTTCGTCGTCTTCTTCTGTAGTTGGTACATAATCCATCTCATCATAGGAAGTATTTGACGCTTCTGTGTTATCTAATTCATCAACCCATATTGAGGGTTGATTGCTATCATCATTTGTTCCATTCCTGGATCGGGAGGCCATACGATCCTCCATGCTATCGGGAGAATAAATGCAGAAACTTGGCGCAGCTCGTAACCTGTCGCAATTTAGAAAATGAATTTTTATTGTTTTTAAGGAGGCGAAGGAGACGTTGAGCTCTTACAAACCCCTAGCTTGCCTGAGGTGGGTAGCTTTATCGATAGCCTAACTATGTGTAATCAATGACGGCGATAAATCGCGGGGTTAAGCACGATCGGACCACCGATTTTCGCGAGTCGACTGCTCCTTCATAAATCGACATGTTTATTGCCTAGAATTGAATTTGAAAACTTGTTAGAAGAGTTAAGGCGTAGTTGAAAATTTTCTACATGTTTGCGATTGCGTGGTGGACGCTCTTAATATATTTGCACACCTAGTTTGTCAAGTGCTATAGTTATAGCTATACTGCCCTTATAATTGGTACGAGTTGGAACAATCAGAGCGAGAACAATGAATTGAATTTGGACTTCCGACAACATGAATGGGGCAATACTGCCATTTGAAGGTCATTACGGCATTCTGGTACATTCTGAAGAATTAAAATATCAACGGACTGTATTTGCGTGTATGGTTTTTCCTTTTCTTTTTTTCACAGTGTTTTCCTACATTTCAGGGGTTTATCGGAAATGAACATTGCTCTTGACTGCATTACATTCTGTCAAAGACTGAAATATCTCATGGAAGGAATTGAACGAATCATCTTATTGCTGAATCTTGCCAATCAAAGAGATAAGTTCTAAATGATCACGTTTAGAGAATACCTAAGGTATGCTCATGGAGTTACGATAATGCGGGTGCAGCTTCTATCTACTCCGTAGACCTTCCGTCGTGAAAACTAGACGGCGCTCATTGTCGGGTCTCGGCAAAACTATGTTCCAGCTCGACGGCAATGATGCCACTCCCCACCATATCACAACCTCCTCTTCACATATCTAAAGCTTCGTTTCAGTCATCAAACAACGAAAATTGCTAGTTAGATCTGACAACGCTTCTGACGGTCATTAAGAGAGGCTAGGCCAATTGTATCTCTCATACCACGACCATTTCGCTACGCGCTTAAACAGCTGCCTGGAGATAGCGTATCAGATAACGCTTCCACTCCGCCATGCAGGCTATGCCAGATGCTCGTCAACAGACCTTCGAGGAGATCTACGGACCACCGGAGAACTTCCTCGAGATAGAGGTAATGCGATTTTGCCTCAAGCCGCTCATCCCACGAGCTGCATGCCTTATCATTTGCCCCAACTCTTGCGGAGACCTGATACCAATTGAGGGCACATTATTTCGCCACTCCTAAAATCTATTGCTTTCCAATTTGCTGATTGTAAGCTTTATGGCGCAGGTCAAGAACCCTCAAACACTGGGAACCGGGCGGAACATGTATACCACCTACGAGATCGAATGCCGGACCAATATTCCAGCCTTTAAGCTTCAGCACTCGAAAGTCCGCCGTCGGTATTCCGACTTTGAATATTTCCGCGATATTCTTGAGCGAGAGAGTGCACGTGTGACTATTCCACCTTTGCCGGGTAAGGTGTTCATGAATCGATTTTCGGACGATGTTATCCAGCACCGCATGGAGGGTCTGCAGGCCTTCCTTCGCATTGTCGTTGGACACCCGCTGCTACAGACGGGCAGCAAGGTGCTGGCTAGCTTTGTACAAGGTAAGTTCCTTCTCGAAATCTGCTATTCTATGTCGAACCTCAAAATCAATCTCCTTGCTTTGTATCGCATTGCATATCTCTCGCTTGTGAAGTCCATTCAGATGGCTAATGAGATATCTTACCCGTGCAACAGATCCGAATTGGGACAAGAACTCGTGGTAAACGGGAATATATATTGAAATATCTCCACCTCACAATCATCTCGGTGCCAACACAAATCATCATGGAAGGATTGTTGTGGGATTCAATACTCGCCGATCGCTCCAGCCAAATCGAAACCGAACGTGCTCCATTTTTTGCTCTGCTCTGCATCATACATTTGCGTTTTATTTAAGAATTTTTTTTTTTTTTTTTTGCAAAGCTCTTCCAGAATCGTTGCACTTCATATTGTTCATATAAGCCATTTACATACCATTTGCGCTCTGTACTTTGCGACTGCAATCCTTTTTCTTTCGCGCTCAGACCGTTCGCTCTGCTTTGGTGGCTTTCACCGGGGGCAAACCTTTGTTTTCTTCTCCTCCATCCAATTTCTGCATTGACCGTCTGAAAAGCCTGATTGTTTCCTTTGATGATACTCCCATCTGCACAGCACATTAGCGTCAGTTCAGAGAGATGGATGCAATTTCACATTATACAATTGACTTTCAGATTCTTCTTTCATTATATTTCATTCCTCTTTCATGTGATCAGTGGCCGTCTTGAACATCCGTATTATTGAACGTCTATTGAACGTATTTTCGTTTCACAATTTCCATGAAAAGCACTGCATGCATACATACTGTTGTCGGAGGGTCAGAATCGTCAAATAGTGTGGTCCTCGGGCACATCACTTCCGGAAAACCACCTTGATTGTCTTCAGACTAACCTCTCACCGTGACCAAGAATGCATGAAACTACTACTCAAAAATTGCTGATACATGTGAGGTGAGCGTGGTTACAATTCCTTTAGAGTACAGATGACGAGGAATATAGTACAGAAATTACCAAATTTTGAGCGCAGAAATGTGCAAGTGATGGTCCTGATCTAACCCAACTGCAGAATCAATAAGACCAAAGGCATCTGACGGATGACCTTTTCCACCAAACTCCATATATGAGGGAAAAACTTTATCTTGTCGCGAGAAATATTTTATACAAATGCAATGACAACGAGAGGAAACGGAGTGGCGAATAATTCTCGGAGGACGGTATCAGGGGATGTCCTGCCAGCAGGCGGAGAAAACTTGGAGGAGCCTAGAAACTGCCATCGACCATAGCTTTTGAGGATGACCACGCGTCATCAAAGCGGCGGACTATGAACGAGCTCCGACGTCGATTGCCGGGCCGGTGCAAAAAAGTAGGGAGAGGAGGTCGAACGGTTGTACAAGGAGCAGAGGGGACTAGCGGGAACGGAAGTCAAAATCTTTGCTGTGGCAGAACACAGTCGTTCACTCGGCATCGAAGACACGTAAAATGACCTCGTACATGCCGAACATTATAGCCGCGCTAGGGACGACTCGCAGAAGATGAGGGGTCAGGCCGCCATACATGGAGACGAGACCCTCTTCCTTCCATATGAGTCGGAAGCATTGAATTAAGCCGGTGTATTTGAGTTGACCGTTTTCAGTGGGGGCTTGCCGTAAGCGGGTACGGACGACCTAGTGAGAAAATGGCAATCAGCCTTGAATACTCAAATGACACGAGATGTCTCTGAATGCCTCAAAGTGAAAAGTATGACTTACCTCGTGTGGATAGGTAATGATGGCAGCAAAGAACTTGGCACTGCCGGCGGCGCCAATCTTGCCTATCCAGTCGACGGCATGGTCCCAATTCGTCTTGCTTTTGCCGGAAGCAAGCATCCTAGCCTCCCTTCGAGCAAGGAACATTTTCATTTGCTCATACAGTACCCATTGCAGCGTACTCTCAGATACACCAAGATAACTAGCGCTCAGCCCCTTGTACAAGCCACGAATGCCTTCCTTCCGTAAGACCTGCATTGTGCAGTCAAGGGAATTCTTATACTGTCGGTTAAGATGCGATCCGGACTTCTCGGCATGCGATTTGTCGAGCTGTAATCGCGTCTTGACAAGCCAAATTGGGTTTGTTGCCGTGCTGGTCACGATTCCTGCCGTGGCTGCCGCGCAGAGGTGCACCCATGCAGCTTCTTGGCCATGATTGAAATAATCGCTGATGACCCGCTTGCCATTGCCATAAGTGTAGAAGTTGATAGCCCTCGCAGGCACGACGCCAGTGAGATTGGGGCCTAGACCCTTGAAGAGTGCACGCCAGCCTTCAATGCGGTGAATGGAGAAGAGGATCTGGAACGTCTCTTGGAAATGGAGAGCTGCACTCCGTGGCAGCGATAGCGCAGATGGAGGAGGGATCTTGCGTGCGGCACGGGTGGCAGCGAGCTGTGATTGATAGAAATCGGACTGAAGACGAGTTTTGAGGACGTCCAAGGGAGACGTAAGTACTGCTGCAGTCATTCCGCCAAGACTAGAGCAGGGGCCTGGTCAGCATATCCCTAAACAAGAGACTGGGCATACAACGCAAGTTCCACAAGAAAGCCGGAAATGCTGGGACTTGCATTGATGCCTTGCACGTACCCTCCAGCTACGAAATGGGCCCAGGACTTTGCCACGGGGGCAGAAGACTCCTCCTTCGTTACCGGCGGTCTGCCGGTAAGAGTGTCGGCTGGCAATACATCTCCGGTCTCACGGGACTGTGGGAGAGGACTTGGTCGAAACGACGTCCGGTGGTCATGGTGCGTTGGCGCCTGCGCCTGCACTTGGGTGCCGGAGGCCGTGGGAAATGTCATGTACGATAGTCAAACCTGGCCGACGACAATAAAATAACAGAGTGTATTAATTATTCATCGGACGAATAAGCTTCGACTAGAAAATACAAGGCAAGTATCCTTGGAGTTGGAGCGCTGATAACAATTGGACGAGAAATGATGTGTAGAGAAGGGATGGATCAACGATGATGTTGGCAATGAATTTTGTTCGAATCTCCAAGATTCGGGGCTAAGCGGAATATCGGCGGTCCCGAACGGCCGATGGTGCTGCTCTCGCCCGTAGCCTTTCAAACGCCTCGTTTGCCTCGTTTCTTCGGTCTTCCCCATTGTTCGGGTAATCTTCGGTTCATCGTCGGTTCACTTTTTGGTCCAATTGTGGGGGACCGTCCTCCGCCATAGTTATGTTTTACAGCACGTACCGGAGTAATTCGTTACAGCAACATGAGTTCTGCTGTTCTCGACCATTCATCCAATCGTGCCAATAGAACTTCTTGTCATTGTAGGAATCGCCTAGATCATACCGGTGCGATGTGCAGATTGTCGATATGAGGAAAATCTCGACGGTGATTTAATTCTGAGTGAGGTGAAAGGAGAGCCTAGTGTTACCTTTCATCCGGCCAGGAGAGGACGGTAAAACTTCGGTTCACTGCTTAATTGATCTCTCCATTCACAAGAGGATATTCATGCATGTAAATGTTCTGCAGTACATTTGGGGTATGAGAAGTTGATCATTTGCCTTTTGGATCGCCCTGTTGCCTCGCATTAGTCGCATTAACCCTGTCGTTGCCTTCCCGTTGCCTTTCTGTTGCCTTTCTGTTGCCTTCCCGTTGCCTTTCTGTTGCCTTCCCGTTGCCTTTCTGTTGCCTTTCTGTTGCCTTCCCGTTGCCTTTCTGTTGCCTTCCCGTTGCCTTCCCGTTGCCTTTCTGTTGCCTCCCCGTTGCCTTTCTGTTGCCTCGTTGCCTCGTCGCCTCACTGTTTGCCTCGCTCTGGCCTTTCCGTTGCCTTCCTGTTGCCTTTCCGTTGCCTCGCCTTCCTCCTTGGAAGTTGAACACCCTGACCGTCGATCCCATCCCGTGCTACAACTAAACACGGTCTAGTCAAGTATCCCAGTATCATACGCATGGAAACACATGGGAAATACATGCACCCCCGCTGTATTCAAAGTGGTTGTACCTCTTGTAGAAATTATTTGGTAATGCGAGGTCAATTCCAACGAAAAGATAAAAAAAAGCACGACGAGGCTAAGAGCAAGGCAAACGCGAGGCAACGAGGCAACGAGGCAACGAGGCAACGGGAAGGCAACGACAGGGTTAATGCGACTAATGCGAGGCAACAGGGCGATCGAAAAGGCAACAGGAAGGCAACGGGAAGGCAACAGGAAGGCAACGGGAAGGCAAACTGCGGGGCGACGAGGCAACGAGGCAACAGAAAGGCAACAGAAAGGCAACAGGAAGGCAAACTGCGGGGCGACGAGGCGACGAGGCGACGGAAAGGCAATCATTCAGGCCAGCGGCAAGGCACAGGGGCAAGGGCCTGGTCAAGCCAGGGAGGAAGGCCGCAAGGCAATAGTGAGGCTATCATTGAGGCAAACAACGAGGCAAACGAGGCTTGCAGCATGTAAAACAATCGATGCACTGAACGAGCCAATAGGCAGATCATATTATACCTCCCATACTGTCGGAAAAATCACGGCGAGTTAATACTTGTATCAATGACGATGCGCAAACCCGTCACGTCAGACTGTGTCACAACTGGACATGCCGCTTCCCCGATGCATGCAGAGCTGGGAAGAGACCTGATATTCAGCGTAACTTCCCCACTGCGGGATAATCTCCGGCTTAAACCTGGTATACGGGGAAACTACGGGAAGACTTCGGTAAGATAACTGACCACTAGAAATGAGGTAGTCACTTGCACCGATTCTGAGCTGTATTCTGTACTGCAGGAAAGCGGTCTTTGAAGATCGTTGACGGAATTATCAAGATCTGGCACGAAGTAGCTGCAACTCACCTTATAGCGGCATCCTCGGCGACTTTTCATGCGCATGTTGGCTCTTCGGTGGCCCTAATAATAGAGTCTTTCCGAGATGGACCGAATGACTGAGGGTGGAAAGGACCTTGAAGGCCATATACGTTGGGAATGGATCATGAGACGATATTAGCGGCAATTGCTCCGCTGTGCTTTGTGAGCAGGCTTAGAGAATACAGAATTGACCTACAGATCCCGTACTTCTCATGGAACATCCAACCCGATTCAGGCTCATTTTACAAGTTTAATGTGATCATAGCGGAGTTCCCCAATGGTAGTAGGGAAGGTGGCTCAGCTAGCCTCATAAGAGCATCGCAGGGTTGCTGTAACGCCACTTCAATTCGCTGAAGTAGAAGAGAAGGTATGGTTCAGACGCAATTTATCTCGGACGAGAAAGGGAGGCAGAACGAAGACTCAAATGCAGATACGATGTGATAGGATATTTTCTTTTTTGAGTATAACACGGCGTTTCAAACGATCAGCACACAGCGAATGGGCGTTGGATCAAAGATTATGGACGGACGGATCGAATGGCTTGACATGAACGTAGCATGTAGTCACCACAGAAGAAATCGAAATGGTCAAATGTTTGGACAGCAGACATTGATATCATGGATAACATTTTAGAAAGTACAGATGGGCTGCACCGGCTGAACCACCAAGCGTAGCGACGCCTTTGTCCTCCATTCGTCTAACAATCTGCCTCTTGTAAGCTTAAATCACCAAACTCGTTATCTGGCGACAGCACATACAGGAAACCGCTCGATCACAATCCACTGATCCGTCCCTTAGATGTGGGTGTCGTACGCGATGGGGGCAATGCTCTCGGGGAGGTTGTCCTGGGTGCTGACCGTCCGGGCGTCCCGAGGCATAGCAGGCTGTCTCTTGAGGAAAAGGTGGGTGCCATCAGCCTTGGCCTTTCTCTTGGCCTCGGCGTTGGACTTGACACGCTTCAGGAAGTCCTCTCGCGAACGGGAAAGCGAGATGTGCTCAATGCGGACATTGACACGCTTCTCGATGTAGCGGTTGCCGACCCGCTTGTAGATGATAACGCCGACGGAGCTCTTCGTGACGTTGTAGATGACACCAGTCTTGCCGTGGTAGATCTTGTGGGGCATACTGCAAACCGATCAGTTCCTTGCTCTTTTAACAAACATTCCGCAGTGCTTTTGTTCTCGTCCATCTCAAGAACGTTTCGTATGCGGAAAAGTCGTATGGGAAAACTAACCCCTTCTGGACGGCACCGTTGACCTTGATGTCGACAATGTCACCGACCCTATCGAAATTATCAGCTCCCTGATTCTCTCCAAAGCGCCTCCCTAACGTCGATCGCGTACTTGTATTGTCTCAGGTAGGTCGAGAGCTTGATGTAGCCCTTCTTCTTGAAGTCGCGCGAGAAGGCATGCTGTCGAAACGTCAACCTTCAAAATCCTAGCAAATCCAGCGCATTTATTGCATACCCGAGTACCGGCTCTGAGACCCGCGGAGTGACCCATTGCGACGATGTTCGAGGGGTTGTCGGCGTTGTCGTCGCTGTCGTCGGTTGGAGATAATCGATTGTGTGAATGTTGGATTTCGACTCGCAAAGCCGCTTAGCGAGATGTGAGCCCTACAAATGCCAAGACTCGCTTAGGGGAAGACTGTCGAAATTTCGCTCCCACATCGCGAACTCCCTTGTCTTAGCGAATTCGATGCTAGGACGACCATCAACCGTCAACGCCAACGACGACAACTCGGCCATTTGCGACTTTTGATCGCAGGAACGGACAGCAAAGATGGCCCCGTACGTTACTTTTGCAAAAAAAGCATCATTGCAATCACATTCTAATATCTATAATATAGGCGTTCTTACTCCAAGACCTACAAGGTCCCCCGTCGTCGTAAGTTCATCTTTGGGAATCTTTCATGTCTGCGATGAAAAACTAATTTCGCCCATAGCCTTCGAGTCGGCGCGTCTGTCAGTAGCCCCCGACCACTGAGCACGAGCTTGCTCTGCTTACGTCGCTGGACTCAACTAATCGAATAATAGTGACTCCGAGTTGAAGATCGTCGGCGAGTATGGTCTCCGCAACAAGCGTGAGGTCTGGCGTGTCCAGCTCACTCTCTCCAAGATCCGTCGTGCTGCCCGGTATGAGATTTCGATCCCCGTGGAAATATATGATCGCATTAGCTGACTGGGATCATAGTCAGCTGCTCACCATGGATGAGAAGGACCCCAAGCGTTTGTTCGAGGGTAACGCTCTGATTCGCCGTCTCGTCCGTGTCGGTGTTCTCGACGAGTCCCGCATGAAGCTCGATTACGTCTTGGCCCTTAAGGTTGAGGACTTTTTGGAGCGTCGCCTCCAGACCTGTGTCTACAAGCTCGGCCTCGCCAAGTCGATCCATCACGCCCGTGTTCTTATCAGACAGAGACACATCCGGTACGGCGCATTAACCATTTCCTGCGTGAGAATCATATACTAACTTACGCTTTTTCAACAGCGTTGGCAAGCAGATTGTGAACGTTCCTTCGTTCATTGTCCGTCTCGACTCCCAGAAGCACATTGACTTCGCTCTTAACTCTCCCTTCGGTGGTGGCCGCCCTGGTCGTGTCCGGAGAAAGAAGGCCAAGGCTGCTGAGCAGAAGGACGAGGGTGGTGACGAAGAGGAGGAGGAGTAGATCACTCGCCCTTGCTTCACCACAGCGAAAGCGGACGAGCATTTACTGTCTCTTTAGTCCTAGGATATGTAATTCAGCCGTCCACAAAAATTTCGAAGTTTCCTTGCTCAAGTTTTTCTCATGATGGTGCTTGCTTATTGATACCGTAAATTGTGATCTACCTATGCGCCAAGGGGTATGCAGATTACGCTATTCAATCGCTCTTAAAAATCCAATTCAAAAGTAAACAGCCTTACTCCACCAGCTCATCGCGCCCTAAGTATGCAGCCATGGGATCTTGGGCGGACGTGCGTTTTCGCCGATATGTCTCAATCTCCTCTTCGTCAATGCCACTCTGCATCTCCTCCAACGTTCTTTTCTTTGGGGCGGGTTCAGGATGAGTCTCTGCAATTTGCCTAGAAAGCTCTTGCGCCCCGTCTTCGCCATCAGGACGTGACATTGCACTGCCTTCCTCGATCCGTTTCACACTGTCCTCTTGCAAACTTTCGCCAAGTCTTGCCTGGCTAGCTTCTTCATGTGCCTTCTTTCCTTCTTCTCCTGTGCAGTAGCTGTTTTTGACTGTTGAATGGCAGCAGGCGTAACCCCAAGTGAAGTTTGACCACCAGCTACCCCATACCGAAGTATGATTATTCGGATGAATATCCTCAGGATATTTGGACTTGGCGGAAACCTTTGCAGCCCCCTTTATACCACCGCTTGGGTCATATTCGACGTAAAGTTCCGATTCCGTGATTGCTGCATCTCGTAGAGGCGCCGGTTGCAGGTGTTGCTCACCACCGTATTTCTCCAATAATACTTTGCGCTGAGCTTCACGTTTAGCGTCAGTCTCCTCCTTCTGCTTCCGACGGAAATATTCGCCGGACGTGGGGTTGGCCTGTAAATGAAGTTTGTTCCTTCCGCCCGTCTCTTGCGACTCCCACGCATATTTTTGCGCCTTGTCAAACTCGGCTGCGTCACCCGATGCGCGCATGAAGTTATCCTCCGCCACGAGAGCAGCCGATTGATCTGCAGTTGCACCAGCATCGACCATCGATCTCGTTTTAGGGTCGTATTTTGCAGAGTCCAAATCCAAATTCAGTAAATATTTTGCAGTATCTTCTCGAATCCGGAGGTTCCTCGTAGCAGTACTTTGCGTTCGACCCATATCCGATTCTTCTGCATATTTGGCCTCTTCATTTCCCTCATCGTCTTCGTTGCCATTCTCAAGCTGCTTCCGCTGCCCGTCCATTTGGCCTTTGGTCTGTCGCTTTAACTCCTCCATCTCCTGGAATTCATCCACCACTGTCTGGTACTCTGAAGCGTCGTAGCCATTCCAGCGGTCTCTCTTCGCATCCCAGCCCAGCTGCACGTCTTGAACAATTTCATCAGCTTGGATGTCCTTCCCTGTCCACTTGGCACCTTGTTTTCGAGGTCGACTTAGACAGTCCCTGGTTTTGTGCGTCATAGCGCCACAGTTCTCGCATGCGCCTTTGCGATATTTCGTGGCAGCAGGGCCTGCCCGCTTACCACGATCGTACCAGGTTGCCTGATCTGAAGTGGATTTCTGCAACCGCTGGTGTTCCAAGTAATCCGAGGTTGTCGAATCATCGTCAATATAGAAGGGCTTCTTTGAGATGAAGGATGGAATATATTCATTGCGTTCTTTGTTGGCCGCCGAGACGTCGGCAGGTTTCCCAGGTGGGGGCATGATTGATAAGCTGAGCTCGAATATGCAGCCTTTCTCGTCGCCAACTCCGAAATGATGTTCAAAGTGCGCGCAACTTTCTTGCTTTGAAGTGAGGAGGAGTAGCCTTTCTGAAGGTCAACAAAGTTTAGCATCAATGCTTATATAATCAATTTGCAGCAGCGTTGCTCTCATTTTAGCCACTAAATTGGGATTTGGTCTCGCTTCGTGCACGATCGCGTCACTGCATGTTTATTCCCCAGATTCCGCCGTGTCGCGACTTACAGTATTGTAGCTACGATATAATAAATCTTATTATTCCCGAATCCTGAAATTCGAACGGATGTGTTTTCTCCATTCTGGGAACGTTATTTCGATTGGTTTTTTTTTTTTTAATTTCTTCATACATATGTCGTTTTCGTTCTTAACATGGCCCTATCGACCTCTTTTTCCCCATCGGGAGTTAATCGTCTGATGGATGTATAATGGATTTGTTCCGGGTTCGACTGAATTGCGTGGATCATTATCAGTCTTCACCGACAGAATTTGATCCCAACTTTCGCCTCAATGACAGGAATGCTCGATTGAAGGGGTCCCCAAGGGTCCCAGTCATTCGTGTCTTTGGCTCGACAGAGACTGGGCAAAAAGTTTGCGCTCATGTCCATGGCGCGTTACCATATCTCTACATTCAGTATGAAGGCAGCTTGGTTTCAGAAGATGGTAAGATAAACTATCTCTTTATATGAGACGCTTCATAGAGGCTTGCATGTCTGATCTCTGGTATTTCGCAGTCAATGCATACATCAATCGCCTCCATTTATCAATTGACCATGCTCTCGCTGTCACATATAGACGCGACCTTTGCGGAGACAACATCACCTTTGTCGCTCACATCACTCTCATCAAAGGAATACCATTCTACGGGTTCCACGTCGGTTATCAATTCTTTTTCAAGATTTATATGCTTGACCCTGTCTATATGACCCGACTAGCCGACTTGTTGCGCCAAGGAGCTATCATGAAACAAACTTTCCAGCCATTCGAAAGTCATCTCCAATTCTTGCTACAGTGGATGTGCGACTACAATCTTTACGGCTGTGGGTATATAGACTGCGGTAAAGTAAAATTTCGAAGTCCGGTCCCGAAGTATGCAGAGCCAGAAGCTTCCAGACACCTCTGGCATACAAAGTCCATTCCGGCAGAAATGTTATCGGATGAGACCATCCATCCACGTCAGAGTCATTGCGTCTTGGAGGTTGATGTTTGCGCGCAAGATATATTAAATCGCCATGAAATCCAACCAAGACACTTACACCATGATTTTATTGAACGCCTTCGACCGCTTAGTCCAGATGTAAAGCTGGTTCCAAGCATGGCAGGTTTGTGGAGAGATGAGACACGAAGACGCAAAGCAAAGATGGCAAATGCATCACCTGGAAGCAGCCCATTCCCGCCAGAAGTGTTGATCTCAATGTCCGCTGATCCTAGAGATTCGGAGAAAGGAGGCTGGATCCATGAAGACGAGTTTAGGGACCGGGTGAAAGATGTTATTCGAAACGAAAAGGCTTCTAATGACCTACCGTCTGTCGGGTTTGACGAATTCGTGCCCAAGTCGGATTTCGAGCAACGGATCGGGACCGCTTTTGAGAGTGTGGCAGATCTATTTCCGGAGAATTTGCATCCTCTGACGTCCCGCGTTGACAATGATGCAATATCCGTCAGTGATGAGCGAGATCGCACCGTGCAAGTAGCTGATGTGGATGAGACTCTCATCCGCCAATTTGAGGAGTATATGTCCGATGATTTTGAGGATCATCCGGAAGATGAATTGAGTAATGACGAACAGCTTGTTGAGGACGTCGAGGGCGAACTCGCGAGCAGGCATAGGAGGTCGGATGATTTGGAACGACAGAAGATTCTTGGGGCAAGTCAACTCGACAAGTCTCAAAGCCATGATGGAACACTTCAAGCCTCACCTACACGCCTAGACGTTGTCGGTATAAGAGACGTTGATGAGAATCGAGAATTCGACGCCGACCGGTTTGATATACCTCTAGATTATACAAGCGACATTAGCACAGCAAACGCTCAGGCGAAACGCACCCGGAGAGAAGGAAGTCAACCCAGGAAGCGCCGTCGAACTTTTACCGGCGACGCCCGCATTGATGACAGCGTGCATTCCAATTTGAAACACTTGAACCAAGCCGCAGCCAGTCATCCAGGACATACTCCGTCGATATCCGTTGTCCGCCCAGGGCTCGCAACGGGCTCCGTAGATCTTCATCATGGTGCTGCACAAAACCCTGATCTACCTCCTCTTCTCTCAAAAGATTCTGCATGTTTACAAGGGTCTATCAAAGCAATTGATACTAGCCGGGCGGGAACACTGTCATTTCCAGTAGTCAAAGATCCCTTTAATAATGATACCATTCAAAGACTGAGCCAACGCAGCGGGACGTCTCAAAAAGGCTCGAAGTCTTATTTCAAGCCTGATCAGTCTGGAAATGAAACAAGCAAAAGCAGCTCGAACAATGAATTTGGAGAGCTCACGAAGTATGCAACTTCTTCCGATAATACAGATGTGTCTTTGCTTTCTTCAAACGACTTGTCAAGCGCCATGCAAACTTCTTTCGGCCTGGAATCAAACCATTCCCTTTACATTTATGCCGTCCCTGCTCCTTCTCGGGATTTTGTATCCAAGACTTTGCCAGATTACGGAATTCCAACAATCATCTATCAAGATGCTTATTACAGCAATGAAAGAGACGTTCCTGATCGTGTACGAGAGTACGCTGGGAGAGAATTTCGTCTTGAAAGCCACACTGTACCCTTCCTACCCGACTTCAACTCGGACGGGCTTAGTTTTAAGAGAAACAATATATCAGCAGATGAAATAAGTGCATGCTCATTGCACAAGAAAATAAAGGCATGTTGCAGTCTCAGAAATTGGGAAATTGGAGAGCTCCCCCCAAGCCGGATCGAAGTGGAAAAATGGATGGACACCGAGGACCGGCATACTCAAGAAGTCTTGCCAGAGTCAGATGGTCGAAAGACCGTGCAAGCAGAGGCTGAGCGGCTTTCCGCCAACAGCAGAATTCCGATTTCCCAAATCGAAGGCCCGACTCAGAAAAATAAGCACGGGTTTAAGTATTCCCAAAAAATACACAGCTCAAGTGTCCAGCACGAAGCGCAGTACATGAGTACCATGAGCCTCGAGGTTCATGTAAACACAAGGGCTCATCTTCTACCAACCCCTGAAATAGACGAAGTGGCCTGCATTTTTTGGTGCATTGATGGCGACGATCAGAATCTTGACAACGAGCACGACAACAACAACAATAAAATTGGAATAATAGTATTGACGGAGGATGAGGACCGGGCCCGCAAAGTATCGCAGCTAGCTGCTGTACATGTCGATGTGGAATCAACTGAACTCGACCTCATAAACAAGATGGTTGATATAGTCAGAAGCTTTGATCCTGATATCTTGACAGGCTACGAAGTCCATGGGTCCTCATGGGGCTATCTCATCGAGCGCGCGCGACGCATGTATGATTATAACCTGTGTGACGAATTCTCCCGCATGAGATCCCAGTCACACGGCCGGTTTGGTAAAGAAAATGATCGCTGGGGATTCAATCACACGTCGACTATCAGGGTTACCGGGAGACACATGATAAATATCTGGCGGGCCATGCGCGGCGAATTGAATCTCTTACAGTATACGATGGAAAATGTTGTCTTCCATCTCCTTCAGCGAAGGATCCCTCACTATTCTCACCAGAATCTGTCTGAATGGTACAAAAGTAATCGAGCGATTGATCTTGCGAAAGTTCTGGAGTATTATATTGCGAGGGTTCGTTTGGACCTTGCAATTCTCGAAAACAACGAGCTTATTCCAAGGACTAGTGAGCAAGCTCGTCTCCTTGGAGTGGACTTTTTCTCTGTATTCTCAAGGGGCTCGCAATTCAAAGTCGAGTCGCTCATGTTCCGGATCGCAAAACCTGAGAACTTCCTGCTAATATCACCGAGTCGGAAGCAGGTTGGCCAACAAAATGCGCTCGAATGTCTTCCTCTTGTAATGGAACCACAAAGTGCATTCTATAACAGCCCACTCTTGGTCTTGGATTTCCAGTCCTTGTACCCCAGTGTGATGATTGCTTACAATTACTGCTATTCCACTTTCCTCGGCAGGATCGTGAATTGGAGGGGGCAGAACAAGATGGGATTTGCAGACTACCAAAGACAGAAACGAATGCTGGAGCTACTGGAAGACCATATAAACAGTGAGTTCCTCTGTCGCCTCTCAGTCATCTTCTTCACTGATATTTGTAGTTGCACCGAATGGCATGATGTATGTGAAGCCAGAAATACGTAAATCCCTTCTCGCAAAGATGCTCGGAGAGATCCTTGAGACGAGAGTTATGGTGAAGAGCGGGATGAAGGTCGATAAGGATGACAAGGTCTTGCAGCGACTTCTCAATAATCGACAACTAGCTTTGAAGCTCATTGCGAACGTGACATATGGCTACACCTCAGCATCCTTCTCTGGGAGGATGCCGTGCTCCGAGATAGCTGACAGTATCGTGCAAACGGCACGAGAAACCCTGGAAAGGTCAATTGCCTTTATCCATTCCATTGCACGCTGGGATGCAGAAGTCGTCTACGGTGACACAGACAGCCTGTTCGTTTATCTAAAAGGACGCTCTAAAGATGAAGCATTCCGAATAGGAGAAGAAATTGCAAAGGAAGTCACCAATATGAATCCGAGACCGATCAAGCTGAAGTTCGAAAAGGTGTACTTTCCTTGCGTGCTTTTGGCCAAGAAACGATATGTCGGTTTCAAATTTGAGAGCCCTAAACAAGACCAGCCCGAATTTGATGCAAAGGGTATTGAGACTGTTCGACGCGATGGCACACCTGCTGAGCAAAAAATAGAGGAGAAAGCTCTCAAGATACTTTTCCGAACCTCTGACTTATCGCAAGTCAAGAACTACTTTCAGCGTCAATGCAGCAAAATAATGAAAGGCAGCATCTCGATCCAGGACTTTTGCTTTGCAAGAGAAGTTAAGCTTGGGACCTATAGTGATAGAGGATTACTGCCAGCAGGGGCTCTCATCAGCGCCAAGCGTATGTTAGAAGATCCTAGAGCAGAACCACAATACGGGGAACGAGTTCCATATGTTGTAATCACTGGGGCACCGGGCGCTCGATTGATTGACCGGTGCGTGCCTCCCGAAACTTTGCTGTACAATGAGTAAGTACTACCACACTTGTCATTTTGGAGTGGCAACTAACTTTCTCTCGAGGCATAATGAACTAGACGCTGAGTACTATATCTCAAAGAACATAATCCCTCCGCTTGAGCGAATATTCAACCTTGTCGGAGCAAATGTGCGCTCGTGGTACGATGAGATGCCCAAATTTCAAAGAATTAGACGAATCGAAAGCGCCGTCACAGGCCTTGGAAAGGATGTCGCTACCTCTGCCATCTCTCGGACTCTCGAATCTTACATGAAGCTCTCAGCATGTTCAGTCTGCAGCAAGAAGATTGAAGCAGAGCTACCCATATGCACGGAGTGCTTACATCAGGCCAACACGTCGTTGTCTGCTTTGCGTTTTCGAATGTCTGAAGCGGAGAGGAAGGCTGCGGATTTGGAGAAAATATGCCGGTCTTGTGCAGGCCTAGCATTTGGTGAACCCGTCAAGTGCGACAGCAAAGACTGCCCGGTATTTTACAGCAGGACGAGACACATGTCTCATCTGTCTAATATGGTGCGAACAACAAAACCTATGGTGGAACTTCTCGAAGCCCTGGACATCAATCGATATGACTGGTAGAAGGCGTTGACACACTATGATCGCCAATCTCTTTCCCTGTAAACCTCTCGACGACAATGGGTGCTCATGATGACAATACAGGGATACTTTTTGTTTTCTTAATTTGCAGCTATATACCCTTTGATGAAGTGTTTGGTCTCTCATTACATAGAATTTTGGTCTTTCTCTATTTCTTCTTGATATCAGAAAAAACACTTGATTTTGAAATTTCAACCAAGACCTTTTTGCAATGCAAGAACTCGTCCTCGCACACACCATCATAATAATTGTGATTTCCTCGATGAATCCTCGCAGGGAACTTCACAACGATGATCTCCCATGCTGACAGGAGTATTCTGCCAACAATAATCGCAGTAAACGAAACACCGGTAAAAGGATTCCAGCGGGTATTGGAGAATTTCACACAATCATAATCTTACCATCAAATGAGTAGACGGGATCATTAGGTATTGTGCATCTATCTGGGACAGTAAATGATGTGCAGAATAATTTGTGTGTAAACAGTAGTTATACATAGAGAGCAAGATATACGGAGTATACTCGATAACGGAATACATCTCAAACGTGTGTCAAGAAGCAACGGTCCGTGGTAAATGCATACTTGAGGTACTCGTCCAACGTTATTCCGCGTGTCCCGTCTGGGGGTGGGACCTCTGGGTGGGATTTACCCGATCGCCGTCGCCCATAGCTCGGATAAGCCCGCAATCCCGAGATTTGTACGTAAGTCGAAACGTTCCAAAATGGCAAGAATGACGCCGCAATGGCTTGTTCCTTACGGTGGCCTCAATATGCTTCCAAGGCCCATGGTCGAGTTTCACAACAACTGTCTGGCATAGACGTCGGCAGCAATCCCAACCCTATACTTGCCATCCACCTCGAAACCAGTTCATTTCAGTACAGTTTTGAAACAAAGAAGTTCCACTAATCCGATACTCATTGTATTTCTTGTCTCAAATGGATGTGCGATCCACGTTAGTTGTCTGGTTGACATGACACGTAGAGATGGGCCCTATTGCCTACTTTCTCGTCGTTTACGCTCTCGGCGGACTGACTTTCTTACCCCTACTCCTTGCAGCTCTTTTTTTGCATGCATATCTTACATTTCCGATACCTCAGCCGACAAAGGATCAAGAAGACTCTTTGGCGCTTCCCAATGATGATCCAGACGTCTTGACGTCTTCTACGCCCAACCTTGCAGACGAGTTCAAAGCAAGCCGTCATGAACCTGATGTCGCAGCTGGATATTTTGCCGTCTGCAGAGAATATGTTCCCGGAGGAGTCAATGGAAAGCCTCCTGAGCGCACAACGCCGGCTGGAGAAACGGTCGTGGCCGAGAGTCCCAGTGTATATCAGAGCATGTACCGCAGCATCTTCGATCGGAGCAAGACGCCATCCCTAGACGCAGGAAAAGGAGCCGGAAATGCTTCCAAAAAGGCTAGGAATGTGTTTTTTGTGGTGTTGAGGTGTGCGACTCCTCCAACAGACTAAATGCTTGCAGCAACCGCTAACGGGTCATTAGGCTAGGCCATTTGATGCTTTATGACGATGCCGAACAACTCGAGGTCCGCCACGTTATTTCACTAGCGCATCATGATGTTAGCATTTATGCTGGTGGCAACAAGATACCCGATGGAGAGCTTTGGATTAAACGGAACGCTATATGTCTCACTCGGAAACAAAATGTTGTTGACATGACCTCCCAGTCAAAACCCTTCTTCTTATTTTCTGAAAACACTTCGGAGAAGGAAGACTTTTACTTTGCACTCCTTCAAAATCAAGAGCGAAGACCTCAGGCGCAGGACAATGCTCCCGCCCCACAAAAGTTTGAGGTCAAGCATATCGTGAAGCTAGTCCAGCTGTTGCATTCCTCGGAAGAGCATTTACAAATCAGTTGGTTCAACGCTTTGATCGGAAGACTCTTCTTGGCTCTCTATAAGACCGCCGAAGTTGAGGACTTTGTCAGAATGAAAATTACCAAGAAAATTGCTCGGGTGAAGAAGCCTACATTTCTTACTGATATCGTCATTCGCAAAATTGAAATGGGGGAGGCCGCGCCATCCATCACCAATCCACGGCTGAAGGAGCTCACGGTGGACGGAGATTGCTGTATAGGAGCTGATCTCGATTACTCCGGAAATTTCAGACTCGAAATTGAGACAACCGCCCGGATCGATTTGGGTTCGCGCATCAAGCCGAGAGAGGTAAAGTTGGTGCTGGCATTGGTTTTGAAAAAGCTACAGGGCCATGTCCTCATTCGCTTCAAGCCTCCGCCGAGTAATCGTCTCTGGTTCTCTTTCGAAAGCATGCCCAAAATGGAGATGTCTATCGCTCCGGTGGTGAGTTCGCGACAGATCACATACGGATTCATTCTCCGGGCCATTGAAAGCCGCATCAGAGAAGTCTTTGCGGAGACACTTGTTTTTCCTCATTGGGATGACGCACCATTTACCGATACTTCAAGGCAAAAGTTCCGGGGTGGAATTTGGGCCGACGATCAATCCGTGCAGGCGCCTGAGACGAAGGTGGACAAAGCCGCAGAAGAGGGCGAAGTGGAAGTCGTGGAAAAGGAAGAACAGGACCCAGCTCAAGAAAAAATCAAAGCTGCACTTGGCTCCAAGGAGAAGACGATGAGCATGCCAACTTTGTTCTCTAATGACAGCCAGTCATCCCTCAGTCAAGTTTCATCTTCACGCAAAGCTAGAAACGACACATCTTCACCGCTCCCAGAACCCAAAGACGTTGGGGTAAGCTCTGGATCAGAGCCCAGGAGCCCGACACAAAAGCCAAGGGGGATGAGAACACATTCATTCGCTTCTTCCGCTACGCCGGTTGTTGGAATGGACACAACTACTGTTGACGCGGTCAAGAATGATACCTCAAAGTCCGAGAAGCCGGACGCAACAAGTGTAATGATAGCTATCAGCAGCCGTTCGCAACCAGGATCGCCAACCGCAACGCCTGTTGGCTCCCCACCAAAATGCACACCTTTGTCGCAGGCCAAGGACATCAGCAGGGCTCTGAACTTTTCCAACATTGATAACGCTGCAAACAATCTTCCCTCCACCGAAAGTACCCAAACAGACTGGGATTCTGGATCCCATCCGCCCAGCCCGCCCAGCTTTGCCACCACCAGATCCACAAGCATCGCGAGCGAAAGCTCTTTGAAGGAACCCAGTCGCACTCCGTCCATGCGCTCAAACCCTACGACGGAGAAACGACAAGCTCTAGCATCAATCGGCTCAGCTACTGCTGCCGCTGCAAAAAAGTGGGGTTGGGGCGTACTTGGCCGCAGCAATGAAAGAAAACCCAGTTTCGACGGAGTCGATGAGGGGGAGAAATTGGGCACTCCTGCACACCCGATCGGCCGTGGTCGTCCGCTTCCACCGCCAGGTACACCACTGCCTCCACCGGACAGAAGATCTTCTACCAATCCTCTTCCCATTCCAAAGCGCAAACCACTTCCGCCGCCTGCACTTCCTCAGCGAAACCAATCCAAATCGAGCGATCGGCCTGTTCCACCACCTCCGCTCCCGGCTCGTCAGCTCAAGGGGGATGGGCCTAAAGACACGGGAAATGAAGGGGAGCTTCTTGTGGTAGCTGCTCCACTGGACTCCGAGCCGTCTAGCCCTCTGCTTGAAGACCAGGATGAGACCCCGGATACTTTCAAGTTGGATGAGGACCTTGCAGATGGTCAATCGACTAATCTACGAGATGCTGATTCAACGCGGAGATCATCTGTCGCCACTTCAAACTCATTGGAACGGAAGACGTCATCTAATTCCGATGACACAAAGCTGCAGAAAGAAGGTGGGTCGACGGACGATGCCCGAACGGAGACAGGCGAGCATACATGACATGGCATGATTCTTTGTAGCTTGAAGCATTTACTCAGATGACATTGCAAGGAGGGGCCTCTTCACTTGTTTGATAGGTCATACAGCTTCAAATGTGGCGTTTACATTCGGCCAGAATTGTAATTTTTGTCTGCCTCAGATCTTTTACGCTAAAGCAATGGACCGGGAATTTTGTCCGTTATATTAGAATCCCATACATATTATTGAATTTCCCTGCACGAAAAATGTGAGGCATTGCTTCTTACAAATCCACAGATGGTGTAAAATCAGAGACAGATGCGGGTAGCGACATGTTGACAAGGGATATATGGGAAATTCGGTCAATGGATATGCATTTCAAACGGAGTAATAGACTGTAAGAGTGAAAAGGAGGAGTCGGTGAAGGAGGGGCTGTCTCGCTAATGATATGCAGTTACCCGTCGTTGAGTAACATTGAGCTCGAAACATCCCTTCTTTTCGAGGCGGCATCCTGACATTTTCGATCATGTGTGCCTCATTCGGGGCGGAAAGCAATCAAGACCACCTTGATTGCTGAAGTCTATTAGCATTTGCATATCTTCCCTGAGGACGCGGATACCTGCAGAAATGAAAACCTTACTGAGCAGCTTTCCGCATAGCTTGCAAAGCTGATCAGCACTATCGCAGCTGTTGGCAAAAGAGTCCGTGTCACCACAACCCCGATTAAAGTTTCAGTATTGGCTTTGCATCATGGCTCCTTTCGTTCTGTATTTTGCCAGGGTTCAGCAGATCATGGAGAGTACCGCCAATGGAAAGCGTGCATCAAAGTTCCAGCGTCTCCGTGGGCTAGAGCACCTTTCCTGTCGCCGCCCGAGACAAGCTTATACTTGACGTGACAACGGAATTGCCAGCTTTCCCTAGTTTCATTTCAGTCAAGCTCTTAACTAGGCATTGCTTTCTGTTTGCCTTTTTTCTTCCTTTGCTAGTCCGCCTTCTGTTTCAGAGCTGTATTCATCCGTCCGTGGCTAGCAAAAGACCTAATGTACAGGGTTGCCTTGAGCGCCAACATGCATTCTCGATCAAACGGAACCATGTGAGCATGCGGAATCAACTGTATCATGCAGGCAGTGTATTACAAGACGTTGTACAACTTGAGCTTCACTCCTAACTGAGGAACCTGACGATGCTGGCATATACCCCATGCAGAAACTTGCGTCATGAAGAATCCATACCTCTTTCGCTTCAATCACGCGTCTCTTCCTCAGGGCGATTATGGGGATCAAAAAACTATAAAAAGGGCACCGAAGTCCGTGGAGCTGAGAACACAATTCGATCAACGCAATCGTAACAGTCTTCACAGATATACTATTCTATTCTCCAATCTTTCTGCTCCAAACCGGATCAAAATGTCAGTCATCACGAACAACTGCCGCAATACCCTTTGGGAGGGCGCCAGAAGAGGCCGCACTGTCGCAGCTTCTTCTAGACTTTGGTACTACCTCTTCACCAATGAATTCTTCCATGGCGACCAGTACGTCATCTCTCCAGAGCCGAAGCCGGACAAGGTCGTCACGGTTGCTCCAGAGAGGTTCCAAGGACAAATCACGTATACGTCCATTACAAACGGCATTTTTCATCTATTCATCGTCCAGTAAGATTCTTCTTTCTATTCCTGACTTGGCTATGCGATAAATATGATCCTACCTGAGCCCAGTGGGTGCTATACATTTCGCTGACGGATGCTGACGGAGGATTCTGACGACTAGATATCGAAAATATAATATTAGCCCGGACATGATAAGGCTGCTGGAAACTCAAGCTTTTGAAGCAACATCCGATCTGCTTGTGGAAAAGGGGTGTAGAAGAGTACACGCAGCAACAATCATCGGGACGAAAATTCGCTGTTGGCACCTTGAACCGGGAGATAGTTTCTTATCCCCAGATTTCGGTGAGGAAGGTGCGCGAGGTGACATCAAGGACTATGTCGAAGTCAATTCATCATTTGCGCCGCTAGCCAAAGTCTCCTTTGAAATAATGAAGCAAGAGCCGCCTGGCCCGTATCCATCATTCGCCGTGCCGCCAGCTAATGCTCCGGAGAACATCCCTCCGCCAGCCAATGTACAGCAAACAGTGATGCAGCCGTGGTCTCCATCACCGCCACCAACTACCCTTATATACCTACAACAGCAACTGTTCATAGCGGCGCCAAATCCGACGGATACGGTTTTTAATCAGGATCGCTGGTATTTTGATGAGGCCTCGGGAAGTTATCTAAACCACGCTGCTACGAGAAGTCCCGCTTTGGCAGCCATTGGTAAGCAATCTGCTCATCAATGCATCTAAGGGAAAAGAATGCTGACCGCGGTCCAGTTGGGGAGGAGGAGAACGTTTTCTTTCAAGAGTTTCTACCGGAGTAGTGACAAAACTCCCGCAATGCCCTGGACACAGAACATCTGATAATATTCGTTATTTCGCTGGTTTTCTGAGTTTCTAGTTCTCTGCAATTATCCAACCTTTCGGTCTTCGTCTTTTTCTTTGCTCTGTATGCTTGGTATCTTTCACTTCGCAAAATCCATCCGTCGTAATTGAATCCGTTATTCGTTTTGTTTTTCGGTTTCGGTTTCGGTTTTTAATTTTTTCGGTTTTTTTCCCCGTCTGATAATCTTTTCACACTCTTTAAACCACTTGCAATTTCGGTCTTGTATGTTTTCTTTATATGATAGTCAGAGATAGATCAAAATAAAAAAAAAACCCCCCCAACCTCCTCTCGAAAGAATTGACCAGTCTATCCGTTGTATCTTCCAATTGCCATACCAAAAGATACATATCAATCATTACGTGTTCATATCAGGGGTGATTGTGCTTGAAGCTCCCCAGCGAGTCCTTCTCCACACAACATGTTGGCGCAATCAATGCCTCTGAAATCTACGTCAACAGAGCAAGGCTGAAGAAGTCTCTACGAATATCGAAGTACGAGGCGAGACTATCTATAAAACCTCAAAGCAGACTTGTATTCATCCAGCAGACATGAATAGTTCTCAGCCGAAGAATGTAAACTTCGACTTCTCGTCTACATTGATCATGGCACATGATGTTTCCAACATATATCTGCATCGGAGATGACATTTTTTTGAGTCTGATGTGATACCCAACTGACTGATCGCCACAGAGTCATTTACTAGTGAAAGCAGCCAAACTGATAGATTTTGAAGGTCAAATACTTTTCACGCCGATGGCTTATCTCACTTTCCTGAGAGTGAGAACGAACTGAAGCTACACAGTTTGGAGAAGCTATCGGAGCACAAGACTCTCTCAAACTCTCAATGCCTTGCAATCAAGATTCAAGCTAGAAACTACTAAAAGATAACTAGGTAGCTACTAAAGCATTTATTTCACCGGCCAGTCAAGCAACAATCATCGATCATTCAACTAATTGATGCCTAAAAACTGAAGGGCGTCTTATGTGTTGGCTGACGCAAGCGATAGGCTAAAGGTGTCCCGGAGCTGACTCGTCAGTTGTGGCTTTGCCGAGACGTTGGAAAGCTCCGGCCGATAGTAACTGACAGCCTCATGCTACCTAACTAAACAGTATCATTATACAGCTCATTTCTTCACTATCATTGCTTCAATCCTTGGCATTTTCGCCAGATACATTCTCTCACCTGTCTTTAGGCATTTTCTACCCCGTACTCAAATCATTCCGGTTCTTATTCTGCCAATTTGTCTCAACACTTATCGGTGCATGAGGGGGAGCGCGCCAACATGTCGTTCGCGAGCTATTCCCCGCCAACTACCCGTCATGTCGACATGAGCAAGTAAGCCAATATTTCCTGGGATCCGGTGTCCCAGAGAGTTCTTGTCTTATTTACCCTGGCAGGTCAGAGTCGGATTTGGCGATTAACATTCGTAAGGCGACGAATATCGGTATGTACAAAAGCTCCCTAACCCCTTTCTTACTGTGGATCGCTCACTAAATTGCTCAATGCGCTGCAGAGGAGACCGCTCCCAAACGTACGTAAAAAAGCAATTGTCGCACCGTGCCCGATAATCGAGACGCTCACCTGCATACAGGCAAGCATGTGCGAAGCTGCATTGTTTATACGTGGGACCATAAATCCTCTCAGTCCTTTTGGGCTGGAATGAAAGTGTGAGCAATCTTGCCAACGGCCGACATGGCCTCTTCCCACCGGGAGCAATCTTTCTGACAGAAGACCTCTTAGGCAACCTATACTTGCAGACGAGGTTCAGACGTTCAAGGCGCTCATCACTATCCACAAAGTGCTACAAGAAGGCCACCCGATCACGCTTCGCGAAGCCCAAGCCAACGTCAATTGGCTAGAAAGTTTGACCAGAGGAATCAGCGGAGATGGAATGAGAGGTGCGCTCTTACATCTACTGTCTGGCATCTTCATCGGGAGAATGTCATAAATGGCGTCGAGATATTGATCTGGCAAACAGGCTACGGACAGCTCATCCGGGAATACATATATTTCTTGCTGGCTAAGCTCGCTTTTCACCGGCAGCATCCTGAATTCAATGGTATGGTCTATCACACCTGTAGTGACGTTTCCACCATATATCTGATTCTCGACCAGGAACTTTTGAATACGAGGAATACATCAGTCTCAAAACCATCAATGACCCGAACGAGGGGTAAGCGCCGATCGATGCCCTGTAGCCCTGAATATTCAGCTGACACAAATGGAGATACGAAACTATATCCGATTTGATGACACTACAGGATCAGATTGACACGTTCCAAAAGCTCGTCTTTTCTCATTTTCGGAGCGGCGCAAATAATGAGTGTCGAATCTCATCCTTGGTTGGACTGGTGCAGGAAAGCTATGGAATCTATAAATTTATTACTAGCATGCTTCGGGCCATGCACACCAGTGTGTTTTCCCCTCTACTCTTTTGAAAAGGACTCAACTCATTATTCCCTAGCCACTGGTGAGGATGACGCGCTCGAGCCCCTGCGATCACGGTACAATGCCCAACACTATAGACTTGTTAAGTTTTACTACGAGTGCTCCAATCTGCGCTATCTCACTAGCTTGATTACCGTACCGAAACTCCCGCAAGATCCACCTAATCTTCTGTCCGAGGATGATGAACGGCCAGCTTTACCGCAACGTCCCGCCAAGGAATTGGAGAAAGAGCCCACGCCACCTCCCCCTCGTCCGGCCTCCATTGATCCTGAGCCGATCAACGAATTCTGGAAAAATGAGCAGCGACGGCAGCAGGACGAGTATGCAGAAGAGCAACGACGGCTGCAAGAACAGTGGGAGGCTGCGCAGTATCAACAACAATTGCAGGCACAGCAAGCGCAAAGGGAATTTGAGGAGCAGCAGAGAATCCAAGCAGAGCAACAGCGACTTGCCCAGGAGCAGCTCATGCGGGACCAATTTCAGCAACAGACACAGGGTCGGATGGCCGAGCTGGAAAGGGAGAATCTCAATGCCAGGGCCCAGTATGAAAGGGATCAGCTGATGCTCGAACAATATGACAAGGTCATTCTACTTTTTCCCCGGAAACTCATCGAGTCACTCCAGCTAACGTATACTAACAGCGGCTGAAAGCTTTGGAAACGGAACTTGCGCAGCTCAACACAAACTCCCAGCAACAGAATGCTTCCAAGGATGACCACATTAGGGCTCTGCAAGGTCAGTGCATATTACTCTTTTCCGTGTTTCATTCTAATTTTCGACAGAGCAAGTGAATACGTGGCGGTCAAAATATGAGGCGCTTGCGAAGCTCTACTCTCAACTACGCCATGAACACCTGGAGCTTCTACAAAAGTTCAAGCAAGTCCAGTTGAAAGCATCTTCGGCACAAGAGGCAATTGATCGCCGCGAGAAATTGGAGCGTGAGATTAAAACGAAGAATCTTGAACTCGCTGATATGATCCGCGAAAGAGACCGCGCCCTTCACGAAAAGGACAGACTCCAAGGGGTTCGACCCTCCGTACCTTTCCCAGCTCTATACATGATAGCTTACCTAGATGCAGGGCAACAAAGAAGAATTGGAGAAGCTCAAGCGAGAGCTTCGCTTCGCTCTCGAGAGAGCCGATAATGCCGACCGTGCAAAGGGCTCCGAGCTTTCTTCCATGCTTGCGAAGTACAACAGAGAGATGGCAGACCTCGAAGAAGCCCTCCGGGTAAGGCTTTCCCTCGCTAATATATCCTGTGATGCTGATGGTCGAGACAGAACAAAACGCGCGCCCTCGATGACATGCAGGGCAAGGTTGGAGATCGCGATTCAGATCTTGAGCGTACGCTTCGCATGAAGGAAGAGGAACTCGAGATCTTCAAAGCCGGCATGGATCAGACTCTTTTAGAGTTGAACGACTTGAAGATGGTGGGCATTGCAAAATCACGTCCTGGTCGAAAGAGAAGCTGACGTCGTGAAGTCCCAACAGCACACAGACCATGCCTTGGATGGGCAAATTGACACGCTGATTTTAGACAACATTCGCAAGATTAACGACATAGTTGGTAGGTGAAGGAACGGGCCATTACCCCTTTGCGGCAGTAATACTGAAACACGGCGCAGATTCGGTGTTGCAAAGCGGAGTCGAGAGAGTGGACGACGCTTTATACGAACTCGATTCACCCATGCAGGCTGGCAATCAGAACGCGTCGCCGGCTTATGTCCTGTCTACGATTGAAAAAGCGTCTGCCAGTGCTATGGAATTTTCGACCGCGTTCAACAACTTTATTGCCGACGGCCCGAACAGCGATCATTCCGGAATCATACGTACTGTTTCCGTTTTCTCCGGATCGATTGCTGAAGTACTCAGCAACACCAAAGGCCTTACGCGCCTTGCTACTGACGATAAAAAGGCGGATCAATTAACAACCGCCGCTCGTCAGTCCGCCTCTTCAACCGTGAGCTTTTTTAGGGGCCTCCTTTCCTTCCGCTTGGATGGTCTCGAACCGCTGCAAAAGACTGATGTTGTCATCAACAACAATAACGAAGTGCAAATTCAGCTGCAGAAGCTGTCCAAGCTGGCAGATACATTTGCACCCAAGAGCGGAAAGCTCACCAACACTACTGGCGACCTCGGTGACCTTGTCGATCGCGAAATGACGAATGCTGCAGCCGCCATTGAAGCCGCGACGGAGAAACTGACTAAGCTTATGAACAAGCCGCGCGATTCGAGCTACTCGACCTACGAGTTGAAGATCCACGAGTAAGTATTTGACAGATATGTCAACCATTAAAATAATACTGATCCATTTCCCAGCTCGATCCTTGAAGCCGCCATTGCGGTCACCAACGCTATTGCGCAGCTCATCAAGGCTGCAACGATCTCTCAGCAAGAAATTGTAAAGGAAGGTCGTGGCAGTTCGACCCGAGCCGCATTCTACAAGAAGAACAACCGCTGGACCGAAGGCTTGATCAGCGCTGCCAAAGCAGTCGCCACTTCCACCAACACGCTGATTGAAACAGCAGACGGTGTTATTAGCGGCCGCAATAGCCCTGAGCAGCTCATCGTGGCCAGCAATGACGTCGCCGCTTCAACCGCACAGCTGGTGGCTGCTAGCAGAGTCAAGGCTACCTTTATGAGCAAGACGCAAGATCGTCTCGAGAGCGCCAGCAAGGCTGTCACCAGTGCTTGCCGCTCCTTGGTCCGGCAGGTTCAAGAGATCATCAGCCAACGTAACAAAGACGAGAACGAGGTTGTAGATTATACCAAGCTGAGCAGTCACGAGTTCAAGGTTCGGGAGATGGAACAACAGGTATGTCATGATTGCATGAGATTCCCGCCGCCCCTGGGAAACTTAATAAGAAAATGGCGTCGGCTAACACTATCGACGGCTGCAGGTGGAAATCCTCCAGCTGGAAAACAATCTCGCCCAGGCCAGACAGCGTTTGGGAGAGATGCGCAAAATTTCTTATCAAGAGTAGTCTGCATCTCCTCGCCTCTATTTGCACTATGAACACTTGTCGTGCATGATTTGCCATACTCTTCAAGCTTGTTTTTCGCGTCTTTGCGCAAATACCACTCTTCACTATGTACAGAATATTTAATTTCAAGTTAAGTTTGTTAGCAAAGTAAAATTTTTGCCGAAAATGTTTTTCATCAAAGTGCCTCCTTTTCGTTTACGCGTCTACCCCGTTTACTTGGAGATATTGCGCAAGATCTACATTCTTCTTGTAATCTACATTTTACAACTCTCAACAGCGTCTGCTCAAACCTCTGTCTCTGCGCCGACTTAGAGGTATATTGTATAGAGACAATTTTTGAGCGCCCGAGGTCAGATCACAAATCTCACTGGCAGAAAAATTCTCGCCACTGCTATATTCTCCACGCGAAGCCCCATACCTCCCTCTTTCCCTTCCCTATTTAAATTTTTCTTTTGTACTACTTGCATTCTTGGGCCATTTCCGTATTGAGTTGCAGTCATTTACAGTGATTCGGATAAATAAAATTTTGTGCCTGTCCTGGTCTAACATCAATGTAAATATGTAAATATGGGTAATATCGGGAGGCATTGTCCCATTCCGAGGTATTCATGCAAATATTCGCCCTACGAATGGGGGGGGAGACGAAGAGATCGGAACTCAACAGAACTAAAGAGATGAACGGGAGAACCCGGAGCACCATATTAGATTTATATTGATACAAGCATTGTGTCAAATATCGGGACCGGTTTTCCTTTCATTTCCGTACTCAACCGGCACGAATAGTGATCACGAACAAAGTGTGTTATGGAAAACGATGCTTGGGGAAACGGAAGGGACTTGTGGCCGTGGTGGCTAAGTCGCGTCCATAATAGGAAGGAGGACCCCCCAAATCGGGAAGGGCGCTTTAGACACCGCCACCGGAATTTCCTCCCCACATTTTGCTGCCGCGGCAACCTATGGAAAGCCAACGACAACCAACGCAACGCGCGACGTCACGGCATGCTTCTGAGCTCCGGCGACATGGCAAAGGTTCTACCTTGTCACTGAAATTGCATTTCCGAGTTGTGCAGAATGAAGGCATTGAACTAACGCAATGAGATTGCACGAAAAATTGATCTAGGAGGAGATATGCATTTATGGGGAGATTCATCCTTTTTTTGGTATTTTCTCAGTGGACTATCTAAGCTATGTTGCTAAGTAAAAGCTAGAAAAGACACATCCCTTTAGCTAGAGGGATAGACAACGTTCCAAATTGAAACCGCTGCTTGCGTGTATCTTTTTCCGTGTACAATTTTGTTGACAAGTGATGGGGCGTTTAATATTCAATCTGAGGCCGCCGTACATGATGTTGATTCAAAGACATTTTTTTTCTGCCGATCTGAAATATGTAAAACAAAATTCGAGACGATGAGAGAAGATTGCGGGGATGATTAGGGGCACAAAAAAGGAAAAAGACAAAGAAAGAAAAGGGAGATCAATTTGATAACGGTCCGAACAGAATCGATGAATATCCATTCCCTTCTTTGTTTTCCCCGACCGAAAATACAATTTTAATGGTGGTCGAGAAGCTGCAAAGTGAGGGAGCTAAGTGGTTGATTCTCTCGTATGATGTTGACGCTGATGCTTTTGATGTAGAAAAGAAGCAATATTGAACAGACAACTGAATCCATATGAGGGCCTTGCTAATTTGTGACGTTTCTGCTGAAAGGAAAAAGAAAGGCTTCCTCTTGACCGAGAGACTGAAACATTTATTGGAAAGTCGGTGAAATAAAAAGAACTTCGCAAAATCCTTATTAGAAATCAGCCCATAATTCTTTGAACAATTTGTATCAGAGATGGTATGCGACGAAAGGTTTTTATGTTTTGTCCCATGAGATATTAGCGGAAACAGAATACTAATGTCTATATTGACATCCTAGTTTCGAATCAAATATTCATTGAAAGTGTCTCCTCAGCACAAGAGAAATGGAAGGTCTATGTCCGCATTTCTGCCTTGGTTTTTAGTCTCTTCTCAAGGACAAAAAAGGCTGAAACACGCATTGCGAACCAAATAAAGAGAGGGCGATTGCCAATCACGAATGACATAATGAAGCAGTAACTGTGTGTCATGATTGGGTTCCTAGCTCTCTTCGAAAATATTACTGGCGACCTCGATCGTTAGACCAAAGTCGACTTTTATCGATGACCAAATGGTGTGGGGTCATGCCCTTCACACTTATCCTTCGTGCAACATTGAGCGGTTCAAGCACGGTGCGTTTTCTCTGGACTAGAGGTCAAGAATCAGAATCGTTCTTTATGTATGTTTCACATGGGGGAATCTCTTACACCACATTTCAATCCCGGTTATTGGAATGCCTATAATGTTCGCAAAGAAAAATATTTCGGCTATGTTTGGATAGACGCATTCCCTGAAGAATTCCTCCAAAATATGGTTGTGACTGGGGCTCAATCCAAGGGGAGGGCGTAATAGGTTCCGGTCATGGAGTGCTTTATTGGATTCCCTAGCGGTTGAAATAAGCAGTCGATCGGCAGAGAATAGGGGCAATACTTACTCTGAGAGCAAAGCACGGATTGCAGATCGATGAATAGCTATTTGCGATTTATTATCACCAGGCAGATGATGATCATTGGACAGAGCAAGAAGCCAGCTACCACACACGTCGTCTCGCTGGTAAACGCGATTGAGTTCCAACAGGCGTTTCACGTCAAGCTTTGACTTCGGTCTCACAGCAAGTGTCCGTTGCAACGTGAATGGCTCGTCAATGAGTTCGTCCCGAGTAAGCCATCCTTCTCCGGCAAACGTCCTGGGATCGAATCTCCGGTATTTTTTCAAGATAGATCGGAAGTCTTTTATGGGATTCTGATCATTTTTGCGCTTGTTATTTGGATGGAAAAAGAAAATTCTCTCTGCTTCGTTCATGTCTTCGTGGCAGCCTTATGCCTCTGAGATTACTCGTGGTGATGGCGAATGGTCTGGATCAGGATTGCAAATGATGAGGAGCTGGTAAATTTATGCCCCTGAGATTTCATGCTATGCAATTTTATATCTATTGACGGTTGTTCGCCAGGTTCTATTGGGTGAGTCATATGACAATGCTATTGAGGCTGGGTTATTGACAATCCTATTGATGGGCATCTTCAATAAGGACGCCGGCATATGATTGGTCTGGAGTTCCATAAATTCACTATTCCCCCCGCCTCCCCCAGTTTATTCTATTGACGGGGGAACAAAGAACCAGCCCCCGGATTTTGCTTCGCTAGTATTTAACAGCTCAATTCGTCCGTTCTCAATCTTCAAACTTTCATTGCTCCATTCATCCGTTGCAGGTAAGCTTCTCGCAACCTATTATTCTCATGCTTGCTATGAACCTAGTCTGATCATCGAATAATATCTACAGAGCAGTAGCCTTGACTTGTATTCGAAGTCTAGCTCTGCTTTCACGATGAACAACAACACTACCCTCGCCAATGCCCAGGCGAATCCGGCATTCATCCGGCAGCAGAAGCTTGAGCGTCTCTGGCACGCATCTTTGGTTCAGCTCTCTCGTGGACCCGAGATTTCCTTCCCTGCTGAAATACGCCGATTCATTGGAAACGATGGAATTAGGATTCTAGCAAACAGATACAGGTAAAATTGAACGAGAAATCTTGTTGACGTTCTACTGACATTCTTCAGCGCCTTGACCGGCAATCAGGCCCAGGTCTTCGAGGATAGGGCAAATAATGCAATTAGAATTTTTATGCCAGAGCCTGAGAATTTGCCACTCCACCCGGCACTTCAAAATATTCAGGATACTTCCACTTATACCTTGTCGCCCTCTCCCAATTCTGTCGTCATGACCGGACCCGATGGAACGCCGCAGAGACTCGGTCGCCACGGAAGAGCCGGAAGGGTTCCACGTCCCCCTAATGCTTTTATTCTCTACCGTCGGCATCACCATCCAATTGTCAAGGCTAACAACCCTAACATTTGCAACAATGATATTTGTAAGTCCGATTCCGCAATTATCTTTGGGAATTTAATCTCACTTATGTGCTTTTCTTTAGCCATCATTCTTGGTAGCCAGTGGAGATACGAAAAACCCGAGATCAAAGCTGAGTTTTTCGCTCTCGCCGACATTCTCAAGTGCAAGCACCACGAGACTCATCCAAATTATCAATATCAGCCACGCAAGGCTTCTGAGAAGAAACGCCGCATGACACGTCGCAAGGCCGCGGCGCTCAAGAATACTGGCAATTCTGCTGAAGGCGGTCCTGCTCATGCTAGCACCAGTGACCCGACCACTACTCCTGTTGTGCCAGTCGCCGACTGCACCCATGAACTGCCGGCTACCATCGCAGACACTCCACCGGAACAAAACGAACACTGGATTTTCCCTGCTACTCAGGAGGAATTTGACTCTGCCTTCGTGCAACATTTGGAAATCCTTCGAGAAGTCCCAACCGAAGATCAGCTGGTCCCGGCGTTCAAGGTCAACAAAAGCGCGAACCTAGAAATCAACTTCCCGCTCGACGAAGAAGCTCTCAATAATTTCCTTCTTGACTGGAACGTCGCCAATGCCTCAGCCCCTCCTCTGTCCGACGATGCTTCTCGGATCCAGAGTGTTGCTCCAGCGGCGCTCTCTTCCGTTCTCTCCGAGAGATGCATTGAGGATGAGCAGTTTTTCACGAACACGGCCAGCTGGGATCAAGTTGAAAGGGATGCTTTGCGTCAAGCCGAAGAACTAGCTAAAGCCTTCAAGTCGGACATGTTTGACGATGGACTGCATCTCGCCGAAGCTCATTCTGATTCCGAGTGCAGACGCATGCAGTCGCTCCTTTGAGCCAACCACTTTGATAGGATTGAGATTGTCTCCTATTTTCTTCATCTGCTTTTTCAAGCAATACGTATGGCTCAGATTGTCTTTTCAATTTGGTTTATTAAAAGTATTTGTGAAGTCACGCTGAATTTGTCAAGTTTTCCAGCTACTTCAAGAGGCCGCTTTGTGTTTTCAATTTCTTTTAACATCAGCATTATCGTTTTACAGCTTAAGGCGATGAAATCTATCGAATGTGTTGGTGGTTAGCCGTTTTCTGCGACAATTCGACGCTCAATGGATGGTTAAAGCTCTTCAAATCGTGTAGTTAGATATCTAGCCTTAGCAATTAGAGAATAAAAACAAATCTTCACAAAATACAGGCTTACAATCTTGCATATGCCCGCTGGCAGGTTCTTCCATGAAGTATACTGGCTGCGCTTTCATGAGAATGCTGCATATCTTCAAGCAGATTAATTGCCATTCCAAAAAACTAGTCATTATCTACCTCGAACACTTGGGCCTTTAATTTATGTCACGTAAAGCCAGTCGTTTCCAGAAATAAACAATGCCCATCCATCAAAGTTTTACTAATCTAATAGAAGATGCGCTTATTGTCACTTTGTCAAGCAGTATCTCTGCTTTCTCTGATTGACCTCTGTCATGAAGACTGGTCCTCACACCGCGCTTTTCCTGAGGACAGAGAAAATTTCATTTGCCTTTGTGAGAAACCAAGCAATATAGTTTAGGAGAAAAACTACTTGAAGTTCTAGTTAGATTTTAATTTTGAACTACCACTACGTTGAAAGACATGTTTAACCCTCGAACACACTATTACGGTCATTTCTTTGTTGTTGTGATGTCGACGGTTGCGGTCCAAAATTGCCGTTTCAAGGATAGTTTCCGTGGGGGCCTCGGCTATACGCTTTGTTGACGAAGGGCGGGGCCTAGCTTGATGTGGGAGGGGTAGGGTTTCAAAGGGTCCGTGCTGGTTTCGGGAGTGCGAAACGCAGGATCCGAAAATTACTTCAATCAAACCGGGGTGCAGAAAGAAACTACGATTTAATCTCAACCAATTTACATACAAGGCGCCTCTCTCATTTTACAAGTTAAGCTCGGATGCTTCTAGCCTTTTAAGATGCCCGACCGGATTTGGTGATTCCTTTTCGGACCACATGATCATCCTCATGGCTATCCAAGCCCCTGCCCTAGCCTTTAGACAAGAGTCCGTCAAGGTGTAGCGCATCTTGAGTCCCGATGAATGATACCGTTCCTTGGCAATTGTGAGACTAGTGCTTTCAAGAAAGATAAAGGGGTTTGAGAAAGGGAGAGCATTAGGCCGGAAAGGCTGGCGATTCAATTTCGGGGCAATGTATGAAGGCATGTATTTCTTGAGTGAAGTATGCCAACCAGGGACGCTCTTGTTATATTGCTACGTATTATTCGGTACACCTTGGCAAAAGTCATTCTTGTATGGATCTTGTATACCTCCCATCCACAAAGGGGATGGTCGGCGTTTGTGAGCTGGACGCGGGTATACAGAGTAGTTGATCTTGGCTGTGGACAAGAGGTATCATAATATGCACAATCGATGGTATCATTAAGAAGACATAAGCGAATATCTATTTACATATGTATTTTGTTTACTCATATCGACTGCTTGAGAGTGTGAGATATTGACTGGTTAAAAGTCGTCGAGGTTATGGCAGGCGATGAAGGGCTCTGCTCGCGACCCAAATGGCTATAATTGTGCGCCTGATATTAGAGGTACATAGCAGAGAACGTTGCGCTGCATGACATCTACCCGCTTGCGGATAAAGAAGACCGGCCAGCGCTGGATATAGGCAAATGAACTTCGAGCGTCCGAGGAGGGGCCGAACCTCCTTATCATCTTGACAACAAGACTCCTTGGAGAGGAAAGCTAGCTTGTAAGTATGACGCGGGGGTTTCTGTCGAATGCGAAGAGATCTACGCCTTCCCTCGCGCCAACATGATAAATTCACGGGCCAGAGTCGCGGGCGTTCCAGTCACTGCTCCATATAAACGTCTGGCACCGCCATTCCGTCCCCTTCTCCTTGCTTCCAGTAGGACCGACCGGCCTATCGCAAGAGGAACCATAATCAGCTTATGGAAAGCGAATGCAAGTTTTCACGAACGATGCTCACCTTGGACATATCCAAAACGCACGTCCACAATTGAACCCACTTTTCTTGGTTGTTAGTTTTATGCACGGTTCATTGTGACCCTCGCAACGAGGTGCGACGGGCTTGCTGAAAAGCTTTGACCATGACTCCTTTGTGACAATTGGATCGACAACCCCCTCGCACTCTTGACTTTCTTTCAATTCCGATTCCGCTGATGGAAGGGACGGTGGGCGGAATGTATTGCTCTGAGAATCCGTTTTTGATACGTCTTGAGAATCGCCAGTCTTGGTAAACGAAAAACCAGCGCGAAATTGATTAGATTGAACCTTGACGTCGTCAGTGGACGATGAGGAGCGTTGCAGACTTGATTCAAGCGAGCTGGAAGGCACTGATAAATCATCGGCCTTGGAATCTATTCTACCATTAAGCTGTCCAGAAGATCTTGGCTTGAAGAAACCCTTCAGGCTCTTTTGACCCCTCTCTGGGCCACTAGCAGCGGACACAGCAGTTGATTTGCTACGTTTAGCTGGCCGCTGAGATTGATGTGGCATTTGAGCATCCCTCTTTTCCCCCAGTGTTGAGCCATTAGAGCTGGGAAACTTCAATCTCTCAGGGGACGGTAAATTTGAAGGTTCGGAATTGGGGGTGAGAGTTTCAGAACCAAGACTATGTAATTCAGCCTCTGGTGTGAGAGCATTCGATGTACGACCAGCTGCAGCATTTGATATGTGCAAAGGTCGATCTTGCGAAGTGGGAGTGGTATCTGAACTTGATGCGGCGGTGAGAGACGGCTTTTTCGTAAACATATCTCGAATGCTTCGACGCCGATCAAACTCTGGAATCAAGCGACCAGACAAAGCAGGAAGCCATTTTGTGTCATACGAGCGTATTCGTTTTCCAGCTTTGAACACCCCGTTTGGGTTCATCAGATCATATATGTGAACTTGCTTTTCACCAACATTGATTTTCTCTTTTATTACTGTATATACTGGACAGTGATCAGATCCCTGCGCCATTAGCCACATTCATGATCATCGCATCTTTCAGTTCACCTACCAAAAGCCCCTCTTGAATATTGGCATCAGAGATCCAGTCTTTGATGCCTATGCTACAGAGAACATAGTCAATCCTTGAGCCGTAGTTTGCAGGTCTAGCATTTATCTTTTGTTCCCAGCATGTGAACATTCCTTTGCGCTCTGGGTGGAAGCCGCGACAGGTATCCCATAACATCGGCTGCTCTCTGCCTTCGTCTCGTTGGCCTAGAACTTTGCCTTCAAACAATAGCTGATTAAAAAGTCGCCTTGTAGGTGTCGAAATGTACTCCTCAGGAGTAAGACCGCTTTTTCTCATGGTTTCCACCGGATTCGCTGAATCCAGTTCGTCTCGAGACACGTTGAGATCGCCCGCGACGATGACATGCTTGCCAGCTGAGACAAGATTTCTGACACGCGCATCAAGCGCATTTAAAAATCCTAGACGAAAGTCGTCTCTATTACCTGCGCTATTGGCTGGGCTGTAAACCCCAATTAGAATAAAGGCAGGAAATTCCAGAACAACACAACGGCCTTCAGAATCTAAGGCGCTAGCATCGACCGGGCAAACAGAGAGCTGAGTAGCCGTCGGATAGCCACCGATTTTTTGATCTTCTGGAAGGTCACAGTAACAGGTCGATGAGTTTGGTGGGCACAGAACACCGATAATGCCCTCTTCCGCCTTGATTGGAGCACAAACGCTTTGCCTGGTATAGATAGCAACGCCGGAATATCCTGCTATAGTCTGAGCCACAAATTTAAAGACAGTTAAAAGGAAAAGGCGTACCTTTCTTATGTTTAGGAAGACTGAAGTAGCAGTCCCAGCCAGGTACAAGCACCATGTCATCTTTCAAATCTTTCCGTTGAATTTTCAGCTCTTGCATGATCACAATATCCGCTTGGAGGATATCGAACATAGCCTTAATACGTCAAATTAGAGAGTTAATATCAAGGACACCACTGGAAGAGGGTAGGCATACGGTGAAAGTTCTCTGGTCCCGCCATGGCTGATAACTGAATGGATTCCTGGATCAAAGGCAAATTAGAAGGACGCAATTGTTTGAGAAAGGCGATGCGATTGAATTGGGCAACGCACCTGATTCCATTGACTATAATAAATTAGCTTCTGATCTATAAGTGAAGTTTGCATTCTGCGTACCATTCCAAGTCGTGATCCTGAGACTCATTGTATTGAGAGCGTTCTGTATCTCAAACTACATCGCACCTCATATATTTGCAAAATAATTGAAAAAGAACCATGATAAAGAAGAAGCAAAATTAGTTCAAATATTGCAACTCCGATCGCTCTAAATGCGCTCAAACGTAAGTAGTCAACAATAATAATCTGAATAGCTCTGAGTGAAACTATTCGCTGACATCATCCCATGTACACAATAGAGACCTGCATCACGTGATATAGCCTGCTGAGTCATCCTTCGAATCTCAAAGGAAATCCCTCCAATCTCCACGCCGCCAAACCGAAGCAAATAAGCGAGATGGTACTCGCTCTCTCGTTCGTCTATACTGGCAAGTGAAAGGAGCTGCACCATCACTTCACCTCATCTCCACCCATAACAGCTCTCATCCGTCAATCGTGGCACATCATGTTTCCCCAACGCACTCTTCTCCGCGCTTCCCAGCGCGCCGGTCAGCAATTGCGCGCCCCAGTCATGCGCTCGACCATTCAGCGCCGCTTTGAGTCGACCAGCTTCCGCGGCCCCCAGGACAATGCTTTCAATCGGGAAAGAGCGGCTGTGAAGCAACACGCCGCTCAATCGAGCGGTAAGCGTCCCAATTAGTTTCAATTGGCTTCTTAAGTCCGTTACATTACGAGAACAATAGCACTGATAGATTTTGCAGAGCTCTGGAGAAAGCTCTCAATCTAGTAAATTCATCCTTAACTCGTCGAAGATCTGGATCCAGATGGACTTACCAAAAACAGCGCCACCATTCCCTGCTTGATCATCGCAGGTGTCAATGCTTACAACCTGTGGAACGAGCACTGGGCGCACTGGGCGCACGAGCCCCCGCTTGAGGAGCGTACCGAGTACCCGTATCAGAACATGAGAACCAAGAACTTCTTCTGGGGAGACGGTGATAAGGTTAGTACGCCCGTTCTTTTCGCTCAATTGCTTTAAGCTAACAAATATGATGAATCAGACCCTGTTGTAAGTCAATTGATCCTCCCGAAACATCTTCTTACCTGAAGCGATGCCTGTTCACGTATCGAATTTTCGAACTTCCCATTGGACATAATATAAATTGGGTTGCCTCTGCTAATACCTTTGACCAGCTGGAACGACAATGTCAACTACCACAAGCGGGACGAGTAGATACAGTACTGCTGCAGCAATTGAGGGTTATTTCGTATAGTGCGAGTGCGGGGTGTAATTTCAGATACAAATAGTGTATATGAGAAAGCAATTTTGTTGATTACCTCGTGGAAGTATAGCAAATGTGAATACGATTGTCATGCAAACTCTAGGAGAGGTGCGGAAACAACTTTTGAAGATGAGAATAATCGGTGACTATGTCAAGCATGATCGCGGATTTTCTACATCCGATAAAACACATCGCACTAAATTAAAATTTCCCTGATGTGGAATTATTGCTTAACATATGAAAAAGGAGGAATCTAGACGTTAAGAAGGTGCTGGTTTTTAACGAGCGCTTCCCAAAGTACCGCGTCTGAAATATACGACCGGCCATGAATCAAGTCTACATTCTGCTCTTGACCATTGGAACTTTGTTGCTTGCGGCATGCGCTTAACGTCAAAATTTCAGGCTGCTGATTGGTTTCCTAATGTGCTCTCCAGCTCAGTCAACCAACGAATTCTAGGCCAGAAATGGCTACCGTCCAAGTTCTGGCTGCTTTTTTATAAGCTCCATATATCTGGCAGCAGTCTCTTCAGCCGAATCTGAGGCACCCAAGAGATGCATAACGGTTGCCTTTTTGGCCACCATTTCGCATTGACCGTTAAGATCCTCTATCTTCGAGTATTCTAAGAAAGTATCCCATGGTCAGTGCGCAGAATAAACAGAAATGGGGGGTGTTCTCACCATGAATGGAAGCATCAATCAAACTTAGGGAGGTATCCAGGAGAGATTGTTGTGACAAAGAATGCTTTTCTGTTTCTCCTGCAAGACCAATATATGAATCCACCAGAGATGAGTAGAGTTGCGCGGATAACGCGCAATCCTCCCATTCGAGCACCTGACAAAAGCAATTTTTAGTTTCCTATTTCTCAAAGAGGAGAGGGAAAAGCTTTGCTAGGTTTACCTGAGGCATAATTCCATCAAGGAGATTTGCAGTTGCTTGGTATTCCCGTAAGTTTATGAGCACCAGAGCTAAAGCATAGACAGCTTCCCAAAGTCCGGGAAGGATGCGAGCTTGATGAGCAATGCATACTGCTCTCAAGGCAACAGAAAAGCATTTTTGCGGGACACCACATTTAGCAAAAATAATAGCCTTCAAACTCATCAACCGGACTCGCCAGTAGATATCGGCTCCCGTATCAGTGAGCTTATCGAACAAGTCCTCTAGAATGTGCAATGCCCTGCTGTAAGAATGACGCCGTATCAGAAGGTCTAGCCTGAGAAGAGATATCGAAAACGAAACGTCCGGTTCCGGACAGGGTGCCGCGGCTAGTTGATTAAGTAAATGATCCGCCGAATCTAAGTCATTCCTGCACATTTCAGCATAAACATCGCTTATAATAAGCAAGATCAGACTATTACCGGTGTAACTGGCGCTTGGTCCGAAGAAGGCCCGAAATGGTCGTCCAGTATTGATAGGGTTTCAAGGTATTAAAAGAGTGCCTTTTAACAGCTTCTAATTGGTTTTCTGCTTCATCATATCGCCCACTCTGAGCGGACTTGAACGGGAGGTCAGCCTCTAGTGTTCCAAAGTCTAGACGGGACAGAGCTTACTGCGAGGGCTCTTCGACATATACACTTCAGAACCTCTTCGTGAGAGATATTACTTGCATAACAATGAAGCATAATATCACACTGAGACAACGACAAGCTCGTTATACCTGAGTTCTAACTTTAGTAGCGAATTAAAATGAAAATCGCATCCGAATTTTACGTACCGAGTCTTCCATAAATCGAGGACTGCAATAGCATCTGTGAACCAATGGTACTGGTAAGATTCTTCGTTACATTCAAATGAGAAGCTTTAATGACATTCTCTAAAGCCGAAGGTAGGCTTTCACCCTAATTGTGGATTAGCCAAGTGCACAAGAGGGACTTGAAAGAACACACGGAACGAACATTGTTCAGTAACAGCTTGGTCTCACTGAGAAGGGTCGTGCTTAATAGACTGAACATTCCCGCCTCTTTTGCTTTAGCCTTGAGGTAGGCTAGGCCTTCCCTTGCGACTCCGAGACCGCTGCCCTTTCCAATAGCGCTTAATTCATCTGGATGCGCCTTGCTAAAGTGATATAACCAGCTCAGGCTGAAGTTCAAACATCCAACATCTTTATTCTCTCTAGCTGTGGCGATTGTCTCCTCCATGGCCGCGACAGCTTCACTGTAGCATCCAAAATCTGCCTGAAGAATCGCCAGATTCAACAATGCGTATTGATAAAATGTTCGGTCTCGGTTTTGCATCGTATAATCAAAGTATCTATGCAGGTGATCAAATGAGGACGGATAGTCACCAGATCTCCACGAGTCAAGGAACCTGAAAAACTTAGTCCAAGATCGTGATAATTTGACGATATCCTTACTTTACATAATGAGAAAGGCTTGTGACCATCACGCCATTCTTGAGCGCGTCTGAAAGGTGCTGTTTAACTTCCTCGGGGAGTCGAGTTCCTAGGCCTGTGCTGACCATCAGTGAACTTATCAGGAGCAAGTATAATGATCGCGGTCGATTTACTCTGCATTTCCTCCACTTGGAATTCTAGAAGCTTTTCAATATCATCTGCACTAACGCACCCTTCAATCATACCCTGCTCAGTCAAACAATTTTCAGAGACATTTGCATCAAAACTCAGACGCTGAAGGTCATGCTTTGGGTCTGATTGATTAATTCTTAGGTTTCTGTCGTTCCATTCTCTCAATGCAGGCAGGCGATAAGATATGAGTGCTTTCCATAGCATTACCGTGTCATGGAATTGAAGCCGAGTGAACTCTATACGCGCGCGTCGAACAAAGGCCCCCAGGGGGGAAGTACGAGAGAGCAAAATGGCACCATCAGGAATCTCAATGCCTTGTTCATCGTCCGCTACTTGCTCTTCTTTTGATTTGAGTAGCAGCAATCCCAGGTTGTCAAAAAATTCGTGGAGTGCGTCCAACGAATCTATTCCCCATAATTTATCCAGGAAGAGATCCCAAAGCAATCGTCCAGCAATCGTTGAGGGATGATTCGCTATCACTTTTTGAAAGCTTTGTATCGTAATAGTAGTACTGGACAATTCTGCCTTGTGCTGATCATTATTCGCTATATCGGATACGATATGAGTGATCAAAAAGGACAGAATTGGTACGCTTGATGCTGTTGGAACGGAGGCTTCAGCATAGAGAGAGACCAACGCCAGAAGCCCCAATTTTGGAGCAGTCAAGTAGCGCGCCATTGCAAAATGCGCTTCGCAAAGATACCACTTCCGGGGAAGTTGAGGTCATTGTGCTGTTCGGTTTTCAGCAGGTAAAGTAAACAAATCTGTGGTCCATCCCAGCATTTTGGTACCTCGCTCGGCTAATTCCGTGACGCGCCCCCTCGCGCCTTTCATTAACGAACGTGACTCGTTTGTTTAGTGCACCTCGTGGCTTCCTGGTGGGCTGGCTGTGACGATCCTCCGCATAAGAAATTTGCCGCAGACTGACCTCGGCTGCTCTCCAAGTCCTCGATCTTGTCGTTGAAACCACAGTGTGAGCCATTAATGTGGTGTTAAAGCCTTTGGCTCATACACATTGTTGTATTGAAACTCTAGACTTGGCACTTCCTAAATTGATGCCCAAAGGCTGTGATGCCTAACGCTATATTCTCCAGGAGGAACTGTCTTGTGAGCTTATATTTACTGTACCGTACGCAGGTAGCATTTATCTTTCCATGACCCACACTTATCACTCATGATTATGATCCGTGAACAGATATGGCAGCAGTAGTTGTAAAGCTTTCTTAATCATTACGCAAAAAAAGTTATTACAAACAAAGTAATAGATTTTGAATACTAAAGTGTTGCAAAATTCCAATAACAGCGTCTCATAAGCCTTAAGCTCAGAAACGTATCTTGGTAATTTTGGAAAAAAAAAAGAAAAAAGAAAAAAAGAAGAAAGAAGAAAGAATTGTAAGTGTTTCTCAAATAATTCGACGTCGAAAGCAAGCTCCGCGGCTTTTCTTCTCCGACGAGGGGGGTTGGTAGGGACCCGCAAGGCTTTTGATCCATTGGCAAGATAATGAACGAAGATTCACGCAGACTTACTCACAGTCACAATAAGCTACATTAGCATTCTTGCACAAGAGGCATTAAGGTATTATTCGTTCTGTAGAAGCATGATTCCGAAAGAGGAAGTCCCATGCGATATTTGTATCTTATTCACTTCATATTTCTCAACACCATGATTGATATTCGCGAAGCGATTCAAACATCGTCAATGACAGTCAACAATGAGATTATTCGTTTCAATGCCGCCGACGAACAGAATACACATGCCACAATCTCATTATTGGAGGTTTCCAGCATTGGAATTTTACCCCTCTACATTTTTGAAATTGCGCTTATTCCAGATTAGACGTGGCAACAGCTTGAAACGGAAGATGCCTCGGCGCAATCCTGGCATAAGATGCCCTGGGTGACTGTCAGAACCAAAAATGGATTTTTCCACGACTTACTGAACCCTCGGCTCTCGGCCCCCCACAAATTTACCTAACTTCCAGAGACCGTCTTTGACTTCAAAATTACCTTCACTTTAAACGCGTTGATTCAATCCCCCCATCCCCTCCTACCAGCCTTTCAGAAAGCTGTGTACCTTCTCTGTGGACAATAAGCAAAGGGACAAGCTCAAGTTACCATTGTTCACTGTCAATCAAAAAAGATCCCTCAATTACCGCTCTGGCCTTTGCTCTCAGGCTAGCCTTGCGGTCGTACTCAGCCCTCAAGCTCCGGTAGTCCAGCTGCAGTACCTGCTGTGAGTTTGTTAGTTCTATAACGCCCTGCTTGTCTGAAGACTGCTAAACCGTCAAGTCCTTTTGAGCCAATTCATTTTCAAAATGCCTTGCTCTCCAAGCACGCCCGATCAGTTGGCAGGAAAGACTGTCAAAGCTCTTGATGGGGTTTCTCTCTCCGAGAAGCAGACGAAGCAGTCTTTCACTAAGAGCCAAGCTTCGTTACATGAACCGTCTCCTGCGAGTACCTATGGTGATACTGCCACGGGCGATAGCGTTCCGGTTACTCCTCTTGAGCCTCAAGCATACGGTAAGTAAGGTGGTTCTCTTCCTGCTTTTCACTTGCGAGATGCGATGCATGTTCTCTTAGTTTTCCCCTTCTCACTTGTTTCAAATCTGTTGATATAAGTATGCCTAAAGGCGCTCCCGCGAGGTCTCTCAGCGCGTTGACATCTTGTCTCCTTTAACCATGCCCATATGTCTTAGGAAGTTTGGCCCTCGTCATGGATGAAAAACATCACCATACTCCAAACAATGCTCTTGTTCCGTGTTGATTTTCTGTAATCAGAGCTAATTTTATTCTCTAGATCCCGTCGCGGCGTTGTCTCGCAAGCCACTTCAGCGGACAACCCTTGGTGAAGAAAGTAGTGTCGAGCTGCATTCTCCGAAGATGAACATACCAAACGCACATCCCATCTACGGACTGGGCCGTGATCAATCCTCCACTCTTCCAAGGCGCCCATTTAAATCACCTGGTCGTGATAGGACTCCTTCTATCGGAAGTCTGGTCCAGCCAGCCACCGCCCAAGTTAGCCCTACCATTGGAGGAGAAGCGCCAATGGGCAAATTCAGTTATCTCCATGGCTCTGGTAACTTTTCCCCTGGTAAGAGGCAATCAAAGAAGGCACTGGCAGCTAGCCCGGGGTCTAAGCACTCAGCTGGTTCTCCCGGCTTCGTAGTCCAAGGCAAAAGTCGCAAGGGCGAAGATCCGTTCACATCTCAAGAGCAGGGCGACGGAAGCTCCTCGCAGGATATTGAGCTGAATTCATCCACTCATGCAAGCGAGACGGCCACAACCACTCCTACTGGACGGGTGAAACAGGAAACCCCAAATCGCGATTCTCAGGGGCTGAGTTCTTCAGCTGAAAAGGAGGCAGCGCCTTGTATGTCCTCTGAGGCGGTCGAAGAACAGACTGCGATGATTCTATCACAGGAAAATGTGGTCGGTCCAATTTCAGCTGAAAATGCGCAAGCAGTGCTGCCTCCAGATGCATGCGTTTTTGTTGCAAAGTCAGTATCATGTCACGGCTTCCGTTTAAGACGAAAACTGACCATTCTAGCTTGTCCTCCGCTCGCACTGACGAGCAACTTGAACGATCTGTGACGGAAGCTTTCAAAGAGTATGGCAATGTCTATGTCAAGATCCGTCGAGATAACAACATGATGCCATTTGCGTTTTGCCAATATGAGGTATGTCATGCCCAATCTAGCAAGAAGGGATACTGATTTGCTACGTCAGACCGTTCAAAGTGCTCGAGCTGCCATTCAGTTTGGCAAGAATAGGTTGATAGATGGGCGTCGTTGCCGAACGGAGCCTGCGAGAGTGAATAGTGAGTCCCACCAAATTCAGCAAAGTACTATCAATTTAACAGATATCATCAGGATCGCTGTACATGTCCAAGGTCCTCGGTGGGCGGATCACGAATCAAGAAGCGCACAGTGTGCTTCAGCGTTTTGGACCTATTGAAAAGACTTGGGAGGCTAGCCCAACTGAACAGGAAATTTACCAACTTCCAGATGGTATCTGGGTTAAATTCGCGTATTATCAGGCTTGTCGCGATGCGCAATCAGTAAGGAGCAGTGAAATCTGAGTGCAAGACTGTTATCATTAATCTCCAATTAGGCGTTTCGCGATGATCAAGAATATCGTCTGGATCAACCTCCGACGCCGCCGGATGCACCTTCTAAACAGGGTCGGTCGATGTACTCGCTGACAAGCAGCCCATTTAAGGAGCCGAGCCCTGGTGCTATCAAGTACTGGGAGCGCCAAGCCATCGCGAAGAAGAATGAAGACGTTTGCACGGTGTTTGTTGGAGACATCCCATCCGAGGTCACTCAGGAGGAAATTATCGACTTCTTTGGGCAGTACGGATGTGTAGTTTCTGCCCAAATCATCTCACGACCATCCGCGAATGGTAAGATAGTAAATAACGAACCTTTATTGTCTTGCTAACAACCACTTAGGTGACGGAGTGAATATCTTCGGTTTCGTCGAATTTTCGAACCATCGGGAGGCATTGCTGGCTGTTCGAGGTGATGTGAGTTTCTCCATGCATATCGTTTGGTCGCCAAGATTGACGAAAGACCGACCTTAGAACACTCTTGGAGGCGTCAGAATTCGTGTCGAGCTAAAACAGATCGGCGAGACTCCTGGTCGTCAGACAGCTCCGCGGAACCCATCTGTCGAAAATCGCGGCATAGATGGAAGCCCAATTGGGCGAGGCGTTTATGGGAGAGGCTTCAGAGCTAGGTTGGACCGTCATACTCTGGTGGACAAAATGCAAACCTACGCCACGTTCAATCACACTCCACCGTTCAATGCAGCAGATGTGCTTGCTGCAAGTGGTCGACGTACTTCCACGACTGATTCTTCCAACTTGGTTCCTCCACAGCTTCCCGTCTATCCAGCAGCATTTCCGTACCCTCTCTATCAGAATTCCTACACTCCGTTAAATACAAGCCCTGCTCAGTTCGCCGGTTACAACTATCCTCCGGTTGAGGAAGATCTAGTTGCTGGGTATTCTTCATCTGCGCCCGTCTTTGCAGCAAATAATCACCCGCAACAGGGTTATTATCCACAACACCGCAGCCAGGGTACCCCTAATGCTTCCGGAGTAGCCCAGGGCCAGCATTTCAACAATACCGGTATCCATCAGGTTTTGCCTCAGCAATTTGTCACCCAAGCAGCGATGGGACAGTTTCAATATCCGCAGGGTACAGTCCCTTACGGTCAATATCCTCAGTACTTGCAATACCCCCCAACTCCAGGAAGCGCCGGTGCGCTTGTCCCTCAGTACATGTACACTCAGACGGAAGACCAGCATCAGCCGACTGCAAACGGGTCTAATGGGAATGCGGTCAATGTTCCAATCGGAGACCTCCACGAATCTCATTGATCTGTGCGAGTCATCCATTGAATTGAAAACAATGCTTAACAAGCCTCCTTCAACAATCCACTTCAATCGCCAATGTTCCCTCTGCTGGCTTCTGATCGGTGTTTATGCCTCGTCGCTTCATAATTTGCTTGAATTTTCCCAACTATTTCAAAAGACTTTGCTGCTTTGCTTCTCACTGTCGGCTTGTTTCGAATTATTGTAACCCCCTCGCCTCTCATTTTACGAGCGGGTTCTCATAGCAAGGTCACATTTGTCGATCTCGTTTGTATACTTCTCGTGTACTTCATTGGATTGTCCTGCTTCTCTTTGTAGCTGCGCTGCTTAGGATCGACGATTCGAGCGAGGCTACCATATTGTGGCCTGAAAAGTTCGCTGGCGAGCTTCTGCTATTTGTGCTTCGTTCTAACTCTATCCCTTCATATTGCTAGCCGCGCTAATAACCCCAATCGTTGCTCTGTTGCTGTCTACCTATCATTGTTGTTTTACTGTCACTAGCTGCTCCAACCTGTCTTTCAATGATTGATGTCATATGTTGCAATGTCTTTTCTCCCGTGGCATCTCCTGAATCGCTTTTTCCTGTCTATCCACGCTCATGGTCGACGGGACTAGTGATGAGGTCCTTCATTGGATTTGCATTGAATGAGAGCGTTAGCATTAGTTAGATGAGCGAAATGATAGAGGTAGATTTTGCTGTGTTCCTTCTTGTTAATAATGATGGAGTCTCAGATCAGTAGGGCCAGCCAGGGACAGCATGTGAAGGCGGAAGGCGCAACACCAACTCGACGAATTACCTAGGACCCAATATGTACGGCGGTACGAGCCCAACAGCCCCTCGGAGGGGCTACTCCGTTAGCATAAGCGATAGCGTGACAGGGTCGAGGGGGTGACATGATGGCAGTTAACTAGCGGCCCTGGCGGCCTTGCAGATTGCCCATTAAGTCTTAAGACCTGGATAATTTGCAGCTTATCAGGAATTATCTCGCCGTTTTCTCACAGCGATAATTTTCGAAGTACCCCACTTAAGGCGCATTTCTCCGGGCGCCAAGGCCTACTTAGTCTACATACCGAATTATCGTCCGAGATCATACAGAAATGATCTTACCTAGCTCCCCCAACTGGAGGTAAAAGTTGCTCGTTTTAGTCAACATCAGTAAGGCCCATCGGTCGAGCAACTTTTCCCTCACTTTTTCACCACGGCTCACATTTGCACTATTTTGCATTTGTGCTTCTGGTCATACAATTTATTCCAGTTCCTCATTGTGGAAACGAAGCGCTTTCTGTCCGTAAAGCTCCAAGACGATGGGAGTCCCTTCATTCCAGGCGTCCAATGCCGTTATTTATCTTTCCTATGGTGCTTTCCTGTAAGTTCTCTTAAAACTGAAAAATTGAGCTGTGAATAACGGGAGAGTACTATAGAGTAAGCGGCCTTTATATTGCATGGCGGTGGCGGCACCAATCGAAATCAGATTTCCTCGCTACTAATCGTAGCCAAACGGGTCAGATTTGCTTCGCTTTCTTCATGCTGAGTTGAAATGCAACTCAGCTCAATGTATTCATTGAGCATATAAGCTGACGCATGTACAGCGATCCCTCTAGCCTTCAATTTTATCGCGTCGGGTGAGTGCTGCCGGGCGCATGTTTGTTAAGATCTTGGCAAGGAGCGGCAGTAATGTTCTACTGCGTAATGCATTTTACTGCGTGCAATCTCTTGATCATTGAGCAATCTGATCGCAGGTTGGACTATCAAAATAAGGTTCGTATCTGATCATCAAGTACTTCGCAGTCCCTCGGCATTCAAGTGCGTCCCTTTTCCGCCAAGCTCCCATGTTGCGATATACATGACTGTTTGAGCAAAAAATGAAATAGACCACAAATCCGAAACTGCGCGGCTTCACTACGGGCGCTGAGTTCGCGAGCATGAGAAATCAACCTTGTCGAATGGATTCGATGAGGAATTTCGCATGTCATCGCTTGAACGAAGCTGAGAATGAACCGTGAATACTCGATCAAGTTAATGCTTGCGTGGGGAATGTGCTGCCGCATCCGTGCCCCTTTCCTTTTTTATCATCTGGGCAAAGAAGACTAATTTTAGATTTTTTTTGGGCATTAAAGCTCTTGGATCTGGTATTCTTTTTGCATATCCCGAGATCTCAACAATTGCAGGTGTACAAGGTCTCGTTGTATACGCATTGTCAAGCTCGCTGCCTTTGCTCGTATTTGCCTTCCTTGGTCCTATTATTAGGAGAAAATGTCCCGAGGGCTTTGTCCTTACAGAATGGACAAGGCAAAGATATGGAACAATAGCTGCTCTCTATCTGAGCTTCTTGACGTAAGTTGAGTCTATCCAAGGATTAAAAACTATTTTCCAGTTGATCTGAACATGCTCCAAGAATCGCAACTTTATTCCTGTACATGGTTGCAGAGCTCTCGGCGTTGCAGCAAATCATCAACGCGCTTACAGGCCTTGATGGGCTTCCTGCAGTTATTGTGGAATGCGTCGTCACAACCATCTATACCTGTAAGCATTGCCGGGGCGTCAGAGATTCTCGTATTTTGGCTAATATGTCGAAGCTCTTGGAGGGTTCCGTGTCTCCTTTTTGACAGACACACTCCAGGGTATAATGGTCGTGCTTCTTATCATTCTCGGTGTCATCACCGTGGGTGTCGAGACGCGCATTGATCATAGTTTGGTGGAATCAACCGGGCTCCTGAAGGGTAGTCTCCTCGGATGGCAGCTTATTTACATTCTTCCCGTTGCCATCCTTACCAATGACTTTTTGCTCTCGGTATGAGATTTCTGGTTGCTGGAAAATCTATTGTCTCTGCGCTAACTGATAAGCAGAACTTTTGGATGCGGACGTTTGCGAGTAAATCCGACAAAGATCTGCGGATTGGTGTAACTCTTGCTACTATTGTCGTCACATTCATCCTCACTCTAGTCGGGGCGGCTGGTTTGCTTGCAGCCTGGTCTGGCGCGTGGCCCGGCAATCCTCCTCAGGATGGGTCAATTTCCTTCTTCCTTCTCCTCGGACAACTTCCAGGCTGGGTTGTTGGAATTGTGCTTGTCATGGTCGTTTCTCTCAGCACCGCCGCTTTTGACAGTCTACAATCCGCCATGGTGTCCACTGGCTCAAACGACATTTTCCGAAACAAGCTTAACCTTTGGTACATTCGAGCGGCGGTTGTGCTCGTAATCATTCCAACCATTGTCGTGGCGCTCAAGAGCCCCGATATTCTTCAAATTTATCTTATATCCGATCTTCTAAGCGCCTCTTCGATTCCAGTACTTGTGCTCGGTCTTTCTGAAAAGTTTTACTGGTGGAGGGGTTTCGACATTGTCGTCGGCAGTCTGGGAGGATTGTTGACCGTTTTCATTTTTGGTACCATCTATTTTGGCAATGCCCATGAGGGCGCATATCTTATGATTTTGGAAAACGGACTCTACTCCAATGACTGGAGTGCATTTGGTAAGTAATTCGTGAAAGCGTGGTTTTCACTGTGGGGAAACGAATTAGAACTAACTTTTCTCAAGGTGCCTTTGTTGCCGCCCCTGTTGGTGGACTTTTATGGGGCTTCGGAGCTTGTGGTCTCCGCCTCACCTTTCAATACGTGTATGCAAGGGCCAGAGGCCATCGATTTGATGCTCTGGACCGACCTGCACCGGCTGAGCCATCACTCGTCTCTGATGAAGGTCCAGCAGATGACTTGGCTTCTGAAGCTGGTCGCGAACCGGTCAACGTCAAAGCAACGCCGAAGGGTATATTTTTTTAAATGCCAAAGGTTAGAATTGGATACCTGCTTCGGAGCGGTGCCAATTTTGAACCCATTTTAATACAGAAGCTCTGAGAAAATGACGTCAAAAGAAAAAGAGGAAACAAAAGTGCTAGAAGATATCATGAAACGTTCAGGATAGAGATGTGAGAAAGGGGAAATTTTATACATTGCATGCTCATTCCTGAGCTGCGACATTATAATCTACATAAAGAACCAGTGACTCCCATTTCCTAAATGGACTATGCTCGCTACGCCAATGCCATACAAATTATACAATCATGCAGATCCCTTGATATAATTTTTTTTACTGGCCGGTGATGGCCTTCTGTGCAGCTTTAACCTTATCCACGGTAGTCTCCTCAGTCGTGCCCCACACGATCCATGGGCCCTCCTTGCCATTCATCATGGTTCTTTGGATAACAACGTACTCGGTGACATCTCGTTGGATGCCGGTGCCTGGCACAGCTGTGTTGTCTGGGCGTAACCTCGCAAGACTCTGGCGAGACTTAAGCCTTACGACAGCTTGTCGAAGACCAGCGCCATCAATTGGTAACTTCGCTGCGCGGTGCGAAATGACACGTGCGCCTCTTAGGTACTTATGCAGCTCCCAGCGGAGCTTGTCCTTTCCGCGCGCCGCAATTCGTGCTCGAAAGCTGTGTAGGATTCCGTCGGCGCAAATAGAACGAAGCGTCTCAACGTCGCCGCTATTCTTCTTATCAGTAGTTGTCCGAATAGATTGTCACATGGAGGATAATCCCAAGGATTAAATGTGTAATGTTGCGCAGGATGACGTACTTGGCGAATGCTGTATACATCTCCCTATGCAGAGATCTAGCGGCTGGCACGGTCTGCCGCAATTGCAACTTTAACCGTGGTTTTTGCGCAAATTTATAGTACATGACGCTATGGAGCAAGATGACAGTCAGCCACGATATTTTATCAAATCTTCTTCGGATGCAATCATTTGCATTGGGCAGCCAAGCTCAGAGTAGCGGCTGGACAAGGAGATCTACCTGATAAAATCCGTAATGCGTGTCTTCAACCACAACGTGAACAGTGTTGCGCAATCCCTCGGTTTGCGAAAGAGCGAAGGTCTGTTCTCGCCTGTAGGCGTAACGAAAGTGCCTGATCTGCATTGTTAAAAATGTCCTGCCATTGAGCTACAAATAGACACCGTCGGAAATTGAAGCAATTTTACCTTCAAGCAGACCAAGATCCGTAGGTAATTGACCCGCTCCTTCAAGTTCCTTCATGGCGACCTTCAAACTCCGTTGCGGCGGCTGGCGGATTTGAGGCGCAAACATCTCTGGCTTGGTCACCCCGAGAGCAATGCGGCTGGTCGAAAAAGACCGATTGAAAATGCATGTTGAATAATTTGTTGCGAGATTTGATACTCGCCATCGAGCACAGTGAGCCATGATGTCCTCCCGGGGTCTGTGTCCCGCCCAGCGCAACAATCGTCAAATTTGGCAAAGTTGGATGCTCCGAAGGCTCCAAAAGTCAACTTGCGCTGGGGAAATTGTTCTGGATATCATCCATTTCCGAATTGGGAAATCAAATCACGTGGATCATTGCTGCTGTCCGTAGCAAAACTGTCAGACCATTAAGCGACGAAATAGGTAAGTGGATAGGCCCCAGAGGTACCCAGCACGACGATATCAAGTCACTCCAGGTCTAGGGGGGTTCCTTTACCATTTCTAGTTCTACTCCCCGTTTGAGCCCATTGCTTCTTACGCGATTCACCCTACAGCTACGGAGTGCAATAAAAAGTCATCCCATTTTTGTGAAGAGTGGAGTGCAAAGTTTTTCTGCTCTTGCCGGCACACCTTGTCCGGTCCTCAGTGGACAAATTCGTTACTACGTATGTGACTCGAAGTGCTCTAGAAGCAATTTTCAAGCTCCGTAGATAGAGTTGTACCTTTGTAGCGGCGGAATAATTGGATTGACGAATAGCATCACCGCCATAACAAATAGTTCATGTCCTGGCCAGCAAGTGGAGGAACTCTGTAAAATTACCGCAGGCATACAATGCGCCAGCTAAGGAAGGAGCGAGGGGAGCAGACGACAATTGCTGCTCACTTTCCCATTCCTGCCTCACTCGTCAGACACGGCCGAGGAGGAGCTTAAGAGGATGAGCTAGCCGGAGGAACCAAAATCCGATTTCGTTGATGTTATTATTTGTGCTAAGCTATTAATGCTCCTCTCCCCACGAGGCAGTTACTTCCACTCTCTTATTCTGTCTTTAACACTGTATGCTAGTTTGGGAGTTGCAACAAAGCAGCTGTGACATTTTCTGCGGCTCTTTCCTTCAAGTCCTCTCTCCGTCTCCTCAAGCGCCTTGTTCAGCTTGAGCCACGTCGACACCAACACCTTACCTCGAAGCTCCTTAACTCCAGGTCGAAAATTTGCTTATCCTGCAATGCGGCAGCATATGCCGTAGCCCGTCTGGCTCGCTGGCTTCCTCTGTGTCCACTGAAAGCAGAGACTCGCCCGCCAAGCCCGTCGTGAGCAGTCCGAGCCCGCCTCCCTCCGCTGCCTCTGCACTTCATCCGCGGGTGGCCGTACTCCTAGGAGTCAGCCGACGATGGCATCTTCCCCTGCTCGTCGGCCGGGCGCTCTCGACGGCTCCGGCAGCGTGGTGGGGCCTGCGATGCATGTTCACGTTTTTGGAAGAATTTCTACGCGACGATAATGGCGCTTTTTCCAGTTCGTGGGAAACAAACAGCTGGTTCCGTATCACCGAAGTCTTCTTAGCTCTGCTTTGGGTACGTTCTTCCTATGGAGTATAATGGGAGTCGGAGGAGAACGTCATTTTGGCATGTTGTCAGCATCTAAAGTTCTCCATCTACAGTGTATAGCGTCCGCATATCTCTCCTTCTTTTTCACTGATTCTCTCATGTCTCGATGGTAAGTAGTTCTTTCCTTTCTGCTTCGTCCAAACATGCCCTGAGATATAGCTCACACGACATGGCAAATCGTAGGTTACTAAACTATACCCCTTCCGCAACGCTCGTTCGCCTTCTCACAATCAGCGCCAGTAATGCTTACATTACATCTTGGGTGCTCTACCTTTCGGGCGCTTCACAGGATTCTCGCCTGCTTCTTCCAGCTTGGATCTCCATCGCCAGCGTGAGTGTCAAAAAGCTATCCCAACCCAAGAGAAATCGTTTTGAGAATGTAACTCACAACAATTTTTGCAATTGCTAGACTCTTACCGTCCTTTATCACGTCACGCAACACCGAAGCAACATCAAACGAGAAACATCTGCATCTATAGGGGTCTTCTCCATTGCTAGCTTCATCAGCATGGTCGCCCTTCTCATCTTGCTGCATCTGGCCCGAGAGGATAACCTCGCAATTCCTCTTCTCCAGCTAGTCCGAAAGTTGTTAAAATTCATTGTCAAGACTCTTGCCAGACGTTTCAATGTTGAGGTGACTTGGGCACGTCCACGCCAAATGGTCTCATGACAGACCCACTCAAAAGCCGCTGGCGCATTCTCTTGTATCTACCTTGGAAACATAACATTTTTTTTATCACATGTCAAACATTGCATGCACAGTACCGTCAGTGAGCAAGACAATATTCATTATGCCAGATAACAGCAAAGTCAAATACCCCATTGAGCTCTGCAAAGCTTCCTGATTGAAGTAATAGCACAAGATAACTGCAACATGAAGGATCCCGCCAGTATATCCCATGGACTACCGCTATCAAAACTCCTGCTCAGAGGAATGACCTCATTACACGTTCTCGTCCTAGGGCCGGAATACCCTACCGTCGATAATGCTCCTAAGTGAACAAAGTCGACGATCCAAAAGGCGAGAGTAATGACACTCCACAAAGACACTGCTCTCTTTGGAGAGAGCGTCGGAAAGAGAGTGCTTTAGAAGCCATGGACCTGCAAGAGTTAATAGAGCTATACTTGGAATTGCTAATAATGTCACGAACCTTAATGGTCTTGGCATCAAGTCCAAGTCCATTCTGCTTGTCGCAGAGGAATTCTTGGGACACTTTGCGTTGATCGCCTTGGAGCTGAATCACTTCGCCCATGGTGACATCGTGGATGACAGTGCCATTGCAGGCTAATCGAGATCTGTTAGCCATATCTCTTAGAGCATGGGTTTCAAACGAAGAGTGAAGCATACCAAAGTCTTTCTTGATCTTCTTGAGAATTCTCTTCGGGTCAAACTTGGAAGGGATGCCCTGGACTGTAGTCAAGGTTTTACGGCCATTTCGCTCTGCATTTATTATAATGATCAATGTTGATTCAAGCGTGGCGCTAAAAGAACCAAAGACTTACGCTGAATACGAATGTGGATGTAATTATCCGTAGAGTCCTTGCTCTCACCAGAAACGCCTTCCTCGGCAAATGGGTCTAAGAGTTCGACGTCAGCAGTAGATTCAAACGACGATCGCAATCGAACGGTCTGCAGCGGGTCGAAACGCACCAAAGGTCTTGAAATTTTCAATCTCAATGCCACCCGACTCCTGTTTGGCGGCGGATTTCTTTTCAGAGGGCTTCTTTACGCTCTTAGGAGTACTAGATGAAGTGCCTTTGCTGTCATTCTCTAGCTGAGGGTTGCCCGTCGCACCTTCATCGGCGAAGGTATCTGAGGTAACAAAGTTAGTCGCGGCTCGTTAAAAAGGCATGATGCCAGAAGAAAAAAAGGATCCAGTGTCGAACAGATGAAAACATAAATAAATGAGCCGAAGCGCAAGTGGGAAATCCCCACAAATCGCAGGCGCTCAAAGGCAAGGCGGGGTACGCCCGAGGGTTTGAGGGGCGACGACACAATAGAATGGGAGTATTACCGAAGGTCTTTGGGTTTTCGAATTCGACTGACATAAAATCACGTTTGACGGGAAAGAGCAGATAAATTTATGTAAATGAATGTGCTGTGGTCTGGGACAGGAGATTTGTCCGAGAATGTGCGCTGATCGAGGGTTTGAAAACGTGGGTGTCGAAGTGAAGAATGTTGCGAAGAAGTAGTGAGTGAGGTAAGTCGCGTAGAAGGTGGGCGAAGAGTGAGTGGCGACCGGACGGGGAAAGGGTCAATGCAAGTGGCGAAGGTCTCGAATAGGGCCCCAAGTGCTGCTTTAAGACGAGGGGATAAGAGTCAGGAGCCTCGCGAGTCGGCTTCGCGAGGTCTACGGCGGCCTTTCCCAGCAACCACCGCAGAGTACTCCGGTAACCTGTAAGCATTCCCTCGCTTATACTTTGTACCTTCGTACGTTAAGACGTATCCTGCTGCCCAGCCCGAAACTGTATAGAGTCATCTAAAGTTTACCATCTCGAATACCGCAAGGCGTAACGTCTGCCTCGATCACTCTGGTACAACGGCCTGGAACCATCGAAAGAGCAGATTCAACGATAGGGCATCATCGTTTCTTTCCCAATTTATTAGCATACGAAGTAGTTGAACTCCAGTCTCTCCATAGTGCTTTAAAGCAGCGAGGAATATTCACGTGATAATGGGGGATTTGGGTTACACATATAATTTGCGACCGAAGGCTTGACAGGACTGGATTCGATCAGTACAAGAGATGAATTTTGATATTCTAATTTGAGAAACGTCTTAAGGTCAATTAAAATAGGTCAATGAATACCGAGGAGAATTTCCTACTCTTACGAAGGACACGAACATCCAACAAATCTTATATGGAGTAGCATGATTCTGAAAACAAGGCTACTATAAGTAAGGTGACAACATTAATGATTTAGCACTAAAATCAACCTTGGTTGTTCCCAAAACACACACGGCAATTCATCAGAGGTCAATATCACTTGTGTAACACATGAGCAAGAAAGAGATTTCATCAACTCATTTTCAATACCTCAAATACCTACTGGAGATAATGGAGAGAGAGGTACCATGTATAATTTCGGCCAGTATCATGATCGTTCTGCCATGGGCCCCATGACGCGGATCTAGTCCCGCAGATGTAAATTGATAATGTAGCCTTTCCTTCTTGGTCTTTAGGCGCTCGGAAGGCCCGAGTCGTTACTTGATACAGAACTCTACTGTTGAGCAGCTGCGAAGCATTTGGGGCAGGCCGACATTATTCGCAGGGAAATTCCACAGTACTCATATGCTCACTATAATTTGAGTGCTTTTGGATGCAGAACTCCTAGGATCATTGCAAGCCACGTCGTTGTGGTGACATGGGTATCTGAAAACCTTACATATGATGGATCACGTGTGAACGATCCTATCTCTGGTCAAGCTTATCGACCGTGTAGTTACCTGCAGCAGGACAACAACATAGGATTGGAACCGCATCAAAGCGCCATGACTGTATATTTTTGCAAGATTTTATATTATGGTTCAATCACCTGAAAGATATTGTACAACAAAGGGTTACTTATGACCGATTCAAGTCTGCCTGCTCCATAATATCTGGTGTTCCACGATGAAATCAACGAGGCGGGCCGGCAAGGGCACGGTTGCAGATGAAAGGACACCGCAACAGGGACGCAGTGACGGAACTCGGACTACTGAAGATGATTATCCTTCACCACCCTTGATGCCAAGTAGGCCAGGAAGCTATCATCATCTCAACTTTCCTTTGCAAAACGGAACCCGTGGACCGGCCAAAATCGCGCCAGCTAAAGACCCAAGCTGGATGAGACCGTATATCCTCGAACCGCCTGCTGAAGCCACCAAGCTATCATCAGAACGTAAGATACACTCCGTTGTGGGACTAAAAGACTTTACTGAAAGTTGATAGGAACCGCGGATATTTTCCCATGGGCGGGAAATCACCCAGAAGATGTTCTTTCGGACCAGGCCACAAAACAAGGCTATTATGACAAGGTCTCGATTTCGCAGAATGAGACGGGTACTGGCCGGACATCGTTATGGCCGATTATAAAACACAAATCTGGTCTGCAGATTTTGTCGTCATTATTTGTTTCAGTCCTTGAGCAACGACAGTCAAGGGGCCGAATAGCATCTGCATCAACTTTCAAACCACCTCCACGAGTCACATTGACGGATGCTAAACGGGAAGCATGGCTGCGTGATCTCGCAAATCCCTCCGTTCCCCTTCGTCGACTCAGTCGCACAATTCCTCACGGTATCAGAGGCCGAATGCTCCTTGACCAGTGTCTGAGTAAAGGCATCCCCACTGCAAGGGCGGTTTGGCTGATAAAGTGCGTTGGCGCCAATGAAATCCGGGCGTTTAAGAGGAAAGGGGTCAATGGTGCTTTTGTGATGGGCGGCGAATCTAAATACTTCAGAGATTGGACCGTTTTGGTGGAACAATTCATGGACAGTCTTATTGCAGAATGCGCAACTCCCGGATGGAAAGACAAGGCGACGTACACGTAAGTCACTTTGCCGTTGGATTCGTCGCTGCGATTCTAATTTGATGCTCACTCTCTAGAATACGCCTTTGCGCTCACCTCTACACTGAGTGCCTTCTTGATAGGAGTCATTATTTTGACTGGCTTCTGAAGTCGCTGGAGATCTGTACTTTAGATGCACTTCCTATTTGGCTGCTCATTATACAGATTTTCTGGGATGATCTCGTCCGCTCACGAAAGTTTGCAAAGCGTCTTGGCGAAGCACTGCTCTGTAAATTAAGCCAGGTGCGTCTATAAACACGTGGCTTGGTAATATATTGCTAACTGGTCGTAGGACTCGTCAGCGGTCGACGAAAATATTCTTGCTCCAGTCTTGAACCTTGTATCTCAGTTGGTATTAAAATTATTGACGGATTGGAGTCGTTGCTTCATCATGCCCACTAAATGGTCGGAGTACCGGACAACCTTGCTTTCGTGCATTGAACGAGCCGAATTCGGTGCCCCCAAATTGCATTCAACCTTTCGAAACCTAGATGAGAGAAACCAACGGCTTTTGTTGGATGGCTCGTTGCGAGACAATGTTGCTGCGAATTCCATTCCCAGGAAGCTCATTCAATTCCTCGACTCGCTGAGCCCGAATTTTGCAGTCGAAGAGATCACGCCTCTGTGCCTCAATATCGCTCAGGATCCGAGACAGGCTATAAATATTCTCCTAAAGTGGGCATCGACTCCTTATAGAGAGGAGTTATATCATTTGTTCATTGCCGTGCGGGTTTTGCGACAATTGCATGGTAATGGGATAGACATCGATAGCGCAATCCTGGATTTTCTAGCGCAGAGTCGCACTCTCCATGAGCTGCGGAAGCAAGACGTCTTTCAAATCATATCGGAGCTCGTGAGCTCTAGAGACTTTTCTGTGGGCCGGTACCTACAGTGGATAATTGCGCGTGGCGGTCTCCTTACCTATCAGGCTATAAATGATGTGCGTGATGCGTCCACGATAGCTTAAATCCTCAGCTAACGAACATTTAGAATGCCCCTTGCGATGTTCGACTTCTCGCAGAGTTGCCAACGAATGACTTACCAGCGCATCTCATCAACCTCAGACAAATGCTGCTTGCTGGATCTGAATGTGATGTCTGCAAGGAGCAACACATTCTAGCAGAGGCGAAAAGCTCTATTTCCGCACTGATTTCCCGTCTTGCGGAGGACGATTCCTCCATGGGAGCTACTCAACTTATTGGACACCCTGACTTCGCAAGTCTCAGTAGAGGCATGAAAGCTGAGCTGGGAAACTGGCTACGGCAGATGCTTGCGGCGCAAGTCACTGAAACAGATGCGTAAGCAATTCGATCCGCTTTACCTTTTTTCATGAAAGCTGACCTGAAAGAATCATTGTTGATAACAATTGGACTGACGTGGTCAACCAAAAAATCACATCAGAAATCACATTTCCCCAATTCTCAACCGTCAGGACGATATTAGAAGTGTTCAATGAATTTTCCACACTGGCGGATGTGCTGAAGATCGTCTCCATCTCAGAAGACCCCACTGTCCTAGCATCCGTGGCCGACACGATCAATTACCATTTCAAAGTTTTTGGCGCCCTTGGCGTGCTAGGATCTCTTTACGAAAGTCTTGTAGATCGCTATCGTCTACTGCGAGGCCTCGGCTCACAATATCTGATTTTACTCGCTTCTCTGCTCGAGATCATGCCCAATGTTCCTGAAGAGGTCAATTGTGCTTCTTTTCTGTTGCTGGAGCGATCATTACTGGACCAGAAGTTCCAAGCGAACGCATCTTCTCCCGTCTCTGATCACGCTGCAGATATGCTCCAGGCTGGCAACTATGAGGGGCTCGTCGAGGTCGATCGACTTCTTACCAACGGAAGTAATATAGACAAGCTTACTTTCGCCCGCCTCTTCGCAGCTCTCATTCAAGAAGTGGAGTTGTCTTGGGCAAAACCTAACAATCCGGGTGAAAGGTGTGCGCGGTCTTTGACGACATTGCGGCGTTTTGATTCTTGTCATTTCGATGAAATGATTGAAGAGTGGCTGGATGGATTGCTCCTTTCACGAACGCGACCGGATCTAAATGGCATTCTCCCTGCCCTGATAGGGGCTGGTTGTTTCTCTCTTTCCACAGTCATAGTCGCTGCGCGGAAGCGCATTGAGGAAGTAGCTTGCGAACCCAATGTGGCATTCATTCCAGCCAAAATCGCTCTAGAAACGATATCACTTTTGCTTCAACAGCCAGACACATCGACATTTTTCTATAGCTTCGTAAGTAGAAGGCCTATATAGGTGCAGATACAGCCGACTTGAAGCTGATTTTTTTTTTCTCTCAGAATCTCTATCGATTTCTTCTCGAGCAGCGTCACTTTGTTGATGAGCATGCGGCAGACATATTGCACTTTTTTGAAGTCACTGTTCATTTCGGTCTCAACAACGACAAGCAAGAGATATTTCATGCTGCGGAAACTCCGCCATTTGAGTCATTGTTCTCGGTGTTCATGAGAAGGACATTGTTGGCTCATCAGGAGGATTTTCGTCGATGTGCTATTGCAGAATCAACTCTGAGTCAAACGCAGCTCGCTTCCTATCTCGATCAAGCGCTCAACATCTTGTTTGTTTCATGTCATTCTAGTGGTAAGAACCATGGTTATCGATTTCGCACTACGATATCAGTTTAACCAAATGGAAAAACAGATCTGTCCGGCATTGACTTGGAGAGTCAGCTCCAGAGCATAAGTCAGATGGTTGACCCATTCAACCTCCCATTTTGCCAGCTTAAACTTCTAGTTGCCTTGCGCTCTGTCGACTTATCAGCAGAATCAGGATGTGCTCCAGAGTACTTAGTTCGACACTTCCTTGATTCCATAGGCTCAGATAATCAGCGAGATTCAGCGCTATGGGCGGATCTATTATCTGGGCTCTCTGATGCACTCGTCACAGAAGTAAGTCTGCCATTTTGTGAATTCGGTACTCAGACATACTAACGTTAATAGGTCCGCGAACAGGCATTGAAAGAAATGCTGTCCACGATTCCGTCTTCCACTGACTTGGAGGGCCACTCGTCCTTCAAGTCACCGTGTTCAGAAGAAAAGTTTGAGATGTTTTTGGGTTTAATCAAGGCAACTATGATGAATGCTATCGAAGGTGGAACCCAAACATTCTTGAATTTACTCATTGAAAAATTCGGCGCAACACTTCAAAGACTTCAATCTTCAGATCTTATTTCGGACGTCGATGCGAGCAAGGAGAAGATTTCAAATGGAAACTGGCACTTTCTAGGCGATTTGCGTCGCTGGTAAGATCATGCCTTGAATATAGTTAGCCGTTTCGGGTCCACTGACGCTTTTGACTCCAGGATCATCACTCTTCTTCGGCTGGTACTGATTCACCATGGGTCATTCCGAAATGAAAAGGTTACAGCAGTGGACAATACCCGTCTTGCCATATGCATGGCTTCTCTGCTCATAGACGACGTCTTGCAGCAGGACGCAGAGTTGCTTCAATTTCTTTTTGACGTTTTAGCCACACTTGTTGACGGTATGGGATGAGCATCTTCTTAAACAAACTGCATGTTATGATATTCTGACTCGCATGCAATGACAGAGCTCTCCGATGACGCACGCATTAATTGTATCAAATTCTTCCAGTCTCAAATCAGCGACTGGAGGCTCCAATACCTTTTTGACTACCATGCAGGCCCAAATGCATGGCTACATGCTTCGTCCAAAGGAAAACTTATTCCATACCCACTTCGCCCTTGGGAAATGCTGGCAGAACCCACCCCAAATGTCGGCGATAATGACGCCAGTCTGAATCTGACCGCATTTCAGGCGAGAAAAATTTAAGAAGCGGTATAGACAGCCTTCTTTCCAATTTTGCCACTAGTTAAGCATAGCGCATTCTTATTTCTCACATGTATTTTCAGGTGGGCTAATTTAGAGAAACTTGTTCAATTTTGGAAAGATGTACACCCAAGCCGGATACAAGATGATCAATGTACCTTCAATCTTGAATTTCTCTTTCTCGGAGTTCAAAATAGAGCGCTCGTGCTTGGTTCATTATTTTGTCATAATCCTTCTGAGTAGCCATCTATCTCGTGATTACTCCACCAAACAATTTCGAGGGCAGAAATTCTCATCTGTAATTTTCGATCCTTTCTATTGGGTGTCCCTGAGCTATTAAGTCCTTCAGGGTAGCTGAAAGCTTTGATATCAACCGTGGAGCAAAGGCAGAGAAGGGAGAGAAACTGCTTCCACTGAGCCAGGGACGTAGATTTTGCATCTTATTCGAGCTTCAGGAATAGATAGCTTGCATAATAAGCATAATTTTTCTCGGATGTTCGAACGTCTATAGTTGGAACATTCGACGGCTAAAAACAAAAAAAAATGTTTTGGATCTTGAGAAATATTCCTCGAAAATACATTCCTTCATCTAAGAAAAACGAGTATCGGTGACAGCGAACATTGCAAGGCTATCCCTAGAATAATTCATTATTCTGTAACCGGGGCATGCATGAGAGCAAAAGTCGTCTTCGAGCCAAATCGTGCTTGAAACAAGCGAAAAATAGGGGAGACTAAGAGACAAAAGGGGCATGAGAAGTGAACTTGATATACTGCAAAGAGAGGCGGAAATAATCATTATTCAGTCATCATCAAATATCTGGTATGTGTTCTGCAGGATAGTATCAATGACCCGCACTTGCCATCCTGCGTCGGCAATATTAGGGCCCGTATTTGAGCCCATGAGTGTAGGACTAAATCGATAATGAGCTTCGGAGTAATGCTATGGGAGAGTCTTATGGAGAAAACGTACCCAAAGCAAATAGCCAGGTTCCCAGCATTCATACGGTTGACATGTGAATGTTCTTGCACTCGGTTGAGATGCTGGTGGTGTCAGTTAAATACGTTGAACAGGAGCCCAGTAGTCACATACAATAATCAATGCACGCAAGGTAGCGTAATTAGGATCTGGTAGACTGTTTACAATAGCATGCAACGAATCTCTCCGAATGATATCATCGTCAACGCCTGAGAGTCATTGGTTAGTCTGGGCCCAATTTTTTTCCCGCGCCTCGTACATACGCGCTGCGTTGATGAATTCTGCATAATGCTCAGTAGTCATCAAAGGCTCTGGTAAGTCTCGGAAGAATTGCTTCAGTAAACCGGCGACGCTATTGACATCGTGAAAGAAGTTCTCCGGGTTCCGAAAATCGACTTGAGAAGAATCTGGGCAGGTGTCAGTCGTGGTGATCGTGGACATAGCAGGGACTTGAATCTTCCATACCATTATCAAAGATTGCCTTGAGCTTTGCAATGTGTGATGCGGTGCCAGAGAGTCGATAGATGCCCTCAAGATCGAGTCCGAAAAGATCAACGGCTTGAAGACATTGGTAAACAACCATGGGTACCGCAGATCCATCACGTCGAAACAACTCATCCAACGAAACTCCGAATACCGGCTTTAATGGAGGAAGCTCCCCGGGGTACGGCGCGGAATGCCCACCTGGTGTCGTTTGGTCCGCGAATGTAGGCTGGAAGCTGGATGGTCCCGGAAGAGACGTGACACCGTTACTTCCCCCCGGGTATTGTGGCTGGTGTGCACCTACGAGACTCCTGTCCACTGGGGATTGTGCGTCCGGTCCGCTTCCTGATAGAGGAACGTGAGTGTTCAAAGTTGTTGAGAGCTGTGGAGCGGTTTGCATTGCTGAGCCAGCACCGGATGGCGAGCTCAAGAGCAATTGCGATTGACGATTTGCAGCCGTCGACATAGGCTGCTGGCCAGCAAGAGTCTATAAATTGTCAGGCTTTTTTCCTTGGATGAGTCCAGAATGTGCTTACTAGATGACGCTCGTAGTTGATTTCCGGGCGTTTGGGGGGAACTTTCGACAAAAAGCTGAGGATATAGGAATTAAGGTCTCCGTCATTGTCAATGAGGTGAAAAGCTTCACGAAGACTCCTTGGTTGCGCGTCTTGACTCTGTTCCTGTTGCTTCAAGGGACTAAGACTTAGTCCGTTGTTAAGCAGCAGTTTCTCGTTCAAAGAAGCTGTACAGTATCATGATTCTCAGCAGGAAGTTGGAGAGAGACGGCTGGGTAAGGACTGCGCACCAAACTTTTGTAACTGCAGGGTCAAGCCTGCATCGCATTCTGATATTAGAGACATCAAAGCTCGGACGGACTGGGGTCTTAAGGTAGTGATAAGCTCTTGCCGCTGAGCACGTGCAGTGTTGACCTTGGAGGCATAGTCGGTATCAGCTGCTTGAACCTTTTTGAGAAGGTCCTCCTCATGCTGAGCAGCGGATTTAGGGCCTTTGAGACCGAAAATCTTCCCTGATTGTTTGTCGCCAGTACGGACGCGGTCATAGTCTTCTGCCAAAGAATCGTACTTGGCTTTGGCCTTCTCCATAAGGTTCTCGGAATCTTGGGCCCGTTTCTCCGCACTCAAACCAGTTTGCTTCCATGGCTTCCTCCCTCTTTCGATGTTTGAAGTCATATCCGATAGATCTTCCTGCATCTGATGCAGGGAAAGAACAAACTGAATACCGTTCTCGGACATGCGATCGAATATGCGAATCATCTCGTCGTTTTGTTGAGCAAATGAGCCCTGTCGATGTTCGGGTCGTCTAAATGATTCGTGCGTTGACTTGCAGAGTTTCTTTAGCCCCTGGGCATACTCCTCTTCCAATATTGACCTTTTCTTTAGGAATGCGGCAAAGTCCTAGGGATTCTTGAGCGAGGCGGAACCAGTGATAAAATCCTTAGATACGTACGCGTGCCGAGGCAATACTTTGTTTGAGGCGTTGTAGTAAAGTCGCAACGCCAATCTTCGCACCGATCAAATTAGTCTTTGTTTTCCCTGGGGTATTAAGTGTACTCACATCGGAATAGATGACTTCGTCAATCAGCTGCGAGGCTTGTGTACGCGTGTGTGATGCATCCACCTCCGCGGGGCCCGATTCCGGGACGCCATCCGCCGGATGAGCATCATTTGAGGAGAATAGTGGTTCGGGTGACTGGCGGGGCAAGTCATTATCATCCGCCATGATAAATCTTTGATATGAGCAAAGTCCGCTCTAACTTGACTCTTGTTCTTGATACACACAAGTGATCCTTCTGTCGTAGGAGCCAGCTATCGGGAGATTCAGTACCTCCAGGGTACGTTATGGAGTACGTTAGACGAGCCGCGGAGCTATCCGCAGCATGGGCGGCAATGTAGCCATATCGGTACAGGCGCAGCAAGTACATCAGTGTAAATTAGCGTCATCCCCATGCCACAAGGAATGGCTGATGCGCGAGAAGAGGGTCTCTGACGCCTCCGTTTGTCTCCTTATCCGCGGCATTTAGTTGACTATGGTTCCCACTAGCCACTACGAATATCAGTTATCTCATTCTCCTCAGCTGGCATGTTTACCGGAGAAGGCAAGGTTGCTGTAAGGGTCTAATGCTAGCCAAGAAAAAAATTGAAAAATTTCCGCCGCATGCATAAAGTGTTGTTGGAGCTGTTGAGGTATACAGACGAGCTTGTGAGAGTCTGCCCTAAGAAAACGTAATCTTGAGTGAATCTGCTGGCTCACTAAAGAGTCATGAATAAAAAGCATTTCTTACGAAGTACCAACCAATAATTGTGAGAGCGGTGTGTATCGCTAAGTAACTTTAATTCACTATCATTCACTTTTAGCGACTGATACTGAATTTGCGGCATGTTCCGCTCCCCATACTCAGCGATGCCTCTCCCCGAAAGTCCCTGGGGCCGCGAAACAACCTAATACAGAAAGGTGATCATCGCCTCAATACTTTGAGCTCTCCAGTACCGTCGCGATCAATCTTAAGTTTCTTTTTCTTGCAAAGAATCTACAATAGAAAAATAACTTGTCATTTGATTTCTTATGTCAGCTTCCTGGTGAGATTCAAGACTTCGCCTCTACAGTTCGGAAGAGTTAGGCCAAGTGGGGAGTAGTATTCGAATCCGCCAACACATTGGCTGAATTTCCTTGACCTCCTCACCTTGGATGGCCTTGTAAGCTTTTGTCTGGGCACAGGGCTATATTTGACCTCTGGAGCTTCTTTGTACCTGAGATAGCTAACTCTTCCATTCTCCAGTTAATCTCTTCTCACTCCGGTGGTAATCTATTCATTGATCTGAATCGACATTGACATAGCCGGAGAAATGGCTGCAGCCCCGGCAACACAATCTTTGAAGGTAGCGTCTACCGGTTTCATGTTAATATCACAGCAACTTTGGCTGATTAGGTTGTGACAGTGTGTGGTCACCGGAGACGGTGCGGTTGGAAAGGTGACTCTTGCGTGAATCAGTTTTCGATACAATTTGTTGATCTGGAAGTAGACATGTCTCCTGATCTCATATACAACTAATGCTTTTCCTGGAGAGTATATTCCCACGGTGTACGTATGATCTTAGCCTATTTTGCAACCCTCTCAAGTCATAGGATTAACAATCAATTCTCAGGTTCGACAACTATTCTGCCAATGTCTCTGTTGACGGAAGACCTATCAGCCTCGGGTTGTGGGATACTGCGGGACAAGAAGATTATGACCGACTTCGCCCTCTCTCGTACCCTCAAACCGATGTTTTTCTGATCTGCTTTTCCGTTGTCAGCCCTGCCTCATTCGACAACGTCAAAGCAAAGGTCAGCAAACCGTTTCCGTGACAGCAAAGACATGCTGACAATTTAACCAAAGTGGTATCCTGAAATCTCACACCACTCACCTAATGTTCCAATCATCCTAGTAGGAACTAAATTGGACTTGAGAGAGAATAATAATCCGCAGCAGCGGATGCTGCCCAAGGAAATGAAGCCAAAAGAGTTCGAGGACGGCGTGAATTTGAAAACAGAAATCAAAGCTTACGATTACGTTGAATGTTCTGCCTTGACTCAGAAGAACCTCAAGCGTGTATTCGATCAGGCTATCAGGTAAACAAGGTTCCATCATGTTATCAAAGGAAAATACTCATGTCTATCCTTGGCAGGGCTGTCCTCGATCCCCGACCGTTGGCTCCGAACAAGAAGAAGTCCAAATGTGCTATGTTTTAACGGGTTTTTGTCCAGTCTGATCATTTGACGGCGTTATTTAACGTGAGCTGGGGCAGTGGCTTTATATTTTTTTTTTTTTCTATTTTGTTCTCCTCTTCAAATCAGCGCAAGCACGACATTGATGGAAAGCATTGCATTTGGTCAGGCACTTTTACCCACAAAGGGATAACGTAGATAGCGCTTCTCACACGCCTTCTCTAAATTATTTGCAGCGTTGGTGACGGTCTCTCACTCTTAACTTGATTGTCTTCGCTTTAGGAGATGCCATGGTCACTCCACATATGAGAGCGTTGTGGATTTTAGCCTTCCCATGTACATATTTCAACATCCCAAGCTCATGATGATTGCATCCGACGCTGGCCGTTTCCCGCGCACGTCTCCATTGAGTGTTCTCTTGTGAGTTGCGCACTCAGGTCGAAAAGCGTCTTAAAGCAGGTTGGACCTCAACCGTACCTTCATTTGCTTGTTTTTATTCTCCTTCCGTATTTCCTAATCGCCTGCATATAGCCAGAAACCTTTACTACGTAATTGATCAATTTACATGTTGGGTTAAAGATACGCAGGTGTTTTACCAGCAAATTACTGAGCCGGCTTGCCATCACTCAGAACGTGAAGAGCTGCTATTTGCGCTTCCCAGCGGTACTGATTGTGCTTGTTCTAGATAGTCGTCGAGCCTATTAGATCCTTTGAACTGACGTGGAAAGCAAGAGCACCCGGGCTACCCTAAACAAAACAATTGCTTGCTGTATTCCAATGGAGAGAGACCTTTTCACATGTTCCGTCTAGCTTGCTTGGTCCCAGCTTTCAAGTGCGAATTAGACCCTAAATTTAACGACGCTTACCCAAAAGGGGTGACCTGTGCTGCATGTATCTTTACACTACCAGTCTACCCACCGCGCATTCGCGTTGGTGGCGCGTCACCTGGAAAAGCTGTTGGCCATTGCCAGGTATGTACCTATGTTTATTCCGTCGATAATAATCGCTCTGCAGTGAGAACAAACTAATCCGACGTCAAGAAAACTCAATCCATCTCGTCAATGACAGTGATATAAATATGGAAACCGATAATCCTGAAAGCTCTCATCATTTTCCTGACGAAACAATCCGAACACCTCTAATAAACGTGCGCTAACCTCTTTCACGGAATCAACAAGATTTTGTCATGACAATTTTCTGATATGGATCCTAGGCTCGCTATATGGCAGAACTTATCCAAAGGCCTGTCACTCCGAAGCATCGTGGTTCTAGTATTGGGCCAGGTCCGTCAGTGCCCCGGCCCGCCTTCCGCACACCGACTGCAAGCAGAACTATCAGGCAATCCCGAGGCGGCGAGACGGCTCCATTAACGCCGCATGCTCTGCGCGCTCTGGAGAAACGCCGCGCAGCAGCACTAACTCCAGGGCGTGCAAGACGGCGGAGCGGTTTTGTCCAGAGAGAGACGCCTCGGGATTCTCTACGTACGCTCAGTAAACGTATGTCAATACTCCGCCATCAAATTTCAAAGCCGGTGGTCATGGGCTAATGTCACAAGTTCTTGCGCGGAGTACCAAACCAATCGAGCCATCGCCCAAGCCCCCTAATCTTCGCACTGAAGAGGGACTGCGATTACACATCCCGGAGGAGTTCGAAAAGGAAGCAGATCCTCCAAAACCAAGAGTCTCTTTGCCTCTCGGCGAAGATGATGATGATGATGACGATGATGACGACGAACCTTTACCCCCTCCTCCACAACTCTCCAGCGAGTTTGATGATGATAATTATACGATCCAGTCCGTCGAACAACCAAGGAGAGCTGCCAGCGAGCAGCCGTTTGGCCGACTGTCAAGGGCGAGCTTTGGAAGCCTCCGTCTGAGCGATCGATTCGCCGATTTGGATGATCTCAGCCCTGGCTTCGGGCCCGGCGAAGACGAAAATATGGAAATGTTCCAGCTGCGCTCAGAGGAGATACTAGATAGCGACCCACAATACAGTGATTTTCAAAATATGGGCATGGACGATTCTCTGCCCTTGAGAGATAGTCCTCTGGGAACAAGGATCGTGCAAGCCCCACGTTCCAGCGACATTATTCCGGCAATCGTCCCGGACGGCGACGAACCCAGCTTTGCCTTTGAGCTCGAGCAACTTCCGGCTGAGGATTTCCCGTTTAACAATGCAGAAGAAGAGTCCGAGGCGGAAGATAACGCTGCAGGCGTCATTGTGCCAACGCCAGAGATTCCAAATGTTGGAAGGAAAACTCGGCCAATTCGGATGAAAAGGCCGTTGAAGGTCTCTAAGTACGGACTAGAGTATCCCCCTTTACCGCCAACTCTTGTGAGAAAGCTAGCTTCTACATTCTCTCGGGTGAACGGTAGCTCCAGGGTGGGAATAGACAAGAAAACTCTAGATGCAGTCGTGCGCGCCAGCGATTGGTTTTTCGAGCAAATTAGCGACGACTTGGGAGCATACGCAAATCATGCCGGCAGGAAAACAATCGATGATACTGATATGGTTACATTAATGAAACGGTAGGCACATATTCGAGGGAATTGGTCCCTTGATACTTCAAATAATTCGACTCACTAACATGTTTAACTTAAAGGCAGCGACAAGTGAATACTAACATGACGCCATTTTCCCTAGCACAAAAGCACCTTCCCAGAGAATTACTTCAAGACATACGAATGCAGCCTCCCAAGAAATCACGAAAACGAGAGCGTCGACATCTAGAAATAATAGCAGAAGAAGAGGAAGAGGAAGGTTAATCTACTCCTACTTTCGTATTTCACCATTCTTTGTTTTGGCGTACTCTTCGGGCAACCCCAGTGGGAGGCTTTTTAACGACCATCCACAGCATGACGGAAGTGGCTGCAGCAAGCGCATACCTATTGTGGACGATTAGCGATGTTCTTCAAAATTATCTTTCTCGAGCGGTAAATATCAACTTCGAGCGGGCCTTTGGGGCATGAATAGCATACCATGTAAATATGTACTGGGCATGGTTATTTCGAAGATTAACCTCTGCCGCACGGCCAATCGGTATACCTTTTGCTTCCCTATCATATGCCTTTAAAAGATCGGGTTCTACCCAAGTGAGCACGTTGTCAAGCTTTGTACACAAATGATAGCTTACCCATGGTCTCTTCAATCCAAACAGGCTGGCTGCCAGTAAGCTTCGCCATCTGCTCCACATCAGGGAAATAAAATTCTCCCAGCTCTGGCTTGTTGTCTGGGGTAAACATGTTTTTCTTCCACGGCTCTCTTAATAAGCCTTCTACCGTTACCTCTTCCGTGGGCAAGCCTTCCTTTCTGTCGGCCTGTCGTTTGAGGCTCTTGGGAATCCACCCACGGTTCACTAAAATTGTTGTTCCTTCATCCCCCCGCTCGAGAGGTGTAATTACCATGTAGCCATTGTTGCCATCGTGCAACCGTGGGCCGATGAGCATCTCTTGGTCATGTCGAAAATGGCCAGTCGCGAAAACTCTTCTATAGTCAAACTCCGCAATTGCTTCAGGATTAATGTTGGGCGGCAGAGGCAACGGACTCCGCACAAGCCGGTCTTCGAGCTTTGCAATCAACTTAGTCTTCCAATCTAGTCGTTGAACCTGCCATGTCCCAAGAGCAAAGGCCGTTAGGGGAATTAATGCTAATGTGCTCGTTAGCAGTCAAAATTCGCCTGCGGAGCATATCGCAAGGTATGGAAGCACAGAACATACCGAGGATTATGAGGCCAGGACCATGCTTTCTTCCACTCCTGACAAGATTCGGAGGGTTATCAACGATCGATGTGAAACTGGGATCATCTGCCGGCGAATGAATGGAGCGTGTTTGGACAGCCAGTCCTTGCCCGCATTTTGGGCATTGAAGACCGTTGCGGAGAAAAGTGCGCGATGCAAGGTGATTTGACCTCCGAAAAGTACGGGTCAGCAGAGTAGAGGCGTATGCGCTCGTCATGGCGATTGATGAGAAATGTGCATTGGTAGTTGTGAAGTCAGAAGAATATGTTCGCCAAAAAGGGAAAGTTGCTTGTTCGACCATCCGCCTCGGACCCTTCCGTCATATACACTTCAGCTCCGTTGCTAGTAGCGAGTGCTCGATTAGAGTCACAAATGATAGATTGCAGGTCCATAGCGACTGCTTGGCCGAAGTAATTGGTATTTCGACAGATTGGATATATTTCACAATCCTGCATCAAGATGTTCTTTCAAGGTGACCTTCAAAGCGGCATCTTATCGGCCCTTCAATCCTCTAAGCTGGTCGCGTGTTTGGTTACAGGTAGTTCTTTCCGGTGTTCTCCTCGTGCTCTGTCAGCAGGTTGACCTGAATTAGATGCCGGTCAGGAGAGTGAGCTTTGGGTGAATGAGTTCCTGCAAGGTGAAGAGGTGAGATAAGAGGCTATCCGTCGCCTGGTTGCACTCGACGCTGACGCTTGATTCGAGATAAGTACTAGGCTACAAGAATCAGCCGTGCTACTTCGCCTTGAAGCAGGTTCTCAGGAGGCTAGTTATCTTTCAGTGTTCTGTGCAATTGACCATGTTCCTACTTTGGTTATCATTCAGTAAGGGTTCTTTCTACTCTGCGGAGGAATTATTCACTAATTAATTCAAGCAACGGGCGTCTCCAGGAAGTTCTATCAGTTGGCATATCCAGACAGGAGTTTGTTGAGCGTATAAGAAAAGTCTTGACCAACTATCGGTCAGAAAATACAGAGGAAAGTGATCTTCCCACTGCCGACTCAGCCCCTAGTGGTGATCTCAGTAACCATCCGCCGCGTGACGCATCGTCAGTTTTGAGTGCCCCAGATCCTTCACGGGGACGTGCCATGCCGTCAACCGAAACAAGCGGCAGCAAGGACCAGCAAACGGATTCTAATCAAAGCATTCCGAAAAGGACCCCTCAAAGCCACCAAGAAGCGAGTAGGAAATCGAAGGATGGAGACCTCAAGTATGCCGAAGAACAACGGAAACTTCGTGCAAAAGCGGAGGAGGAAAGGAAGAGAGTTCTATTGCTAGTAGAGAACGATAGGTCAGAGAGAAGAGATCGGCGCCAACAACAAGAGAAGTTACGATTAAATAAAGAAAATGAGGAAGGCATCTCACATGGTCAATCTGAGGGAAAGTCTACAAATGCCACATTAGTTCCAGATACAGGAACGTGCGCGCTTCAGGTTCGACTTCTAGATGGGAGCACAATACGGTCGCGCTTTTCAGTGAACAGTACTCTCCGTACTGAGGTTCGCAGATGGGTCGATGAGGAAAGAATAGATGGCGATACGCCTTATTCGTTCAAAGTGATCAGGGCACCTTTTCCAAATCGGTCCATATCGATTACAGAGGAGGAGGAATCTCTGCGGAGCCTTGATCTAGTTCCCAGCGCAACCTTAGTGTTAACGGCAGTCCAAAAATTCTCAGACGCATACGATAGTGCTTCGAGATCACTGTTGTCCCGTGGTTTCAATGCTGGCTACGGCGTTATGGCATCCGGCTTTGGTTTTGTTGCGGGTACCTTTGGCGGCTTGATTGGGACTCAGAGACCGTCCGGTCACGGAGACGAGGCAACTGTCCGACCAGCCGCTCCAGATGACAGCTCACAAGAGATAGGAACACGCAGTGTTGCGCATCAAAATATTCGTACGCTTAGAACTCAATCTAGCAATCGCGAAGATGCTCAACTGTATAATGGAAATCAGGTACGTCTTCCCGACAACAATCATAGATGAAGTGACGCTCAGATATGTAGCTCAATTTCGAACCACAAAAGAAGGACGATTAATGAGAAAGGAAATGGTCAAAAGCATGAACTCTATTACGCCTAGACGCAAATTTCAGGCGATCTGAACAAGATAATTCAAGATGGCAATTCTAAGAGTTGTTGGATAGCTGAGAAGTTTCAATACCCATCTATGTCGTGGAGTGAGCAGAGATTGCCGTAGTTCCGCACCCCTCCATCTCATCTAGCTATTTTACAAGAATGATCACTATGCAGCCGTTTGCTATGCATTCCTAACAAAGCCCCAGTAATCGACATTACGGCAAAAGTCCATCAAATGAGTAATGCTCGAGCACTACCTTATTGATGGCTGGCAGCGAAGGACTGGCAGGCTTTCTATCCAGAGTAACAAACATCAGTCAAGGCCTATAGAGGGCAAGCTACCTGAAATTAATCACATACCAATTGTTCAAGATACCAACTGCAAATTTGCATGTTGCCCTGGTTCTCGTCCAAGCACTTTGTGAAGTTTTTGGCATCAACATCGCAACCCCGAGGGCCCCAGCTGCTGCTCTGGCTGGAAGCTTCCTGCGCAGGTGGGGCAGCAGCCTGTGCTTCAGCAGGCGCGCTGCTTGAGCCACCACTGAAGAGACCACCAATGGCGTGGCCGATAGATGAACCGACTGCGACACCGCTGTATGAAAAGAAGTCATATTAGTCGAATTCAGTAAGCTGAGAGCTGCGTAAAACCTACGCAGCGGTAGAGGCCATCTGTCCGAAGAGACCGGGACCCTGCGAGACGGGAGCAGGTGCCTGAGCCTGGGCCGGAGAATGCGCAGGGGCATGGGCTGGAGGAGCATGAGCAGGAGGAGGGTGCGCCGCAGTGCTAGCAGGCCGAGCTTGAGGCTGAGGCGGTGCGACATTCGGCCGTTGGGGAGCGGCCATGGGCCGCGAGGGCGCAGGGGCAGGTCCACGACGTTGACGAGGCATTTTGAAGAAAGGCTATGGGTGAAGAATTGATTGCTTGTAGAACAGGCGTTAAAACAATTGTGTTGTTGGAGAAGAGACAAGGAGGCAAGATTCACTTGGATGAGTTAAAGATGGAGTCTTATGACTGACGGTAGTAGCGAGTTTCCGAGGTCCAAGGCCGAGATGTTTTGCCCCCAGAGCCTAGCGTACTTATCGCCCCAAGTACGGAGTACGGTAGTCGGCTCTTGGTTCAGTTAACTTTCCTTTCAATTGTAGCGAAGAACTTCGGCGAACTACCGAGTACCTCCCCTCGCTCGTGGAATTTTCTAAATCCTGATTGGCTCAACAAATATATGTTACTGCAGTGACTACGAGATACAGCTGGTGACTTAAGGTCAAGAAATAGTGATCCTATTATTTTCTAAGTCAAGCTTCAGCATCGATAATTTGATTTCAGAAGACGTCTTCAAGTTTTGCTTGAACTTGATGATAATTTATTCCAAGATCGGAACAATAAACCTCATCACCAGCTCATTACTCTTTCTAATCAATTTTTGCAAAGCCTACATGGATCAGCCAGCCTGCAATTGTGATTTACGGAATATGAAAACCGTCCCAAGAAATCCAAAACCCGTATGAATATCCACATTCAGGCAATGTAAAAAAATATATCCCGATGAGCGCCTGCATCCTCAGCCCGGAGGCTCTCATGCAATTATGAACGTCTCAGTTATCATAAATTGATTCAAAGCCTCCCACGAAACGCCGATTAACCAAGCTACTTTCCCAAGGCCAAACCTGTGACTAGGCGTGAGATCGAGCAAAGATAGAACATTTATGGTATGTGCTTCACTCTCGTGCTCGTTTCTTCTCCTTCTTCGAGGGCCGGGAATGGGCATTCTCGATTTTCGGCAATGGCCCTTTGAGGAGCGCCTCGAAAGCTGCATTGTGGCTTTTTGGAGGCCGATTTGACTTCGTTCGAGCCGTTCCCTCAGATTTCACTCTCTTGGACTCAGCGCCTGTATTTCCTTGCTCAATCCCACTGGAATTCCCTTCTCCAGGACCCAAATCATTCTTTCTGTTGTTTCTACTCCTCCTTTTCGTGTTCGCTGGGACGTTCCCTCCTGGATTATGAAGGCTAGGCTCTCCGCCGCTTGTTGAAACATCATCCGGTTCCTGCACCAAACCCCCAGCATCGTCGGCTTTACGCTTGTTCGATAACTGCTCAAATTTGATGTGGGCTTTTGCCTTTTCTTTTGCGAGTCTCTCGGCCCGGTCAAGATCATACTTTTCGTTTCCGGACTGACTGAATGTAAGAATCCGCAAAATTTTATGACTGAGATTGGTAAAACATACTAGTGCATGCTTGACAAATCGGGCAGCCGCCTGCTTATCAAGACTTAAATTCTCTCGCTTGCTCCCACTTGTTTCGACGTGTTTGATCTTCTCGAAATAATTCCTAACTCGTGCTAATTCGTTGAAGACAGCATGTTCTCTGGCGTTCACGCCATTTAGCCGTAGATATGCTGCTCAACTACTTAGAATTACGGGGAAATATGTCAGGAGCAATTGTACATACAGAAAATGATAGATTCAAGAGAGTACGTGACGAGGACGTATAACTTGGCCTTGTCAAGTAAGGGAAGTTTTGCCGCTGTATCAGAAAGGGCCGTCTTGAATAAAGTTGCTAGTGACTGCTCCAAATCGTCGGCATTGTCGTCGAGTTGGTCCAGGAGCCCTCCCAAATTGGACGTGTCCATTTTATAACTTATTCGGTAGATTATTATCAATTTATGTCCGTAAAAAGACAGTGAAGGTTGAAAAGCCCTCAGAATCTATTCGCATTTAATTTAAGGTGTCTGTCTGAACTGGATAGTTCTCGAGGCTCACATGCAACTATGCTGTACGAGGATTTTGGAAGATTATGATGACTAATACATTACTTCCAGCCTATCATGTTCATAGTTTTGCGGAAGGCGCTCGGAGTTCTTGACTCAAGGCCGGGGGTGACAACTTCTCTCCGCGCATTCTACTTTCTCAATTGCATCATTTCAGCAATATTTTGTTTTACCAGCTAACTCTATTCAAACCCCAATACGGCGCGGTCTTCCAGCTATGCTGTGAAGGTGTGCAACCACCACCACGACAATAGTTACGAATCGCAATTTGCCGCAGTCACTCAATCTGTCTCCATACGCAAAATTACACCCGCTTTCGCGGGCACTGGCTAAAACACCGCGCCATCTGGCTTCGTGTATCCGCTATGAGCCTTGTGTGGCCGGCGGGGCCATTAACATTCCTCCCGTTCACCGCCGCAAGCTTTCCTGGTGGTCAGGGACCCGTGATGGGACATCGGATCAATCGTCTCAGGAAAATCAGCTCGGACAACCGGATCAAACTCTGAAGACGATATATATTCTCGGTCCTGGAAACATCGGGTCTTTTCTTGCGCATTCTTTGAGATCTGTTCCAGCTCCGCCACCCGTAACTCTCCTCTTTCATCGGCCGAAATTTGTCACACAGTGGAAGAAAGCGAACGAGACCATTTCTCTAAGGACAGACGGCATAATTGAGCATTGTAAAGGGGTGGAGGGACGACTTATTCGATCAGCAAATGGCTCTCCTTCCACGGCCCACGGCAATCAAGAATCGCGAGCATCAAACGAATCAAATTTAGGCGCAGGTGGAGACGGAGACATTTTGACCAGTTCCCGGGATGGAATGGACTTTGAAGAAGAGATCAAGCTGGACAATTCATTACTTGACAGAGACGATCCCATTTACAATCTTGTTGTGACTGTCAAGGCATCAAATACGGTGGCCGCGCTGAATCGAGTCAAGCATCGCTTGCGCCCAGAGTCAACGATATTATTTTTACAGAATGGGATGGGTGTGCTGGATGATGTTAACAAGACTATATTTCCTGATATTGAGCATCGCCCAAACTATATTCAGGGTATCGTTTCTCATGGTATATTTGCAAGCCGTGCCTTTTCCATTGTCCATGCTGGCCCTGGTACCATTGCCCTTGGCATTCTTCCTAGGCATCCTGTCGCCCGTCAGCAAAATCCTCGAATCAACCTTGATCAAAAGCACAGTGAACAATGGGCCCCCAGTTCTCGCTATCTCCTGCGGGCGCTGACACGCGTTCCTAAGCTCGCTGCTGCCGGTTTCCCACCCGCCGATCTTTTACAATTGCAATTGGAAAAGCTCGCGGTCAATGCAATCATAAATCCTCTGACGGTACTCTTTGACTGCCGAAATGGGGATATACTTCATAATTTTGCTTGCACAAGGGTTATGCGGCTTCTCATATCTGAGATATCGCTGGTCATTCGATCACTCCCCGAGCTTCAGGGGATTCCGAATGTCAACCTCCGATTCGCGCCCGATCGCTTGGAGAAGATGGTTTTTAGCATTGCTCGGAAAACTTCCTCCAATTATAGTTCAATGCTGCAGGACATTCGGCTCGGAAAAGGAACCGAGATTGATTATATCAATGGTTATATCGTGAAGCGCGGTGAAGAGATTGGGGTCAGATGCTTGATGAACTATATGCTACAGCAGATGATCAAGGGGAAGCAACAAATAAAGATGCGGGAGACTGTAGGATACGTTCCCTTAGATAGTGTAAGAAACCCGGGCCTAAAGGATGAAAGCAATTAAGCATCCTAGATGTACCTTTTACATTTCCATCGAATTAAGTATGAAGTGATCTTATCGCACCATTTCTTCTATCCTACATGTCAATATGTCCCTGATCTGCAACCATCTTTTCTGCAATAGCGTCTTTGGGCCAGATTGCGGGAGAGCATCAACTTTAGAGAGTGATTCGACCGTCTCGTCCAAAAATCTCTGGAGCAACCTCACGATGAATGCGTCGACCTCTCCTTGCTCATGGCCACCATCGTCTTTGCCATGCACGAACCTTTGCCACTTGTACCTTGGTAAGATCAGAAGTCGGACTGCAACTTGTGTGCGATAACAAACTTGGTCGCGGTCCAGCACATAGTTTCTACCGTGAAGAGATCAGAAAACGAGGAATTTAAATGGGGCGAAGGGGTCCCTTACCCTAGGAAGCCTGCTTGTTTGAGTTGATCTTTTTGCTTGGCGGTAAATTCTTGTAAAAGCAGGTGATCAAGCCGTAACTCATCCCAGGTATTCGTTTGCAGCAGAAAACCATCTATTTAAAACAATATTTCTTAGCAAAGTCGCCTCGTGTAGCTATCTTTGATGAGACTTGGCATACATTCTACTAGTAGAAAGTCATTGCTGTGATTTCCATATGATATATATAGCTCGTCGCCAGCCGCTTCCATGAATTAGCAAGCCATGCAATCCTCAAACTTGATATGATTTCAGTAGTCTTACCATAGTCTCTATCGCACCTGATCGTGTACCCAATGGTGTCAAACGACACAGGACACTTTCGAGATTAGTACAGTAGCAAATTTTATTATGGAGCAGGCGAGACAAACTCCTATGTCAGAGTGATTAAAGTAATCTGTGAATGGACACAGGGCCATACAGTCGGCCGCAGGGGGCTTCTTCTTTGCCCCAGGAGGTACATAATAGAACGTTCTTGTGTTTACAATGAGCCAGTGAAATGTGTAATCATCCCCCGTAATCTTCGGGAACTTGTGAAGTGCCTCTGCCGTGTCCGTTTCCAGTTTTTGCTTTTGGGCCTGGAGCAATTCTGCTTGATGGTTACCTAGCGCTCACAACATTTCAGCAACATATACTACCTTTGGCAAACGGCGGTAGAAGGTTTTGAGCATCTGAAGACCACATAATCGGCATGGATTCTTCAAAGTCTCGTTTCGAGGGCCACACAGCTCGCCAGGGCCCGTAAGGCACTGTTTTCAATCCAGCTTCGAGGGCCAAAGATGCGGCCAAAATTCCGTGGACCGTAGTACCCGTGAGCTGAATTCGAACCTCAGTGGACACATTTTTCGTGGCATATAAAGCTTTTATGGGCAAATATGCCACGACTTCTCCTGCCTATATTCCATCGTGGTGAGGGATGATCGTCCATGACAATGGAGGAGGGTAAACACGCACGGAAAGCTTCCTTGTTGCAACAATGCCTGATCCTCGGCCGGCTATGGTTGCAGGCTCGATGCCGTCGCACTTGATCCCCTGTTCCTGGGCCCATGTCAGGCAATGAGCATGCGTTTGTGCGTGGTCGATTTCCATGAAGCTTTACTTGAAGTCGGTAAGTTAGATTATTAGAGCTGGCGTAGACGAAATCCTTTCGGCATACCGAGAATGTGGGGTTTTCAAGCAAATTGCGGACCGAGAATTATACGACCAAAATGCAGAGGGAGATATTGCATTTTATGCAACACTCCGATCCAGATTTTAAAAGAGAAGAAGAAGCTACTAAACTTATGCAGACAACTTAATTAACTATCTGGTTGCCTCGAGCATTTTGTCTCGTCCCCAAGTTACGGGACGCGAGACTGTCAACATGCGTATGTGATTACGGCTCACATAAATAATATTAACTACTTTGACAGGGAGCAGGAAAGTGCTACAGATTCGCAGTAAACACATGAGAGGCTCGCAGGCCAGACTAGCAAGTCGATATTCTGCAGGTCTACAATATATTGAAAAGCCTCAGTATTGCGTGCTATAGTTACCTTTGGTGCTGAACACACAGTGCACTAGAGTACGAGTACCTACCTTAGCTATCGCAGTGCCGAATGTCTCCTGGGTCTAGGGAAAGTATCGTAAGAGATACAGTCACACGATCTTGAGTTGATAGCTTTTGGTCAGGGGAGGGGGGGAGGAAGGGCAGTAGACCAGGACGTAAGGTATAAGTTAGATTTGTTTCTACTCCGTAGTTGCGCCAGCAGAAGCACCAGCCGATAATATCTTATCGGCTGGCGTGATGAAGGCTTTGCCCAATTAATCACCCACTCACCATGGTCGACTTCTACAGTTGACTGAAGTAACTGGTACGACCTCAGCCACTTCTCCAGTCGTCCCCTTCTCTCCCCTGTCCTCAACCTCCTCATTGGCCGGCTCGCCTCAGTCGTCATCCCCCCCAAACCTTGTGTTGACTACCTACAACACTACGAATTGTACCCTACTACGAAGATCCGCCAGTTTGAAAACATCATCTAAGCTAGGGGGGGCTCTCATATTTCTTTTTAAACGTTTGTTTCACCTCAACATCCAAGATACTTCTTCTTCTTCTTCTTCTTCTTCTTCTTCTTCTTCTTCTTCTTCTTCTTCTTCTTCTTCTTCTTCTTCTTCGTCACTGTATTGTCTCGGTCAAGCCGTCTATTCCCACATCCGATAGGGTCGAGCGATCTGGAACCAAATTTAACTCCCCTATCCAAGCTAGTCGCAATCTCGCCCAAAACCCCATGACGGTCCAGCCAAATCGATGACCGCTACCGCCAAAACAACGTTTGGTATATCGATTTCACGTTCCTTTTTCCTATATCTAGGCGCATTGGGCGACATCGAAAACCGCCCGGCTTCATTGCTTAATAGTATAGCTCTGCTTCATTGATTGCCCAACACTCACGTCATCAACATAGCAAAGACGCTCAGGGACCCAGTTTCGATGAATTCCACATTCCTTGGCAACAGAGCAGCGGTTCTATCAATATTGACAAGTTGGTGATTGGGATCGTCAATGGCTACTGCTGCGACCATGCCTACAGATGCGAAGTCGGAGCCGACAGCAAATTCGCAGATGCTCGCCTCAACAGTAGAGGCCCGGACCTCGAGTCAAACACAAACAGCTGGGTCGAGCGGCGATGGCTCACAAGCGTCTCCCCCAGACCTGAGCAATGAGCTCGCAACGCTAAATAATAAACTCATCGATGCCATAAATCACCAAGCAAAGCTCGATGATACGCTGGCAGCAACACGAGCGGACTTGGATGCCGCAAGGAAAAAGATTCATAGCCTAGAAGCCCAAGGGCAGAATTATTCTGATATGATCGCGAAAGGAGTTCTCGTCAAGAAAGCTGATACTGAAGGCGAGAGGTTGAGGCTCCTGGCAAAGCTCGAAGAGGAAATCAGAATGAAGGATGCAGCGGAGAAAGGAAGAAAGGGTATTGAGCAAGAGCTAGAATCTTTGACCGCTGCTCTATTCGAAGAGGCAAACAAGGTAGAGTCAATTTCTCCGTTGTCAGACAATGGGGCGTATACTGATTCATGATACAGATGGTGGCTGCTGCTCGAAAGGACAGAGAAGCTGCAGAGCGAAAGAATGAGCAGTTGAGGTCTCAGATCAAGGACATGGAGGTTCTTCTTGCATCTCATCAAGAGCAACTTGCGGAGCTCAAGACTGTCATGCAGCAGATGAGCTCGGACAGAGATGAGACGGAAACAACGGCGAACGCTTCGACAGCGCCGTCGACGCCGGCCTTAGGAAACCAAGATGGTTTTGGAAAGAATTTTGAATCTCTCGGGCTCGCGCCAAATCACTCCGCCATGGAAGATGTGCCTGCTCAACCCTTGAGCTTTCCCCACCTTTTGCATCCAGTCCTTCGTACAGATCTGCAGGCTTATGATGACTTCCATGCCCTTCTTCAAATTTCAAAAACTGCGCCTCCTAGTCGCGCGTCAAGTGGTTCCTACGGCAGCTTAAATGTTATGGGGCTTCGGAATCTGGCAGCTCAAGCCTCTTCTACTTCCTCTGCAGGAAACAATCCAAATTCACCCTCGGCAACGCCATCCTCTGTCGGTCCCCAACATTTGTCATCTAGCACTCCAGCGACGCCTGTTTCAGCTGGAACAAGTCACCTATCTCTCAAGGATGGACCTCTTCAGCTTGTTTCTTTAAAAGAGACGCCCTTCTACAAACGGGCGTTAGTAGAAGATGTGGAGCCCACTTTACGACTTGAGACCGCACCCGGCTTATCGTGGTTAGCACGCAGAACTGTCGTAAATTCCATGACGGATGGCAGTTTGGTTGTTGAGCCAATCCCATCTGCTGCAAAACGCTATCCGTTCACATGTGCATTATGCGGCGAGAGCAGAAAAGGTGACGAATATGCCAGAACACATCGATTCCGGGTCAGCGAAAATGAGAGTGCCCAACGCTATCCACTGTGCACTTTCTGCCTAGCACGTGTACGGGTGACTTGTGATTTCGTTGGCTTCCTAAGGATGGTCAGAGATGGCCATTGGAGAGCGGTGGGTGAAGAAGGTGAGAAGGCTGCCTGGGAAGAATGTGTGAGGCTTCGGGAGCGCATGTTCTGGACACGCATTGGTGGCGGAGTGGTTCCTGCCTTTGTTCAGGTTAAGGATTCCATTAGAGATTCCATGTCGGGGGGAAAGATGACTATGAAGCTCGACAGGCCAAGTGCCAGCGGCGCCGCGGAAGGGGAAGATCATCTTCTACCACGACCATCTCAGGACCATGGCTCTGGTGATATTGCGCCTTCCATCGGAGACAGATCTTGTCAAAGCTCGGCTAGCCCAGCCGAAGGATATCCGGTTCCAAGCCTTGAAGACCTCGAATCATCCAATGGAAAGTATTTCGAGTCTGAGTCCGACCGGGGTGTCTCTAAGGATAACGTCGAGATAGAAGACACCACTGGAACTGTAAATTACAGGCCCCCATCGATAGGTGAAGACCCTGAAAGTCCCTCCCGGGAGTCTCAGAATGTCGAGTCCGCTCCTAGGAACAAGGAAATTTCTCTCTCAATATCCATTCCTGGCGCCTTCAACTCCTAAGCAGTGCAACATGATATTTCCTAGATTTATTTCCTTCTAAGTTTGGGGGTTGATGGGAAGCAAAATCTGTTCTCGGGATTATTGCATCTGTTTAAGGAGTCCCAGGCACTGAATACCTTCAGTATCCACATTCTTGCACAAAAACTTGTCGTGATTTGTCGCGATTTTGGTGGTGTAATCATGTGTTTTCCCCAAGTAGTCTCCTTTTTACAAGACAAATCGGGTCTCACTCATTCTTTCAATAACTACGTCTGCGGCAATTTTAAAGCTTAACCTCATAGTGTGTTTAAGGCTTGTTAGCATTACTATATTTCCTTTCGAAAAATATACAAGTGGGTCAGCGGCAGTGGCCGTATCACCAAGGATTGCGGGGGAATGCCGCTCGGCGAGAAAAGTCCACAAGAGACGGATCAAATTGCAATAGGCGGGCAAGTCTCTTGCCATCATTTTCTGCGGCATATATACCTGAATGAGCTTTTGGTGCAAAGGACAAGAAGGTTTATCTTGATTGAAATATATACAGGTCTCGGCGTTGAATAAACTGAACATTGAATAACGAGTTTCTCGTGGAATATTGTTGTGCTACCAATCACAGTATCAGAAGTACAGTGAGAAATCAGGCTAAAGAGAAATACAAGAGAAATACAAAGAAAGGTTGCATTCGTATTGGTATGCCACAGGCTCTTGTAATCTAAAGTGAGGTTTCACTAGATCTTGAAGAGATAACCTGCCAGATTTGCATCAAATAAGAATTACCACTTTCCGTTGGTCGTCGTGAAGATCAATATACCAACTAGATATTCGTTCTCATTTCCCTTCTTTCGCACGCTCACAGCTTTATTACCATGCTAGCTTATACTTCTTGGGTTTGTCTCATTGGTGTGGAACAAATATCTCTAAGCTTGCACGAACGAGGAGTCTGCCTCAATATAAGATCATTTATCCATACTCTGGCCAAGTTCTCCGACCGAACTTAAATTTTGATGATCCCCTAGATAGAACACAAGGCGAGCGCCGAACAATTGATATACTGAAATGAAAGGGTTTCCCGAGAAGTATACATCCAAAAAAAGCCAATGAAGATTTGAAGAAAAAGGCGCGCCCAGCCGATCATACCCCAATAAACTCCGCATCCATATTTCCGTAAAATTACGTTTACTACCCAGAGACTTCTGTACTATTGCCTGAACTTTTGATGAATTTGTCTGATTTGCTCCTCAATGTTCATGCTTTGCATCTGCTGAAGTCGAGCAGCGTCCTTACTCTCCGGCTGACCATCATAGTTCGTAGCGGCCTTCTTCCTCCTTGCCGCCTCTTCTTCGGAGATGGGCTGTCCAGTGGCACCGTCAAAGACATCGCTTCGTTGGCTAGCAAGCCGCTTGAGGTTATTGGCGACATCAGATGTTGATAAATTGGTGGCGGCAAACCGGGATTCGGCCTTGTCGCGCTGTTCCTTCCAGCGGGGATCGAGAAGTTCAACTATGTATGGTTAGATGCAAATTAATAGAGATGGCAGAGAAATCTTACTTCTCATGTGCTGCTCAAGCTCGTCGTACGGAATTTGCTGCTTGCAGTTGGGACACAAAGCCATAGATGCTGCTTGACGCTTGGCTTGTGCGCGAGGGACATAATCGTTACGTATCCTCATTGGTGCAACTCCTCCTTTTGCGGCGGCTTGGGCTTGTTGGGCTCGGTCTCTTGCCTCAGCACGTTCGCGGATTCGTTGTGCTTCCTCCTCCTCTTGCACACTTATCGGCCTTTGGAAACCAAAATTGCTAGTGTTAGAACTCGCTGGAATGGGATGAGGTGAAGGAACCGCTGGAGGCATAGCTTGCACAGGTTGCTGGGATTCATATGGGTTATAATAAATCTCTTCGTCATTGGGCATAGCTTCCTCAATACGCATATTGTGCGGTTGCAAAGACATCATTGCCTTCTGCTCCAAAGAGGCAGATTGCAAGTCAGACAGCGATGTAGGTGCCGGAAGATCTGTTTGGTCGTCTGCCTCATTAAAAAGAACAGTTTCGACGACGACGAAATCCCGCCAGTCGATCTGCAAATACGCCACTAGATTCAAAGGTAAGCATACAAAACGTTGAAGAGCCATGTTCTCTCAAGCGCAGGTACTCACGTCGTTCCTCCTCGGCCTCCTCTTCTTTCTTTTGTTTCTGCTCAGCCTGATACTTTGTCCACTCCGCTCTCTGCTTTGCCCGCTCAAGCACGTGGTATTTGTTGTCCACATTTTTCTGCAACTCGAAAATTCGTGCACGCTCAACATTTCCTTCTTCCAGTCCGCCAGTCCTTGATAATTCAGTATATTGGTCCACCAGACGGCTGAAAAACTGATATAGAGTGTGTTGCGGGCGTAAGAACTCGAATTGGTAATTTCCCGTCTCCCGTTGCGAAAGAGCAGTCATGAAAGACCGGCCGTTTTTTGCGACAAAGAGTGCTGTAAGCCTTACCACATCTAAATCCTGAGCATTTATGTTCGGCATCCTTGCGGAGAAGTGGAATTGCGGAGGCTCCGCGGGACCCTTTGGCTTCTCGGGTTCTGCAGCCGCCGCACTTTCATTCGCGCGGCCGGCCGAGACAGCCGTTCCACGGCCCTCGCGGATTTCGCTGAGTCTCCAAGCATAGAAGGGGTGGTAGGCATCGTCAATACTAAGGAAGGAGAACTTGGGGTTCGTCCGTTCCTTTTCGCGAATACGGTCTAGAAATCGTGAGAAAACTCTAATAACAAAGTTCTGGAATTTGAATTTGGGTCAGACCTTCAAATACCGACCCATTTCGCGCCACGTATCCCGCAGTCTTCTCAAGGATCGCTATACTAGATGTCAGCGCAGAAACAAGGTCAACATATGATACTAGAACGCGAACCTCGAATGTCTTTGGGAGGCAAGACAATGCCAGCAGGTGGTTTGCCTATTCCCTCCATTCCTGGAGTTTCTGCATCATTTTGAACTGCTGATGGTGCCATAACTCTGTTTCTGGATGGCTTATTTTTTAAGTTCGGGGAATTTGCGATACATGGAGTGGTTGAGTGACGACTGCAAATCGGAGATGAATTATCGTAATCCGAGGGATCCATTGAGCTTCTTAGCCGCACCGTAAGAAGCGCGCGGAACTTGCCGTCAGTTGCTCTGCGCTTCCCCTTCATCTGAGGTCTACTAGCCTTACCTACCCGTATGTAAGGTAGGTAGGATCCGGAGGTAGGTACCTTAGGGGAAAGGCGGATTTTCTAATACCGATTCATGAATGTTCAAAAATTACCATCATATATCAATAACTACAGCCTTGGGCCTTATGTTACAGTTACAAGAAAAATATAAATTACTAAGGTTGCTTTAGTTGGTTTACTGTAAATATAAATTCCATTGTATCTAGGTAGGTAGAATACTAGTAAATCTACTATTATTCTCTCTACTAAGTATTGTAGGGAATTGAATAACAAAATCTCTATACAACAGAATAAGTACTTGTAACAGTATAATTTACACAAAATCTTGTGATATATATACAGCACAAGAATATTTAATAAATGATAACAAGTCTGTATATAACAAAAACTCCAGTTGTATAACAGTTTATTTACTGGACACATGTAGCTATGATGTTGAAAAACCTGCTCTTTCACCTATAGTAGGTAGTTAGTCTACCTTAAGACTGGTAACTAGCTGCTCGGTACCAGGTACGTAAGCATCACAGTACTCAAAGTGCGTAGCGGGTAAGACGTCGAGTAATCACTTCAAAGGTACCTACCTAACCTTGAAGGGCTCGGACCACTCCACGCCTTTACCTACCTTATGCATTAACGCCATTAGGCGCGAGACGCGACCTGTGCTATGCAGCACTCTCCGAATATCTGGCCTCACCCCTGGCATAAACCAACCTTTCTCTGTCAACATCCACAGTTGAGTTGGTTTTTAACTCGCTCCGGCATCCGCTCACTCCACATTCATTTCCTCTTCTGTTCTTTCCTTTCTTCTTCCTCATTAAAATCAAATTTAAATTTAAATTTCTACTTCCTACGATTCCAACATACACCGGAGACATATTACGGAACTTGCAGCTTTTGGCTGGCGGGTGCTAGCCTAGCTTCGCCCTACCTAGTTTTGTGTTGTCTTTTGTTCTACGTCTCCATTTGCTGTAGCAGGCACCGAGCCTGCTGAAATGGCTCGAAGGAGTAATTCCCGGCTTGGTTCGAGTGAAAAGCGGATTCGTGGCTCAAGCAAATCTCCCGGCCGCTCCTCGAATCTAGCTCTGCCGCAACCCCCCAGCGACGGCAAACATAAAGGATACACATCTGATGGTGTGTCCGATCATGATATATTTTTGTTGCCTGGCTCGGACTTCCGGCTAGTCGGTTTTCTCACAGCACTTGCAACCATAGTTCGTTTATTTCGAATATATCAGCCGTCAAGCGTCGTCTTCGATGAAGTCCAGTAGGTTCTACCGTTTCTCACAACAATCTTCAGAACTCTTTCTAAACCTGGATCCATACTTACTGAGCATTGTCCAGCTTTGGTGGGTTTGCCTCGAAATATATCAAAGGCCGCTTTTTCATGGACGTTCACCCTCCCCTTGCGAAATTGCTTCTGACACTAGCGGGATGGATCGCTGGCTTCGATGGAAACTTTGACTTCAAGGACATTGGAAAAGATTATCTTGGCCCAGGCGTTCCTTACGTCGCAATGCGTCTCCTCCCAGCGATTTGTGGCGTGCTTACAGTTCCTACAATGTTCATGACCTTGAAAGCGACGGGATGCCGAACAAATACAGCAGCCTTGGGTGCTGGGCTTCTGATCTTTGGTATGCCGTAACGCAATTAACTCTACACGGAGTCAGCTGACATCTTCAAAGAGAATGCGCTTGTGACGCAATCCCGGTTTATTCTGCTCGATTCTCCTCTCATTATTTTTACCGCTTTTACCGCTTTGGCCTGGACAAGTTTCACGAATCAGCATGAGCAAGGTCCTACAAAGGCCTTCCAACCCAGCTGGTGGTTCTGGCTTGTCGCGACTGGCTTCGGGCTTGGTGCGACCGCTAGTGTTAAATGGGTTGGTCTGTTCACCATCGCATGGGTTGGAGGCTTGACACTCGTGCAACTTTGGGTTCTTCTTGGGGATCCCCAAAACGTAACACCGGTATGTCTACTCTCCCAATACAATTTCCCCCCCCCCCCCTTTTTTTTTTTTTCTAATAATTTTCCAGCGTCTTTGGTTTAAACATTTTTTCGCCCGTGCCTTTTGTCTCATCATCGTTCCTGTGACCTTCTACCTTGCCATGTTTGCAATCCATTTCTTGTGCCTAGTGAACCCTGGTGAAGGCGATGGTTTCATGTCATCGGAATTTCAAGCAACTCTTAATTCAAAAGCTATGCAAGACGTCCCGGCCGATGTCGTTCTTGGGAGTCGCGTTTCTATCCGCCATCACAACACACAGGGTGGATATCTGCATTCTCATGGCCACATGTATCCGACCGGTAGCAAGCAACAGCAGATTACGCTTTACCCTCACAAGGATGACAATAATCTATGGCTTCTTGAGAACCAAACACAACCTGAAGGGACTGATGGCCCTATTCCAGGGCCGCGGGCTTGGGACAATTTCGAACCGACTTTTATCCAGGATGGTAGCGTTATCAAGCTTTACCACCTAATTACTGATCGTCGCCTTCACTCTCATGATTTACGGCCTCCCGTTACAGAAGCAGATTGGCAGAATGAAGTCTCCGCGTACGGTTATGAAGGATTCGAAGGGGACGCTAACGACCTTTTCCGTGTGGAGATTGTCAAGTCTATGTCTGAAGGCGCTGAAGCGAAAGCTAGGCTGCGGACAATTCAGACAAAATTCAAGTTGGTTCACATCATGAGCGGATGCGTTTTATTTTCACACAAAGTTAAGCTGCCGGATTGGGGTTATGAACAACAGGAGGTTACATGTGCCAAAGGAGGGACACTCCCGAATAGTGTTTGGTATATCGAGCAGAATGAGCACCCGCTTCTAGGAGAAGCATCCGAGAAAGTCAATTATCGACATCCAGGATTTTTCGGGAAGTTCTGGGAGCTCCAAAAAGTGATGTGGACTACAAACGCCGGTCTTGTTGAGTCGCATGCCTGGGATTCGCGGCCACCCTCATGGCCTATTCTTCGTCGTGGCATTAACTTTTGGGGGAGGGATCACCGCCAAATCTATCTGATAGGCAATCCCCTCATTTGGTGGACATCAAGTGCTGCGATCGCCACCTATGTTCTGTTCAAAGCTTTCGCTGTGCTACGCTGGCAGCGAGGATACAAAGACTATAGCATCAGCACCTTCAAAAGGTTTGATTACGAGATTGGCACGACCGTACTGGGCTGGGCGCTCCACTATTTCCCTTTCTACCTGATGCAGCGTCAACTTTTCCTGCATCACTATCTACCTGCTCTCTATTTTGCAATTATCGCGCTGTGTCAAATTTACGATTTCATCACAGGCCGCTTTCAAAGTTTTGGTCTGGCGCAGAGGCCTGCGTTTGGACAGGCTGGCGCGATTATTTTCCTGGCTCTCAGCATTGCTGTGTTTTCACTGTATGCTCCCCTCGCCTATGGCAACCCATGGACGCAGAGCGCTTGCAGAAAGGTGAAGTTATTTGATACGTGGGATTGGGACTGCAACACTTTTTATACTGATGTAAGCGATCGCGAAGTTTGATATTCAATACTGGTCAGCTCATCTAACACTTGATCTAGCTGGCTCACTATGAGCCTTCTATGCCCGTAGTTGCAGAAACGTCTCACGCCGGACTTCACGTATCACAGCCGCAGGAAAATGCCGGACCTGCATATGAACAGAGTGCGGAAAGCTATATCGAAGAAGACAGTGCTCATGTGACCCCTCAGAAGGCCCCAGACCTTCCACTGCTACGCAAAGAACAGCGATTAGAATACCGTGATCAGGACGGCAACATCCTTAATGAAGAGCAGATCGCCGCGCTAGAAGGAAAGGTCAGTTTTTCAACACGCTATGAGACTCGAACTCGGGTATTAGATGGTGCTGGAAACGTTGTTTTAGAGGGCTCTGCTGGAACCGAGGCACCCGCTCTTCCGCATCCTGAGGTGCAAGGCGAAAACCCTGAAACAGAATCCAAAGCAGAGGAGTCAGCCCTTCGGCAGCCTGTGGCGGTTGCAGTGGACTCGGACCTCATTAAAGAACAGGAAGTAATCGATGCAAACGTCCAGCACAGTCAACCTCAACCGGCAAGTGGGGAACAAGTAGCTACCTGAAGCAGCTGACGCGCCAAACAAGATCAGCCATTTCGTACGCTAGATTATCCTGGTCTAGCCATCCGACCTCAGCATAATGTGATAAAATGTCTTTGTTTTGCCTTCATTCTCCTTCCCTTCTCTTCTTCTTTTCTCGCTGCCTATTCATTAATTTTTATTCTCTTTCCATCAATGCCAGGATGTAACAGTCTCCTTTTCAGTTATGCTGTCACTATTCCAAACCCACAATCATGTGCAAAGACATATGTAAAAAGAAAACTTCGCATTATTTAAGCCCTTAGGTCTACAAAGCCGATGATAATTGCCAACCGCCCTCTGACAAGACACTCCATGTCATTGACCACACCTTCAATTGCCAAAATAGTAGCTGCATCCTGTATGTACACTGTTTACTTAAGAGGTATAACTTCCTCGAGTACAAGAGGCGGGTGTGAGCGACTAATAACCCTCTTTGCCCCACTTATTGTATTTCTCATGCAGCTCCTAGAAATATCAAATATCGACATCAGCCACGGGTAATGCCCTCTTCGGAAATGCGACGAAGTGGTCGTTACTTACCTTTGGCAAGTTGACATTAGGAATGACGACGGTGTTGAGTGCGCTCGGCGCATCCTTTGGCGCCTTGCTTGGATCGCCGCCTGGGTGGTACTGATACTTAAAGTCCTCGGCGCCAGTCGACTCGGTCTGCCATGGCATTGTGTTCTTTGCAATGGAAACTGGCTGCTCAGAGGAGGCAGAGGTAGGCTTGCGGCCTATGAAAATCAGCTCAACAAATCCACGAGTTTGAGCGCTCCTGGAAAAATGTTGGAACAATACCGAAATAAAACCCCGCAAGGCCGAAAGCTCCTGACATGACGGCAAGGAGCACCTAGTAAAACGTGTAAGACTCAATTCACAAGCTAGCCATTATATGATAAAGAAGATAGGACAAGGCCGACCACTCCATCAGACAGTATCCACTTACATAGAGCTCAGGATCTCTCTTCGCACCCTTCTGAAGTACGGAGGTCTGCTGGCTGTAGGCACGCGTGGCACCAAATACAGCCCTTCTCGCAACGAAAGACATTTTTGGATTCTTCCAAGAACAACGAACAATGAGCTTGACGACCTTCTTTCAGTGGCTTTCAAGTCAATTGAACAGCAATTGTCGATCAAAGACAAGATGAGTCTGGGGTGGAAGTTGGTAATAGTGCCTTGTCGGTTAGCTTTGGGATACGGCATGATCACGTGACTGACTCTCCACAAGCCCGTGCTGCGTCGCAAATCTATTGGTTACCTAGTTACCTCGAGGTAATCAGCTTCACCCGTCCGAAGCTCCTTCCCCTTTTCAGAAATCGAATTCTACTACCTTCATATGCTCTTCTCGCTTTCGCAGACAACCTTGCCATGTGATTAGTGCAGATACACTCACCTTCCGCCAAATCCAGGGATAGTGGAGATATTCCCTTCGTTTTCAATCGCTCTTCTTTTATCGATACTGTCTTTTGCGTGTCTATTGCTGCGCTGCATGGTAATATCCTCTCGTTTTCGAGAGTGCCTTACTTAAAGGGCGCCATTGATCCCAATTAGCAAATTTCTATAATTCTAATTCTCCCTCATTGAAAGTCCATGCCATATTTCCACTCATCCTATGCGTCACGACCATGGCTAGTCTCTAATTTCTTCCAACCGCTCCTTATCTCTTGATATTGTGAATTTACATTTCAAAGCAGTGCTCCCAATGACGGCTCCTTTTGCAACGCATTATCCGTCGAGCGGCGCCTTTCCCGCTGCCCTGGAGCCCGTCACCGAATCAGGGCAATCTCCGAGTATCATTTCCTCAAGAGCGACTGATGTTGGTTCTGATGAGATTGGACCCCACAATCTCGATGCAGCCCTCGCAAGAGGGGCAATTCACCCTACGCAGCGGATAAGCTCGACGTATTCCACCGGTGATCCGACCGTCTCTTCGTCAAGTCCTTCGTCCACGGTAACTCGTGTTTCCTCAAAAAGGCACACTTGGTCTCAAACATCACGCTTTGCATCAAAGGCCAACACTTCTTTGGGGGGTGTCACCACCGGAAGCGAGATAGGGACAGAGTCAAGGAGACCTCAAAGTTCGGCGAGTAAAACGCATGTGCCATCGCTTGCTTCACATGCTTTCTTCCGTCCACTGAGCTCGCAGAGGCTTCAAGCTCAGCGAGGGCGTCCTTCGCCAGCCACCTTCGTTCCAGCTAAAGAAAATGTGCCTTTAAAAGACGCAGACTCTGAGATAGCGCATGAATTGGATTCAAAGATTAATCAGAAAAGGAACTCCGCTGTCCTTCTTGATAGTGAAAAAGCGCAGCCACCGTCAAGGGGTACTGAGTGCACCGAGTTCCATGGGCAGGAAATGATCACAGGCGAAGTTAGCCCTGCTGCTAATCGCACAGGCACAAGCACTGCCGGCAGTGCGCATCCTTTGACCCAAGCTTCTCTGGCACCCAATGAGCCGACCGGGACGGTCTTTCGAAGAGGCTCCGCCTTTTCGTCACCTCTCGAGAAAGATCAAGGCTCGTTTCGCTCAAATTTCCTTTTACCAAGTCAGAATTTAGAGCTTCGAGATAATCAAATCATCGGTCGAGAAAAGCTAGCTTCTGCAGATTCTTCGCCACAACTTGGGCCCTACGAGACAAATAATCACGTGAGGAGAGATTCGGAGCGCAATTATCAATATTTTCCTGGAAACACTGTCTTCTGCTTTGGCGGGAGGCTTCAAAATACCAAAGATCGACCAGTTAACATCGTCACTTTCGTCTTGGTCATTCTGCCCTCGGCTCTTTTCTTTGGTTTCTCGTATGTCCTTGGTACATTCTCACTCCCGATCGTCAGCAGCGCTAATCATAATGTCCTTGAAGTGCTCCATGGCTCTGGCTGCATGTCTCGCCCGCGATACCAATTTTGTTTGCGTACCTCTTCCTCATATGTGTTTCCTCCTTCACTCATGCCTCTGTTACCGACCCTGGGGTAAGCTTATGCGACTGTGAGCCAAGAGCTCTACCGGTTTTCTGTCATCTCCAGAAAATTGGGGCAGCTTGATTATCGTCCTTGACTAACTGCCACCTACTCCAGATACTACCGCGAAAAACCCAACCATTTCCTCCTGCGAATGATGCAGACGATCCTCTTACCCTTGGGTCGCCAACGACTGACTGGACTCTGATTAAGTCAGCTGCGTCGCCCACCTCTGCCATGGAGGTTCCAACAAAATACTGCAAGACTTGCAACATTTGGAGACCTCCTCGGGGACATCATTGTCGAGTTTGCGACAACTGCGTGGAAACGCAAGATCATCATTGCGTGTGGCTCAATAACTGCATTGGTCGCCGAAACTACCGATTTTTTATATCCTTTGTGGCTTCCTGCACGTGTTTAGGTCTCTTTTTACTCGGCGCCAGCCTTGCTCATATTCTTCTATACGAATCCAGAGAGAGCATCTCATTTCGGGACTCAATCAGTCATCTGCGAGTCCCCTTTGCTATGGTTCTATACGGAGCCCTAGCGACGCCTTATCCCGCATCTCTTTGGGGTTATCACTTATTCCTGATGGCACGAGGCGAGACAACAAGAGAATATTTGAATTCTCACAAATTTTTGAAGAAGGACAGGCATCGTCCATTTACGCAGGGCAATATTCTGAGAAACTGGTTAGCGGTCGTCAATCGGCCGAGGCCCCCAACCTACATACGATTCAAGGAAAAACACGAGGCCGGTGACCAAAGGTTTAATCTTCGGAGAAATTGTGGCAATATCGATTGTGGGCAGAAGCAACCTGTGGGGGACCTTGAAATGCGCGACTTCAGTGGCGTTATTCCATCGTTCCGTGGACCAAGCACCAGGACAAGCAACGTGATGCGTAATTAGTGCATTAGTGCTAGGCGCTCCACAAATGGCCCGCTGCCATACAGTGCACACCTTTCGAATTAAGCTAACAAAGCCTAAAACATCTCGGTTTTACGGAGAATTTCGACTCGAAAAATCATTGCTTGCGAGGAATGCCTGTGCCCGGACCGTTTACATGGCTCGCTGCTACTTGGACTTTTGGGATCCCTGTGCTCCCTCAAGCCGGAATTTGTTGTTGATCAACCTGGCCGTTCATAATATAGTTCGAATCCGGTATTTTTGAAGGCGCGCCTTTACCTTAGTGTCCGTCGTTTCTCTTTGACATTCTCTCGTGAACTCTCCAAACGACAACCCAGCCCTCTTTAGATTTCAACGAATTTTCAAAATTGCTTTACTAGCTTAGGTTGAGCCCGAATTGATGTTTGTCCAGAATTAATGTTCTGCTGATCTTCAACGCCTAGGTATATATGAAATAAATGTTGTAATTCTTTACGTGCCATTCCCGACACGGGACGAGTACAATGGCCGTATTTAGGACGATCAATGTTCACTTCCTTCGGCACAAGCCCGCTGAAGTCATTTTGGAATAAACAAAATTAGAGAAGTTATCAATCAGCCATTACCATATTTCTTCTTCTATATATCTTGAGTTCGTTGAATGTGATCTGTCTTTGTTCACTCCGCTGTTATGATGATACGTTCCCCCTTGTAGTGCCGAAACGCGCTTCCTCTCAGTGACAACGCGTATAGACTACATTGATTGGCTGGACCCAACTTCACAACAGCAACAAGGCAGCTCCCGCACTTTCTCAGTGCGACTGTCGCAGCCCGCATTCAAAACACCGGACAAATTATATTAGTGCATGCTCAACGCATATGTAGCATATTCCGGCAATGCTGCATGCGTCTCGCTGATTCATTCCCGTGGTTCCAATCCTGATTCTCTTCCTAACATCTGCCCGAACGAACGTCTGTCTATCTCGGTTTTCCTGCTTATGGTCTGCCGGGCTTTGTCACTCCTAGTCTCTGCATGAATTACTCAGGAGTTGCAGTCTACTTCAATCGGCGACCTGTCAATTTCAGATATGGCACATTTACAGCAAACACGTTCCTCTTCGCCGTCCACTTTGTCCTGCATCACGGTTAGGGATGAAAGTGGCGATGTCTCATCTACGAATTACTCAACTCCTCCCACAAGTAATCCAGACGCGTTAAGTACCCCTGCCGAGAATGACGTGTCCGATATTCTGTTACAAATCAAAGGTCGCCCATTACGAGCCCGACGAAGCCTGAACAGCTACAATGAAAGCATTCTTGCCGGGACGGCCAAGAAGAGTGTTTCGGGAAGAACGACCAACATTAGCTGTGCTACGGACAAGGTATTGACCGGAGATCAGGTTGACCTAAATACTATAGCTGGACCCAAAGTTCTGGACTCAATACGGCGTATAACAGATGACTCTCCCAAAGAAGTCCACATCGTCTCTATAGAGAAGGTCATTGAAGATCCGCTTCTTGCTGCTCCTCATAGAAGGAGATCTACGCGCTTGAGCCTTGCTGCGCGTGCTACAGAAAGGGTCGTAGCTGCGAAAGACGGCGTCGACGAAGAAGAGGGCATGCACCGCGTTTTGGGCAAGCGGAAACGCAAGGCAATGTTTGGCAACACAAGGTCTAGTACCCGGTCGAAAGCAGAGGTTAGGTGCAGTAGGCAGGGCAATAAAACAGTGGTGCCCACAGACAAGAGGAGACGCGTTTCATCAAGCTCATCATCTGCAGAAATTATGAAAGATGAAACAACAACATCCATTTCGGAATACCAGAGAGTAAAGCGCTGGCTGGCCTGCGGATTGTATGTCGGTCAGGATTCTAACACGAGTCCCCGGGCGGCTTCGGCGAGACGACGAAGCAAGTACTCCTTGCCTTCTGCGCCAAATCAGCGGAAATTCTTGCCGTTGCCAATGTTTACGGGCAAGCGAGTCGTTGAAAACGGCCGGGATTTTAGACTGCCATTCGATGTGTTCTCGCCTTTACCTCCAGGTCAGCCAAAGCCAGAGGAGTGGCGTAGGACACGGAAGAGTACGTACACAGAATTCGCCTTCAATTTGTATTGATCAAATCTAACGACAGACACAGATGTTTTCATTGGTGAGGCGGCAAATATTTGGAAAAAACATAAGGTTCAGGAACTCTCTCGCTGCATTTGTACTCCAGAGACAGGTTGTGGGGAAAATTGCCAAAACAGATTCATGTTCTACGAATGTGACGAGACGAATTGTAATATTGGTGCTGAGTACTGCACTAATAGAAACTTTCAAGCGTTGAAACAAAGATGCAAATCTGGCGGGAAATACCATATTGGTGTGGAGGTAATTAAAACTGCTGATCGTGGTTATGGCGTGAGGAGCAACCGCACCTTTGAACCTAATCAGATCATTGTCGAGTATGCAGGTGAGATCATAACTCAAGATGAGTGCGAAAAGAGAATGAAGAATGAGTACAAGAACAACGAGGTAAATCTTCCATTCGAAACGGAACTTGCTGAAGGTTGACAATGTCAGTGTTATTACCTCATGCTCTTTGACCAGAACATGATCATCGACGCTTCCCGCGGCTCCATTGCACGCTTTGTGAACCATTCATGTCAGCCTAATTGCTCTATGGTTAAATGGACAGTGGCCGGCAAACCCAGGATGGCACTTTTTGCTGGGGAAAGAGGAGTTATGACGGGAGAAGAATTGACCTATGATTACAACTTTGAGTGAGTTTCGTGACTCCAATCGGTAGCGATCTCGATCCTTGCAAGTTCTAACTATTGTAGTCCCTTCTCGGTCAAAAATGTCCAACAATGCCGGTGCGGAGCATCCAACTGTCGCGGAGTCCTGGGCCCGAGGTCTAAAGAGCAATTTAAGCCAAACAAAGAGAAAGGCACCCAGAGGTCATGCGCCTCTAGTATGAAGCGGAAGTTCGTTGAGACGTCCCTATCATGCGTCAAGGGTCAGCCAAGCAAGGCCAGGCGTGCAAAGGGGACTTCTCTTGCCTGCGCTGAAGGTGCTGGGCTTCGAAAATCTGCGGTTCGACCCCGCAACGAGGCCTGCAAAAATACTGTAGCCTCGCTACATAAAAAGACCACTGCGAGGGATAATTCGTCGATATCTTCGGCATTTCGAGCCAGAATGACACGACCAGATTCAAACACGAGGGTATTAGGTGGTGGACAGAAGAAATACAAGCTCGCCTCTCACCGTGCTCCGAGAACGGCTTCGAAGGCTCCAAATGCAAGCAGAGAACCCCAAGCCCATACTAGGATGGGCTCTGTGTCTAAAAGGGGCTCTAGAAATTCTGTGGCGCAACGGCGAATCGGCCTCAGATAATGTAAAAGATGTTTTGCGTGCGGGACTGGATGCTGAAAAAAACATTTATCATACATCAAAATTGTGAATTTTTTTCAAATTCCATATATTTGAATGGATTAATTTATTGTTTATCTGATACCTTGTTGTAGATATTTGTTATGCTTTTTATATCTGTTTTAATATATAAAGTGTATCAAGAATTCAATTATATTTTATTTGCCTTATAATTATATATATTTATTGTATTTTTATATAATTTATATTATTGTAATTTATTTTGTTTTATTTTATATTTTTTATCGTATTATAAATTAATAAATAAAATAAATTATAATAATATAGTTAAAAAATATTCTATAAATATTTTTTTTATATATATATTTTATATATTAAACAGGTTAAACAAGTAATTTTTAAATATTAAATAACAAAATAAATTTACTCTAACTATTATATTTCTTTACTATATAACTAAATATTAATAATATATATGCTTAGTGTATATAGTATACTAAACTAGCTAGATTTAAAAAGAATTTTAGGCAGGTATATAGATTATATCAATAGATTATATTAAAAATTAAGCTTTTTTATCTCTTTATATTTATATTATTACTAGTATAGTAATTGATAACAATATTACAAATAATGTTTGTTATAATAACTAGCTCTAGACTAAACTAACTATCTATAGTATTGCTCTAAACTTTTTAAGTATCTAGTATATTATATACATGATAGCTATAAAATAGTTTAGTAGCTATATATTATATATATATTATAAAATAAAATATTTTATTAAAGAACAAGTATTTTATTTTATTATATAGAGCCTAGTTATTACTTTTACTCTACTTTATATTAACTTGCTACTAATCTATATATCTTAAGTATTACTATATAGTTACAAGTATTATAGTAGCTAGGTCTAGACTAGCTTAGCTAATAATAGTATTACTTTAGACCTTTATAAGCATCTAGCATATTAAATACATGACAGCTACAGGATAGTCTAGTAGCTATATACTATATATATATCATGAGGTAGAATATTCTGTCAAAAAAAAGCATTCTACTTTTTTATATAGAGCCTAGCTATTACTCTTACTCTACTTTATTCTAGCTTGTAACTATCTTATATATTTTAGATATTACTATACAGTTACAAGGCAAAGCCTTTACATAGTAGAATATTTTTTTAATTTATTTTTTTAAAAGAAAATTACTTAATTATCTAGTAATATCTATTATATAGCAATAAACAAGTAAATTACAATAGTAGTATACATTTATCAAATGTCAATGCAACTAAAATCATTCAATACAATAAATTTCAATGACTTAGTACAGGTCTTAGTTATATCTAAAACATCATTAAATAGCATAGTAATAGATGTACAATATATAATTAATAGCTTAAAAGAATTTAAATGCCTTAAAGAAGAAATTACTATATAATATTACTAACTAAAGATAAAACAACTTCAAAAGTAACTTATATTAGATGATGATAAATTTAAAAAATTAAACAACCTAAATACTAAACAAGCTACTAGCATACTTCAAGTAGCAATTATATTTAGTACTTGTCTACTACATAATTATTTAGTAAAATTTTTAAAATATTTAAGAAAAAAATATAGCTAAACTTAATAAATATCTTAATGCATGGACCTGTCTATAAAATATTTAAGGAAACAAGAATTTAAGTAGTAAATATATACTTGTAGTAGCTACATACCTTGTTAAAAAGCTACTCCAATCCTGAATGAAAGAAGATTGCTTCAAAATTAAGATGTAGAAAAAATATACAAATTGGTTAAAAAATACCTTGAAGGATCTTGACAACTACAAGTATAATACAAGCTTAAAGCTTAAAAATCTCAAGTGCAAGCTAGAACAATTAACTCAAGAATTTATAAACTATATAGCTTCTCTCTGTCAAGATCTACCTCTATTAGTATATGATAACAAGAAAAGTTTTAGCCTGCTCAACACATTAGGTCCAGACCTTAAAAAACTTGTTTGTTAAAATATTAATAAAATTACAAGTAAAAAATAAGTAATTATAGTAGTAACAAGACTTGAAGATGACATCCTCTAACAGGAACAAAAAACATTCAAGACTAAGCAAACAATTAGACTTATACATGAAAAATGAATGTAATACAAAAGATGATTTACATATTATCTACATAAAATAACAAAAAGTAAAGACAGCTCTGAACAGCAAAAAAGCATACTAGAGCTACATGCTAAATACTCATTAGTCAAATGCTATAACTACTAGAAAAAAAAATATAAAGCTATCAAATACAGAAAACTTTAAGAAAGTAATAAAGCTAAAAAAGACAAGTTAAAAAATATAAAAATCTACTAATAATAGTCTCTATAATATTGAATTATAAGATTATAGGAGCAAAACAATCAAAATGTTTTACCCTATATTTAATACTACATTTACTAACTAGTAACTATACTCTATATATATTAATTAATTCAGGAGTAGAAAGCAATTTTATTTTTCAAAAAATAATAAAAAAACAAGAACTTAAAATCTAAGATATAAAATTCTATACAATAACAATTGATAGTTACAATGTATTAATATATAGTAAAATAACATGCATTATACACATAAAAAATTTAAGTAATAGCTATAGAGACATTACTTAAACTTACCTTACTACTAACATAAAAAAATATAATATTATTCTAGAAATGCTATAACTAAAAACTATAAATCTTGATATTAGATAGTCCAAAGCATGCTAGTTCTACAAAAATAAAAAAATTCAAGTTATTTTATTAGATAAAATAAATAAATTCATAAAAACTACTATAGTATACATTGTATACATATTTCTAATATGTAGCAAACTAATGAATAGACAGTAAAATATACTCTAACAATATATAGTATAACTATTATCTATAGCAAGCAAAGCTGTATTCTCAAAAAAATTCTAGGAATACAAAGATATATTCTCTAAAAAAAAGGTAAAGATACTACCTAACCATGCCTATACAATACATGCTATTGATATTATATTAAAAAGCAAAGTACCATTTAGACTCTTGTATAAACTATTAGAAAAAAAGTTAAAAGTCTTAAGACAATATCTTAATAAATATTTTGCTAGAAGATGGATCTAACTATTAATATCATTAGTAGAAGCACTAGTACTATTTGTACTCAAGCTAAATAGTAGTATGCATTTCTGTATTGATTGATTGATTGTTTATTCTGCATGCAGCCCTAAAGCTATAGCAGAGTCTATAGTTTAAATATATAAAATATGTGTTGAGCTTTTGAAAGTTACCCTAGAATCAGTCAAGCTGATACTGGATGTTATCCATCAACATAAAACAAAAAAAATTAGAAAAATAATAAAGATAGACAAAGTAAGAGTTATAAAAGTAATAAAAGAGAGTCAAAGTTTGGTTTTTTTTTTTTTTTTGTTTTTTGTTTTTTGATTTTGGAAATCTCAAGAAGTATTTTTATTTTAAAGCCTACCCCAGTCCCATAATGTTTCTTGTTGATGTTGTCCTTTTTGATGTAGTAACCATGTTCTTGATACTATTTTAATAGTATCTAGATATTCTAGTAAGTGGTTCCAGTTTTTTCCAGTATATAATATTTTCAAAGTAAGAACTTTTTCCTTTACTTTTTGTAGTAAAACT